TAGGAGCCATTGCGCTGGAAACTACAACCAAATCTGTGGTGGTGACCTGGCGAACAGCCTTTACACTGTCATCTGACTGTATTAATTTTGTTTTTGTGGCGCTCCTTTGGAGGAGGGTCGCTACATTATGTTCATTACTATCGTACGAGGTCCGTACGAGTCCATTCTTGCACGGCTGATGACCCATGGGTCTTTGTGGCGATGTATCTTGGTCAGCGCAGCTAGAGCAGAAGAATAGGCGGTAGGCTATTAAACCAGACCGAAGCGATCTCATGGCCTGCCCAAGTGGGCGTGTGGGGTGGTGGGTGATAGTTGTGTGGCTGGTTGCATGAGGGCGGCGCGCGGGTGACCCTACTACGGATGCTATTTAAGCATGTATGGCATATATGTCCTATGCCAGTTCGGGCTACCCATCCTGCAAGGTTTGTTGCCCACACTTCGCTGAGGGTGTCATACATGGTATCCGTGACCTCTACCACTGAATGTTTGAACAGACGTCGCTCACAGCAGCAGCATGCGAACGAGCAGGTTTGGGAGAACGCTTCTCTGCACGCCTTCTCAGCAGCTTCGACACATGAGTGCGTGCTGGTGGTTGGGAGCCCAAGGCCGTCGGAATCCACATCTGCCTCGTTCTCGGTGCCGGGTTCGTCTTCATCTGAAAGGGCATGGCGCGAACCCAAAACTCCGTCATCTATGTATCTCAAGCAGCAAGTGTGCACTAAGGCTTATCCAACGTTTGTGCGCACAAATGAAGGCCGGAGCTATAGAACCTTTGTCAATGCCCCACAACTAGCAAATATTGGCAAACAACCAATAACCCACCAATGTCACCATCCTCCACACCGCTATTGTTGCTGACGTTTCCATTATCCTCTGATGAACATAGAAGACGCTGAGTTTTCGCCAACTGCCGAAGTCGGTAGTGCACTTGATGGTACGTGGCAGCACTTCCATTCAACTCCTTTACGACAGCGCCCGCTGTTACTTTTCTGTTGGTGGATTGTAGCGTGAGCACTGCTTCCTGAAACGCTGCTTCCTCGTCCGGAGTCCACTTTGAACGCTTCTTCGAAGGCTGAGTGGTAGCGTTGGGCCTAGGCCGGATATACTTTTGCCCGGCTTTGTTGTATTGCAAAAAGCTGAGAACACGTTTATACGTCAAGCCCTTCAAGCGCGTGTCGGAGCACACTTCGTCATACAATAGCTTGGCAGTAAGTTTCAGTCCGCTAGAAGCAATACCGGTAGTCTCGGCTGCTTTACACAGAGCGTCAACTTCATAACTTGTTTTGTACTTTGTACGACACAGGCCAATATCACTGCTCACCCATATACACATCACAGGCCCCACGCCCGCGGGATCGGGTGACTTTTGCGGAAAAGTCAGCCGTAAAAGTCATCTACAAACGCGGTGACTTTTACCCTTAGTAGCTTAACAGTATATTACTAGATATAGGCTAATTTGACTTCTTGCTTCGCAGCTCGTGAGCTAACACGTTAACTTATTTTTATACATGCGTAGCCACCCACCACCACAGCAACCTGCGAACATCCAGCCTTACTTACCTTTAAGCTTTTATACGCTCATCGACCACTACATACGGTATCTCAGGTGTCGATAGGAAAGCGCAGGCTAGCCCCGGGGTCCTTCAGCGACTAAATGCCCACGTTCAAAGGATAGGTCATGTAATCTAACAACTGTGAATCATACCGCGGGGCCATGGATGTTGGGGAGGCGGGAATGGGTGCTACTCTTATCTGTCCCCGTGCAACGCCTGCCTTCCCCTCGTGCAGCCCCTGCCTCCCTTGCCGCTTCCCAGCCAGTTCTGTGCCTACCACCGTCATGCCTTCTATGCGCGGCGTTTGCCTTCCCATGCGCTTCGCGGCCCCCGGTTGGGTTCCCAACTCCCTATGCCCTTCCCCGTACCGTGCCTGTCTCTCCACGGCCTTGCCAGCCCGGGGCCTGCCTCCCGACACCCGTTCATGTGCAGCACCTGCCCCTCCCTGACCTTCCCTGTGCGGCGCTTGCGTCCTTAGACCCGTCTCTGCACGGCCTCAGCCTACCTTTGTGCCTGCCCCTGCGCAATACCGCTTGTCCTCCCGTGGGATTCCCATGCCCTTCCCCGTGGGCCCCGTCGGCGCCAGTGTCCATGCCCTTCTCCGTGTGGTGCCGCTGCGGCCCTCTGAGGGACTTCTGTGCCCTTCCCCGTGTGGCGCCTGCCTCCCCACGTCCTTCCCGATGCTTCACCTGCTCGACCTGCCTTGTGCTTTACCCCTCATTTCTTTTCTGCCACACCAGAGGTAGGGGCGCTCTTAGGGGCGCTCTTAGGGGCGCTCTTTTGTCATCTGCCTCCACTGCGTTGCTACTGCTGCAACGCGTGCTGTCTGGGACGTCCAGGCTTATAACCCTTATAACGTCAGAGGGCCCAAAGACCCACATATCGACCACAATGCACCCAATGCTGTTGACTAACTAACTAACTAACCATGTACGCTGATGACCGCCTTACGCCCAACATCTGTGGCCAAACATGCGGTAAAAGGACCGCACATCCCCCGTGCCTCTCGACCACGCAGTAGGTATGCACATGCACCATGGTTTGGCGGGGTGAGGAGTTTGTCCACATGCATGTCCACCCGTGGGTATGTGTTGCCTCATTGAAGCGTCCGCCTCTCGGAACATCCGACTGTTGACGACGCGTCCGGCTGTCACAGTACGTATGGCACTGTTCGCATAGCAATATACATGCGGCCTTGAACCCTGTTCTTTCCTGCGTTGCAGCTGCCCCCCCTCCCGTGCCTCATCATTGTTATTGGAACTCATCGTTATTGGCACTCACATGCGCATGCATCCCACCCTTTCCAGCTGTCTGTGCTCAAGCGTGCAGACATCCTCTCGTCCTGCCAGGAACCGGCACCCACGACCGCAAGCATGACCGCCCCTCCCAACCACCTGCGACCAGGCATTTCCCACGCACCCACCCGTGCATCAATGCCGATGCCTGTATACATGCCCACCTGGCCCATGCGATACATGCATGCATACCCGCCATGCCCAAGTACCAGCGCCCATGGTCGTACGCACACTAGTCGCGCCCAACTATCGAACTGTTGGATGCATGCGCATACAGACACCCCCTGTCCTCGTGAGTTACCCAGGCCAGCGCCCTGCCGTGCTCCTAAACTGGTGCATATGCGTGCAGGAATGACGGGACTTGGGGACAGAAGCTTCACGAGGAAGAGCCATTAAACGAACACCTGTTCATCCGTTCAGTAAATTCGAGGAACGGGCAATGACAGGGGGAGACAGGGCCGCACGGGGAAGGGCAGATGCACGGGAAAGGGCATTGGAAGGCAAGCACAGCACGGGAAAGGCAGGGTAGCAGCAGGGGCGCCACACGAGGAGAGGTATGAAGAGTCAGGTGCCGCGACGGGGAAAGCCAGGGGTTGGCAGGCGTCGCGTGTGGAAGGGCGGCCGCACGGGCAAGGGAATGGGGAGGTAGGAGGCGCGCCCATGCAACGGAAATCTCGCTGAAGGACCCCGGGGCTAGGCCTACGCTTTCCTATCGACACCTGAGATATGAGTGGCCGCTGAGCGTATAAAAAACCTAAAGGAGGCAACAGGAATAAGGCTGGAGCTATGTAGGTTGTTGTTGTGGTGGATAGCAACGCATGCATAAGAACAAGTGAACGTATTAGCTCTAAACAAGCAGCCTAAAAGTCAACTATTAGCCTATATCTAATAATCTGATGTTAAGCTACTAAGGGTAAAAGTCACCGTGTTTGAAGATGACTTTTACGGCTGACTTTTCCGCAAAAGTCACCCGATCCCGCGGGCATGAGGGGTCTCTACACATCATTATTTTAACATCACAATACAACAAACACATGTGCAATGATTATGTGACGAACGCTGCAGCTAGAAACTCCTCTCTACTCATAACAATCGTTCTTGATTTGGAGCCACATCGCAGGTTGTCTTTGTGACTTGCATATACACATTCAAATTCCAAACCTTTTGCACGAAAAAGATGCCAAAAAGCTCACGCGAAAACTTGTTAAATTTGCCGGGGTGTTCACTAAGGCTGTTCCCTTGCTTCCAAGCCGCGGCCTGGCGGAGCGTCTGGAATCAAGGGCAGGCCAAAAAACGTGTTACGGGGATTGGCTTACTTGGCCGTCTGGCCGTTTACGGCGCAGCAGTTGTTGCATTAGAGGCGCAGGTGCATGCGATGCAATCACTGTTAAGTACTAAATCACTGGTTTAACAGGGGTTTAATATTAAAATTGCCGCGGCCTTTCGTACGGCCTTGCTGCTATAGGCAACGGTTGGTTTCGCAGTTTGTGTTAGTTTTAGGGCCTTAGAGCTGGAAGTACGTCTGGGCCAGATTGTACGATATTTTACGAGCTCTGACACAACAGCAGTTGTGTGGGACGTACGTGTTGTCGTACCGGCGCCGGCTGCGGGGGCCAACACACTCTGTCAACAGGTGGGCTTTTGTATCCTTCTCGGGTCGCCTCCCTGGGTCCCTGTCCTACGAGCACAGCAGCAGCGGAGCCAGCAGCAGCCATTGCTGGACTACCGCAGCTGCATGCGGTTCCGCTGCCTCTGCATCTTACTTCAGCCTACAGCAATCAGCTTTCATACCGATGTCGGCATTGCTGCACTGGCTGCTGCGTATGCAGCCATCAGCCATCAACTTTACCCTTTGGCTTTGGGGCATAACACCGGTAGGATGCTGACAGGACGACTTCGCCACAGGAGTCGGTTGCGTTCCGGGCATGTCGGCTTGGGCGGGAGGAGATCGGCAGGGGTTTGGGGTAGCCTGATACCAGACGCCCCGCGAGGCCTCCGCGCCGTGGGGCCAAGGGACCAGCCCTACTCACCCGCTGGAGCCCATGTTGGAAGTACTGCCGTGCTTGCAAACCAGAACATGGCGGCAAACTTCTGTGCCGCAGCGAAACTGGCGGCATTGAGGTGAGCAGGCAAGACTGGGCAAAGGCTGGGAAACGACTATGGAAGTACAGCAGAAAGTCTTTGAAATTCGAAAGGGAAGTAACACTCTTCTTAACAAGGTTACAGCTGTCGCCTACCCTCCTTTCTGCGACCCCTCGCAAAGCCTGCTCCTCGCCCTGCCACTGAAACACACACATGGCAACGGCCCTCCAACCTCTGCCAACCACCATAACACTCCCCTGCCCTGTCCCCAGAACGCGCGTTACTCCTCCCTCCTGCAGGTCCTTCTCCTTGCTCACTCCCACTTTGTAGACACCCTAACCGACCCTGATCCCAGCCCCAACCATTCCGCTTCTAAACCCAAACGCCCTCCCGAACCGCTACAGGTGCAGTGCGAAGGCGCAGGGCCGCCGTAGCAGCCGGTTATACTCCGCCAGCCGCTGCTCCAGCCCCGCTATGGACGCCGCATGCGCAGCCGCCTTGTCGCCCTCCAGCTGGGCAGCGTGCCGGTCGCGGACCAGCCGGTAGCGCAGCGGCGCGTCGGGGGCAGGCGGCTGGGGCGAAGGAGGGGGGAGGAAGGGGTGATGGGTGAGGGAGGGGTGATGATGCCATTATGATCGTTTTGTTTGGGGAGTTCGGGGTGAGGAACTTCCCCGGGGTCGCGGGCCGAAAATGTAAAGTGGATACTAACGACGCATGCATGTTGGCTGACACCACCGGACAACTCTCCAATCTTGGTCGTCAGCAATGGGCTCTCCAAACGACCGCAAGGTGCACTCTCTTCCCCATGCCGTCCGCGCCCAGTCCTCCCTCCCCTTCCTCCTCCACAGCCCCCCACCCCACTCCACCCCTCCCACCTGCTGCGCCTCCGCCGCCACCTCCGTGCGGCTGGTGAGGGGCAGGTAGCGAGCCAGCTCCTCGTCAGTGGGCACGTGGGGGCAGATCTGCAGGAGGGGAGGAGAGGGTACAAAAAGGTAGGCGCATGTCATTCACGGCCACTAAATTGTGACGAACGAGGCGACACATGACGACATGAGTTACGCAACAGCAACTATACTGGTAATGGTACATCACACACACAACACTCGGGCCAATCCGCACTGTTGAACCCCACCCTGCCCCTCCCTAACCCCGCCTCCCGTCCTCCCTCGTACCTTGGGCTTGTCCTCATCCTCCGGCCTATCCTCCGGCAGCTCCTCAGGCTCAGGCCCAGACATGAGGCGGGGAATCACCTCCTCGCCCAACTGTACGGCCCACGTGTCCTGCCGTACAAGCCACGTGTCCGACAACGCAGGCCCACCGCGCAACGCCCGTACACTACCCGAAGCCACCGCCTCGTGCCTCGCACTGTCGTACATGTCGTACAACCGGGGCTGCATGACGTAATCCTTGTCGTACCCCATGGCATACGACGGTTCGGGAGTTGCGAAAACCCGGTCCTCGCTGTAACGGTTTCCAACCTCCAGGGTAATGTACGGCATGTTTTTGCATGCGTCGGGCAGGGGCGGGTATTCTGACAGGGAGGGGACCAGGCCGGCGGGCACGAGAGCCTCCCCCGCTGCCGCCACCTCCTCTATCGCGCCCGCTAGCAGGGGCTGGTCGAGCAGGGGCGGCAGGTAGGGGGTGAGGCCGGGGAAGTCCTCGGGGGCGTAACCCAAGATGCGGTACTCCAGCGGGGTCTGCGTGTGCGAAAGTGTACGGCAGATGGGGGGAGGAAGAGGGGGATGAAACGAGGGAAGGTGTAGGTGAGAAGGTGAGATGTGTTTGACAGGGTTGTGGAGATGTGCGGAAGAACGCTGCCGTGGATGTGTCGCCAGCTGTCCTAGCGGTCAACTGGTAACCATGACGGCCTATACAAAAGCTAAAAACACATGAAACCATGGTAGGTAGTTACACACAGGTTGTAGCTGCGTACACTGAGCACGGCAACCACGAGAACCTCCCACTACCACCAGCTATCGTCCTTTCCTTCCCCCTCATGTCAACCCAAGCTAACGCTCAACCAAAGCTGCTAACCCCCACCTTGAGTTGGAATGGCGCCAGTTCGTCAAAGTCGGTGTAGTGGGTCACATCCAGCTGCACATGCACCTGTGCGGGGGGGCCAGGAGGAGGGGAGGGCAGGATAGGGGGCCGAGGAGAGGGGATTCAGGGTGCATGTTGCGGCAACTGGGTAACTGGGGGGGCGGGAGCAGTCAAAACCACCTACCATGACAACCATGGCCCTTCCTTTTAATTCCCTGTTCCCCTCCCCTCTGCAGCCCTCCCCTCTGCAGCCCTCCCCTCTGCAGCCCTCCCCTCTGCAGCCCTCCCCTCTACAGCCCTCCCCTCTGCAGCCCTCTCCTCCCCCCCCCCGCACCCACCTGGAACACCACATCTCGGTACAGCGGCAGCGGCCGCACCCGCACCATCTCCGGCCGCAGGTACTTGGTGGGGGCGGTGCCGGGCCTGTCGCTCTCGCTGACCAGCAGCACGGGGTTGGCGGCCTCCTCCGCCAGCCGCTGCTTGTCGTAACCCAGGTGGGCTGGAAGGGGGGGGGGGGGGCGGGAGGGAGGGAGGAGGGGAGGGAGGAGGGGAGGGAGGAGGTGTGGGAGTTGGGCGCGGTATGGAGTTGGCAAGGTATACTACAACGTCTACAAGGGAAATGGGGAGGCGCGCTTAGGTTGCTACGGGATGCAGCGTTTCCATTTCTCACTCTCCATTACCCCACTCTCCCACACCCACTCCACTTCCCACACTCCCTTCCCCACTCACCCAGCACCTCCTTGATCCTCTCCAGTCTCCGCTGCATGCGCAGGCTCACCACCACCCGCCACACCGCGCGCATGAACATGTCGCGAGCGCGGGTGCGCTTCAGCCAGTCGCTGCCCTCGATCAGCCGCCACTCGGGCTGGAAGGAGGAGGAGGCGGCGGCTGAGGAGGCAGCGGCAGCAGCGGCGGTAGCAGCAGCAGCAGCAGCGGCGGTGGTGGGGGTTGGAGGGGTGGCAGGGTGGGCGGTAGGGTCGCCGGGAGTAGGCGGGGCGGAGGAGGGGGGTAGGGTGGTGGGCTGCTGGTCTGGGGTGTGCGGGGGCGGCTGTTGCTGCTGGGGTTGTAGGAGGGAGGTGGAGGAGGAGGTGGAGGAGGGAGGGGGCTGCAGAGGGGGCTTCTTGGAGGGGTGGTGTACGGCGCCGGCTGCCTCCATCTCAGCCTGAGGGTTCGGGGTGGTGGTGGTGGAAGAGGCGAGGTGTTGGGAGGGGGTTTCGAGGAGGTCAGCCCCGGTGTGTGTGGTGAGAGAGGGTTGCTAGCTGGAGGCTAGGAGAGGCTACTCGGGACGCGACGTAGCTCCTGACTCAGTCGCTGCCCACCCACCACCCACCCACCCACCTGCAGCCTCTTGGTGGCCCGCATCTCCTCGCTCAGCTGGTGCCGCCGGTGCTGCTCCGCGCGCAGCCGCTGCATGCGCGCCACCTCCGCCGCGCTCAGCAGCTGCTGCCCCACCGCGGGGGAGGTGCCCAGAGACACCTTGCGGGAGGCCTCCTCGGCGGCGGCCAGCTGCATGCGGAACAGCGCACCCTGGGGACGAGGAGGGGGGGAGGAGGAGGAAGAAGAAGTTTAGGAGTGAAATGACAGGGCATTGTGAACGATGGTGGCGATCTGGGGGAGAGTAGCAAGGGGTTGCAGGGAGAAGGCCGGTTGGGTAGGTGGGGAGGCAGTGGCATCCAAGCACATCGGCATGAACCCCTACTCATCGGCATGAACCTGAACCCCAACCTCCAGTTCCCTTTCCTGCCACCTTCTCCCCGCCCCTTTTCCTTATCTTCCCTCCCCTATACCTTCACATCCGCGGGAATGTCCGGCCGCTCCAGCGGATGAATCCCCTCCGCCTGCTGCTGCTGCTGCCCCCCTCCTCCTCCTGCAGGCCCCCCTCCCGCCACCACCGCCCCCGCCGCCGCCCCCGCTGCTGCCGCCGAGGCCGCCAGCACCTCCTCCAGCGCCGCCTGCTGCTCCGCCAGGGCCGCCTTGCGGGCCTCGATGGCGCCCCGCACGTCCTTAGTGCGCAACCTGGGGGAGTGGGGTGTGTGTGTGTGGTGAGGGGGAGGAGAGGGGAGAGTTGAGGAAGTTCATGCAAGGTGTACGGAAGGGCAGTAGGGCTCGGTGGCACGGCCTTGGTGTGCAGCTTGCTAGGAGACTGCGCCTCCCTCCTTTCCCTGCCCATCTTAAAGGCAGCTGCCCCTGGCCCCTCCCCCCTCCCTCCCGCACCCCCACCTGTTGGGCGACTGCCCCAGCACGTACGCCACCTCCGCAGTGCTCAGCAGCATGGTGTCCGGCACGAACACACCCGCCACCTCCGTCTCACCCGGCGGGCCGGGCAGCCGGGGGGGGCGGGAGCGGGCGGGGCCAGCCAGCCGGCAGTCGCGGGAAGCCCGCCGCTGCCGGCGCTGTGCGTCCAGGTAGGCGGTGTAGGCGTCACCGTTGCCGGCGCCTGGAGGGGAGGAGGGTCGGGGGACCGGGGGAAGGAAGGTGGATGTTACTTGATATGCCGTATGTTATACGACATGCCGGAACCATTGACTGGCTGCACCTCCATAATTTACCCATCCTGCATGGCGGCCCACCACCCCCCGGCCGCGCGCCTCACCTCCCCGCAACACGCCTCCTCCGGGGTTAACCGGTAGGTCCTTGGCAGCGTGCTTCAGCGTCTGAGGGGGTGCAGGTAGGGGGGGGGGGCCAACGGGAGGGCTGGGAGTAAGCGAGGCGGAGGGCAGACAAGTGCCGCTTGATACACCAGTGGCCTGTACCGCTACTCGGAAAACAGCACATACTCTTCAGTGCTTCACCCACGGCTTTCCTACCAAACCCCTCCTCTTATAACCTCCCTAACCTCCTACCCCTACACACCAACCACCTTCCAACCCCCCTTCCAAGCCCCTTACCAGCGTGCCATCCAGCGCCTGCATGGTCACTCCGCTGCCGCCCCCTCCGAACGCCCCAAACGGCCCCACCCCTCCCTGCTGCTGCTGACCACCGTCACGCCGCCACGCCCACCGCCCCCCACCTCCCTGACCCCCTTCCTGGCCCCCCTCCTGCTCCGAGGTATTCCCCGTACCCCCCATGTCCATGCTGCTGTTAGCCCAGCCTCCTCTTCCCCCCCTCCCTCCACCTCCTCCACCCCCCTCCTGGTCCGATTTAGCAGCCAGCGAGCCCGCAGAGTCCAGGTACTGCCGCGCAGCTGCAACGCTGGCAGCAGCACTGCCGTACATCAGTTCGTTGTTGTCGCCGTTCGTACGAACGTTACCGTTGCCGTATGAGTTGTTATTGTAGTTGAGGGCGTTGAGCAGCGCGCGGTCGCGTGCGGCGCCCGGCCAGCCGGAGCCGGTGAGGGTGACGCGCAGGGGGCGGGAGTTGAACTCCGCGATACGGATCTGATGCAGGGAGGGGAGGAGAATGAGATGGCGGAAGGGGGAGCAAGGGGAGGCTAGCCAAGTTGCAGCGCGCACGGGGCTATAAGCATTCGCCGGGCCTCTTGACTCGCCCTTCTTCGCGCTCTTTTAACCACCTGCCCACACTCCCACAGTCTCTCCCCGATGCTCCTCGCCCCCTCCAACCACTCCCTCCTTCCCTCCCCCCTCCATCCTCTCCCCCACCCTCACCTCCACCACCGCCTCCTCCGTGGTGAGGCTGAGCGGGCAGAAGGCCAGCTGCAGCGCCACCGCGCCCCGCCCCGGTATCACCCCCCGCTGCGGCTCCACCTTGAAGGAGGGGTGCGGCCGCACCTCCACCACCTCGAACTCAAAGTCTACCGGAACCTGGGGAGGAAACAGGTGGAAGGAACGGTGCAGGGCAGGGCGGTGGAGGCCTAACACAGCCTGCATACTCCAGCAGCCCAGTGCGGAATCAACTTCCTCCCCCGCCCCCCACTTTTTCCCCCATTGCTTTGCCCTAACCTGCGGTTTCCTATGGTATGGTATGGTCTTTGACCCCCTAGTGTTTCCCCTCCTTTCTCCGCCTCCTCCTCCTCCTCCTCTTCCCCTCCTACCCACCTTGCACTCCAGCATGTGTCTCCGCACCACCTCCCGCCCCACCGGCACCCGCCCAAAGTCCACTCGCGAGGGGAAGAGCGCCTCGTTGGCCACCGGGTAGGCGTGCAGCGGGATGAGCAGGTTCTCATCCTGGGGGGGGAAGGGGGGAGGGAGGAGGGGATGTTGGGAGGACGAATGGGTGAGGGAAGAGGGTAGAAATGGAAGAGGAGAGGTGCGGTATGAGGCCTGGGACGGAGTCGCGTATCATACTGTGATGGGAATCCCTCTGTCCACCCCCCCCCACCCGCATGGTATCTTGATGACTTGATCTTCTCCCCACCACCACCGCCACCACTCGCCCTTGCAACCCGCCTCCCCACCTCCGAGTGCACCCTCACGCAGTCGTAGTAGTAGCGGTACTGCGTAGGGCAGAACTCCACCACCACCTCCTCGCTCATGCCGGGGGCCAGCAGGCCCTTCTTGGAGCCGCAGGAGGACTGGGCGGGGTGGGGGGTGGGAGGAGGTGTGTATGGGGGAGGGAGGGAGCAGGCAGCAGATGTAGGAGATGTTGTGGCACCATGGGGAGGAGGGGTATGGGAGGGGGTATGAGGGATGTAAGGAGGGGTTGGGCTAGGATTGGTTATGGGCAGCACTGGTATCGTGGTATGACCTAGCTCGCATGTAGTCTTCTGGTATCAGCGTATCGGTTGCACAAGGCTAGGGAGCGGGTGTGAGGGTAAAGAGGAAACGACTAGCGGGTGTGGGGGGGGCTGGGGATGGAGAAGGTGAGGGGTCGCGCCTTCGCCCTCACCTTGAAGAAGGGCGTGCTGGGCCCGATGATGTGGAAGCGGGTGCCCCGGGCGCGGACATTGCGTATGCGCAGGGTCTGGCTGTAGACCTGGCCGATTGTGTAGCCCCCAAAATGGACCACAGCGGGCTCAGCCTGGAGGATGCGCGTGCTGCCAACCTTGCTGTACACCTGGTTGGATGTGAGGAGGTTTGGATTCCGAAGCGGAACATCCTCCACCAGGCCCTGCGGCGCCAGGTGACGGTTAGCTAGGAAGCTCGCGGTTGGGATGGCCATGGCTAGGACATGTCAGGCAGCAGCGCAGCTGGCGTCCGCACCTCCATTGCTGGAGGAAGGCCTGGAGAGGCTGACATCGTCGCCATCAAGAATGCTTATCACCCCATCCTCCTTGCCGCGCTCCAAGCAGCATCCAAGGTTGCCCTACCCGCTTAACGTGAACAACTTTACGTGCTTTCAATAAATATTCGTATAGTGATTATACCTATTAACAGCAATTTGCGGTTGGTTCCAATCGCAAGTCAAGGAACCTTACAATTTTCTGTGCGACCTTTAAGTAAAGCTGTCAGCAGCAATATTATGTAATTTTATTGAAGGTAAAAAAATGCCTCACAGCGACGAAAGGCAACCGTGATATCCTGGCAAGACGTCACCTTCGATACTACGGCCAACACCGTACACTGGTTGCTTGCAGGGTAGCAGCTATCGAGTGCTAGTCGACGTGAAGAGGACGCATACTGCTAATTGACTTGTTCACATGTTTACCTTTTCATAAGCAACGTACAGGGTCGCAAGGATAAACCCCTTGTTGCCTTTGGATTCGAATAGAAAGCGCGGCCTGTGCATATGATCATTCTGCAATACAGCTAGGCACTAACCTTACGAACTAGTTCAGCCCGCGCTCTTCGCATCTCGACTACAACCCTCCAGTTTCGCTTTATGCGTGCTCGCTTAGTCGCACGTTAGGTAGCCATGAGTTAACCTCCTTTAGTGGGTTCATTACTGCATGCTGGCACAGCTCATTCAGCGACGGGTCTATCACGGACTGCCCCGTGGGCCAGCGCTTGCCTCGCCCGCTAGCCACCCCCCCACCGCCCTCTTCGCACCATCCCAGCCTCCAACCGCACCTCATCACACCTACTGCGCGCCCGTGTGCAGCAGTTCTCCAGCCTCAAATGCAGCGACCAACACAGCAGCCGCTAACAATACGGCAGTAGCAGCCCCACCGCAGTTATTAACGGCCCAGCGGTAGCAAGCCAAGCGCGCCTGCAGCACATCAGAGACCAAACCACACTACCCTCTCTCTCTTAGGGCTTCCAACCGGAATTATAGCGACACCTACAGCATACCAGCTCCACCAGCAGCGGCCCTGCACCCAGCAGCCCGGCAGTCATGGCTACAGCCGGGACCGGTGGCGGCGGCGGTGGCGGTGGCCCTGCCCGTTCCGCCTCCACCACCTCCCTCAACCCGGCCCCCTCCGCCCCCTCCGCCGCCTCCTCCACCACGTCCGGGGGGCTCTTCGGCCTACCAGGCCTGGGAGGCGTCCTAGCAGGCTTGGGAGGCGGCCTAGGCGGAGGCGCCCCCAGGCGATCTGCTTCCGGAGCCCTGGGTGGGGGCGGCGGCGGCCTAGGTGGCGGTGCCCCCCGTAGCTCGGCCTCCGGGGCCCTGCTGCACCCTCCGCCCGGCTCTGCGGCTAGCGGCGGGTCGGGTTACAGTGGTGTTACGGCAGCGGTGGGAGGAGGGGGAGGGGGTGGAGGCGGCTACACGCGCTACCAGGCTCGCTACCGGGCTGAGGGGGTGCGGGAGGCGTACCTGGGGGACACGGAGACGGGCTTGGTGAGGGGGCGGGGGGGGGGGGAGGGGTGTGAAACGCAGAAGGGGAAGGGATGGTGAGAAATCGAGGCTGGGCTGAGGAAGGAAGGAGGAGGGAGGTGGGAAATGGACTGTAACCATGGGCACGGCAGTGCGTTGTCTGTGCGAAGCACGAAGAGGTCAGCACTAGCTGTCCCTCTTTAGGTGGGGAGGATACCGGTATAAGGGAGCGAAAGCATTCCGTTTCTCCTGTCCCCGCTACTCCCTCCCTGATCCCCCAACTCTCCTTTCCTCCCTGACCCTCCCTGCCTCCTTCCCTCCCTCCCTGCCTCCCCTTCCTCAGACCAGTGCCCTCCTCGACGCTCTCAAGTCGCTCTTCTCCGCCCCCCGCCTGCCCGACAACCCCTACTACGCGCTGGCAGCCCACCTTAACGCGCATGTGGACCAGGGGCAGCTGTGGAAGACACCCGCGGCAGATCTGCTGTCGGTGTACGACATTGAGGTGCGGGCGTGCGTTGGGTGAACTGGCCGCACAACCTTGGGGTTTGTGTCAAGAAAGCTGGCCGCCAGTCGGGACGTACCGGTACTGGTGTGTATTAACAACACTGACCTCGAGTGGTGTCAGAATGGTAGAATGGTATGTGTATTATGTGTAAGTGCGGCATGGACCTCTTCCTTGATGCGCACACCCTCCTCCCATGCATCCCTCCCTTCCTCTCCACCCCTCTGGCTGGCTTCCTTCCATCCATGTCCCCACCCACGTATCCCCTCCCGTCCATGTCCCCTTCCTCCTCCTACTTTTTTCCCTCCTCCTCCCTTCCTCCTCCCTTCCTGCAGGGCGGTTTGGAGCCCATCTTCGGCGAGCTGCAGTTGTGCAAGCTGAGCAGCTGCGGCACCTGCTTCGGCCTGCCGCACGTGCTGCGGGTGGTGACGCGGGAGGGTGAGGGGGAGGGGGAGCAGGGTGGGGGCAGAGGGGAGGGAGAGGGTGGGGAAAGGATGGAGAAAGAATTTGAGTGGGAGGGGTGATGCCGGGCAACGGGCATTGGGACTTGGGTGACTGGCCGAACTCCCTTTCCCCCGCCCCACTCCTCCCTTACAATACCCCCCATTTACCCAAAACACGGCCCCCCCCCAACGCAGCCGTGTCGCTGCTCCACGTGCTGCTGACCAACGGGCTGCCCGAGTGCCTCTTCAACAGCACCCCCCTGCCCGCACTGGCGCCGGGTGGGGGAGGGGGAGGGGCGGGAGGAGGGGTTGCGGCAGGCGCGGGGCCCTACTCGGTGCAGGCGCTGTGCTCCATCCAGGTGTGTGTGTGTGTGTGTGTGTCGGTACTCACGAAATGGCCGCAGGGTGTGTATCAACAACGAGAAACTGGCCACACGATTGTGGTGTATCAAGGAAACTTGCCGTGATTCGGAACGTGCTGTGACACACGTGCTGTGTGTGTGTTAAAATACACACACACAGCACGGCCAGTTATTTTAACACACGTGCTGTGTGTGTGTTAAAATAACTGGCCGTGCTGTGTGTTAAGAAAACTGGCCGCGAGTAGGAACGTACTGGGATGTCGGAAGATGAAGTTCCCACAGAACCGCCGCAGGAGCCGAGGTGTGTGTGTTAAGAAAACTGGCCGCGAGTGTGTGTGATTTGTGCCAGGGAGTTGCCAAGAATGAGGAAATGGTGGCGGTGGGAATCTGCGCTGCGCTGCGCTTGCCGCCCTGGATGCGCCCACACATCCAATTCATCACCCCTATTTCGACCCTCACCCCCAATCCCTTTCTCCTCGCCCCTCCTCCCGCTGCTCACCCCCACGCCCCCACCCATCCCAGGACTCCTCAGCCCTGTGGCGGCCCCAGCTGCTGGAGTTTCCTGAGCTGGACATACGGTGTGATGTGGTGGTGAGGAAGGGGGAGGAGAGGAGGAGAGGGGAAGCATGAAGGGGAGGGATAAGCGTGGAGAGGATGGGAAGCCACTGGTATTCAAGCGTTGCCATAATCATTGCGTGGTGGTACAGAACCATGAATCCGCCTTCTTCCCTTCTTTCTCAAGAAGCCCTCTCCACCATGCTGTGCCAACCCACCGCTGCCTCACCTGCCTCCCCAACCCTTCCCCCACCCTAGTTCTCCACCATCATTCAACGCCTGGTTCTTCTCCTTCGTTTCCCCCACCCCAGGTTCGCGGGGATAAGCTAGATGAGGCGTTGCGGCTTTTCGTGGATGTCGTACTGAATGACGTGGGGGAGCTGCACCAGGTAGAGGGGGGGAAGGGGAAGGCGTGTATGTGTGTGTATAGGGGGAAGGGGATCTGGGGTTTGGAGGGTGGGCAGGTCGTCCTGCCAAGCCTAGGTGATTATTGAATAGGGGGTGGGGCGGGTTGTTCATTTTTATGTTGCTGTAACACACACACGCCCCATTTTCCTAGAAACACACACGCCACCTGTTGTGAAAACCAAAAACCACGTGTTTGTCCCGCATGTCAACAAACACACAAAAACACGTATATGTGTGTGTTCAAATAACTGACCGCGAGGCGAAACGTACTGTGATATGTGGGTGTTAAAATAACTGGCCGCGAGGCGAAACGTACTGTGATTGCCGAAAGATGGAGTCCTCCCACCGAAAACGCCACAGGTGAAGTGAAGTCCGTTGGCTATGTGTGTGTGTGTGTTGCTTTCCCGCAGGTGCCGGTGTTCTTCGTGGATGGAGTGGCCATCGTGGATGGACCCGCGGTGGAGGTGGAGGGTGAGGGGGAGGAGGAGGAGGGGACAGGGAGCGGCGGTGAAGGAGGAGGAGGGCAAGGAGGGGAGAGGAGGAAGAGGAGGGATTGGGAGGAGGGTACGGCGAAGCTCTGACCGGACACGTACCCGGATGGCTGATGGCGAAGAGCTGCCCTCCTTCTTCCCCTCCCCTTCCCCCCTCCCCTCCCCAGCCGACAAGGAGCCCTTCTCCCGCTGGTGTCCGCTGGATCAGCTGCTGGAGGCGGCCGAGGAGTTCAGGCGCACGGCAACACGGCTGGTGCTGGGGGGCAAGGTGAGGGGATTAGTAGGGAAACATATAACGCGTTAGGTGAGATGAGGGGAGGCGGGGGCGCCGGGGTACGATGCAGGGCCACGGTACACCAGCCACCCAATTATTCTGCGTCAAGCTCTCCGCTTTTCCCACTATGGCCCGTCCCCCCCCTCCCACATACAGTTATTTTAACACACAGCCCCGCACACATCTGTTCACCAGGAGTTGCCAGCGCTGTTCAAAGCCGTGTACACCTTCTTCTTCCTCCTTCTCCTCGTAAGCCCGAATGTCTCCTCCCACCCACCCGCCCGTCCGGCTTCCCAGGTCCTCCGGCTGCACGCGGTGCTGCTGGTTGAGAGCCCCGCTGACCCCTCCGACCTCTCCGCCACCAAGCTGCGATACGAGCAGGCGCGGAAGACCTACTGCTTCCACTACCAGTAGTCAGTGGGGAGGGAGGGGGGTAAACATTGGGAGGGAGAAGACATACCAGAGGGTGAGGAGGCAGGCAGGGGGGTAGAGAGCGGGGGGTGGGCTGGGAGGAGGTAAAAGGGAAGGGAAGGGGAAGGGATGGAGGGGAGGGCCTACTGCTTCCACTGCTAACACAACTAGGCGGGGGATGGAGTGGGTGCGGAGAGGGATTGGAAGGGCAGTGGCAGAAATCCTGGGCGCCTGCCATTGACCGCTGCTCAGCCACCAGGTTGTCTGCTGTCAGCTCCTTTCTCCTGCCACAATTCCGAAACTCCATACTTTACACCTCTCCTCCCTCCCCTTCCTTCCCCTCCCCCCCTCCTCGTTGTTTCACTTATTTAATTTTCCCCCCTCCTCTTCTCCCTCTCCCTCTAGTGTTGGAACTCCAGTTGCTTCACTTTTTATATACTTTCCCTCCCCCTCCCCCCCCCTCCCAGCGACCAAGAGGTGCGCCCCGGCCTCTCCCAGCCCATGTCCCACTACGGCTGCTACCCCTACGATGCGCTGTACGGCGGGTACTTTCTGGATCTCAGTACGGCACGACAGTACTGCGCCCTCTACCTGCCAACTGACAACCAACCCTACCACAAGAACAACCTCAACCGACAGGTACTCGTGCGTGCGTGTGTGTGTCTCAAGAAAACTGGCTGCGATTTAGAACGAAGTGTGATTGCCGGGGGATGATGTCCCCACAGAAACGCCACAAGGGAAGTATAGTCCGTTGGTATGTGCTGATCGGGGTTGGGTAAGGTGGTTAAGGTGGTTTAAGGTAGAGTACAGGGGCGGCGAAGCATGTGAAGGTGAAGCAAGGGAACCTCAATCCCACGGGCATGGGCAGGGGCAGGTGCATGCTGAGGCGTGGGGACAAGGGGTGGAGTGCAGGGCCAGGTTTAAGGAGCACGACTCCGCATCACCCATCATGACCCATGATGACCCTGTATGCCCTTCTGTTCGACAGTGTGTTTACCTCCCTGCTTCCTCCCCTCCCCCCATCCAGTTGACTCCAGTTGCTCAACATTTCACTTCCTCCCCTCCCCTCCCCCCCCATCCTGCCACCCCCGCCCTCCCCAGATGTCCCTGCTGCGCTCTTCCATCGCCTGGGGTCTGCAGCGCGGCGGCTCCCTGGCGGCGTGGCGGCAGCTGCTGCTGCTGGTGCTGCTGCATGACCCCACTACTGTACGACAACAGGGGCAGCAGCAGCAGGTGGGAGGGGTGGGCAGGAGGTGGGGAGGTGGGGGGAAGGCTGGAGAAGGCTGTGGGTGGAGTTGGGACTTAGAATGGTGTTCGGACATCATTGTAGGGGTGCCGGACATGCCCCCCCCCTGCAACACCCTCTCCCCATGCAAACTACTGGCAAACCAGCGCCCTCCATCCGTACCTCATAGCCACCCATACACACACGCTTTCACCCCGTCCACCTGCCGTACATACCCTCGGCCTCCCCCCAGGATAACATCCCCTCTCTGGAAGACCTGGCTCTCAAGGCACCTCAGGTACGACACCAGCCTTCATGGCTGCTCTCAGTAAGGTACTGACAGTGACATACCCGTACACGCAACCAAAAGCGTTGAAACTGCGCCTGCGCGCTGTAACTGTTGCCTTACTGTGTTACTTCAACCCCATCCCCCCACCCCCGCCCGCTGCAGGTGCTCGGAGGCGAGCTGGGTTGGCTGCTGTCCACCGTCCCCAACATCCTCCGCATCACAAACAGCGCTGCAAGCGTGCTAGAGGGTAGGAGCTAGCCCTAGCAGCCGGGGTTACGTGGGGTTGCGTGGTTACCGGTATACTTTACTTGAAAGGAAGTGGGTTAGGCTTATTGGCGAGAGGGTGGATGGTGGGCTGAGGAGGGGCATCCTGTCTCCCTGCGCCTTCTCCTGCAGCTCCCAACACGTTAGTGGGCAATGAGCACCCATTACGCCATTAGCCGTGCATCCTTTTAGCCCTACACACTGCCTCCCGTCCTCTTTGCAACAACAAAATTGCACAACAATACAGCACTACTCTACCCTATTAACCTCCTATTGCCTTCCCGCAATATCCCCCAGGCATAGTTCGTGAGTTGGAGGGTATCTCGGTGGCGGCTGAGCGGTGGCCCGCCAAGCTAGCAGCGGTCAAGGCAGCTGCAGCTGCAGCAGCAGCAGCAGCAGCGTCAGGGGGGAGCGGAGGGAGGGGTGGCGGCGCTGGCAACCCGCCGCCCTGGAACGGCGCGGGGGAGGTGCCGCTGGAAGCGGAGGGAGGGGAGCTGGGAGGTACGGCGGACAGTCGCCGTACTCTGAGGACCCCCGAGGTGTCCCGGGTAAGGCAGGGGGGAGAGGAGGGTGGTGTGTATGGGGTGAGCGTGTCCCTGTGTGTAGTGGGGGAGACTGGGGGAAGCACGCCGCCTCCTAGCGGATGTTAGTGTGATGGATCTCACACGCCATCCAGCGTGTAAAGCATCCCCTATGCACCCTCATGCAACCCCCTATGCATTTTTCATGCACCCCCATGCAACCCCCATGCACCCCCCCCCCATGCAACCCCCCATGCACCTTCAATGCAACCCCCATGCATCACCCCCACCCCCTCTTCTTGCGCTGCCCTGCACCAGGCCATGGTCGCCTGGCTGTCCTCATTCGACATGGAGAGCCGGCTGCTGGGTCAGCTGCTGGGGCTGAGGGAGCGGATTCGAGCGGCAACGGGGGCGGGGGGCGCGGGGCTGTTTGGAGGTAGGGGAGGGGCGAGGGGGTGAGAGGCGAGAAATGGGCTAGGAATGAAGGTAAAGTACCGGTAGTAAGGGGCTTGTACGGGCATGCGTGCCACGCGCCTCCCGCTTTCCTGCGTTCCAAAGGTGTCAGAGGGGTGTGTAAGTCAATGTCATTGTGCACACGCCTGGGTTTTCAGGTATTTCCCTGATGGCTCAGCGACTGGTTTCGGAGCTCCCCCCCGAGGTGCCCCCGCTGGCCCCCGCCGCTGCCGCCGCGCTGGCCGCCGCACAGCCCCGAGTGGCGCTGCTGCAGCACCTGCTGCACGCGGCGGCACTAACCGTGTCACATGGGTTTGTGACGAGGTGGGAAAGGGGGGGGGGGGAGTGGGGGGGAGGGGGAGAGAAGAGGACGGGAGGAGCGGGAGAATGGGGGAGCTGGAGGGGGAAGACGTTAACCCCATTGCCACGTCCGAAACCCAGCAACATGACTGACACTCTCCCGCCTTTCGCGGTACCCGCCTTACGTCATCCTGTCTCCCTCCCCCCAACTTCATCCAACCCACACCTCCTGTTCTGTTCTGTTATGTTCTGGTGCTAGGTGTGCGGATGTGAAGTGGGCCCTCATGCGCCTGGGAGTGCCGCTGGCGGGGGGCGGAGGGGCGGCGGACATGGGCGCACTGACCCAGGGGTCGGCAGGTGGGTGGGTGGAATGCATGGGGACAGGACCTGGGGGCTTGTGGGAGGTGCGCGGAACGTCCGGAACATGTGTGTGACCGCCGGCCCCCTATCTTGGGCTCTGTTGCTGCTCACCCTCTTCGCTGCTCACCCTTCCATACCTGGTTTAGTACCATACCACTACCTTACCCTTTCCCTTTTCCCTTTCCTTTTCGCCTTTCCCCGCCCCAGGCAATTACGATGACGTGGGCGGGCCGCCTCCTGCTAGCTGGGTGCTGGACGTGGGGCTGGTGCGGGGGGCACAGGTGGGTGGGGGGAGGGGGGATTAAGAGGGATACAAATTCCGCGGGAGGGGGGGAAGCGGAGCATGTGGGGGTGATGTGGGTGGTGTTGGAGGGAAACGGGGGTCCGGTGGTCCCTGTTGGTTGAGCTTTGGGTACCGTATTGGGTGCTTATGAGGTTGACTCAACTTTATAACTGTTGCGGCTCCCAACGCACGATACTAGGGCTTTTGCCACCTAGTTTGCCATTGTCAAACAACGCAGTGGGGTTTCCTCTTTTACCCCCACCCCTCCAGGTTCGGTCGGGAGCGCTGGCGGAGAGAGTGAGCGCCGAGGGGGTCATGCTGCAGGTGGGTGGGCGGGCGGGGCGGGTGGCAAGGCAAGGCAGGGCAGTCCGAAACCTTGCCGTACACCGCACGGCGCCGCCCCGTACCCACTACTGCACTGGTAGTGTAGCTGCTTACCACCTACTGCCACCTGCTCTCTGCTGCTGCCGTACACCCTTCATTGTTTACTATCGTACACCCCTGGCTTCCCTCATCCTCCCTCCCCCACCCGGGCTAGCTCACATGTTTCAAACCATGATGCTGCCTTGTCACACGGTCAGTTAGTTGTTTCCTCTTTTTGGGCGGAGCCCCCGCCGCGAAGCGGCTTCGGGGGGGCTTCGCCCCCCAGGATTGCCCCTGTCCGTGTGTCCGTGTGTCCGTGTGTCCGTAACGGCAAAACATACAATCTAGACAAAACTATTTATTGCACCTAATAGATATTTGTTATCTGTATTCAGTAAAAATAACTGGAAGCCAAACAAACTTAATTTCGCAACAAACGATTTATTGACCAGCCATTGAACAAGGACCACCTCGGCAACAGCGATTAGCGCTCCTCTATGGTTTGTCCTGGTACCGTAAACAGTATTTAGTGAATTGGTAACAGCGGCGTGTCGCCAAAGGGCTACCTGTGAAAGTCGGCGGGAGCATGCTCGCATCTACTGTGCTACTCAGAGCCCACACAATCCTTTGGGACGATGTTGCAAGCCTTTGCTATGGGTTTATGCGTATGAACTGTAACGCAAACGGGTACGGGATACCTCGCTTATAAGCTAACATGTCATGTGACGGCGCAATGGCTGAAGTCCTTCTGAGCACGATGCCGAGATTGAGGAGCCTGACCTCCTCATCATGTTAGTAATGTAGGTGAAACTCTGCGGGACCCTGAAAGCACTTCCAAGTGGCAGTTACGCCGTCGATTTGGGTTCTGTAGCCTAAGGCGTGGGTGTTATCAAGCATGATAAGACGTTACTAAGTACTCGATTGAACAGGCGTAACCTAACAATGTGTGCAATGAGTGAGGACACTATGTACGCCATGGGTGAACAAGGCGGCCGGCCTCGGCTGGACAAGGGGCTCTGAGCCCGTCTAGCCATGCAACGAGCACTAAAACTACAGTAAACAAGGGGGTTCAGCGTCCGTATAACGAGGTGTGTTAGGTCAACTGGTGCCGTGGAGTCGCAGGAGCGCATTCCAGGTCTATAAGGCCCATAGGGTTGTGCGTCGCACTTGAGTCGTTCCACTCCCCTGTAATAATCGCAATCATTCCAGTGGTAATAATACGTTCCTGTACTAAAGAGGAGGGGCTCCGCCCTTTTCCAGCTTTGAGGAAGCTGAAACCCCCTTGTCCCCCACCCCCGGGCAGTACGCGGTGGATTGCAAGCTGGATGAGCTGCTGGCGACATTGTGGCAGGTGGGGTGGGGGCTGGGAAAGGGGAAGGTGGGGAGGGGGCTGGGGGGGTGGGAAAGGGGCTGGGGTGGGGGTGGGGAGCATCCTACCTACAATACCCCAATTACCCTCCCCTCCCGCTCCCCTCCCGCTCCCGCTCCCCTCCCGCCCCACCTCCCCTCCCAGGTCATGACAGACCCCCCGCTGCCGCTCAACCCCTACCCCAAGCTGCTTCACCTGCTCAGGTCAGGGGGGTGAGGAAAGAGGAAACAATAACGAACCATCTGATAGGGCGTGGGGTGGGACGTTGGATGGGAGGGGGCCTTGGCTATGTCGGCTTGAGAGGCAGCCCGATGCTCCCTCCCCCCATCAGTACCCCTTCCTTCAACCTTCCTGTGTCTAAGACCCGAGCGTTGGAAATTCAGTTTTCTTCTTTCTTTACCCCTCTCCTCCTCTCCCTCTCCTCCTCCCTCTCCTCTCCTCCTCTCCCTCTCCTCCTCCCTCTCCTCTCCTCCTCTCCCTCTCCTCCTCCCTCTCCTCCTCCCTCTCCTCCTCTCCCTCTCCTCCTCCCTCTCCTCTCCTCCTCTCCTTCTCCTCCTCTCCCTCTCCTCCTCCCTCTCCTCCTCTCCCTCTCCTCCTCCCACCCCAGGTCCCATGCAGCCAAGATGGAGCTCTGGCACGACGACCCCGCCGACGCCCTCGCCGCCCACCTCATCAACGACCTGGTTCTGCTGCCGCAGCCCCCCGGCTTCATGTACGCAGCCCGCCTGCCGCCCGCCTCCCCACACAGACACAGAGCAGCAGCAGCCAGCAGGGGGAGGAGAGGGGCAGGGGGAGCAGGGGGAGGGGCGGAGGGAGGGGGTGGGGTGATGAAGGGTGGGAGAGGAGGGCTAGGGCTCGGGGGTGACGGTGGGGGAGATGAGGAGGTGGAGGGGTTTGTGGTGTATGGGTGTTATGCGGCGGTGACGTGTGTGGACGTGCGGGCGGTGGAGGCGCTGCGACTGACCCTTGGGTCGGTGCTGGCGGATCGGCACTGGCAGGTGGGGGTGGGGGTGGGGGTGGGGCGGGTTGGAGGTGGGGTAGGGGGTGTGAGGTAAGGGTGGGGTTTGTGGGAGTGCAGTGGGGAGGTAGCGTGGACAAGTCCATGGGCCATCAGAGCAACCATGCGTTACCTTCATTCGCTGTTCCTACCAGCTGTCCCAACATCCCTTCCCTCCCCTCCGGCCTTCCACTGGCCCCCTCCCCCCTCTATTTCCCCTCCCCCCTCCCCAGTCCGGCGCCTACCAGGGTGAGGTGGTCCCCGCTCTGGTGGGGGACATGGCAGTGTCAAATGCCATGCGGCTGGACCGGGATGTGGTGGTGGGGGAGGTGAGGGGGGCCGAGGGGGGAGATGAGGGGTGCAGGGGCCTAGGGGAGCAGGAGGGGGCGCGGACACGGGTACAGAGCTGCGGACACGTTTATGTGAAGCATGAAGCACCACCCAGTCCTCCACTCCCATAGAGCTGATGTCTTTTGCAGAGGCACACGGCTCGACTGTTGACTGCAGCAAAATGCCCGCACCACTGTCCTTCACCTCCTAAGCCCTAACACCATGGGATTGACCTCTTGTGTCCCTATTCCGCAACCTCCTCCCTAAGGAGGCTGGCGGAGGCGGCGGCGGCGGAGGCGGAGGAGGAGGAGGCTCCTCGCTTCGCCGCCTGTCCGCCCCCTTTGAGCACCCCCGGCTGTTTTCGCTGGAGGCGGAGGAGCACCATTTGGTGGGGGGGCCGCGCAGGAAGGAGGCGGCGCAGGTGGGGGGGCGGGCGGGTGTGGTGTTGGGGTGTTGGGGAAATATCCGCAACAACTGGCTATAATTGTTGTAGCTGTATGGCGGTCTATCGAGATGTGCCCTACGTTTTGCGCCGGCATAGCCTGCGAGCCAGGCATTCAGTGACCTTGCCTATACACACTACCCCCCCTTCCCTCCCCATTGCTTTGCCCTGATCTATGGTTTCCTACTGTTCAATCTCTTCCTGACCCCCCCCCTTTTGTTTCATGACAAACTGCTTCACTTTATCCGAATCTGTGGTTCTGGTATGTCTTTGACCCCCTTCCCTTCCCTCCCCGCAGGCCTTTGCGCGGGAGGTGGTGTCCGACCTGCTGCAGCTGCACCTCGCCTCGCCGCACATCGTGTTCAGTGCGGCGGTGGTGGGGGGAGGCAGCTGGGACTGCGGCAGGCTGTGGGGCGGCAGTGGGGCGGGAGGAACAGAGCCAGGGGCAGCAGGAGGAGGAGGGGGAGGAGGAGGAGGAGGCAGTGCCAGGTTTCCCGGGCTGGAGGCTCTGCGGGAGGAGCTAGTGGAGGCGGCGTTGCGAGTGCCGGAGGTGAGGGCAGGAGGGCAGGGGAGGAAAGAGGGAGGGAGGGGGGGGGCGGTAAGTCCCTGCCTTGCGTGTTCCTGGAGTAGTGCTCTGCTGCTGCGCTCACTGCCCGCGTCAGGACACGGGACTGTGCTTCATGTCCCCTTTCTTCCCTCCCTCCCCTCCCCCATCTCTTTCTTCTTTTCTCCACCGCTTGCAGGGCCGGCTGCTGGCCAGTGTGGTGTTGTACGTTGCCCCCGCGCGTGAGACCACCTACGTGCCGCTCACCCGACACCTGCTGTTCCAACACAGGAAGGTAGGCGGGGAGGGGGGGGGCAGGGTATGAGTGCGGGGGGGGGCAGGGAGTATGAGAGGGGGGCAGGTGGTGCAGGACTGTTACTTGCTGCTGTGTTGCCTGCTGCTGGGTGGCAAGCCGCTGTACCGTATATCCGCTGCGCACATACCCTCATGCCTCCCTCCCTCCCTCCCGTCCGTCCCCCCCTCTCCCCCTCCTACCCTCCCATTCCGCCCCAGGTGCGCCCCCCGCTGCGGCCGCACGTGTCGCTCACCTCGCACGTCACCTCCGCACCCCGCCCGCCCAGGACCGGAGAGCAGCAGGTGGGAGAGCCAGGCGGGGGCGGGGGCGGGGGCGGAGGGGAAGGGTGTCTAATAGGAGGATGGTGAAGTGGTGGGCATTTGTTGTACCGGTAGGCGGAACAACGTTGGCTCCCCCCTCCTCCCATACAGTTCGTAAGTTTCCTCCTCCTCCTCCCCCTCCTCCCCCTTCCCTTCCCCCCGTCTCCTATGACTTGGTATGGTCCTTGTCCCCCCCCTGCCCCCCCCCCCCCCCACCCCTCCCCTCTCAGTCCCAGCAGTGGCCCGCCGCCGTCTACCAGCGCGTATTCCTGTCCGAGTCCCACGCGGCCTCCTGGGCAGGCTGGAGCGGCGGGCGGGGCGACCCCGCGCAGCCCTACCACCACACGGCCATGGTGGAGGCCATACAGCGGGCGGCGCCGGCACTGGAGGTGGGGGGAGGGGATGAAGATAACCACTGGCAATGGAGGTGGGGGGGGGGAGGATAACCACTGGCAATGGAGGTGGGGGGGGGGAGGATAACCGCTGGCAATGGAGGTGGGGGGGTAAAGAGGAAACAACTAACTGACTGAGGGATAAGGCGTCAACATGGAGGTGGGGGGGGAAGGATAACCGCTGGCAATGGAGGTGGGGGGGGGGGGTACGAGGAAGGATTTGGTGGCGCAGTGTAATCCCAATTCCATGGCCCCGCGACCCTCATGCAGTGCGCGTAAAGGCGATGGGCACGCGAGGACGCGCGAGGCGGAGCCGTAGTAACCTCTGTTCCGTCCGCATGTGGCACCCACGTTTGTCGTACGACTTCCCTTCCCCAACCACCACAGGCCTCTGGCAGGGTGCTGCAGCTCCAGCGGTCGCTGCTGCAGGTGGGCGGGAGGGGGAGGGGGGGTTGGAAGTGCTGGATTGGGAAAGGGGGCAGAGGTGGGCTGGCTTGGGGATTGCAACTGCTATACTGCGGCCCAGTAATGGTGGTTGGGTTGGGTATTGCGAGATCTATTAGGCGACGATGCACATGGATCTGCGGCCTGGTATGAGAGAGCTATAAGGGAGCCACATGGGAAGCATTTGTTTTATTTTCCTTTGCCCCTCCCCAGCCTCTCCCTCCTCCACCTCCGCCCTCCCTCACCCCTTTACCCGCCCCCCCCCCCAGGCCGCCATAGCGGTTCAGGACCACTCCGCGGTCTTCGAGCTCAGTCGCGTGTTCAGCAGCGCTGCGCAGGAACTCAAAGTACTGCAGGTGGGTGTGCACGGCATGACGGATGTACGGCAGCGTGTGTGTGTATGCCGTACAGCGGTGTACACACATATATAGTAACAGCAGCCCTAGCCTCCTCTCCGTCATCTCTCCCTTCCCTCATCCCTCGCCCACCTTCTCCCCCACACACGCCCATCTTTCTTTCCCCCTTCCCCTACCTCCTCCCTCTCCCTCCTCCCTCTCCCCTCCAGGAGCAGCACCTGGCGCTGCTGGACTTGCTGTCCCCCGAGCAGCAGCAGCTGGGCGGGCTGCGGGGCAAGCTGGACAACGAGCGGGTGCGGAGGCTGTTCCTGCTGTACGTGCAGGTGGGTGCCGGTACGGCAGCGGCCCAGTAGTAATTCAATATATTACCGGTAACTCGCACGCGTGCCACCCCACCCCTCCCAAAGCCCTTCCCTTCACCCACGCTCCTAAACCCCTCCCTCCAAGTGCTCGCCCTTCCCTTCCCTTCCCTCCCCGCCCCCCTAGCGCCTCCGTGCCGCGCTGACCAGCCCCCGCTACAACTACTTCTCCGGCCTGGCTGCCGCGGTGCCGGGAGTGCTGGCGGAGCTGAGGGAGGAGGTGCTGTCCAGCTTCCGACTCAACAAGCGGTGGGGAGGGAGCCGATGGGGGGAAGGGGTCTAGGAAGGGTGCAGGGAAAAGGTGAGGGTCCAGGGAGGAACGAGCCTAAGGGGTCTCTTCTGTGTTCCGCCCGCCTCCTTCTGCTGAGTTGCTCCCCTGTCCCACCTTCCTCACGACCCTCGCCCCGCCTCTCTCACCCCTTCCTCCCTCCCCCCACCTCCTCCCCCTGCTTTCCCCCAGCATGCTTGCTCTGATGCAGCAGCTGGCCGTGTGGACCCACAGCTGCGAGATGAGTGTGGCGGCGGCGGTGCATGAGGGGCTGGGGGAGCTGGGGGGACTCAGGAAGCCGGCAGGGGGGGCGGGAGGGGCAGGGGGGGCAGGAGGGGCAGGGGGGGCGGGTGGGGCAGGGGCAGCAGCGGGCGGAGCTGGGGCTGGGGTTGGGAGTGGTCCCCTGCCCCGCACCGCTTGGGATGATTGAGGTATGTGGGGTAAAAAGAGGAAACGAAAGAGCTATATGACGAGGCGATGATTGATTGAGGGGGTGGGGGTAGTAAGGAGTGTTGGGTGTTCATCATGTACATATGTGTGTTTGTTGTTTCGCTGGGTGAGGGTGAGGTGCTCACATGGTTGCATTCCTGTTTGTCATGTACTGCACGTGTTGCTACTTGCTAGGTAGGTGGTTAGGTAGGTGGTTAGGCAGGGTTTTTTTCCGATGTGGACTGTTACAGAGGAAGGACAGGAAGACAGGTGGTTAGGTGGAAGAATAAGTATGTCGTGTCAGGCAGCTTCACAGGTGGAACGGAACAGCTCAGTCCTGCCAGTGCAGTTCTGCCACTACAGCCACCGGCAGTGATGATGGGATTACGAAAGTGTAGGGAATCCTATCTTTCACTGTCTGCCCGAGCAAGAGCTGCAGCCACAGAGCGTGTCTTGACAGTTCAGCCCTCTTACCTTCATGCTATATGACCACTCCGATCAAATCCGACACCCTACTTCTTTTGTAATTCTTCTCCCCAACTCTCATTCTAACCAAACCAACAATTGTTTAGGGTGCCGAGGTCGCGCAGTGCGCAGATCCTCAGCCTTTCAAAAATTAAGCCCTGCCGGACACCCGAAGGGCCGACCACGGAAGGCCCTCGCAGAGTGCAAGGCGAAGTCCAACCGAGTAACCGAGGCCAACTTGACCACCTCGAGAAACGGGCCAGGTAAGTATGAATATAACAGAGCCGGGCAGTCAGCCATACCTACCTGCCCTGTCACCCCTGCTTTCCCAACGCCGATGGTGGGTCGCCTTTATAGAGGGTCGCATTGCATACCAATCACCCCTAGCGGACGTGTGGCATCTTGGAGGAAGGCGGGGCGCGAAAATACGGGTATGTCTTGAAGTATCGGCCTGTGTGAGAGAGAGAGAGGGGCCTGTGGTGCTCGTAGGGACAGCGACACGTTGGGCTATGTAACTCTCTCAACCTGCAAACCTACCTCCGGCGGAAACCATCCGAGTGCACAGCCTCAAGAGCGCCATACAAATGGCTATTGCAGGGTATGAGTGGTTCGGGAAGGAGCGCTAAGGTGCTGGGCTTTTATTGACAGTCGCTGTCGCAACACCCTGGTGCAAACATGCGACATGGGATGCGAGGAGAGAAGATACAAGTGTGCTAGAAGCGCCATGGCATAAGAATCCAGGGCCGGCAATAACGGCATGTCGCGGGGCAGCTCTATCTACGAGCTCAATGCTGCCCATGAGCACTTGGCAGTCCAAGCGCAGCCAAATTTGTGCTAAGGAATGTAAGGCAAAGATGACTGCAAGACTACAGTACACAACGTAGTGGAATAGTGCTGCCTTGGCCGAGGACTGGTCGACGTGGCCGTATATTCTGTATGTCCTGCACGCCTGGAACCTAAGCCTCACAGATTAGTCAGCACAAAACGAGGACCCAGTTCATCTTGGTAAGACTGTCCAGCCGTGTAGGGTTCTTCGTCGATGCTCAGTGGCTCATGGGTCATGGCTCAGTACAAGATTTTTTGCGTACGAACTGCATGGACGTCTCCCACGTAAACCAAACGCCACCATGCCTGCAAACATAGCGCTTTTGAAACAAGGGACCCGCATCATTGAGAAACGACTTTGCTTATGCTTATCACCTCCAGATGCGAATACCGCAACCCTGTAACATGCCACTGGACTCCTGACGCCTTACCTGACCCTACGCCAGTGACCTTTCAAGAGAACTTGTAAAGCTTTTTTAAGCGTGTTGCTAATGTTAGGCTGGATCTTAATGTTTCCCTTAACGCGGAAGTTAGGGGTCGTTCATGGTCCGACCAGTGCGTCGGTGCCCGCTTGGCGTGTCATTCTACTTACGTGGATCCTTGTAAACGGTAGGTTGCAAATACAGTCTGGTTATTCTCACTCTGTGCGGTTGGGAACACCAGCTTTACGCTTGCAACCTCATACCATGTATACTTTCTGGATTGGTCAGGTCATATGGCTATGGCTGCCCAGATGACGGTAAGAGACCTGAAACCACGGGCTAGCGGAGTAGCGGGTGGCATCCTCGCCATGGAGAAGTTGGTCACGGAGACGCGGCCAATGCCCTACGCTGGATGCGACTACTGGCAGCTACCCCAGTCCTCCATTGACGCAGCAGAAGAATGCGCGACCCCAGAGGACGGGTAAGGGCCGTGCCGTCCCTGATGTTGTGACATACAGCCGGGAATGTCATGGCCATCACACATTCACCACCCTCCCACTCCGCTCCTAGACGTCCCGAAAGCACTTGACGTCGACGCAAATCTTTCATCGCAATCACCCGACCATGTCACGGGGGCCCGTCTCCTCTTCTCCCTCCCCTTCTTCCTCTCCTAGCAGGCAAGGATACCTGCTGTTTGAATTTTGGCGCATGGACAATGCCACAGCCGTGGACACGCGTTTGGTGCGCAATGTTTACTTCATGGTAGCTCGCGGCGCGCAGCCCATTGTAAGTGGCGGCAGGCACTGTTTCCCATGGAGCCTGTGTAAGGAAAAGCGGGTCTGGGTGGGCTAAGCTTGGCGTAAAGGTGGTGGTTGGCGACGGAGGAGGATGCCACTTTGGGGGTTTTCGGCAAGGAAGAGGCGGGGTGTGGTAGGGGACCTGTGATGGGGGGGTGACGGAGTACGATGCAGCATCCAGCCCCAGCTTAGCGAGCGGGAACCTGGCAGCGTGGCGTGGGCGCAGGGCGTGTGAATGGAGGATGCCACGAGGGAGGATGCCATGAGAAATCTCGGGTAGCAGCAGGTGGCCCACCCAATCAGCAAAAAGGGAACCGTAGGGCCCGCAGGCTCCAAACCCGCCCACACCCACTCCTGCTCCCGCCCACTCTCCCCTACCCCTCCCCCCCAGCTGAGTTTAGCCTGCTTGCCCTCGCGCACCAACTGCACGCTGTTGGCTCGGCCGGACTGGGTGGATGCTCCGCAGTCCACTCAGGCGGGCGTGCGCTGGGACGATGAGGCCATCTGGCGCCAGCGGGCACACCAGCGAATCATCGTGCCGCGCAACACCAGCAGCAGCTCAACACTGGGCGGCTGGTAGGGGAGGGTGGGTGTAGAGGAGTGGAGGGTAGGGTGTAGGATAGGGTGCGGCAGCTGGTGAAGGCAGGGCAGGGTTAGGGTGGGGAAGCTGGGCGGTGCCGCAGCCTTCCTCTGCGCACGACGGAACGAGGAGGGTGTTGAGTGTTAGGTGGGGTCCTGCGGCATGACTTACCCCCTCCCCTCCATGGTGAAGCCTATATGTCACGCAGCTCCCTAACTAGCCTCGTCAGTTTCCTTGTTTTTACCCCTCATGCTCCCGCCCTCCTCCTGCCTCTCCCGTCTCCCCCCAAAAAAGGTACGCCTCGGTGTGTAGTTTGACCGACGTGGACTTCGACCTGCGAGCCTACTCGCTGCGGGTCAGCTGCGTCACCCCGGCCTCCGCGCCCTGCCCGCGACCCTCGCCGCTGGACCCGACGCCATGCAGCGGGCAGGGAGCGTGCGTGGAGCCGCAGCAGGTGTTGAGGGCGGGGGGAGGTGCTGTGTGTAGGGGTGCCTCGAAACTGGCTGTTGAAGTACATGAAGGGTTAGTACGGTATAAGGGATTGGGGAAGGGTGAGGTGTGGGGAAGGGTTGGAGGGGACATTGAAACCGTATGCCTAACCCTCCACCACCACCGCCCTGTATCCCCTGCCCTCAACCGATAGCCTCTCCTCAACCACCGCCCTTCTCCCATGCTCCCCTCCTCGCCCCCCAGGACCCCTCCTCCGACCTGCTCCCCGCCCTCAACCGCGTCTGCTCCTGCAACCCGGGTTTCGCCGACTACGGCTGCAACATGCGCGTACCGCAGCTAGACGGCAGCCTGCTCGCCGGCCACAGCGCGAGTGCCGTCGTCAAACCCGGCGCATGGGCTTACTGGCAGGTGCAGGTACCCCTCCCCGCCACCACCACCACCAACACCAAACCGACGTTAGTCGTGGAGCTCAGTCGTACGGGCTACTTCGGAGCGTACGGTGTCGTACCGGAGCAAGCGGGTCGTACCACCGCGCTGCCCGCCAACCCGCAGTACGGCGGCAACCCGGTTTTGATCGTGATGCCGAAGGACGACTCCGCGCCCTTTCGACTTCCCTGGTTTGAAGACGTGCGTGCGAACGCCGACCTAGCGTCGTACATGCTCCAACAGAACCTACACTACCGCGTCATTCGCAGCATGAGCGCGTCCAACACTAGCACTGCAGTCACGAGCAACAGCAGCAATGACGGTGGCGGTGCTGACGGGGATCAGGTGGCCGAGTTCTATGTGGCCGTGTATAATGACATTAACGTGAACGATGACGTTATTGCAGCCACTCCGACGGAGGCCAACGTGACCGTACGGGTGAGGGGGCTGGAGAGGGTGGGTGAGGGGGGGTCCTGGGGTGGAGAGGCGAGTGAGTAGGGCGACAGGTACAGGCGACGATTGGGTTGGGGGTTTGAGGTATGGTATAAGATGTTGGGTAGGTTGGGTAGAGGAGGTTAGAGTGCAAACGCATGTAGGAGAGAGGTCTGGTCTGGGAGGAGGTGGAGGTGGAGGAGAAGGAGACGGGGTCGCCTTCACAGCTACACACGACACAGCATGCGATGTGAACAGGCCTGGCACCCCTCTGCTCCGCACGGCCGCCGACCTGCACGCTCTCTCTGCAATGCACACACGAACGGCCACCCCATCCTGCACCAACCACCCCCCCCCCACCTCCGCCCCCTTCTGTGTTCCCGCACCTGCACCCGACACCCGCACCCACCCCCACAGGTGCGGTGGCAGACCGGCTCTCTGCCCGCCTCCTGGCGCACCCCGCTGTGCCCCGCCGACTGCAACGGGCGGGGCCGCTGCTGGGACCCCTGGGACCCCGCCACCCGGGCCATCCTGCCGCGCCCGCTGCTGCCGCTGAGCACCACACCGGACTTTATGTGCGCGTGTGAGACAGGTGAGGCAGCAGCAGGAGGGGGAGGGGATGAAATCAATTGAGAAGTGAAGCAGCTGAAGTCTCAATCCCGTATCCCGGCTCATGCAGTGGGCGCATACGGAGATGAGGGGAGGGGACCCAGGGGAGGGGGTAGGGATCAGGCAGGTGCCAGCAGGGGGGAGGGTTAAGAGGAAGAAGCTACCGGCAACCGAGTACGACGTGGTGGCGCCACCATGGGTTGCATGCTTGCATGGTGACGGAGGGGTGGTTAAGGTGTCGCGCAAGGAGGATGCAAGAGCACTGCTGCGAACAACCCCATTCTCCCTCCCTCTTCCACCACCCCCACCCCACCTCACACCCCCACCCAGTCAACACATTGCGCTTCCTTCTTCACCCACCCCCACCCTATCCCCCTTGCTTTGCCCTAGCCTGTGGCTTTTCCTACGGTTTGGTATGGCCTTTCCTTACCCCCCCCACCTCCACACACGCAGGCTGGGGCGGCTACCTGTGTGAGGGGCGGCTGGTGAACGGCACCCTGGCTGCGGGCGGCTCCGACCTGAGCCAGGCGGGCTCGCTGGACCCGGGGCAGTGGTACTACTTTGCCATCACGCCCGACCCCGACCACTTCAGCTCCAAGACGGACAGCATCACCTTCCAATGGGGGATCAGCAGCAGCAACAGCGGCGGCGGCAGCAGCAGCAGCCTGAGCAGCAGCAGCAGCGACTGGGGGACGAATGCGGTGCTGACGATGCCCAGACAGTCCTTTTTGCCCCAGACGACGGCCGGCAGTGCGGATGTGGTGAGGCTGGGAGCGATGGGGGAGGGGGTGGGGGCGGTGTTGCTGCTGGTGAGGGGGCGGCCAGGTGCTGGAGAATTGTGAACTTGTTGCCTGGTGATAGATGTCTGTGAGCTCGTGGGGCATATGCTTGCTTCGGCCTCCCTCTCTTCCTCCCCCCCCGCCTCCATTGTTTTTTAATCCACCCCCCCTGTTGACTCTGCGCTCCCCGCCTTCCCTCCCCCCTCTCCCGTATGACTACCACGCAATTCAATAGTACAATCCAGCTTACCGGTATTACGTGCTTTTTCAACCTCTATAAACATGTACTCCCCCCTCCCGCCTTTCAGTTGACGTACAACGACCTGCTGGACGCCAACCACCGGGCCTTCCCCCTGCAGCTGCTGCGCGCGCAGTCGGGTGCCACCTACGTGCTGGGGATATACAACAGCGACTACCGCTTCCAGGTATACACGTTGCGTAGTCTTTGCATTAGTCATGTTACGTAACTGTGTATACCGGTACAAGTATACGACACGTCATGTAACTTTGCATTAGACATGTTCGTATGTTTACATTATGCATGCGGGAGTGTAAAGGGTGCCTGCGGAGTAAAGGGAAGAAGAAGGAGAAAAAGACCAAGAAGTTGTTTGTGGAGAGTACTGCCCGAAGGAAGGAGGCCGCAGGAAGGACACAGTAGGCATGTGTTTGACCTTCCCCTTCGCCCTCTCTCCCCCCTCACCCCTTCCCCCCTAACTCCGCCCCCCCCCCCCGCCCATGCAGTCCTCCTTTTACTTCTCGCTGGTCGTCTCAGTTCCCTTCACCACCCGCAACTGGCTGAAGCCCTACATGTCGGTGGCGCTGGGGGTCACCGCCGCCATCTGCCTGTGCCTGGGCCTCACCATGTGCCGCAGATTCGTGCAGCGCTTCGGCTGGGGTACGCTGCTGCCGCGGGGGGGAGGGCCGCCGCAGGGGGCAGCGGGCGGGCTGGGTGGGGCCGACCCCGCTGGCCGTGCGCAGGTGGGCGGGTGACAGGGTGTGGGAGGTGGAGAAGGGGTAGAGGGGTAGTAGGGGGCTTGTTGGGCGCTGGAATGGGGTTGTGCTGGAAGGGAATGTTAGGATGGGGTTAATTTGGAAACAGAATCCGCATTACGCTGGATAGTTGGGGTAGCAAATTAGGATGGGGTGCGGGGAGATGAAATGGCACGGGTACATAGGTGCCTGCCTAATGCGTTATGTCCTATCCTGTCTGTTGACGCAAGAAGGTTTGCGCGCATGCATCACCAGCTCTCCTCCCCTAATATCCACTGTCCCTCACCTCTGCCCCCTTCACCAACTCCCACTCCAATCTTCCCCTCCCTCCCCCTTTCCCCTTTCCCCTTTCCCCCCAGCTTGCCCGTGTGCCCAACCGCAGCCAGGGCGTACCTCGCCACGTCATCGACTCCCTCCTCACCTACCAGTTCCATGCAGCAGCAGCAGCAGCAGCTGGAGGCACCCCTCAGCAGGGGCCCCCTGACAGCGCCAAGCGGCGAATATCCCGCAGCAATACCAGCAACAGCCGTCGTGGTGGTGGCGGTGGTGGTGTCAGCGAGGAAGAGGCAGGTGGTGCTACCGCTGCTACCGCTGCTGCTGCGTCTCCAGGGCAAGAGCTGCAGCAGGGACAGGGGGCGCGGGTGGTATCGCGGCCGTCCAGTTTGCGGCGGCAGGGGAGCTCCAGGGGAGCAGCAGCGGCTGCTGCTGCTGCTGCTGCTGCGGCGGCTCAGGCCCAGGCGGGGGCGGCAGCTCAGGAGGCATCAGCAGCAGCAGCTGCATGTACAGCTACGTGTAGAAGCGGAGGCGGAGGTGGTGCGGTGGAGTTGACGGTGCTTGCACCAGGGTCGGCGGCAACAATGCCGTACGGCAGCGCCGACGTTGCCAACGGCATAAACCCGCTGTTCATGGCATCATCAGGGGTTGCTGGAGTAGCAGCAGCTGAGGGCGGCTCAGCAGCGGCAGTAGCAGCAGCGGGTGCTGGGGGCAGTGGCAGTGGCAGCAGCGATGGCGAGGGGGCGGACGAGGGGCCGCAGTGCACCGTGTGTCTGTGCGAGTATGAGGAGGGGGAGCGCATCGCCAGGCTGCCATGCAAGCATGAGTTCCACTTCTCATGCATCAGCAAGTGAGTTAACGGGTTACTAGTTAGTTAACAACCACAAGCTACTTGAGGCACCGTAAGACCTTGCTTTTCTTCCCCCCCTTCCCTTCCCTCCCCTCCTCCCGCCTCCCTCCCCCTCCCAAGGTGGCTCCGCACGCACACCACCTGCCCCGTCTGCCGCATCTCCCTGCTGCCCGACCAGCCCAGCGGCCCGCCAGACCCTGAGCTGGGGCTGCTGGGGCCGGGAGCCGGGGAGCCGCCGGGGCAGGAGGGCGCCGCAGCCGTAGCCTCACAGGAGGGGCATCCGGGCGGGGAGCAGCAGCACCCGCAGCAGCACCCGCCACTCGCCGGCGCTGCCAACCAGTTGGCTGGCGCTGCTACTGAGGTCCCAGTCGCCTCCGGCTTTGCTGAGGGGACAGGTGTGCAGCCGCACCCTCGGCCGCAGCCAGCCGCCCTGCCGCCCTCCTCGCAGCAGCAGCAGCAGGAGGGTACACTCGCAACAACAGCACAACCAGCAGCAGCAGCAGCCGTTGCAGGCATTGGTCGGGGGAGGAACCCACCACCCAGTGCCGCATGACCCACATGAGGCCTTGCGGACGGCGGCAGCAGCGGTTGAGCGGGTGGCGCGAGCTCCTGACCGGTGATAGAAGCCAGCTGTCGGTCTGCGAGTGGGAGACGGAGTCCGCAGCCCCCACGGCGACGTCGGTTGGTAGGGGTGTTGGGAGCTGCTGAGTCGGCTTGTGCCGTACGTGTGGGTTCCCATGAGACATCGTCGCCAATCTCACCATGGCTGTTGTAGCGGCTAGGCTTCTTTGCGGCTAGGCTGTCGGTACCCCAGCGACGGCGATGGGGTGTGGGCGTTGGTACAAGGGGCGATGACCGGTATGGTAGTGGTGGTGGTGGTGGTGGTGGTGGTGGCGGCTTAGCGGGTGTGCTTCCGGCACAGGAGGTCTCCGGCATGGGAGGCTTCCCGAGGTTTGGCCCTTGTCAAGATGTAAATCGTTTCTTTATGTGACCAACTGAGGGCATCGTTCCTGGGGTTCTACCTGCGGTGGGTTTGCTGCTGCTGCTGTGCTGCACTTGTTGACCTATGTGCGGCTTCGCACCGGGCTGGTTGGCCGGATGGGAGCCCCCACCCCAGTTTGCACCAGTTAGCAACCCATGGAGGAGCCCCGTCATCCAGTTTGTCAGTGTTTCTTTATTTTTACCCCAGTTTGCCACTATATATCCAGAAGACCCGGTGGGTGTCGGCAACTACTTCTAAGCAAACAGTTGGGGGTAAAGCCCTTCTTACCCGCCGTCCTCTCCTCCCCTCTACTTGTGTGCGGAGGAGGCATGGGTCACCATGAGTCATCATGATTCGCTGTGATCGCAGGTTTGATGGTTTGGTTCGTCCCACGGGACTCAGCGCAGCGCGCCAGCAGTGGCACCTTCATGGGCATACCTACATATGTTGTCAGGACACACGCATTGGTGTTGGGTACAGAGGCGATGTGTTGGCGCTGTGTTAAAATAACTGGCCGCGAGGCGTGTGGGGTGTGAGGTGTGTGTTGGCGCTGTATTAAAATAACTGGCCGCGCTGTGTGTGTGCTTTCTGCTTTGTGTTGCGGTGCGCTAGCTTTTGTGCGCTTCGGCGGATTCCATGCCACGCAGCCATCACGCGCTGCGGGGGCGGAATGAAGCTGACGCCGGGATTTGCGGCTTTCGCGCGTGGGGTACTATTATGCGCACAGTTAGGTTTTCGCACCCCAGTAGGTCTGAGTGACATGTAGAGTATTGAGCAGGTGCACGTGGCTGGTGGGGATTGCTGAAGAACGTTGGAAGAAGTATGGGATATCGGCTGTCGGAAGGCTGGGTGCTTGGGAGCTGCATCAATTCCTGGGAGCATCTTGGGAGGCCGCGCCCTCCTGGCCTCACACGCCGGTGGACAGGATACCGGTTGTACGATTAAGACTCCTTATGGAATTGCACATGAAGGGCAGTGTATATGGGAAGGGTCCCTTTTTGAGGGAAAGACCGAAGGCGGTCAATACAGCTTCCAGTAATGTACGGAGGAATGCGGCAGGAAGGGGGCTTCCCTTTGAGGTGGGGCGGGGCAGGCTGCTGGTGGTTGTGACCCCGGGAAGACCATACCGTACAATCGAGGTGGCCAGTGGACAGCTTGCCACACACATGTGTGGTAGCCTAGTACAGGTGGGTTTACGTGGCGACCTCACTGACGGTGTATGCCTACGTGTTGGCCGCTATGTGGGGTCAAACGCTATGTGTGTGTGCGAAATGAACTTGGCGCATGGACAGGGGTGGAACGTATCCTGGATTCCCGGTAGTCATCTGAGAGGATGAGGGAGCAAGACACATGCGTACGGCGCTGAGGGTTTGTACGACAAGCGGTTAGATTAGGTTAGCATGTGTCGTGAGCTTGTGACGCTCCCTAGCAATCCGCAGGTGGATGGAAGGGACACCGTCTTGCCTTGGGAAACAAGGGCGGTACAGCGTTGGGAATGTGGGCTTGAGGTTTCAATCCTACCGGTGTTGATAAGGTACGAACGGGTGGCGCAACGGCGAGAGGACGCGTGAATTGCGCTGTACTGCTGTCTAGGAGGGACATGTAGGGAAATGGGCGGTAGGGGATTTGGGCTAACGACCAAAGATCACTGCATGCGTGTGCTGTTCTAGCTCTACATGTCAAGCAACGGATGAGGCTGCAAGCAAGACCTGTTGCTGTATTGAGGGCTCCATGCGATCCATTACCCTTGCGAATTGTGGTTCGTTGTATCGCATTCGGCGAATGTCACCGGTGGCGCCAAGGGGTTCCGGGTTGCTGTCAACTACAACGAGATGCTTACGGTTTTCAGTGTTCACGCATGTTGCGAGCGAGCGAGCGTTGCGAGTCAAAGTGGAGTACTTGCAACAATGAGCTGCGCAGTTTGCGGTATAGTGCAATGCCACCAGCCAAGCAAAGCAAGCAGTCCGAAGGCTGAGGACATCTTAATGCAGCAGCAGCGCAGCAACCATATATGGCTGCCCTAACCACACACGAGGACAAGATGGCACGTAGCTTTGACATAAGTTCATAAGCTTCAGGAGACACGTCCATATGCGAGTCCTTTCTCATTTCCCATTTCGTCACCGTCGCGGAGCTGGCGGGTGGTGGACCCAGAAGAAAAATGGTTATCTGATAAAATGGTTTCGCCATAAACCAACGAAAACGGAACGACATGTTCCTTCCTGGGTCGGAATCGGTTAGTAAACGTTCCATCATTACGAGCCGCGCGCTTCTGGCTAGCTACCATTACGAACCACGCATGCTCGCAGTAGCGTACTGCCAGCATAGTGATATATAAAGTCCATGAATCAAGTCAAACTATAAGCATGACCATAGGTTTCTCGGTTTCTTAGGTCGGACCACTTAAGTTGTCCTCCTTACTAAGGAAACGAAACCACTTGCGGGGTGGCAACGGTCCATACTAAGCGAGATTATACCTGCACTAACGCTGTTAAAATGACGCGAGGCATGCTTGCCGTCGCCATTTTAGCGTTGTCAATCTCTGCGGCATGCTGCAGTGCGGCAGGTATATCGGGCAACGACTGCAAGCTTTCGGGCCGCCCGGATGACGTTCTGTGTAAAGCATTTCTTTGTTTTCGCAACGGCTTTTCCTTGTGACTTCACCTGCTCCAACCTGTGTTGTCCGCAGATGTAGTTTCTAGCCCGAAGCTGGCACTTCCACCTACCAACGAAAAGAGCCGCTCGCCCAAGGCTAGCCCGTCTCCATCTCCAAGCCCCTCGCCCAAGGCTAGCCCATCTCCGTCACCCAGCCCCTCGCCCAAGGCTAGCCCGTCTCCGTCACCCAGCCCCTCGCCCAAGGCTAGCCCGTCCCCCTCGCCCAAGGCCAGCCCGTCCCCCTCGCCCAAGGCCAGCCCGTCCCCCTCGCCCAAGGCCAGCCCGTCCCCCTCGCCCAAGGCCAGCCCGTCCCCCTCGCCCAAGGCCAGCCCGTCCCCCTCGCCCAAGGCTAGCCCGTCTCCGTCACCCAGCCCCTCGCCCAAGGATAGCCCTGCCGTGAACGGGTCCTCTCCCTCCCCTTCCAGGCCTACTCGCGGCCGGCACCTCTGTAAGTGGACTCCAATTTCGGGCCCGCCTGCCTTTGCTTCTGTTGAAACAGGGCTCTTTAGCTGTCTGCAATGGCATGCATGTGCGCGCAGTACGCTTTGGTCGTGCCAGTGCGTTACTTGTTAGGGTAAAGTAACTTGCATAGCTCGCCGTTTTCTTGAGCATGTGTGCAGCATGTGAAGGACCTTCGGCCCCGCTTCACTTCCCAGCTGCTTCGATATCCCCTAACCCCCCTGCTGCATCCATGCCCGGCTTGATCCCATTCCTGCTGGCGCAGTAATCTCCTTGTCGCCGCCTTCACCCAAGGCCGGCCGGTCTCCGTCGCCCAGCCCCTCGCCTTCGCCTAGGGCCGGCCGATCTCCGTCGCCCAGCCCCTCGCCTTCACCCAAGGCTAGCCCGTCTCCGTCGCCCAGCCCCTCGCCTTCTCCTAGGGCCGGCCGGTCTCCGTCGCCCAGCCCCTCGCCTTCACCCAAGGCTAGCCCGTCTCCGTCGCCCAGCCCCTCGCCTTCGCCTAGGGCCGGCCGGTCTCCGTCGCCCAGTCCCTCGCCTTCACCCAAGGCTAGCCCGTCTCCGTCGCCCAGCCCCTCGCCTTCGCCTAGGGCCGGCCGGTCTCCGTCGCCCAGCCCCTCGCCTTCACCCAAGGCTAGCCCGTCTCCGTCACCCAGCCCCTCGCCTTCACCCAAGGCCGGCCGGTCTCCGTCGCCCAGCCCCTCGCCCAAGGCTAGCCCGTCTCCCTCCCCTAAGGCCAGCCCGGTTAACGGGCGTCACCTGCGTAAGTCCGGGTGTCCGGGTGTAAATTGCGTTTCTCGGTAAACTCGGGCGGCGCACTGCAATAGCACACAGCTCGAGGGAAGCAACCGCTTATGGCTCACACTCGCTGCATGCGGTAATCAACTTATTTACCTTAGCTTGTGGTCTGAGCTCTCCCGTCCAGCTTTGTGCACTTGCACAACTCGCTTATGTCATCCTAGGTAGCTACGGGCTGTGTGTCTAACTCTGGATGCACTCCTGTGTTTCGCAGTGACCACCACCACCACCAAGTCCCCTAGCCCGGCGCCATCTCCCAAGAAGAGCCCTGGCAAGTCAAAGCCCAAGCTTCACAAGCCGCCTCTGCCGATTAAATAAAGCACCATCGAGCACTCCCCCCTGTGAGCAACATGAGAGCCACGAGTTATTTTGCGTGTTGCCAAAACTGGCCACGAAATGGAGTGTTGTGTGTGCGAGATGCGCTGTATGTGGTTGTCTGTGGTTGTCTGCGTTCGTAGAGTTACGTTTGTACGCCGAGTTCGTACATAGCGTTCGTAGCGACCTTTATGTTCGCCGTTTCCTTCTGTCTTACCTATGTCAACGTTCCGGCGACCGTGCTTGCGCGGCCTGCTCGTCAGGCTTGCCCCGGCACTTAACTTACTGGGCTTCGTACGGTACCTGTTGCATTACTTACTATATATAGATTATTACGGTTAACAATGTACCGTTGAACTGCATTACTGCTGCTGCAATGCTGCTTAGTTGGTTGTTGGACACTGCAGACTGTTGCAACACCACGATGTGATCTTTGTCCGTAGATTGTCTTGGCCGTTTCCACTAGATTGATGGAATAGATGTTTGCTTTGCTCAACTGTTCTTCGTCTTTAGTACAGATATGTGCCGTGTTGGGACAGGACATCTTGGATTCGAACGTGTCTTATATGTGAGTTCCAAATCGTTGCTGTACGGCTTAGGATTGTATGTTGTACGATGTAGAGGATACGGTCACGGCCACGCGGCGAATCCCTGTGTAATGCGGCAGGCGGTTACCCACCGCTGGCGTGCGACAGCTAGGGTCGCTCTGTGCATTTGAGAAGTGCACACAGCGCTCCGTTTATCATGTAAGGCTTGTCGTTCCGAATCAAATATTCAACGAAGGTTAGTATCAAGATATGGAAGACGGCCAGACCGTAGAATTAAGCGGAATGCCCATGTCCTGCACCCAAGCCCAGCCCTCAACCCATCCCAGTTCAGCCCCAAAGCCCCGCTTCCACCCCGCCTGCTCCCAACCTGGCGCCCAGCCCTGCGCTCCAGGCCCCTCCTGCACCCAAGCTTGGCCCGCCGCCCCAGCCTACTCCCGCTGCCATGCGCTTCCAGAGAATAAGCTGCGTAAGCTGGTCGGAATTGGTGGGTTTAGCAGGCTGGTTTGCCTGCACCTCCTTCCGCGTTCCCATGCATGCAGCCATACCCAACCATAGATGGCTACCCTAACCACACATGAGGAACAGATGGCACGCAACTTTATATGAAATAAGGTCATTAAGGGCTTGTTTGCATTCATGTTTCATGAGTCGAATTTAGCTTACATGGAAAACAATCCGGAAATGCACAGAGTTAGCTAGCTAAGAGCTTGGACCTTTGTGCTGCGTTAGACTATACTTGCTGGTCGATCGTAATTGGTATGCGTAGTCCTGTTATTCCTAGTAAGAACGTGATGATATACCGGTAGGTGAGTTGAGAAAGCACTCGGTAGCCTCGTTAAAGCATTCCATTTAAGTGAAAAGAGCACCATAGCAGCTTCGAGAAACGTCTCAGTCATACCCAAAAGGGCGATGCTTCATCTTTCTTTCCGACATCGTACACTAAATCACCGAAGGCTCACATACTCTCGCTTAACTCCGGCCTAGTACCGATTTAAGGCTCGTTGAATTAATCGCACCAACCTTGACTGGAAACAGGCTCTAGGCTGCAGGAGCTGCACTTTTGCTTTTCTCATTTCGTCATCGCCAGTAAGCTGGCGGATGGCGAATTCCGTTCCCAGATAAATATAGTTGGACTAAGAAATGGTTTTGCGATAAACCATGGAAAACGGAACGAAGTTTCCGTTCCTGGATCGCCGTCAGTTAGCCAACCAACATTTATTACGAATCGCATGATTCGGGCTAGCTACCATTACGAATCACCCAGGCTCCCAGTAGCGTACTGCCAGCATAGGGATTACATATATAACGTCCAATAACCACGTCAAACTATAGTAGTTCCCTCGGATTCTTAGCTTAGACAACTTGACAGCAGCTCGTCTTCCTTAAATAAGGAAACGAAACCATTTGCTGTGAGGCAGCAGCCCCTCACAAGTAAGCCTACACCTGCACCAACGCTGCTAAAATGACACGACGCATTCTTGCCATCGCCGTCTTAATGTTGTCCATCTCGGCGGCATGCTGCAGTGCGACAGGTAAACAGGGCCACGATTGCGAGCTTTCATTGCGCATACGGCGCTCCGTGTAAACCATAATATTTGCTTTCGCAACGACGTTTCCATGTGACATCATTCCTTTAACATGTAATGTCCGCAGGTGCAGCTTCTAGCCCGAAGCTGGCCCCTCCTCCTACCAACGGAACAAGCCCAGCGCATACAACAAGCCCTGCACCCTCACCCAGCCCCTCTCCCAGGGCTAGACCTTCTTCATCTCCAAGCCCCTCGCCCAAGGCTAACCCTTCTCCCTCGCCCAAGGCTAGCCCTTCTCCCTCGCCCAAGGCTAGCCCTTCTCCCTCACCCAAGGCTAGCCCGTCCCCCTCGCCCAAGGCCAGCCCGTCCCCCTCGCCCAAGGCCAGCCCGTCCCCCTCGCCCAAGGCCAGCCCGTCCCCCTCGCCCAAGGCTAGCCCGTCCCCCTCGCCCAAGGCCAGCCCGTCCCCCTCGCCCAAGGCCAGCCCGTCCCCCTCGCCCAAGGCTAGCCCGTCCCCCTCACCCAAGGCTAGCCCGTCCCCCTCACCCAAGGCCAGCCCATCTCCAACTCCAAGCCCCTCGCCCAAGGCTAGCCCTGCCGTTAACGGATCCTCTCCCACGAAGCCTGCAAGCGGCCGGCGTCTCTGTAAGTGGGCTGCGAAATTGGACCCGGCCGAGGCTCCTGTTGAAACCCGGGCTCTTTAGCTGCTTGCCATGTGGTATTCGTGTAGACACTAATGGTATCACCCGTCGTTATCGTAGCCATGCCATACTAGCATGCATGCGCCTTCAACTCCAGCAGAATTGCATTTCCATGCACGCTGTGCCAGCAGTAAGCTTTGGTTGTGCCAATGCTTTATTCCTTGTTAGTAATTTGCACAGCCCGCCGAGTTCTTGTGAATGCGTGCCACTTCTCTTCCCAATGCTTGGAGACCCCCTAACCCCCCTGTATCCACGCTCCACTTTCTTCCATTCCTGCTGACGCAGTGACCTCTATGTCGCCGCCCTCGCCCAAGGCTAGCCCTTCTCCCTCGCCCAAGGCTAGCCCTTCTCCCTCGCCCAAGGCCAGCCCGTCCCCCTCGCCCAAGGCTAGCCCGTCCCCCTCGCCCAAGGCTAGCCCGTCCCCCTCGCCCAAGGCTAGCCCGTCCCCCTCGCCCAAGGCCAGCCCGTCCCCCTCGCCCAAGGCCAGCCCGTCCCCCTCGCCCAAGGCTGGCCCGTCCCCCTCACCCAAGGCTAGCCCGTCCCCCTCACCCAAGGCTAGCCCGTCCCCCTCGCCCAAGGCTAGCCCGTCCCCCTCGCCCAAGGCTAGCCCTTCTCCCTCGCCCAAGGCTAGCCCTTCTCCCTAGCCCAAGGCCGGCCCTGCTAATGGGCGTCACCTTCGTAAGTCTGGGTGTCTAGCCTGCTTGCATTGCCCACATGCTATCGGGCTGTTGTCTGATGTTCATCCAGCTGTGTGCAATTGTTTCACACATTTATGTCGTCCTACGACGCTACGGGCTTTTTATTAAACTCTGGATGCACCTCTGTGTTTCGCAGTGACCACCACCACCACCAAGTCCCCTAGCCCGGCGCCATCTCCCAAGAAGAGCCCTGGCAAGTCAAAGCCCAAGCTTCACAAGCCGCCTCTGCCCATCAAGTAGAACACCAGCCAGCCAGCAACCAGCCTGGCAGCACCCTCACGTGGTTACCTGTTTGCCAATCATGTTTACTGCTCAGGAACAGTTTGCGTGCTGCCAAAACTGGACATGAGACGGAGTGCTGTGCGGCAGATACGCTGCATGAGGTTGCGGGGATGCTTCGTAGAATTTGTGCGTGGAGTCGGGTGGAGTTGTAAGAATCCCTTATCGTCGTTTTCCTGCTGACTAGTCAACGTTCCTGGCCGTTGCGTGGCCCGCTCGTCAGGCTTGCACCCGGTACTAAAATTTATGGGCTTCTGACTGTTGCTCCTAATTATTGATCACGGTTAACAATGTGCCACATTATTGCTGCTGCAATGCTGCTTAGTTGGTTGTTGGACACTGCAGGCTGTTGCACCACCACGATGTGATCTTTGTCCGTAGATTTGTGGTGGAATAGAAGTTTGTCTTGACAATTATTATTGGGTACAGATAGGTGTCGTGTTGAAACAGGAGATCGTGGTTTATCTGCGAGTTGCTTAGGTAGGCCATCGTTGCAATAAGGCTGCAGGATTGTATGTTGTACGATGCTGAAGACGCGCCAGGCTGTAACCCAGCTGCCCATGATTTACGCTTACCGAAGTAGGGTCGCGCTGTGTGCATATGAGGACGTGCACACAGCGCTCCATTTACCGTGTAATGCTTGTAATTCCGGAGAAGTATTTATTGAAGAAGGTTACGATCAAGATACGGCCAAACCGTACAACTAAGCGGAATGCCCATGTACTGCACCAAGCCAAGCCCTCACCCCATCCCAGTCCAGCCCCAAAGCCCCGCCCTCACCCCCGTCTGCTCCGAACCTGGTGCCCAGTCCTGCGCTCCAGGCCCCTCCTGCACCCAAGCTTGGCCCGCCGCCCCAGCCTACTCCCGCTGCCATGCGCTTCCAGAGAATAAGCTGCGTAAGCTGGTCGGAATTGGTGCGTTCCCATGCATGCAGCCAAACCCAACCCTACCAAACACTCGTGTGACACGCCAAGCATATCCCATCAGAGACAGGCAGTGCTGCACCACCATAGGAGTCACAGCCAAGTAAGACAGCATACTCAAGGTAAACTGCTTTCAGGGTTACGGCCTTGCTAATGGCCATGTAGTAAGGATGTGCAAAAATGCATTTATGCTTGTACCAAAGCGCACCGGTAGTGCGCCATTTACCTCTTGTTTTGATTATACGGGTTTATGCCCTAGTCCATTCACCCGTGCGCATACGCTTAAGAGCACCTTCAGGATGTCATTGTGACCCACTGGACGACCCCACACGAAAGCGGAGTAAAGGCGCGCACTTACACAGTTTTTAGTGCAAGGAGTAGGGATCTACGGCTTTGCGGGCCCAAAGGTAAGAGGTAAATGGTGTAGTACTGCTGGTCGATGTTTGTGAGTGAACTACAAGCTGGCCATGGTCATTGTTACAACACATACGCTAGGTCCTGTTATTTATATTCAATAGAAACGTGCTTATTCTTTCGTGATTTGCCGAAGCCACAGCCTGACCTTTATACTAACCAGGGCAAGGACTGCTTTCGCGACACATGGTTGGCAACTTGTAGATATTAGTTATATCCAGCCGGAATGGCGCTGGATAACCGACACCGGTTCATTGTTGGCAAGGTACAGCCTTGCTCGGAATGCTCAAACGAGGCGCTTTCTCACCACCCTTACTTCATGCCTGCAGCTTGCGGAGGCGTTCGGGCTACCTGAAAATGTAATAGAGAAGACACTAACGTAAGTCGAGCCGCGCTTGAAATTGGTCTTGGGGACGCGTCCAACCGTCTGTGGCCTTTCTTTCGTTGTAGTCAAGACAAGCAAGCAGTCAACAGCTTTTTCACGCCGTCAGGGCCTTCCTCGCTTATCTTCGTCTATCAGGTGCGGTGAGGGTTCCCCGAATTTTCTGACTTATTGTCAAGCTTGCACTGAAATGCATGCTATTGTGTCCATACAGGCTAAGGAAGATAAGCTGAAGGATGGTTCAATTGGACCTGTGGACAACAAGCCCACGCTCCACAGGCTCGGGCAGGTACGTTGGGGCAAGGATGGAAGTCAGTGTGTAAGGGCCCAGAGAGGGCTTCAGCACGGGACCATTGCATGCGTTAGGACAAAGGGGGAACCGCATGAGGCAATGATCCACAAGGCAGGTGGGGGCTTCAACGAGCCCCACCTCGTTACAACCCTGAACCCCATGGGAAGGGATGTTCCTTACTGTGTTGCCTCCTGCCGCCGAGGGTTTACCTCCGCTACATTTAGGCACGTTTTCTCCTCGCCTTACGCTTCGCCTGCCCAGGCCGCACTGCCGCATTCCAACGCCACTCCTCCTGCCCCTCCCTCCCCTCCTTTCCCTTTTATCCCTATGGCGGTTATAGCATGAGCGCATTCACAACAAAGGCGCATATTTCACACGACTTAACCCCAAGGGCGTCAGTGAAAAGACGCTGGAGGCAGACCTTGGCAGCGGCGAGCTCTCTGGCAGCGCGCTGGAGAACTTCAAAACTATCGTGTCGGACCTCTACGTGCCGATCATGCAGGAGCAGCAGCAGTGGGGCAAGCTGCCGCAGGAGAACCTTTCAGACTTCCTGGCGTCCGTCCAGAAGTTTGGCAGCATGCTAACCGAAGCAGTCAGCACAGTCACCGGCGGCGTCGAGCTGCGCATGCCGGATCCTAAATATGCTGAGCTGGAGCTGCGGCCGGCGGCGTTGGCCAACGCCGCCGGCGATGAGGACACGCTGCAGGAGATGGAGGAGTGCCTGACGGAGTGGTGCCGCGAGGCGGAATTCCTGCTCAACCAGACCAATAAGATCAAGGACGGCGAGGAGCCGGGCCCGGACACGGAGCTGGAGTACTGGCGCACCCGCATGTCTAACTTCAACTCCATCACGGAGCACCTGAAGACCAAGGAGTGCAAGCTGGTGCTGGGCATTTGCTCGCACGCCAAGACCAAGGCCTACCTTCGGTGGAAGGCGCTGGACATTCAGATCACGGATGCCGCCAATGAGGCCAAGGACAATGTCAAGTACCTGGCCACGCTGGAGAAGTCGCTGGAGCCCATGTACACGGGACGCGTGGCGGAGATCACGGAGTCGCTGCCGGCGCTGATGACCAACGTGCGCATGATGTACACCATTGCGCGCTTCTACAGCACCGCCGAGCACATGACCCGGCTGTTCACCAAAATTACCAACCAGCTTGTACGGCGGTGCAAGGAGCAGATCATGGAGAACGGCAAGATCTGGGACCAGGACAAGGTGGTGCTGATTGGGAACATGAAGGTGCGAGCGGGGTATGCGGGGTTGGGATGGACGGGGAGGGGAATGCGGTAGGCAAGAACATGAGCGGGCGCCTTGGTTGGGCGCAGTTGGGGCTTGGGCGTGGCCAACCCGATGTGCCCTACGTGACTATGTGGACATCAATGAAGGCCGGCATGAAGACACATCGCCCCGAACGCATTCGAACACAGACCGCAATTGCATCGTTCATGACCCATTTGTCATTTGTACGCTGGATGGATAGCAGCGCGCAAGAGGGCCAATGGGGTTGCGGCAAGTAGGCTGTCCCTGTGTATTGCACGTGCAAACGATGTTAGGCGCTATTGGGAAGCATCAGGGGCTAGGCGCAAGCTCTGCGCTGGTGAGAGGGTATGGTATGTTAGCCATGCACCCTTGGCACCCCTCGCAGCTTTCCCAGGAATCCACGCAAAACCGTACAAGCCCCCACTGATCTGGTCCACCCCTTCCATTTCTCTTGCTCGCCTCTGCCAGGTTGCGGTGGACCTGGCCAATGTGTACCGCCAGCAGTATAAGCTGGCGAAGGAGACGTTGGCGGCGCAGCCCAAGTCGAAGCAGTTTGACTTTGATGAGCAGGTGAGAGGCCTGCGCGGTTAGGGCTTCGCGGTGGGGGCATGCGCTGCGGGTTGGCACTTGTGTGAAATAGGGTAGCTAAAATGTGTTCCCCGCAACGATTGACCAGCAAAGGGATTCCGGGCTTGCATATAACGCTTATGTGGCGGCGCCGCCCCACTTAGGATGTCGACGACTGCTAGCCACAGCCTTTGTAAGTTCAATACTGCACAAGGTTATCCTCAGATTGCCTTTACACATTTCTTCTCTTCCTCTTCCCCATCCAGGCTATCTTCCTGAAGTTCGACCTGTTCTCCAAGCGCTTGTACAAGCTCATCGACATGTTCACCACCATCCACCAGTTCTCCTCTCTGGAGCAGCACACGCACATTGAGGGGCTGGACACCATGCTCAAGTCGCTCAACAATATCATTGACGACGTGAAGCGCAAGCCCTACGACCTGCTCGACTACTCCAAAAATGCGTTTGACCGCGACTTCTTGGAGTTCAATGTCAACATCAACGACCTGGAGCTGCAGCTGCAGGTATGTGCTGTTGGGGAAACAATGCAGCAACTGGGATACCCGAATGGATAGATGGAGGTGCCTGGTCCTAAGGCTTTGTGTGAATGGGTTTGGAAGGGGTCACGACAAGTAAATGCAACGGGTTGGACTAGATTGCTGCCCCGTGGGTGCAGGACACCCTTGCATTACTCGTCTGACCTGATGTGCCCATTTCAGCTGGGCCCCAAACACGCTCCTTGGTAATCCCCGCCCCCAAACCCAATAACCCACAGGGCTTTGTCAACGCGTCGTTTGAGAACATCACCTCCACCGAGCACGCGCTGTGCCTGCTGGCTCAGTTCCAGGCCATCATGCAGCGCGAGACGCTGAAGCAGGACCTGGAGAATAAGTACATGGTCATCTTCCAGAACTACGCTAAGGACCTGGACGCGGTACAGAAGCTCTATGAGAAGAACAAGTACGAGCCGCCTGTGCCGCGCAATGCGCCGCCTGTGGCGGGCAACATCATGTGGGCGCGGCAGCTGCTCCGGCGCATTGAGGCGCCCATGCAGCGCTTTGCGCAGAACAAGAACCTGCTTGCTGCCAAGGAGTCTAAGAAGATCATCAAGACCTACAACAAGGTGGGCTGGGGTTTCTATCTTTGCAAGGTCGGCATGGCCACATGATGAAACGTTGTGGGTTGTATGGTTACTCGATGGTTTGGGTGCTTGTGCTACAGATGTATGGAGGCTGCCTAGCGGACCCTTATTACGTTTAGCACCCCCGCTCCAGTCCTAACGTTCCACTGTGCCATGGTGCCTTATGCGTTGCAGGTCGCCAAGGCGCTCATCGAGTTCGAGACGCTATGGCACCAGGCCTGGATTAAGTCCATCGAGCAGTGCAAGGCGGGCCTGGCTGCGCCGCTGCTGGTGCAGCACCCTGACACCGGCAAGATCCTGGTTAACTTTGATAAGGAAATCATGCAGCTCGTGCGCGAGGCCAAGTACATGCAGCGCTTCAACATTGCGGTTCCGGAGAGCGCACAGATGGTGCTGCTGCAGGAGGAGAAGTTCAAGTTCTACCACAACCAGCTCACGCACCTGGTGAGACACGGATAGTTGGGTGGGGCCTCTGAAGGAATGGACAGCATGGGCAACTCATCCAGGGATCTAGATTGTAGGTAATGGCTGCGTTTGCGGGTTCTTGGTAGGCTGCAACCCTTGGCCTTGCGATTGGATGCATGCGAGAGCCTTAGCCCCTGTCAAACTCGACCGCCGCGGAATGCCTTCTGCAGGTGCGCGAGTACGAGCACATCCTGTCACGTGTGGCCGCCACCATCAAGCCGCTGCTGCGGCCGCACCTGGATGACATGGAGCGCAAGATTGCGCCAGGATTTGCAGTGCTCACCTGGACCAGCCTCAACATCGACGGCTACCTGCACCGCTTCAAGCAGGTGGGTCCTTGGGGAAATAGCCGGGCATCCCCTATGCGAATGGTCCCGTAAAAACGCGTTTTCCGCCGCGGCATAACACCTAGTTGCCCGTAACGACCTACGTTGGCCCTCACTCCAATATGCATTGAAGGGCTAATGCATAAAGAGGAAGCATTACCAAAGCCCGCGTCGCGTGCCTTCACAGCTTTCGTAGCTCAACCAACACCGACGGTCCTTCCTATCCTTCCATGCTTTCCGCACAGGGTCTGGCCCGGCTGGAGGAGCTGGTCCGCAAGGTGCTGGACCTGGTGGAGAACCGTGTGGAGTCCAACCTGCGCGCCATCAGCGCCACCATGCTGGTTGAGCTGCCCAGCGACCGCTCCTTTACCTATGACGAGTTCGTCACCACGCAGCAGCGCTTCCAGAAGAAGCAGGCGGAGCAGCTGGGCATTCGCAATGAGGAGGTGAGGCTGGGGTGCGGGGTGGCGTCGTATGGTGATGGTCGTAGGTTAAATCAGGGGTACAAATGGGGGCTCGGATGCCGGCATGCTGGTACTGATCGCTTGGAGCTTGCTTTCCGGAGTCATGGCATGTGCTGCGGTTCTTTCTAACGGAGGAATAATTCCTTCAATGCCTGCCTGCCAGGTTCGCCGCGCCATCGAGGACCTGTTGGCGCTGGTGCGGAACTACCCGCGTGAGAACGTGGACGATGCGCTGGACGAGAAGGAGGTGACGCTGTTTGTGCGGCACTTCTCTAAGAACATGTACAACGCCATCAGCGCGTGCACGCTGCGCAGCCTGCAGGTGAGCGCTGCTTGTGACAACTGTATGCGCTGCTTACGGGAAGGGGCACGAAAAACACCCCAACAAGGGCTTGCGTGCGCTTGTTCATGATCTCGTTCATACGAAACGAGGCTCTTACACAGCTGCGGACATGTTGCAATCCAACAATACAACCTCGCCATCGCCCATCGCAGGCCATGAAGCGCCGCCTGGGCTCGCGAACATCGACGGGGATTTTCTTCATGGAGCGGCCCTTCTTCGATGTGGATGTGGAGCTCAAGGTGCGGTCAGTTAATCCCTTCGTTGGCTTCCTAGCGTCATATAGAGCCTTCCCGTGGGGCTGCCTAGGAACCCTTGCGTCCATGCAATTTCCAAATCAAAGCGGTCACATGCATGCGTCTTGCGTCCTTCTTTGCGCCCAGGTGCCCTGCGTCTGCATGAACCCCAACCTGGAGGAGATCCAGGCCGCCATCAACCAGTGTGCTAAGAAGGTGTTGACCACCTCGAAGCAACTGCCGGCGTGGGGCATGGACAACGTGTCCACCTACCACGAGCTCATTGCGCAGGACAAGGAGGTGGTGAAGGCGGTGCTGCGCCTCACAGGTAGGCGGCGTCACTTACAAAACTTGACCTCTGTCGGGAACAAGGCTACGGTAATTGTTGCGGCTGCTCGCCGCCATGCTGTTGGGACCGCATCATGTGAGTTGAAGCCGCTTGTGCTCAACAGCGTATCCTGTTCCGTCTTGCAGGCTCTGTTGAGGGCATTAAGGCGCAGGTGACCGAGTACATTCGCACTTTCGACCGGTAAGCCAGGGTCAGCACTGCAGGCCGAGCTCACCCAGCATATGCGTTCTTGCCGTTCATTCACGTTGCCGGTTGCCTATCAGCGCTCTTTCTAGCCATCACTGCTTTTTTGGTGCCTTGACTGCAACACCCATGTTATACGCACTTGCAGGTACGAGTTCCTTTGGAAGGAGGACCTGCAGGCAGCGTACGACCAGTTCATGCGCACCAACCCCACGCTGGAGGCGTTTGAGGCTGAGCTGAAGAAGTACATGGCCATTGAGACGGAGGTGGCCAACATCCATGGCGTCAACAACATTGGCGCGCTGTCGCTGGAGACGATGCCGCTGAAGAACAGCCTCAAGGCAGAGGCGGTGTCCTGGAAGACGCAGTTTGCGCAGAACCTGCATAAGCAGTGCTCGGACGACCTGAAGGCCTTCGACAACTACATCCGGTGAGGCGGTCGCCAGCTTCCCGCATGGGGGCACGGTTATTGGTTTGCAAATGACCATGCGAGCGTCTTTCTTATTGTCCTGAGTTGGTACGCAATCTCGCCATGACATAATGCACGCATACGTGGCGTATATGGGTCCATGAACTGTACTCCTACCTTGTTACCCACATGCTCAGAACCTTTTGAATTCACGCTCATTGCTGGGATGCCCTTGCAGTGACACCAACTCCAAGTTCCACCGCAAGATTGAGGATCTGGAGGACGTGCGCAACGTTATGGCCGTGCTGAAGGAGGTCCGCGAGAAGGAGTCCGAGATTGACAACCTGATCGGCCCCATTGAGGAGATGTACGGTCTGCTCATGCGGTACGAGGTCCGCGTGCCCAAGGAGGAGACCACCATGGTCAGCGACCTGCGCTACGGCTGGAAGAAGCTCAAGAAGGTTGGTCCTAGTGGTTTGCAATAGTGCAAGGATGCATGCGGAACGATTGTGTGTAATGGAGACTCTCTTAACCGTGCATGCGGCTTATTAGGCGTTGCTTCACAAATGCAGCCAGTTACCTTGAACAACACTCTTATTGGGCTTGCTACCTTCTCCGTCCTTGCCTGCAGGTCGCCACGGAGGTGTCGGATAACCTGACGCGGCTGCAAGTGGGCTTCAAGCGGGAGCTGATTAAGGAGGTTAAGACCTTTGTGGTGGATGCTCAGATGTTCCGCAAGGACTGGGAGGCGAATGGACCCATGGTTCCGGGTCTGGACCCAATGGAGGCCGTGGACCGCCTGCGCAAGTTCCAGCAGATGTTCGAGGTGCGCATGCGAGGGGCTAAACCTACAGCCTTGCACTCAACTCGTCTAATAGGGTTCAGTGTGGGTCAGCGCCGTTTACAAGCAGGGTGACTTCCGCTGTGGACGCTATGTGAGTTGCCCCTTAGTAACCGCCCTCCATGCCGCTCCCTCCGGCTTTCAGGTGCGCAAGCGCAAGTGGGAGAACTACAGCAGCGGCGAGGAGCTGTTTGGCTTGCCGGTGACCCAGTATCCGGAGCTGGAGCAGACGGAGAAGGAGATCCAGATGCTGGACCGCCTCTACAGCCTGTACGTGACGGTCATTACGACCATCAAGGGCTATGGTGACTACTTCTGGGTGGATGTGGTGGAGAAGATTGATGAGATGGGCGAGCAGGTGCTGCAGTACCAGAACCAGTCTAAGCGCCTGCCCAAGGCACTGCGCGACTGGCCTGCCTACAACGCCTGCCGCAAGACCATTGACGACTTCCTGGAGATGTTGCCGCTGTTCCAAGCGCTGACCCACAAGTCCATGCGCGAGCGACACTGGAAGGATGTGATGCATATCACCGGCCATGAGTTGAACCTGGCGGAGGATGTGTTCAAGCTGCAGGTGAGCAAGAAGGGTCAATGGCAGCTACCGGTAACCTTATTACCCCCTTGGCCTAGGACCAAGTGCCTTGGCTGCGCAACTGTCCGATCGGCAACCATGGCTGCACTCATTACCACCCCGCACCCGATGCTTGCTCCCTTCACCCATGCAGCACCTGCTGGATAGCAACCTGCTGGCCTACCGCGAGGACATTGAGGAGCTGACGGGCGCGGCGGTGAAGGAGGAGATGATCGAGGTGAAGCTGGCGCAGCTGAAGGCCGACTGGGCTAACCAGAACCTGGCGTTTGCGGAGTACAAGAACCGCGGTCCGGTCATCCTCAAGCCCAGCGACACCAGCGAGCTCATGGAGAAGCTGGAGGAGAGCCAGATGACGCTGGGCTCCATGGCAACCAACAGGTGCGGGTTGTGCTTATACCCCATGCTCCATTTGTCTAAGGACTGTGGTGGGAGTGCAGTGTGGAAGGGGTTTGCCGGGGTTCCGGGGGCGTGTTTACGGTCACATACTGTACTGCCAATGTCCCCATGGTGCTATGGCCCTTTGACTCCTTCCATGCTGACACCTGCGCCTTCATGCGTTGACTCTTGTTGACATTTCCGTCACTTGCAGGTACTCCGCTCCTTTCCGCGAGGAGGTGCAGGCCTGGTCCATCAAGCTGTCGACCGTGTCTGAGATCATCGAGCAGTGGCTCATGGTGCAGAGCATGTGGCAGTACATGGAGGCGGTGTTCAGTGGCGGTGATATCGTCAAGCAGCTGCCGCAGGAGGCCAAGCGCTTCCTGAACATCGACAAGAACTTCATGAAGATAGTGTCGAACGCGCTGGAGACGCAGAACGTGATCAACACGTGCTTCGGCAACGAGCTGATGAAGAACATGCTGCCGCACCTGCATGAGCAGCTGGAGATGTGCCAGAAGAGTCTCAGTGCCTACCTGGAGCAGAAGCGTGCGGAGTTCCCACGGTAGGGTTGCATGGATTCCTGGGTGCGTGCATGGGGGCCAGGTACGGTACTTCGCGACTTGTGTACAATGGGAAGAAGGTGCATCAACCTTTATTCGCTACATGACTGGCTGGTAACGTTCACATGCTGACGATGCAAATAATAGCGGGTATGGTGTTTCCTTCTCGGCATGCCTCACGCCTCAAGCCTCATGTGCCACCCGTACCTGTGCGCCCGTGTCATGCTGCAGCTTCTACTTCGTGTCCGACCCCACGCTGCTGGAGATCCTGTCGCTGGGCTCCGACCCGCCCTCCGTGGTGCCGCACTTCCAGTCCGGTCTGTTCGATTCGCTGGCCAACGTGACGTTTGACCGCATCGACAAGACGCGCATGACGGAGATGTTCAGCCAGCAGAACGAGAAGGTGCGTCGCTGGTCCCTTACGCCCCGGCGTCGCAGCTAGGTAGTGGCCTAATCCAAGGAAGGGTCTTAGGCTTGCAGGCAGGGACAGGGTCGTAAGCAAAATGTTCCTGTTACGGTGTTTCTGATCATGGGTAATTTCATGCTCCTGGCACCAGTTGTAAGCGCCCGCCCCTTCCGCACACTCTAGGTGGAGTTTGAGCGGCCGGTGGACGCCAAGGGCAACATTGAGGTGTGGCTGCAGCGGCTGGTGGACGGCATGCAGGACACTGTCAAGCAGATCATCAAGCGTGCTGTGCGCAACGTGGCGGAGATGCCGCTCGAGGACTTCGTCTTTGGCCACCCCGCTCAGGTGGGGATTACTTTAGGGAGCTTCGGTATCCCCATGCTACGACTAGAGGCATAGGAAAGCAATCAAGGGTCCCGCGCACCAAGGCTGCTAGCTATACGTTGCAGCGCCAGAGCTCTTTACCCCTAATGCTCCCCACCCAAACCCATCGCCTTAACCCATTGCAGGTGGCGCTGCTGGGCATCCAGTTCCAGTGGACGGCGGAGACTCAGTCGGCGCTGACCAACGCCAAGGTGGACAAGACCATCATGAACAAGAACATGAAGAAGGTGGACGCGCTGCTGCGCGACATGGTCAACATCACGGTGCGCTCCGACCTGACCCGCAACCAGCGCACCAACCTGGAGACCTGCATCACGGTGCACATGCACCAGAAGGAGTCCACGGAGGACCTGGTCAAGAAGAAGATCAAGGACCCCACGGACTTTGAGTGGCTGAAGCAGGTATGCAGCTGTGGCGTGAAGGACAGGACAAGGCTGCGGGCTGCTTGGATGGCTCGTTAGAATCGTGCCACCGTAGGGAACCCAAAGCCCCTAAGAAAGCCTAGCTAACCCAAGGGCCCCTCGTTTGCTGATGCATGGCCGGCATGTGTAAGGCCCTGCGCTTACGCCTCTTCCTCCCATCCCCTTTCGCCTTGCCAACCACTGCCAGGTCCGCTTCTACTGGCGCGAGGACAAGGACACCGTCATCATCTCCATCTGCGACGTGGACTTTGAGTACTCGTTCGAGTACCTGGGAGTCAAGGAGCGCCTGGTGATCACGCCCCTCACGGACATCTGCTACATCACGCTGTCACAGGCGCTGGGCATGTTCCTGGGTGGCGCGCCTGCAGGCCCTGCAGGTGAGTGGTTCGGGTACGGGGTTGAGAGCTAAGCCGTTGAGATGAGATGGCCTTGCGTGCGCCACTATGCTGAAGGCGAGATTCGCGAAAATAGATCACGTCCCAAGCTGATTTTAAGCCCGTAAAATGACTCTTTCATGGTTGGCTGCTGCTTTCAGGCACGGGCAAGACCGAGACGACCAAGGACTTGGGTAACACGCTGGGCAAGTACGTGGTGGTGTTCAACTGCTCGGACCAGTTCGACTACACCTACATGGGCAAGATCTACAAGGGTCTGGCCCAGTCGGGTCTGTGGGGCTGCTTCGATGAGTTCAACCGCATTAACCTGGACGTGCTGTCGGTGTGCGCTCAGCAGGTATGGGTGATTCTGATCACGTGCACATCGGAGCCGAATGGCACGGAACCTTCTGTTGTCACGCGCATGGCTCCATGTGAACAATTTTGGTGAACAAGCGCTCTGTTCGCAGCCCCTGCCATACTTCAGTCTATTAACCAACACGCATCCCCTCCCTCCCAGGTGTATTGCATTCTGTCGGCCATCCGCGAGCGCAAGAAGAACTTCCTCTTCACGGATGGCACCACGGTGTCGCTGGACCCGCGTGTCGGCTTCTTCATCACCATGAACCCCGGCTACGCTGGTCGCCAGGAGCTGCCGGAGAACCTGAAGGCGCTGTTCCGTGGTGTGACCATGATGGTGCCCAACCGCCAGATTATCATGAAGGTGGGGTAGGCAATGGGGGGTTTTCAAGATATTAGGCTCAGCCCATGAGCCTGGTATTAGGCTCAGCCCAATGAGCCTCCTTAGGGTGACGCGGTTGGGTAGTGCACGTACGTATCGTGTCTACGCTCACTCTGCTATACCACGACTCGGCAGGAGCCCGTTGCTCACTACTTCTTCCTTTGCCGCTCACCTTGTAGGTGAAGCTGGCCGCCTGCGGCTACCAGGAGAACGACATCCTGTCCAAGAAGTTCTTCGTGCTGTACGGTCTTTGCGAGCAGCAGCTGTCCAAGCAGGCGCACTACGATTTCGGGCTGCGCAACATCCTGTCGGTGCTGCGCACGGCCGGCGCGTCCAAGCGCCAGTCGCCCGACAAGTCGGAGGTGTTCCTCATGATGCGCACGCTGCGCGATATGAACATGTCCAAGTTCGTGGCGGAGGATGTGCCGCTGTTCCTGTCGCTCATTGACGACCTGTTCCCCGGCCTGAAGGCTGAGCGTAACTCCTTCCCCGAGGTCAACAAGGCGCTGGAGAAGGTGGTGCTGGAGCGCGGCCTGCAGGTGAGAATCATGGGTCACCCACTACGGACCGCTTCTTCCCGAAGCAGTTTGCACATCTATATATTAGCATGGATAGGCGCTAACCTACACTGCATCCCTTTAAGAGCTCTAGGCCGTGCTCATGTCCATGCGAAAATGTGTAGTAAAACTTGCTTTTGCCGTACCTTGTGTACAGGTGCACCCGACCTGGATGAACAAGTGCATCCAGCTGTACGAGACGTACCTGGTGCGTCACGGCATCATGCTTGTGGGCCCCAGCGGCAGCGGCAAGTCCGCCATCTGCGAGTGCCTGGCGGCGGCGCTGACGGAGCTGGGAACCAAGCACATCATCTGGCGCATGAACCCCAAGGCCATCACCGCGCCCCAGATGTTTGGGCGCCGCGACGACGCCACGGGCGACTGGACGGACGGCATTTTTGCGGTGCTGTGGCGCCGTGCCGCCAAGAACAAGAACCAGAACACCTGGATTGTGCTGGATGGCCCCGTGGACGCCATTTGGATTGAGAACCTGAACACGGTGCTGGATGACAACAAGGTGCTGACGCTGGCTAACGGCGATCGCATCCTGATGAGTTCCGCGATGAAGGTACGGCAAACATGCTTTGCTGGGTCACAAGGGTTACATGCCACTGGGGTGGGTTGCAGGTACGGAAGCTCGTAAGGGGAGGAAGATGCAATCGCAAGCCGTGAACATTCCCGTGATCCTGAAACCCGTTTCCCAAATGCAGGCTATGTTCGAGCCGGAGAACTTGAACAACGCCTCGCCCGCCACCGTGTCCCGTGCGGGTATCATCTACGTGTCGGACGTTGAGCTGGGCTGGGAGCCGGTGGTGAAGAGCTGGCTGCAGAGGCGCGAGCCCACGGAGACCGCTGCGCTTGGACCGCTATTTGATAAGTACGTGCAGCGCCTGCTGGAGTTCGTGCGCATCAGCCTGAAGCCCGTCATGTACAACGAGCAGGTGCGTACATGTACCTGGGGATGTTTGACGTTTGACGCTTGGGTCGCAGCTGCACATTAGGCTTAATGTTGACTGCTATACCTAATGTCGTCACGTCATTAGGGCGCCGCTAGCACCTAACCTTGTCAAACCCTGGACCCCTGCAGGTTAGCATTGTGGGCACCGTCATGACGCTGCTGAACGGCTACCTGCGGGCCATTAAGGAGGCTGGCACGCCGCTCAACGACACGAAGTACGAGCGCGTTTTCCTGTACTGCCTGACCTGGAGTTTGGGTGGCCTGCTGGAGATGAAGGAGCGGCCGCTGTTTGACCAGGAGCTGCGCAGGTAAGATGGAGAATGGGCTCTTATGGGCGCGATTGAAGCCACTGATTCCTTAGCCTGCCTTGGCAGGACAGCTTGTACAGCCGACTCCAGCCGAACCCTTGCCAGTCTCTTACTGCATCCTTGTACACCGCTCTAACTAGTGGTCCTTACTACCTTGCACGCAGCTACGCCACCAACATGCCGCCCAAGGACGATGAGACCGACACCATCTTCGAGTACCTGGTCAACACCTCGGATGCGGAGTGGCTGCACTGGCGCAACTGCGTCCCCGTCTGGCACTACCCCAAGAACGAGGAGAAGCCCAAGTACGCGCAGCTCGTCATCCCCACGCTGGACTCGGTGCGCTACGAGAAGCTGCTCAACCTGTCGTACAGCGTTGAGAAGGCCACGCTGCTGGTTGGCGGCCCGGGTACCGCCAAGACCAACACCATTAACCAGTTCATCGCCAAGTTCAACCCCGACACCACTACCAACAAGACCATCACCTTCTCTAGCCTTACGACGCCCGGCATCTTCCAGATGTCGATTGAGGGCTCTGTGGAGAAGCGCCAGGGCCGTACCTTCGGCCCGCCCGGCGGCAAGCAGATGTGCATTTTCGTGGACGATATCTCCATGCCGTACATTAACGAGTGGGGTGACCAGGTACGTTTGCCATGGATTCTGATGTGAAGCCGGGCTCCCAGTCTACCGGCGACTTCTTCGCTACTTAAGCCATGTGCCGTGTGCCATTAATTGTACGTCCCCAGGATGCCCGCCCTACTTCCAACCCTTGCATGCTGCCTGCCTTGCCCCCGGCTGCAGGTGACCAACGAGATCGTGCGCCAGCTGCTGGAGCAGGGCGGCATGTACTCGCTGGAGAAGCCCATTGGCGACATGAAGTTCATTGTGGATGTGCGCTACGTGGCGGCCATGAACACGCCGGGTGGCGGCAAGAACGACATCCCCAACCGCCTCAAGCGCCAGGTGAGAGCAACGGCTGGAAGCCTGCCAAGCTACGTAGTCCTGTCGCCTGTTGGGCAGTCTTGCTGCAACCGCGGCTATACCTCATGTCAGCCCTGAACTTGAGTTTCCTTTACTATACCATGTAATACCACCTGGAGCGCATGTGGGCTGCTGGCATACCGAGCCTCCCACCCTTTCAACCCTTGCCGCAGTTCGCCATCTTCAACGTGCCGCTGCCTTCAGTGGCCGCCATCAACGGCATCTTCGGCAAGCTGGTGGAGGGTCGCTTCTCTCGCGACGTGTTCTGCGAGGAGGTGGTGTACGTGGCCTCCAAGCTGGTGCCGCTCACCATCACGCTGTGGAACCGCATCCAGACCAAGATGTTGCCCACGCCCGCCAAGTTCCACTACCTGTTCAACATGCGTGAGCTGTCCAAGGTCTTCCAGGTGAGCCATTGCTCTGCACCGCCCCTTTGGTGTATCACCTGGGTTGGCTGCTGGGCTTACACGCCCCGGGTTGCAATGCATGAGCGCCGAACACGATAGACTTTGCTGTACCGCAGGGTGTCATCCTGGCTGCCCGTGACCGCTTCAACCTGCTGGTTGGCGACTCGGCGGTGTTTGGCGGCAATGTGAACTCGCCCGAGGGATACCTGCTGGGCCTGTGGGTGCACGAGTGCCGCCGCGTCTTCTCGGACAAGCTCATCAGCTACGACGACAAGAACTGGGTGGATAAGGCCATCTTTGACCTCTGCCGCGACAACTTCTCGTCCGATCTGGTGAAGCAGGTGCGTCACATGCAGGCTACTGGCGAGATGGAGGGGCCAGGACAGTAAGAAAGGGCTAGATGTGCAAACGTGCAGCGTCCCGTAATGAGTGGGAGACTGGACATGGGGCTTCTTGGGAGGGTCCTAACGCCTTTGATACCGCTCAGTGACTTCCCATGTGCTGTGGTTGCAATAACAACACCCAGGTGGAGGAGCCGCTCTACTTCGTGGATTTCCTGCGCGAGCCCGTGGTGGACGACGAGACGGGTGAGCAAGGCGTACTTGTCACCGGGCTCATGCACTAGGCAGCGCCCTCCATGCCATGTTGTTCGTACAGCGGAGATGGACAAGCCGACGCCTTACATAACGCAGCAGCCTCTAAATCCCGTACATGCTTGCTTTGCCCCTTACCCCTCAGGTGAGATCATTGACGGCCACCCCAGCTTCTACGAGGCCGTCAAGGGCGGTCTTCCCGAGGTGCGCTTGCGCGTGGAGGGGCTGCAGCGCAAGTTTAACGAGGAGTCCAAGGTCATCAAGCTGGAGCTGGTGCTGTTCACGGACGCGCTGATGCACCTCATGCGCATCACGCGCCTGCTGGCCATGGCGCGCGGCTCGGCGCTGCTGGTGGGCGTGGGTGGCAGCGGCAAGCAATCGCTGTCGCGCCTGTCGGCGTACATCGCCGGCGCGTATCCCTTCCAGATCACCATCACCAAGACCTACAACGTGTCCAACCTGTTTGAGGACATCAAGGGGCTGTACAAGATTGCCGGCTTTAAGGGCCAGCCGGTGTGCTTCATCTTCACGGATGCGGAGGTCAAGGATGAGGGCTTCCTGGAGTACATGAACCAGATCCTCATGACGGGTGGGTTTCTAGGGGCATACGGTACTTTGGTCAGGCTGGTGTCCGCTAAGGGCTAAGCCCAAAATGGGCACGCCGCTGCTGTCAGCAGAAGTGCAAGCCACGGGGCAAACTGTGGACTAACTAGCTTCCATTTATTGCCGTACCGCAGGTGAGGTGGCCGGCCTGCTGACCAAGGAGGACCAGGACATGATTGTCAACGACATCCGCCCCATCATGAAGCACCAGGCGCCCGGTGTTCCCGACACGTACGACAACCTGTACAACTTCTTCCTCAACCGCGTGCGTGACAACCTGCACGTCGTGCTGTGCTTCTCGCCAGTGGGCGCCAAGTTTGCCCGCCGTGCGCAGCAGTTCCCTGGTCTCATCAACGGCTGCACCATCGACTGGTGAGTGCTGTCGTGCTTGTGGATATGGGTAAGAGTACGAGGGAAGAGGCATCCTTGCTATACGGTTTGCATGCGTTAAAATGGGTTTCGTAGTTTGTTGCTGACAACCCTGCTATACCCACCATGCCCCGCGCTCCTGTCCCCAGGTTCCTGCCCTGGCCCGAAGAGGCGCTGACGTCCGTGTCGGGCAAGTTCATCGACGAGTTCACGATGGCGTGCCCCAAGGAGGTCAAGAACCAGCTGAAGCTGCTGATGGGCCACACGCACGTGTTCGTGACCAATGCCTGCAAGGAGTACTTTGAGAAGTACCGCCGCTACGTGTACGTGACGCCCAAGTCGTACCTGGCTTTCCTCCAGGTGGGTGGGGGCTGCCGTACTCAGGCCAATCGGGAAGGGTGCCTTTTGCCAATCATTTGGGCTCGCATGAGGATGTGTTGCTGCTACAGTTGGATCTTTTCACTAACTCTAGGAGCCACTGTCCTTGCCTGCTGCAGGGCTACAAGGAGTTGTACGCCAAGAAGTGGTCGTTCACGAAGGAGCTGGCGTACCAGATTGAGGCGGGTCTGCAGAAGATGTTTGAGGCCAAGGCGGACGTGAACAAGATGAAGGCGGAGCTGGCGGTCAAGAACCAGGACCTGGCGGTGTCGGCCAAGGAGGCGGAGGCGCTGCTGAAGCAGATCAGCGAGAGCACTGCCATTGCGGAGAAGGAGAAGCAGAAGGTGGCCGTCATCGTCGATGCGGTAAGTGTGAAGCAGTGGCAGGGCATGGGTTACAACACATAAGGGTATTGCGGTTGCTGTCGCTCTGCTCATTGGCGGGATGACCTCCTGTCCGATTTTCTCCTTGACTTTTTCGGCTGGGTTTGCCCTCTTGCTACCCTCCTTGTGACACATAGGTGACGAAGAAGGCCAGCGAAATTGCGGCCGTGAAGGACGATGCGGAGCGTGATCTGGCTGCTGCCAAGCCTGCGCTGGATGCCGCCCTGGAGGCGCTCAACTCGATTAAGGACAACGACATCAAGAACCTCAAGGCGCTGAAGAAGCCGCCGCAGATCATTATGCGCATCTTCGACTGCGTGCTGATCCTGCGCATGCAGCCCATGAACAAGGCGGAGTACCTGGACGAGAAGGGCCGCATGGTGCTGTCCGGCAACTACAGCGAGGCGCAGAAGATGATGAACCAGATGAGCTTCCTGCAGGACCTGAAGGACTTCCCCAAGGAGCAGGTGGGCTTGAATCCGGCTTGCATCGCATAGTATTTTTGCGGCATATAGATGGATGAGTGTAGGAGAACAGCTGGGATCTAGCTCTTCCTGCGTTGCTATGCAAGGCAAGTTGTGAGCCATGTGTTAAGAAAACTGGCCATGTGTGTGAGCTGTATAACTGAAGTCCCCGTGTACAATTGCCGTCTACCACAGATCAACGACGAGACGGTGGAGCTGCTGGAGCCCTACTTCATGAGCGACGACTTCACCTTCGAGAGCGCCTCCAAGGCCTCGGGTAACGTGGCCGGCCTGTGTAACTGGTCCGAGTCTATGGCCAAGTACCACAATGTCGCCAAGGTGCGCTGCGGGGCAGCTCCTGCTTTCGGCTCGCTTGGCACAAGCATGCCTACTCGTCCCCCTAAGTGTGTACCTATTCATTTCGGTCTCAGCACTGACCGGAGTTTGCATGCGCTCCTCCTCCATGCTGCGCTCCCCTCAGGTTGTGGAGCCCAAGATCGCCAAGCTGCGTGAGGCGGAGGCTGAGCTCAAGCTGGCAACTAAGGAGAAGAACGCCGCCGAGGAGCGCATGGCCAAGGTGCAGGCCAAGCTGGATGAGATGCAGGCGCAGTTCGATGCCGCCATGGCGCACAAGCAGGCGCTGGAGGACGATGCAGCGGCCACGCAGCGCAAGATGGACAGCGCCAATGCGCTCATTGGTGCCTTGGCGGGTGGGTGTTGCACTGGGCTTGTACAGTAAATATGCACGGCAACGGGATTCAGCACCGGCATGACTCGTATCCATGCAGCTATCCCGATGCTTCCACCAGTGTTGGGCCTCCTGTCGTAAAGCTCTTTCCTTCGGTCCCTAACTATGTTGCAATGTCGAATGGGTACTTGCGTTTATTGTTTGCATGCAGGTGAGGAGGCGCGCTGGACTGGCCAGTCCAAGGAGTTTGACGTGCAGATCCAGCGGCTGACTGGCGACTGCGCGCTGGCGTCCGCCTTCGTGTCGTACCTGGGTCCCTTCAACAAGGAGTTCCGCGAGCTGCTGCTGCACCGCGACTTCTACGGCGACTGCATGAAGCTGAACGTGCCGGTCACGCCGCACATGCAGATCACTAAGTTCCTGGTTGACGATGCAGAGGTCGGCGAGTGGAACCTGCAGGTGTGTCCTGGGCTTTCGGATGATCCGGATGTCATGACCATGCAAACATGGCGGGGACTTCTGGTGCTTTAGCGTCCGCCCTTCTGCTTTCTTTAGTGTTTTCCCTTGCAGTTTACCATGAAACCTCTTGATGGCCGTCCGGACCTCTCTCCACCCTTCACTTTGCAGGGCCTGCCCACCGACGAGCTGTCCATCCAGAACGGCATCATGGTCACCCGCGCCAGCCGCTACCCGGTGCTGGTAGACCCGCAGGGCCAGGGCCGCGAGTGGATCAAGAACCGCGAGGAGGCCAACCAGCTCAAGACCACGCAGCTGAACGACAAGCTCTTCCGCAACCACCTGGAGGAGTGCCTGGCGTTTGGCCGGCCTCTGCTGATTGAGAACATTGAGGAGGAGCTGGACCCGCTGCTCGACCCGGTGCTGGAGCGCCGCCTCATTAAGAAGGGCAAGACCTTTGTCGTGCCGCTGGCGGACAAGGAGGTTGACTTCACGGAGACCTTCCGCCTGTTCTGCACCACGCGCCTGCCCAACCCGCACTTCACACCCGAGCTGTCCGCCAAGGTGACGGTGGTTGACTTCACCGTGACCATGGCCGGCCTGGAGGACCAGCTGCTGGGCAAGCTGATCAGCAAGGAGAAGAAGGAGCTGGAGGACCAGCGGCAGCAGCTGCTGGAGGAGGTGCAGAGCTACAAGAAGCGCATCAAGCAGCTGGAGGACGACCTGCTGTTCCGCCTGTCCAACAGCCAGGGCAACCTGCTGGATGACACGGAGCTGATTGACGTGCTGGCGGTCACCAAGCAGACCGCGCAGGTGGGCAGGGTGGGGTGGAGGGCTGGCATGGGGTTCTATGCATGCTGGGTACTTGATTTCGGATGGGGCAAAGGATGGGGCTGGTGTTATGAAGGTATATGCGGAACATGGCCAGCAAGCCACTTCCTTAACGCTTGCTGATGGTGCATGCCGTACTTGTAGGACGTGAGTGAGAAGCTGGCCAATGCCTCCGAGACCAACAAGCGCATCAATGAGGCGTGCGAGGAGTACCGCCCTGTTGCGCACCGCGCCACCCTCATCTACTTCCTCATCGCTGAGTTCTCGGTGGTCAACTGCATGTACCAGACCTCCCTGGCGCAGTTCAACCAGCTGTACGAGCTGGTGGGTCGGTTGGGGTTGGTTGATTGGGCCCCGAGAGCCGCTTGGTGCATTGCCAAAAGCACACGTACATATTCATGTCTCCTAAGAATCTACTGGCTATGCATGCTTGCTGGGTAATGCTTGCTAACGGCTGCTGTTTTAAATTCCCAACAGGCCATCGACCGCAGTGAGCGCGCCAACATGCCCTCCAAGCGCATTCACAACATCATCGAGTACATGACGTACGAGATATACCTGTATGTGCAGCGCGGCCTGTTTGAGCGCCACAAGATCATCTTTGCGCTAATGCTCACCAACAAGGTGCGTGTTGCATGGTCCAGGGCGGTTAAGCTAGACCAATGCCGCAGATAAGTCTGATACTCAGAGCTGCCGTCACTCCTTACCTCCCGTCACGGTACTTTCCGCACCTCCATAAAATTGCGACTCCATGCCTCATCCTCATCCTCCTTCACCTTCCTCCCCCCTAACCCTCTACCCTCCTATCCCCCTAACCCGGCAACCCCAGGTGCTGGTGTCCGCCTCCAAGGTCAAGGTGGTGGACCTGGATGTGTTCCTCAAGGGAGGTGCGGCGCTGGACATCAACTCGGTGCGCAAGAAGCCCAAGGACTGGATCCCCGACTCGGTGTGGCTCAACATCATCGCGCTGTCCGCCATGGACGCATTCCGCGACATCCCCGACTCCGTCTTCCGCAACGACGGGCTGTGGCGGCAGTGGTACGACCAGGAGGCGCCGGAGATGGCCAAGGTAAGGGGACGGGTTTGCTGGGTTCTGCAACGGGTGGTATGAAGGCAACATGCGTGGCGTGTACAGCTGGGTGGTATGAGGCCTGGGTTGCCGAGCAAGGGCATGGTTCATCTCTGGCTTTCATGGCTGTAATCCAGCAGTAGTGCAGTGATAAACCTACTTCTTTCCCGCGCGCTCTCAGGTTCCCGACTACGAGGACCGGCTGAACAAGTTTGAGCGCATGTGCGTCGTGAAGACGTTCCGTGAGGACCGCACCCTCATTGCCGCGGCGGACTACATTGCGGAGGCGCTGGGTCAGCGCTTTGTCGAGTCGGTGCCGCTCAACATGGAGAAGGCTTGGAACGAGAGCCACGCCAAGTGCCCGCTCATCTGCCTGCTGTCGCCCGGCGCCGATCCCACCAAGCTCATCGAGGATCTGGCCAAGAAGAAGAAGATCAAGACGCTGGGTGTGTCCATGGGCCAGGGCCAGGAGGTGATTGCGCGCAAGCACATGGCCAGCGCCTCGCTGGAGGGGCACTGGGTGCTGCTGCAGAACACGCACCTGGGTCTGGGCTACCTGACGGAGGTGGAGACGTTCCTGGTGAAGGAGGAGAACGTGCACGAGGACTTCCGGCTGTGGATCACCGCGGAGCCGCACCCGCAGTTCCCCATCGGCCTGCTGCAGATGGGCATCAAGATCACCAACGAGGCGCCTGTGGGCATCAAGGCCGGTCTGCGTGCGTCGTACCAGTGGGTCAACCAGGTATGTGGCATGGAAGGGTCGTGGTAGGGATGGAAGGGACCTGTGGGAGAGAGCAGGAGGGTGTGTTGCCTGCCGTAGCTAGTAACATGGCTTTAAATTGGTGTCGTGTTTCCAATATTGAACTAGCTGTGTCCCACACCTGTCCCACACTTCTCCGGCAACACCCGCAGGACATGCTGGACATGGTGTCACGCCAGGAGTGGCGGCAGCTGCTGTTCGTCATGTGCTTCCTGCACTCGGTCGTGCAGGAGCGCCGCAAGTTCGGGCCCATCGGCTGGAACGTGCCGTACGAGTTCAACCAGAGCGACCTGTCGGCCTGCGTGCAATTCCTGCAGAACCACCTGTCGGAGATGGACGCCAAGAAGAGCCCGCAGCCCACCTGGGAGACGGTGCGCTACATGATCTCCGCCATTCAGTACGGTGGCCGTATCACGGACGACTTCGACAAGCTGCTGATGGACACGTTTGCGGAGAAGTACTTCCTCCAGGTGTGTGGCGCATGATCTGCCTTTCGGCCTGGGCTCACGGGTATTGACCCATGTTGCGGAGTACAGGGTAAAGGGGACTCGCCTTAGGTTTTCCGGTGGTACGGTAACCTTCTAGGCAAGCTCATTTCCTTCAAAAACCGTCTTCTTACCGCCTTCCTTTGCCCCCGCAGCCCGTGTTGGCGCCCAACTACGAGGTGTTCAAGGACGCGCGCACAGCGGATGGCTTCAGCTACCGTGTGCCCGACTCCACCGACATTGACGCCTTCCGCTCCTACATCGAGACGCTGCCGGGGACGGAGTCGCCCGAGATCTTCGGCCTGCACCCCAACGCGGACATCACGTTCCGCACGCTGCAGGTGCAGGAGTCCATCGTGACCATCCTGGACACCATGCCCAAGGGCGGCGGTGGCGGCGGCGGCCTGAGCCGTGAGGACGTGGTGGACAAGATCTGCGAGGACTTGCTGTCCAAGGTGGGTTTGGCAGGGGGGTGTGAGGGACGGCTGGGAAACCTATGCGGCTTGGTTGGTTCTAGCAAAGTCCGCCAGAATGTCTAGCGTGCTAAATTTGGGAAGGTGCACAACCTTGCTCCTGTCCTTGCCACACCGTGTAACCGAGGCCATGTTTCCATGTTCCCTCAGGCGCCACCTCTGTTCGATAAGGAGGAGAGCAAGGAGAAGCTCAAGAAGCTGCCCGGCGGCCCCACCATGCCGCTCACCGTGCACTTGCGGCAGGAGATTGACCGCCTCAACATCGTCACGCGCCTCACCACCACCACCCTCAAGAACCTGCGGCTGGCCATTGCTGGCACCATTGCGCTGTCGGGTGGCCTGATTGAGGCTCTGGACGCGCTCTTCAACGCGCGCATCCCCAGCTCCTGGCTGTCCAAGTCGTGGGAGGCATCTACGCTGGGCAACTGGTTCACGGGTCTGCTGCAGCGCTATGACCAGCTGAACAAGTGGCTCAACCTGGGCCGGCCGAAGGCCTACTGGATGACGGGCTTCTTCAACCCGCAGGTACGGCGGTTGAGAAGTGGGCGGGGGCTATTGCTTTGGGTGTGGTGTTGTCCCGCTGTGTATTCTGTTAGTCACTGATGTTCCAAAAGCTCACATGTTACCGACTGCCCCGACAACAGCACAGCTTCAAACCATGTTGCTAACCTGCCTTCCCCGTATGCCCCCTTTCCTTTCCCTCCCCAGGGCTTCCTGACGGCCATGAAGCAGGAGGTGAACCGCAAGCACGCCGCGGACAAGTGGGCGCTGGATGACGTGGTCATGTCCTCCGAGGTGACGCACCCGCCCAAGGACTTTGAGAGCCTCAAGGAGGGGCCGCCCGAGGGCGTTTTCGTGTACGGCCTCTACCTGGACGGCTGCGCCTGGTCGGGCCGCGAGAACAAGCTGGTCGACTCGGACCCCAAGAAGCTCTTCAACCCGCTGCCGGTGCTGCACGTGACGGGTGTGCTGGCAAAGGACAAGAAGCGCTCCGGGCTGTACGAGGCGCCCACCTACCGCGTCAAGGCGCGCAAGGGCCTCAACTTCATCACCACCTTCTCGCTGCGAACCGAGGATGACAAGTCCAAGTGGATCCTGCGCGGTGTGGGTGTGCTGTGCTCCATCGACTAAGCGGCGGCAGTGGCGGCGGGGCGGAGAGATCGAGAGTGTGGTGTTGGTGTGGCTTTGTACTGTATACCATGAAAGAGCGGCAGGGCTGAGAGTTCCTGAGAGTGTTTGAGACTTGAGCGGTTGCTAGCGGGGCTTTGAGAACGGTTGGGATTGATAAAGCTTGTTCGGTTGAGGCGGTGCATGTGTGAGACACCGTTTCGCCGTATGTCAGGACGGATGACGACCAATTTGTCGTCATGGCAGGCGCCGCACTGCGAGTGCTTCGTGAGTATGTAAGGATATGTACACCTAGATGGCTCCATTGTTACCGCCTGAAACACGAACACTTGCATGTTAAGCTGTTGGGAGTAGTCTGCATGCTGTTTGCAATTAAGGGGCATAGGGGCGTGGACAATTCAGCCTTGGCATACGTTGCTGTTCCCTCAGATACCGGTAGGTATTAAGGGGTACCACCTCACGGTTCATAACCAAAGCCACAGAAGGAAACCGCAAACGTGTCAGGCCGCGAACCATGCAGGTCCTCTCACCATGTCATAGGTTATGTCTATGCTAGGCGTCTGGTCAGGAAAGCAACCGAGCATGTCTAACAGCTCCATTACCACACCCGAATAACAAGGCGTAACGTTTGACCATGTTTGCCTCCACCCTCTCAGCTCACTCCTACCTACAACTCGAATGGACAAGGTCTCTCGTTCCCTAGCTGCTTCTGTGCGTGTTGCCAACTGCCCCTGGATATCAAAATGGGTATGCTGAACATCTAGCAGTTCAGCAATGGCATTCGGTTCACGTTCCTGCTGATAGCCGCAGCTGATGCATCAGGCAATGCTACTGCGCGTTCGAGGTGAACATCAACGTTGCGGTCCGCGAGCCCCTCATGCTAATTGAACCCCGTCCCCAAGGCCTGTGGACTTCGTCTATATGACGTGTAAACCTCACCCGACCAATCGGTGACCCGCGTTCTTCCGTGCCACTCCTAAACGTACGACACTCCTGCGTTCACTCCACCTACTTTGCACACGTGCACATTTGACCTACAAAGAAGCCTACATCTATCATCTGGCGTGGCTGCTAGTAACCGGTACCCTCTGCCCCCCCTCCCCGTGAGCCTGCCCTATCAATACCCCAAGCTCTGCTCCACCTATCCGCAACCCCTGCTGCAGCTGCTCTTTCCGCTGCGCCTGCTGCTGCGCGGCCCGCACATCTACACCTCCAGACTGCATCCGCTGTTGTTGCTGCTGCCGCTGCCCGTGTCGCACTGCCGCCACATGCTCCCCAACCACCGCCCGCAACGCCTGCCCCAGCTCCGGACTCAGGTCCGCCGCCTCCCGCAGCATCAGCGCCACCCGCCGTGGCGACATCCTGGGAAGCGCCCGCCGCACCGCTATCCCTGCAAACCCCGCCTGCCACTGCGGCGGCGGCACCCGCCGCAGCCTCAGCAGCACGCCGGGCACTTGCGCCAGCTGCGCCGGCGGCAGCGCGGCACAGCTCCGCGAGTATCGCCGCATGGCCGCAGCCACCCAGTCCCAGCTGCACGTCAGCCCAAGCGCCTGCACACGACTTGCCGCCAGCAGTGTCGCATGCAGCAGCCTCGGGGACATGGCTTCCAGGCGAGGGCTGCACGCCAGGCACCAGGACAGCAGCAGGTCCTCCAGGGCGGCCCGCCGCAGCCGCACACGGCCCCGCAGCTGCGCTACCAGGTCCAGCCAGGCGGGGTACTGAGCGGGCGGGAGTTCATGGGCCAGACGCTGCAGGGCGGGGAGACCCCAGGCCGCCCAGTGGATGTCGCGAACGACGCCGACAGTCGCGGCGCATTGCAGCGCAGCTAGCCGGGCTTGCGGGGGCGAGGTCGTCGGGTTGGGCTGCATGACAGGTGGTGGGCTGCTGCTGGCTGAGGAGGAGGAGGGTGGGATGCGCAGGTGCCGTACAAGCTGATGTCGTACGACGGTACGGAGCAGGGGCCACAGGTGCGCCCAAATGTACTTGTCGAGCGGCGATGAGGAGGAACGAAATGGCTGCCATGCCGACCTCCTTCGTTGAAGCAGCCGGGACCCAACGGTACGGAGGCTGGATGCATGGAGGGGAGAAGATGCTGGTCCCGACGGTCGCCGCCACCGCAGCCGCCGCTTCCCATCGCGCCTTGCGGCTAGTCCGCCAAGCGGGTGACCCTCCGTTTGCGTCTTCTTCTCCTTTTTCCCGTTCTCTTCCTCCTTGTAGACGGCCCGGAGAAACTGCACCACACGCAGCGCCAACACCACCAACTGCACATCCACCAGCTGCTGCCCCCCCTGCCCCTGCCCCACCCTCCCACCTCCACCACCTTCACTACCCTCCTCGCCATCACCCTCCTCGTCCCCGCCCAGCTCCCGCATAGCCCCCACCTGCAGCTGCGCCCACCTCCGGGACATCGCCCAGGGCGGCGGCGGAACCGCGGGTCTCAGCCACCACACCAGCCGCCGCATCACCTGCTGACACCACCCAGCCGGCGGCGCCACCCGCCACATCACCAGCAGCTCCAACACCATGAACAGCTGCCAGTCGGGCAGACCCGTGGGTCGCAACCCGGGGTGCGAGGCTAGCGCCTGCTGCAGTCGTCCGGGGGTCCCCGGCGGCACGCCTAGCCGACCTGCAGCCCACAGCAGCGGCACCAGCTCCCCAGGCGGCGCGATTAGCAGCTGTCGGTCCAGTACGACAAGTACGGCTCGGCGCTGAGCCGTGGATAGCCACATGCGCAGCCGGCTGACACTCCAGAGCAGTGTCGCCAAGTTGCGTAGCGGCCAAGGGCGGTGGGGGAGACTTGGCATGGCCGGCTCCTGCTGAGGAGGCTGTGGGTGTTGCAGTGGCCGAAGCTGCAGCTGCTGCTGCTGCTGCTGCGGGAGTGCTGCTGCTGTAGTGGTAGTGGAGGCGTGGATAGCTGGCGGAGGAGCGAGGGAGGCACATGCCAGGCGCAGCATGTGCAGCACGAAGGGCCGGACCACGGAACCGCCCGCTGTATGGCCTGCTGCGTTGGGACCGGGGGGAGGGCTGCCCGGGCTGCTGCTTGGCTGCTGGGGAGGCCTCCTCGGGGCGGCTGTGGCGGGAGGGCCTGCCTTCACCCGCATGTCACCACCACTGTCGGGACTGCGAGCCGAGACCGCATGCGAGCCGGGCGGTGGACGGGATGTTGTGGGAGCTGCTGCGAGTGCCGCTGCGGAGGAGCGCTGCAAGGGGGATAAGGATGACGATGTCGGGATCGCGGGGCTGGGAGGAGGTGGTCCTGAAGGCATGCTGGCTGCCACCGGTGGTGGTAGCGGCGGTAGGGAGGGAGAGCCGTCTGCCGCAGGCACCGGCCGCCCCGGCCCCCGCTGCAGAACCTCCTCACGCCGCCCGCCCGACCCATCAGCCCCGGGAGCAGCCAGCGGCGGCAGCCCTACCCTCCTCTGCGCTGCGGCGTCACTCATTTCTTCTTCCTCTTCCCCAAAACCCTCGAGCGGCGTTTGCGCCTCAGCGCTGTTCCTGGCTGCATGGCACCGGCTCCGTTCGTGTGCGCCGTTTTCCGCGCCCTGTACGTCCTGCTGTGTACCCGCCTGCCTGTCAACTACAGCTGCCTCAGCCGGTCCCGGCTGGTGGTGTAGGTTTACTGCTTGCTGCGCCTCGGATTGCGGCTGCTGCTGCTGCTCTTCCCCATGCGGCTGCTGACTTTGCTGCTGCTGTAGCCACAACAACCTCTGCTGCCGGTGTTTCATCTGCTGCTGCTGCTGCTGCGCCACAGCCGCTTTCCGCTTTGCTGTGTACAACAGCACCAGCAAACGGCATATGTCCGCCGCCAGCTGCGGATCCCAGCGCTCGTACGGCACTCCGCCGTACAGCAGCGCCGCCAGCGTGGCGTCGCTAGGGTTGGCGCCCCACCGCTGAGTACACGTCAGCAGCAGTGCCACGTCGCTGACTGACAGTCTGTGCCGCGGACCCATCACCTGCCGCTGACCCTCCGCAAACCTGACACCATGACTCCCAGCTGCGCTGGCGGCGGCTGGTGCTGCAGAGGGTGCTGCATGCTGAGGGCTGCTCTGGGGCCCTGGCAGCCTGGGGACGGCACCTGGGGGGGATGATGAGGGTGTTGGTGGTTCCGTTGCATGCGGCTGATGGTGTTGTTCATGTTGCAACTGCGGCGGTGGTGACGACGGTGACGGTGGCAGCGGAGACAGCTCTGACAGCTGCAACACCCGGCGGAAGAAGGCCTGCCGCCAAGCGGGCTGCGGCAGGTAGCCTGCCCGAGCCAGCGCCGAGCCGCACTGCAGCAACGCAGTCACGGTCCAGCTACCGCGGCCGGTGTTGCCGCCGCCGCCGCTGCTACCACTGTCACTGCTGCTGCCGCTGTCACTGCTGCCGCTGCCGTACGCGCCCTCCAGTACCGCCGCCGCCACCGCCTGCAACATGCTCCGCGGACAGCTGTACGGCAGACAGGCCTCCGCCCCTCGCATCCACGTCAGCAGCAGCCGCGGCCGCAACACGCAGTGCCGACGCTGCAACACGGCGCGCAGCGCCGTTCCTAGCCAGCGTTCCGCGTCCCGGTTGCCCCTGAAACATGCCGACATCCCTCCACCGCCACTTCCACCGCCATTCCCGCTACCGTTACAAGCACTGGCGCTGGCACTGCTGCCTCCTCCTCCTCCTCCTCCTCCTTGGTTGTCCGCTTGCCCCCATGCAGCCGCCGTCTGAAGGCATCTTAGCAACCAGGATCCGCTCATGCCGTACAGCCGCCCCTCCGCTGCCTGGAACCAAGCCTGCTGCCAAGGCTCCGACATGTGTTCGTCTCCCTGGGTTACGAAACCTGCTGACCTGGTGCTGCTGGAGGTGCCACCCTGCGGTGTTGCTGCGACGGAGCCCGAGGGAGCGGGTGACAGCGCATCGGATACGGCAGCAACCGCGTGCGCCATGCTCTGCGGTTGCGGCACCGCTTGCAGCAGCCTCAGCTGCAGCGGCAGTTGCAACCGCTCCAGCGCCCAGCCGGCCATTACAAGGCTCTGGTCGGGCATGCTGGTCAGCCCGAGGCGCAGCTGAGCAGCGGCTGCGGCCACCAGCGCTGGCGGCGGCGACAACACTGGCAGCAGCTGCGGCTGAGATTGCTGCTGCAGCATGGTCTCATTTTCACCACCCAACATGCCGCCACCGCCCGACATACCAGCCAACGGTACGGTGCCTCTTCCCCCTGCTGCTGCTGCCACTACCGCCCTCCGGCGCTGCAACACGTCCCTCAATCGCGCCAGCGACCACACAGCCAAACTAAGCTGCGCATCAGTGCAGATCTTGCGCGCTTGGGAAGAGGAAGAGGAGGATGTCCGGTAGGAATGGCTGGTGGGGATGGCGCTGTCGCCGCCGCCACCACCGTCGCTCCCGTCACTGCTGCTGCTGCTTTCGCTGGCATGGCCCCTGCTTGCAACCGCTGCTGCCGCCGCCGCTGCTAGTGCCGTATAGTAGCTCCGAAACCAGTAGCGCGGGATGGGAGATGCCAGTGATGAGGACTGCTGTGATGACGACAGCTGAGGTGGCGGTTGTGACGGCGGCAGGGAAGGGTGTGTCGTGAAAGGAGAGGTAGCAGCAGGAGCTGCAGCTCTGGTTGAGTCATCGTCCAGGAGCGCGGACAGCGCCCACACCATGTTTGCTAGCGCCTCTCCGTCCGCGGTTGCCAGGCACGGCGCGCTATCCTGCAGGAAACGAGACAGCCAGGCATCGCCCGGCGGCTGAAAACCCACGGCAGAAGCCTCAGCCTGAGCCCCAACCTCAGCCTCCGCGTGTCGGCTGCTGCTGCTGCTGACGTCAGCGCCAGGGTCAACGGCGCCGCCGACGCCGTCAACGTTGACCGACACCATGCGCGCCAAGGACAGTAGCACGTTGGATACGCTGTGCGCTGGAAGCCGCGGCGCCATGCGTGCAGTTGCGGTGTAGAAATCCGACATCCAGCCTCGCCCTGGCGCCAGTCGCAGCTCCGAAACCGCCCAAATGAGCTGCGACAGCCCCTCCTCGCTGAAGCTACCCGTCCGCAACATGTCCTGCGCGGCAGCCATAGCTCGCGGCACCCACCCGTGGCTGCTGCTGCTGCTGGCCCCCGTAGCAGCATAGTCCTCTTCCGTCGGATTGCGCGTGACGCCGAGCGAGGCCACCGCCCACAGCGCGTTGGCCACGTGCCGAGCCTCCATCGCACCACCGCCACCGCCACCGCGACCCCCGGCAACGGGCCCAGACACGGGTTTCCTGGCGCTGACCCGTGGGTCGGCGACAGGAAGGCTCAACAGCATAGCGACAAGCCTCCGCGCTTCCGCCTGCAGCGACGCCGCTGCTCCCTCGCAACCGCTTTCCACTGCTGCTGACACTGCCGGCCCTGCACCTCCATAGCCACCCTCCCCCTCATCAGCATCAACACCGCCGCCACCGTCACCAATGCTGCTGCCGCCGCCGCCACGGTCCCCTACGGACCCCCTCCCCGAGCTCAGCAGCTTCGCCAGCGCCCAGCTGATGTTGGCAATGCCCCGTGCGTCCAACTGCGCGGCTCGGCTCTCCACAAGCGACATCAGCCGCCGCAGGAAGGACCGCCAGGCCTGCTGGTCCTGCTGCTCTTGCTGGCTGCCTCCACTGATGCCCCCAACAGCGCCACCGTCCTCTTCGCCGTCAGCTGTCCCCAGCCGCGACCAGGCTGCCCGTGGCGGCGGTGGTGGCGTCTGCAGGTGTGTGAGCCGTGTCGCAATGGCCGTGACGTGTACGGCATTCAGCTGTTGGTGCGTTGATGACGTCATCAGCAGCAGCTCGTCCAGTTGTCGCCATGAGGTGCAGCCGGTGATGCGCGTCGTGAGCTGAGCGGGCTGCATCAGGGGGTGGTGGTGGTGGTGGTGGTGGTGTGGACCGCTGCTGCTCCCCTTGTTGCCTGGGCCGCTGCCGGCACCAGGACTGCTGCTGCTACCGCTGACTTGTCCAGCGCTGCTTCTGCTGCGGTCGCTACGGCTGCTGCTACGACTGCTGCTGCGGCTTCTGTCGGTATCTTCACCGCGGCCGCCCGAGGGGTTGTTAGGTGGGTGCCTGCCACTGTGTTTTGCTCCGGTCGCCCTGGAGTGTGATGTGGCGCCGCCTGCTGCTGTCGAGTGTTGTGTGTTCCGGTGCCGTGGCGAGGGAGGTGGCGAGGGAGGTGGCGATGGCGGCGGCGGTGTCAGGGACTGCTGCGGTCTCTGGTGGTGCGCTTTGGCGGGTGCTGGGGGAGAGCTGCGCCCCCCACGATGTCTTGTCGACACTGGGGTGGCGGCATCATTACCGCTACCATCATCATCGTGTCGTACGGCCCCCCCATCACTACTGCCACGGCAAGAGGGCTGACAGCGAGTGGCATCGTCAGCACTGCCGCTCATGTGCGCACCGGCTCTGCTGGCGTCGCCCATGATGCCGCCACCGCCGGTACCGCCGTCGCTCCCGGTGTTGTCGCATGCGCCGCCGCCGCTGCTGCTGCTGCTGGGGCGCTGGTGCAGGGGCGTACCGGTGCACTCCCGCCCAGCCTCGCAGCTCCCGCAGCATGAGGAAGAGGACTGGGCCCGCTGCTGCTGCTCGTGCTGCTCCAGCGTCGGTCCCTCATCCCCCTTCACCTGCCTCCACTGCCGCTGCTGCTGCCGCTGCTGGTCCGTACGGCCCCCCGGGAGGTGACGCGCCCGGGCCCCGCTGCCTGCTGCTGCTGCTGGGTGGCGGTCCGCGTTGCCTCCCTGCTGGGAGGAACAGAAGCAACCCAACAGCGGCAGGCAGACCCACAGTTGAAGAGTTGCAGGTAGACCAGGAGCGACAGACAGCGGGCAAGGTTCGGTGCTTCTGTCAAGCCCCAAGTGTCAAGTCGCAAACGGGTCGCGTTGCCGGCAGCAGCAGGCGACAGGTTGGGGATATGCGCATGCAGGGGCGAAACGCAATGGCATGGTTGTGGGGTGTTTTTTGTGGGGACAGCGCGGCGGGGCGTTGGGGAGGAGCGCAGGCAGCCACGCAAGCAGGCGACGTTGGGGGTTGTTAGAGGGCTATGCGTTGCGTTGCAAGGGGAATGGAAGGGGGGGTCGTGCTCAGCCCGCACCTGATCCACATATTGAAGGTCTAGGCCGATTCTGTGGTGGTGGTTGTGGGCAAGTGGAAGGCTATCCAGGGTCGTAGCCAAGGTATTGGCGCAGCAACAAGAAGTCGAGGAGCAGGCCAGACGCCCACTTGCAATTCGTTCCTCCTGGGTGGCGGGAAGGGGCGGGGCGGGTTGGCATGTGGATGCGTGGGTTCTCTATCTACCACACAGCTATGGACGTGACCGAGGTTAGTGGTTACAGTGGTTCTAGCAAGCAATCCCATTATCGCCCGCGCATCGACTCACATCTTGACTGTAGCTTTGCGAATTGATGTCTGTCGTGCGCTGCGAGATTCGCCGGGTGGGGATACGAGCCCTGCAAGCGCCCATGCGCGCAAGAGAACGACACGTCGCGTGAACTGTTCAGACGGTCGATAAAAGGCAATTCGAACGGCGCTATGTGCGCACCATGGCAGGCAGTGAGAGCTTGAGAAGCCTCTCAGCTCTTGACCCGCACATCGGCTGTCCAGCATACCAGCCGCTCGCGCCTCCAGCCGACCGCCTCAGCGGCCCGAGCCTAGAGATTCGATCACCTGTGCTATTTTATACTGCCATTTAAATTGCAATTACAAATTATGGCTATGCGGACGACCGGCCGCGAATATAGGCCCTCCACCACAACCAACTAAACGTCACAGAAAGAGCCAGGCCAATCAGTTTTTCCAGGGTAGTAAAAAGCCATAAGAAGGGTACATCAGGTATGTGTAGCGCGTCTGCACGGCTTCTACCGCATTGTCACCGTGCCAGCCTATGCGCAATCGCCACCACCCTGGACCCCAATATACTTGCAAGATTTCACTATGCGTATACAATTGCTATAACTATAATTATATGATAACTGGTTACACACATTCCAAGGTTGCCGCTGCGTCCTTATCCTGGATCCAGGCAAGGCGTTTCACATGCACAATTGCGCTCCCGTGTCTTCATATGTACGTATCATTTGCTTGTATCATGCCCTTGTAATCTGCGGTGAAAGTTCCAGCAGACAAGTCACCAGCTGTCAGGCCGCAACGACCCCAACAGTGCCACTATGAAGGGCAGCTTATTATAAGCCATCTAGCCTTTCATCAGTGGGGGCCAGCGTGAAGCATCTCCCTGCAGCAGCACAGGGCGATGGACGAGAGGAAGCGATTTGATTGTGGCTGGAGGAGGGAGACTCTGTTACGCTCCCATGAGCGTGAAGATAACGCGAGGAACGTGCTTGTCGTGCCGCTTCCTCCCTCTCCGATACCTACCCAATCGAGCTCCAACCCTAGCCGTCCCCCTACTCATCTCCAACCGTAGGTTAGGGGAAATTCAACCTCCGCCCATGAGGTTTAGGAGGGTGTCGAGGCCGTGTTCATCTAAGCAACCGCCGGAGGTTAGATCCGGGAGATCCCCTAGCCTACGGTAGGTTAGGGGAAATTCAACCTCCGCCCATGAGGTTTAGGAGGGTGTCGAGGCCGTGTTCATCTAAGCAACCGCCGGAGGTTAGATCCGGGAGATCCCCTAGCCTACGGTTGGAGATGAGTACGGGGAGGGCTAGGGTCGGAGCTCGATTGGGAAGGTATTAGAGAGGGAGGAAGCGGAACGATAAGCGGGAAGGGAGATTCTGGAGGTTCAGATAGGGGAATTCTGGAGGTTCAGATAGGGGAACTCCCTTCCCGCTTGTCATGCCGATTCCTCTCTCGTCGATTCCTTCCCAATCGAACAGGATCTCTCTCTAGTCGCAATCAAAGCGCCTTCTCTCATTCCTCGTCCTGTAGCAAATCGCCTGACAGAGGCGTGTGGAAGGCGAAGATAGACGAACTAAATGACGCGCTCACGGCTTCTGCTGCAGCTGATGTCTACCGCTGACAAGCCGCCTAGCTGCCATAGGTGCGCCTCCTAGCTACAGCACTCATGACGTCTGAGATTAAGGCTGCCGCTCACGCAATTTGTTAGCAGGATGATGGCACCGAGGGGCACCCGTTCTTCCTAAACACTTGTTGGCGGCATGCCGTGGCACGATCCGCAGTCGTCGGGGTATTCATGGTCCAGCGTATGTGGCGTGGAGCCACACCTTCCATCTGTGATGTGCTAACCGTGGGGCCAACCGTGGGGCCTACCAAGCAGCCTGACTCTGGGAGGGATGACGGATAGGCTGTGACAACAGGCGGTTGCTTACCAGTGTGGCTCTGTTGCTTGAACTCGCCAGGTTGCATCGGCCATAGTCTTCTGAAAACGTTGCTGAGGTGTGGACGCAGGAGTGCAGGTTGGACCCCACGCTAACGGAAAACGGTGTCCAGCGTACCAAACCACCGGACTAGTTCGTTAGCAGCGCTATGCATCAGCTTTGCTACGACTGCGAGCATTTTGGTGTAGGCCTTGCAAGGGGTTTTGCGGCCTCCACACCGTTACACACTCTTGTAGATATGCTGACACGATGAGCGGACCACCACCCTCCGTAAATAATGGAGGGCAAAAACGCTTGGTTTCAGGCTTTCTCTTAATAACTTGCATAAGCATCGTTCTCTTGACTGGGCCAGTCTGCTTAGCGAAGCAAGCGAAGCAGCGGCGAAAGGCGCAGCAGGAGCGACCGAAGGAGCCTCTGCTATGGACTTATGAAGTTGTAGCCGAATATCCACACGACCCAAAGGCTTTTACACAAGGCGAGTCTCCGGCCCTTGGGATGACCGATGCTCTTCGCCATCGGGACCGACTCTTTCGCCTGCCCCAGCGCAGGTCTACAGTTTGACCGCTCTTGCGACAACAGCAGCAAAACATGCTATGATGTCTTCTGGGAGTCAACAGGTGCGAAAGTGCCTCACCTTCGGGTGGGCGCCCGTGGGTCTGTTCAATTGCCCTTGCCATCCTTACTGCTGCGGAGTAGCACGTCACACCGGCGACGAAGTACTACTACATCCGTTGTGCTTATTCATTCCCCCTTCTCTGTGCATGCTTATTGTTGCCATACAGCTGACTATGCCTTTGCTAGCCACAGGGAATACTCACATCTCCACACCCCACACCTTCACCCCAACCCCCCGTCCCCTCTGCTGTCCCCCCCTCCCCCTCTCATCAGGCCTGAACGGCCAGTCCAGCATTCGTCAGGTGGATCTGGTCAGCGGAGCGGTACGGCAGTCCCGGCCGCTGGGTTCGGAGCACTTTGGTGAGGGCTCCACGCGGCTGGGTCGCTGGCTGTACATGATCACCTGGCGCAGCGGGGCGGGGTTCCGGTTCAGCCTGGACCTGAAGGAGGTGGGAGGAGGGGAGTAAGAATATGGAAACTGGCGAGGCAATTAACGAGCTGAAGAGGAGGGGAGGGGGTGGGGAAGGTTGTGGTGTGTGTAGGGTGGACTCGAAAGGGGCTGTTGATGTTCTTGGAGTGATTGGGTTGGTGGGGACGAGGCTGCCTTCATACCTTCTTTGCTTGGCTGCTGCCGGTCAACTGCACCACACGGAAAAAACGTATTGCTAGCGGCTGGAGATAATGACTGGGACAACGGTGATTGTCCTCCCCACCTCGTTCTCCTGCCCCCCTCCCCTCCCCGGCCCCCTGCCAGGCTGAGCCCTTCGACACGGGTCTGGGTGACGGCTGGGGCCTCACGACGGATGGAACGCACCTCATCGTGAGCGAGAGCTCGCAGGTGGGGGGTGGGGGTGGGGAAGCCGGGTAGGGGGGTGAAAGGGAGGAAACTGACGAACTGTATAACGAGGGTCACAGACATACCGGATCCACAGGTTAGGGTGGGGGTGTGAGAAGCCGTGTAGATGGGCAGGTTGATGCAGCCTAGGCGCGCTGCTGCTTCACGCTCCTTCTCGTCGCCAGAGCCCCTTACCTTCGTCCCCCGTGCCCTGTCGCCGGTCCGATCCCACTCCCACTCCCATTTGGGCACTTTTACCCCCCCACCACCACCCCCCCACACACATCTATCAGGTGATTCACTTCTTGGACCCAGCCACGATGAAGGAGGTACGGCAAGTGTACGTCAGTATGGGCTTCTTGGCAGTTGCCGTACAAGTGGCTACCGTACAATCCTATGCCTGCTTCTTGTGTTTTAGCACCTTCACCACTACAACTCATCATCTCTCTTGACCACTTCCTTCCTCCGTGGGTTTGTTGTCATGACCCTAGCACTGGCATGTTGATATGGCTTGTACGACAGTGCTCACGTGTGCATTTCCCTGTACGGCATTTCCGCATGCGGCAGGTACGGCGGATCACGGTGACGGATCGAGGTCACCCTCTTCACTGGATGAATGAGGTGCGGGGGCGGGGGCGGGGGCGGGGGGCGGAAGTGGATAGATGCCGGGGAGGGAGAGGGAGAGGTATCCCGAGGGGGCGGGAAGGGGAGGTCAAGGCTGCTGCGACGCGGCGGGGAGCAACCCATGGCTGACCATCAGCCCATGTGAGCGTTAGACCTTGTACGTAGTAGGTATTGTGCGTTATACGTTACGTTATGTGGCCTGCCGTACACCTGTGTATGTACCACAGAAGTGTGCTGTTCGACCTCCTCCAACATCCAACAACTCCCCCAACGACCCGTTACTCTGCTGCATGTACTACACCTGTACAACACCTCGCTGCCGACTTGATCCATGTACGGCAAACACTCCTCCTCCTCCTCCCCCTTTCTCAGCCCCGTCTTATGCGGTTGCTTACCGGTAGTTCCTTCCTCTTTTCCTCCCTCCTCCTCCTTTCTTCTTGTTTCCTCCTTGCCTTCCCCACTTCTCACTTCTTTCCCCCCACCCCCCACCCCCACCCCGCAGTTGGAGATGGTTGAGGGCGAGTTGTGGGGCAACATCTGGCAGACGGAGTGCATTGCACGGGTGGACGCGAGCAGCGGGCAGGTGCTGGGCTGGCTACAGCTGCACGGGCTGCGGGAGGGGCTGGTGCGGCGGGGGCTGGCCAGGAGCAACGACATGGACGTGTTGAATGGTGAGCGGGGGGGGGGGAGTTGGGGGATGGGTGCCGGTGGAAGTTGGGGGGTGGGTGTCGGTGGGAGTTGGTTGAAGAAGGGAAAGCCGGGTCGTGGATAAGGGAGGGAGCAGGGAGGGGTTGGTTCAGCTGCTGAAGGATTGGGTTGAAGGGTGGGAGGCGCTGGAGTTGCTGCTGGGGTGGAGATGGTTACTATGCTGTACCTCGCCCTCCTCCCCACACACCCGCCCATGGTGAAGCCCCGTCATATAGCTCGTAAGTTTCCACTTTTTACCCGCCCACCCGCCCGCCCGCCCGCCTCCCTGCCCGCATGCATGACCGGGCCCTCCCGCAGGTATCGCGTACGACCCCTCCTCCAAGCGCCTTTTCGTGACGGGCAAGCTGTGGCCGCGCGTGTTTGAAATCGTGCCCAAGCCCTTCCCGCCGGGCCAGGCGCCCTCTTGGGAGGCTGTCAACCGGCTGTGCTGGCCTAGGATGCAGTACGGCATGTTGTAGGCGTGTCCGCGGCATGTTGTGTTTAAATAACTGGCATGTTGTGTGTGATTAAGGGGGTGTGTGGCTCCGCACAAGGCTGGAATAAATTAAGGAATCAATAGTTTGTAGGGAGGAGGAGTGCTGGGTGCGGTACGGCGGCGGCGCGATGGATGTAAGGAAGTGCGTACGGCAGGATCGTACAATGGAGGTTTTGTGTAGGGGTGATTTAGTAATGTACGAATGGTTGTTGACGTGGACTGTGCCTTGACAAATGCCGTTTAGAGGAAGACTCCGCACAGCCGTAAACCACATGTACAGATGTACTTCACTGCAGTCCGCGCGCTGTAACCAACGAAACGGTGTTTGTAGCTCAAGTTGGTCTGGCTGTCCATCGTTGGTACTGGACTTGGTTACTGGACTTGGTTAGCATGAGGGGTTGAGCTGCGGCCTTCCCGTTTGTCCTGGCTTGTCGGTGGCTTAATCTAGGTGGGAGGATGCAGCGGGGCAACGGCGCAGCAGTTGGTGAGGCAGCAGTAAGTCGGCGAAAAAGGGAAGCGGTTAGGAGGGACACGAAAACGGAATGTCGTGTTGTGCAGGGATGGTGGATGGAAGAACAATTGCGCCGGGCGCCTTGCCTTGCGCGGTACGGCATGAACCCGTTGTAAGTGGACGCGAAGGGAACAAGCATCCTCGAATAATGTGACATGTTCGAGTATACTGCGTCTTAGGTATGTTTGCTTCCATCTACCGTATACGAACCTCCTGCTAAACAAGGTTGCGTAGCCATGGGGTATACGTCTATACGAAAATGAGCCCGTTACCATATTGCAATGCAGCATCTTAAGTACGTTTTGTAGAATTGTGCTCGGACAACCTTACCTGTCAAAGAAGCAGCGCAGGACAATGGGCTACAACCCTTTCCTCCTGTTTAGTTTCCTTGCTGTGATCTCCCACATCAACTTCACGAAGGCGACTCTTTCCGTGCAAACCGTATCTGAAGTACATAAAATATCGGTTCCAGCACCTCGGAATTTGCCATCAGATGCTTGGAGGCCAACCATCCTGACGTCGTGTCCCGCGCTGTTCTATAATGAGTCAGCGCCATGTCGGATCAATACGAACATCGTGTACGCCGAGGAGCTGATATACCCAGATTTTCGCATCCGACTTCCAGGAGTTGTCTCCGAGGAGCAACGGCAGATGTACCTGCTGTTCCTTCACGAATACCGCAACGATTGGAAACGTGGCCGCGCCATAGACGGTTACGGCTACTTCCTCAATCAGCGCGGTCAAAACCTGGTGTACGCCAATGTCTCCTACGCCGGCAGGCCCTATCCCGGCCGATGGGCGGAAGATGCGTGCATGTCCGGCCGTGCCGGCTCACACGCGAACTCATTCCCGCCTTGGGACGGCAACGCAGAAGCGCCTGCAGCCGTCTTCATCGCCTCTCCCGATCACACCTACTTTCAACACTTCCTGGACCGAGTAGCCATGATGCTCGCGCAGACCCGGCATCTAGGTCGACCCGAGGACTTCAAATACATCTCGCTTCCCATTCCCTTGCGGTCACCCGTACAAGAACTATGGACCATGATGGTTCCCGGCTGGACTCCAGAAACCTTGCTCCGAGCCAATACGCCCAACCTGCGAACCCGGCTGCTTGTCTACCCCTGCCAGTCCCCGCTTATCCACCCCTACACTCAGCAGCTCGCCACGGAGATACTGCTCATGTCTGCGGGAGTGGACCCAAACAGCATTCCGCCTGCCAGGGATCGCCCTGTGGTGCTGTTCATGACGCGGCAGGGCAGCCGCAGGTGGCACAACGAGGACGAGTGCAGGTACGGCTGCTGCTGTTGCTTCATGCATGCCCCAGGGGGGTGTGACACTGTGTTTGGGGGAGCAAAACACAGACGTCCATGCCACCTGTCCTGCACTTCTTCGTGACACAGCGAGCAAACGCAAGAAATGATTCTCCTTGATTCTCCAGTTGCCAATCTGCACACCCGCTGCCACCACCACCAACCACCAACACCCTCCCCTGTCCTGACCCGCTCCCTCGCCCCGCCTCCCATCCAATAACACCTCAACAGGCAAGCCGTGGAGGGGCTGCTTCAAACCCGGGGCCGCGGCGAGCAGCTCATGGCTTTCAGGGCCACGGATTACCCTTCCCTTCGGGCAGTCGCCAACGCAAGTACCCGGGTAAAGCTGGTCATGGGCGCACATGGGGGCGCACTCAACAACATCGCGCTCATGTCGCCCGGAACCGGCGTCCTCGAGATCTGCCCGGTTTCGGGAGACTACCGGAAGTCGAGGTGCGGTGCCATGTTTTGGGAAACCGCGAGTGTACGGAATATGCCGTACTGGGTGGTGCTTGCGAACAACACCAACGCGCAATGGGAGATCCTGTCGTTGGATTGCCGGATGGTGGTTGCGGCGGTTAGGGATGCGTTGGAGGGGATAGACGCGGGGATGCCGAGTCCGTTGGAACGGTTCTACCAAGGAAATGCGTTCCGAAGGACGTCGTAGTGATGTGTTTTTGGTGATCGTATGAGGTAATCGTATAGGTGTTATTTGCAATGATTGCCCAGACGAGCTGTCTGGTGAATGTGGCGGGCGGATTAGATGGTGAAACTGAGGCGACTGGCGCATCCACCATAGTCGTGCGAGTGAGTGATCACAGCGTACATGCCAATATGCGGTAGCTTTGCTCTTCATCCGTTTTTGGTTTGATGATCCCTGTTGATGTGATTGACCGGGAATTTCACGTGATCCGGGTCTGGATCTGAAACCATTCATCGGTTATGGCTTTCCACCCTAGGACGCGGGGTGTAGGGTTTTTTGTTGCCTTCCCTTTCTTTATTAGAGGTGATCTGCGCAGGATGTGCGTACCAAATGTACGGATCTATCTCCGGTTCATTTAGACCCTTTACACGGTCCGTATCTTCCGTTCGCAACACCCTGTGACACGGCCCAACACCACATGACAACACCCCACCCCGCGCTGAATCCGCCAACACCTACGACCGCACCGTACCGGTAAATATCCCAGCAGCTGCAGTACGACAGTAACGCCCGTTGCTCGCACCACATACCCGCGCCCCTTGTGTCGTCCCATGCGCGACACAACCGCACCACCCTGACTCCACCCGCGCCCGCACGCCCCGTGACACACATCCGTGACCTTCTTCCAACCGACCTAAATGTTGGGGCTGCCCCGTCGCATTGTCCGCGACGATAACATGCAGAATGGGGCATCAACCGCACCACGCATCACACCCCTTCACACCCCTTCATACATGCAAGCAAACCACGCGCATGTCACACCGGATGCTCCGACACGAAGGACCGGGGCAGCCGTCCGTCCGTCACCACCAGCCAGTCGCCGCATGTGTGCAGCCGCGCGCCCTGCAGCTGCGCCTGCGGCAACGCCACCCCCCGGCCGCTGGGCAGGAAGGTCACCACACACACCCGCGGCGCGGGTGCCAGGGAGGCCAGGTGCTCGCAGATGCCCAGTCGCTGCTCGGAGTGAAACTTGCCTGGGGGGAGGGAGGAGAGGGGAGGGAATGGAGGGAGGGGGCGAAGGAGACAGACCTAACCATAGGAATCCACATGTGAGGGCAAAGCAGTGGGGATAGGACACGGCAGGGTGCCGCTACAAAACAAATGAGGGTTGGGGTGGAGCTAGGAGGGAAGCGGGGGCCGGGGGTTGGAGGAGGAGCAGCAGGAGTCAAGCGTGCAAAGACAGGGAGAACAGGAAGCGAGGATTGGTAGGGAGAAGAGTGGGTGGGTGGTTGCCTGAACCCTTCCCTTTTCCCCCTTCCCCAGCTCACCGCACACATGCACCACCAGGCCTCCCGAGCCGCCTCCTTCCCCGCCGCTGCCCGCCTCGCCACCTGCTGCCTGCCCCTCCGTCTCTCCTGCCCCGCAGCCCTCCCCCCGCATCTCCCTCAGCGCCCGGGCGATGCTGTCCGCCATGGTCGCGTCCCACACGTTCTGCGCCTCCAGGAAGTTGGAGCGCAGGCTCATGCCGATGTGCGGACACACCCCTCCGCCTCCGCCTCCGCCACTGCTGCTAGTGGTGCTGGTGGTGGTGGTGCCGGCACTGCTGGTGCCTGTGTTGCCACTACTGCCGTTGCTGCCGCTGCTTGCACTACCTGTACTACTAGCAGCAGCAGCAGCAGCAGCAGCAGGGCTGGCAAGGGGCGCCGCCACCTCCTCCTCCTCCTCCTGCTGCTGCTGCTCTCCTGCTCCGGAGCTGTCAGAGCTGGCGTCCTTCTGGCTGGCCTCTCGTGCGCGCTGCGAGGTACGGAGCGGCGTTGGGGGAGGGGGCGGGGTTGGGAGGGGCTTTCCAGGACTAAACTTCGGCCCGTGGGTCGACCACATCCTCTCTCTTTGCAGGTGTACCGTCACGGCCAATCACACCAAACGTCAAACAGCAGTGTCTATTCCTCATCCTCGTCCCCACCCTCCTCCGGCCCTTTCCACGCCCTTCCAAAACCTTTTTTGACCACCCTGCGCTGCCTCTCTGCTATGGCCCCTAGGGACCCCCCTCACTTGGCTCCCTGATCACCATACATCGCCACCTCCAACCCCCACCCCTCTTTCCACCATTGTCGTGCCCTAGGTTGTGGTTTCCTATGGTTCGGTCTATTTTAACCTCACCACCACCACCACCACCACCACCACCAAACCCACCTGCATTGTCCAGCGAATCTTGGCCGCGTAGGCGGCGGAGGGCGGCTGCAGCGGCAGCGGCGGCAGGTGGCGGCGCGAGGCGGGCGGCAGCGACTGCAGCGCCGCAGAGCCGCTGCGACCCACCAGGCTCACGTACCTGCATGGGGGGGGGGGGGATACGCAGGGTATGCATGGGGGTAGCGTCGGGTTCGTGACTCCGGGTAGACGCTGGTAGGCTCTGAAGTGGGTGGGGGTCCACTCCCTCGCTACCACCCACTAATTCGGGCGGGTCGGGCTGGCTAACATGTTGCATCCCATGGTGGCGCCTTACCCTACCCTGCATACGGCTAGTCAGTCGTTTCCTCCTTAACCCACCATCCCCGCCACCTCCCTCCCCACCTGCGCGGTGCATTCGCGCACACCACGCGCGCCCCCGCCTGCCGGGCAGCCAGCACCAGCGGGCGGTAGTCGGCGGAGTAGTTGGGCCAGGGACTGTGTGTGTGTGGGGGGGGGGTGCGGGAGAGGGAGGGGGGAAAGGGAGGGGGGAGGGGAGGGAGGGGGAGATTTCGTGTGAGGACGAGGCCGCCTTGCTGGCAAGGAGAGGGCAGAGGAAAGCGCGCGAGTGGGACACGAAATGACGGATCAGAAACAAGGTAAGACCGGTAACCCCCTTCACATATGGTACCGCCTACCCCATGACACGTCCTGCAGCGCCCATCGCCGTCCGCCCGTAACCCCATCTGCACACCGAGTCTCCCTCCCTGAGCCCCTCCATCCCAGCGCCAAACCCCTGCCCCCCTCCTGCCGGCACCCACCGTGCGTCCTTCATCAAGTCAGCCTCGGTCAGGACACCTGGGGGGTGGGGGAAGGAAGGGGCAGGGGGGAGGGCTGGTGTGTATGTGGTATTGGGACTACTCGGCACATACCCCCTAGCCTCCCCCCGGACCAGCGGTGTGGTGCGGCTTTTTCGTGCGAGAGGACGGAACCCCGGAAGAGCACACAGGAGCCACCACTACCGAGGTGATGATGGTGGTGGTGGTGGTGGTGGATGCATGGGTCAGCAACCCCCCCCCCCCCACCACCACCATGCGGGTGCAGGTGCTGTGCTGTGCTGTGCTGTGCTGCGCTGCCAGCCAACCTGCGGGGGTGTCAGCACAGCATGCAGGCCCCTGCCACGCAGCTACCCAGCAAGTCAGCCAGCATGCATGCATGCTGGCATCCGTGCGTGTGTGTCGTACACGTTCGGGCTGCCGTACCGTGGTGCTGGACGGGGTTATAGCAGCGGGTGGGGAAGCCGGGGACCCATCACCCGCCAAACCCCCTTCCCTTGGCCCGGCCCCCTTTTCATCCACCTTTCCCACCACAAACCTCTCCCTTCCCACCACACCACACCCTCCCTAGCCCCTACGACCCTTTCCCTTCCCGCACGCACAGCGACCCCTGCTGCACAGTACGTCCCCCCTCGCGGCCAGCTTCCTGAACACCCACACCCCAACCCCACCTCTACCTCTTTCCACAACCTCCCCCCCCCCCCCAGCCACCCACCTGCCAGATACTCATCCATGACACACTGCACGTCACGCTCAAACATCTCCAAACTCAACGCCACACGCCTCCGCCTCCCCTGCTGCGGCCCCTGCTGCTGCTGCTGATCCCGCTGCTGCTCTCCGCCTTTCCTCCCGCCAGCCTCCGCTACCCTCTTCCCCTCCCGCCCCTGCCCCTGCTCTCCCTCCCGCCCCTCCCCCTCCCCCTCCTCCCCCAGCCCCAACACATGCCGCAGCACCCGCAGCTGCAGCGCATGCGCCACCGGGTCATCATGGTACTCCCCCAGAAGTACGACATCGTACGAATCCAGGGAGGCGAGAAGCTGCGAGAAGCTGGCGGGGGCGGCGGCGCTGTCGTACACTGCAAAGGCGGCGCCCTCCTTGTAGGAGGGAGGAGGAGGGGGAGGAGGGCGTGGAGAAGGGCGGGGAGGAGGAGGAGGGGCAGAGGTTCCGGAGGAGGAAGGAGATTGCGGCTGTTGATGCTGCTGTTTGTGAGGTCCTGGTGATGCGGATGAAGAGGAGGTGGATGGAGATGGGGATGGGGATGGGGAGGAAGCGGGAGGCTGGCGTGGCTCCTGGTTTTGGAGCTGGAAGGAGGTCCAGCTGTGACGAAAAGGTGCGACAGGGAATGGCACAACCAGATCTTGCGATGCGGGTGCTGCTGTTGTGGATGCCGAGGAGGAAGAGGGAAACTGAGCGGCTGATGAGCCTTCCGTCGTCGTTGCCATGGATGACGAGGTAGCAAGCAGCGAGGCAGCAGCCACAGCTGCTATGGCTAGGGTCGAGGAGTCACGGCGCCCAGATGAGCAAGCGGGTTCGCGACAGTCACCTGAGAACTGCCCCTGCTGCTGTAAGTTTATGTGGGGAGCGGTTGATGATGGCGATGGCAAGGAGAGGGATGGCAACGACGCGAAGCCGCGCGATGACGTCCGCGCTGCAACGGCTGAGTTGGATTGGAAGCAGGGTGGTAGCTGCGACCATAACGGAGATTGCGATGCAAGCAACCAAAGCTTCCGCAGCGCCTGATGGCGCAAGCCGCTGCAGAGTGCGGGCTGCATTGTAGTCCTCTAAAGCAGCTGGTTACATGCAACCGTAAAGAGAGGCCGTAGCTAACACGTGTGTTGCATATACCGGTACTAGCAGGGCAACATCCACAGCGAAGTTGGTCAGGTTCGGAATACTTCCTATCAGCGCAGGTAGGTGAGGAAAGTGAAAGCGATGCTGACTTGGTAATGCACACAGACCAGCTGATGTCCACAACTTTGCATGGTCGGGTATCATCAGCGCAGCACGCGTGCTGGTAGCGTACGGCAGGCTGACGTCTGGTTATCGATTGAACCTGCTCCTATCGCGCCGACACCTTGCGCAAGTTTTGTTAGACAGTTTAAATTGGCGACACAGGACAGTTCCTATCCGTTCTAGCTGTTTCGTTGTGAGCCACAGAGCAGTGTAACCGCTTCACTAGGGTCTTTAATTTCCTGTAAGCCATTTCTACAGTTAGTTCTGCATTTTACCACTCACAGCGTCTACCAACACTTACCTGTTGTATTAGAAACCTAGCTTGGGACCCATTCGCGAATCCTTCCATGCAAGCGCCCCCGGGGCTTCGCCCTGAGGCGTTGCGGACGCGTGGTGGACGGCTGCTTCACTACAAGGCACAATACAAACGGCATACTGAAGCCAAAAGGGCCTGCATTTCAGTCGCTGCATCACCGAGGGAGCAGCAAGGACGAGCATCGCCACCATCATCCCGGACATCAGCTCAGCAGGACCGTGGCCAACAGGGCCGCGGTGGCTTCACACCTGCCGATGCGGAACTGGTGTCGCCCCGGAGGGCCTTTGAGAGCACGGATTGGTTCTACTCTGAAGCAGCACAAAAGGAATGGGTAGGTTACATGTGGGAAATTGCGCAGGGACTTTCCCCACCTGTTTGCCACGAACCTGACCAACATCTTCTTCTTCCTCTTCACCTCCTCCTCCCCTTCTCCCCGCTCCCCTCCTCCTCCCCGCCAGGTTCAAGCCATGCAGCTGGACTCGCTGACTCCCGAGATGCCGCAGCTGCTCCGTGACATGGGGCTGCGCTACGACCCCGAGCGCCTAGCTCAGGTGCTGGGGGGCAGGTGGCCGCAGGTGACTGCGCGGGCGGTGCAGGTGAGGGGGGGGTCAATTTTTGGACCAATTAAAACCAAAGAAAAACCAAAAAAGAAAAAAGCAGGCATTCACAAGGGGGGGGGAGGGGGGGGGGAGGGGGGGGGAGGGGGGGGGGGGGGGGGGGGGGGGGGAGGGGGGGGGGGAGGGGGGGGGGGGAGGGGGGGGGGAGGGGGGGGGGAGGGGGGGGGGAGGGGGGGGAGGGGGTGAGGGGAGGGGTAAAGAGGAAACAACGAACTGACCGTGTCATAAGGCATCATCATGGTTTGCAACATGTGGGCCAGCCCGAAAAGAGGTGGGGAGAAAAATTAGATAAAAGAGGTGGGGAGGGGAGGGGAGCTGCTGCTGTCAGTCTTTACACAGAAGGAAATGGAATGCGACCGCGATTACGCAGGCGGTACGTTTCGCGCCTCCCCTTGTCCCCATCATCCTCTGCCCAACCACCTACCCCCCCACACACACACCCGACCTGCCGTACAATACACCTTCTCCCCTCCCCTCCCTGCTTTCCCCCCCCCACCTCCCCCCCTGCCCCCCCCCCCAGGTGTCCACCGCACTGGGTGGCTTCCTGGCCTCGCTGGCTCGCGACCGGGCAGTGGGGGCGGTGGAGGAGAACATGGGGCGGAGGGCGGGGCAGCTGCGGGGACTGCTGGGCAGGCTGGGGTGAGGGGGCGGGGGGGAGGGGAAAAGAAGAATCCCCAGTGGGTTGTGGGAGCAGGCGGTGCGGGCGGGGGAAGAGGGGCGGGGAAGGGAGTACGGCAGGGTTCTCAACTTTCCCTTCTCTTCCCACCTGCCATGCTCATCAAGCGTCTCCCCCCCCCCTCACCCGCCCCCCCCCTCACCCGCCCCCCTCCTCACCCGCCCCCCTCCTCACCCGCCCCCCTCCTCACCCGCCCCCCTCCTCACCCGCCCCCCAGTCCCGCGCTGGTCAAGATCGGCCAGGCGCTCTCCTCCCGCCCCGACCTGCTGCCCCGCCCCTACCTGGAGGCACTGTCGGAGCTGCAGGACCGCCTGCCCGCCTTCCCGCATGAGATTGCCATGGCGGTAGGGGGGGAGGGGGCAGGGGGGGGGCAGGGGGGGGCAGTGCTGTGGATTGGGAGCGGAGGGAAGGGGAGCGGAGGGAAGGGGACGGGTCGATGGGTCATGCTCTATTTCCATACATCTTTCCCCCACCCCACCCCCTACCAGGTCATCGAGGAGGAGCTGGGTCGGCCGGTGACGGAGGTGTTCAGTGAGATCAGCGAGCGGCCCGTGGCGGCAGCCAGTTTGGGGCAGGTGGGGGGGGGGATATAGATGCATGCATCAACGGAGTCCCAATAGAAGAGGTGGGGGAGGGAGGGGGGAGGCGGATAGGGGCGGTGGGTTTGAGGTGCGGGCGGGAACGGCCTGGGGCAGAAGGGCGGGTGTGGGAGGGGCTGCGGAGGGGGGCTGCGGAGGGGGGCTGCGGAGGAGGGCTGCGGAGGGGGGCTGCGGAGGAGGGCTGCGGAGGAGGCGCGGCAAGGGTCGTTCTGTCCACATTGCTTTCTCCTAACCTGTAGTTTCCTGTGGTATGGTATGGTCTTTGACCTCCCCCCCTCCCCCCTCCCCCCAGGTCTACCGCGCCCGCCTACGCGCCTGCGGCTCCTACGTGGCGGTCAAGGTGCAGCGACCCACCATCGGGGAGAGCATTGCGGTAGACATGCTGCTGCTGAGGCGGCTGGCGGGGGTGGCGGATGCGCGACTGCCGCAGGTGGGAAGCTAGGAGGGGGTTGAGTTGAGGAGAGGTGAGTGGGGAGTGGGGAGGCGGGCGGGCAACACTACGTCGTTTCCTTGATTTTACCTCCTACCCATATGCCCTCCCCCCTCCATCGCTCCGACTCCGTTAGCTTCACTTTTCAGTTGTTTCCCCTCCCTCCCCCCCTCCCCCCCCCAGGTGAGTCAGCCGCTGGTGCCGCTGGTGGACGAGTTCGCTGCGCGCCTGTTCGCGGAGCTGGACTATGTGCAGGTGGGGCGGGGGGTCAAAGACCATATCAAACCATAGGAGACCACAGGCGGGGGGGGGGGGGGGGGGGCGAGGGGGGGCTGGGGGGGGGAGGGAGGGGGAAAGGGGTAAAAAAGGTAAGGAAACTGACAACGCAGGGGGAGAGGGGGGGGTTAGGGAAGAGGCGTTTAGCTTAGGAAGGGGGGGGTGGATTCTGGTACGTCCCCTTGATTCGCTCCTCTAGCAGCCGCAAGCAACAGCTTCCTTTCCACCCACCTACTCAACCGCTCAACCCATACCGGTATGTTGGACTTCCGGTATGTTGGACTTCCGGTCAAAGCCTAATGTAAGCCATTGTAGCCTAATGTAAGCCCAACCAACCAACCAACCCTAACCCCTAACCCTAACCCCCCCAACCCCCCCAATCCCCATGCAGGAAGGTCACAACTGCGAGCGGTTCCAGCAGCTGTACGGCAACATGCCCCGCGTCCGTACACCCAAGATCTACTGGGACTACACGGCACGGAGGTACGGCACTTGCTTGCATGCCAACGTACGGCATACGGCATGAGAGGGTGCGGGTGCGCGGTTTCCAGCAACATGTCTGGGTTCTCTCTTGCAACTTGGCCTCCTTCTTCTTTTCCCCCCTCCCAACCTTCACCCCTTCCCCCCCTGCCCTGCATGAGTCGGAGCATGGGATTGGGGCTCTGGTTTCTCCACTCCCCAAATGTCCCTCTTGTCTCCCTCCCCCCCCCCCATGCATGCATGCACGCAGGGTACTCACAATGGAGTGGATTGAGGGTGTGAAGCTAACCGACGGCGCCGCCATGTCCGCTGCGGGGCTCAATGTGGTTGACTTTGTTGACGTGGGGGTGGAGTGCACGCTGCGGCAGCTGCTGGAGCAGGGCTACTTTCATGCGGGTGAGGGAGGGTAAAAATAAAGAAACACTGACAAACTGAAGGAGGGAGGGGGGGAGAGCGGGGGGGAGGGAGGGGTCAGAGATGTACCAGAACCACCAGGTTAGGGCAGGGCAATTGGGGAGGGAGTGAAGCAGTGGAGCAATAAAGGGTCACCGGTAGCTGCCGGGGTGGGGGAAAGAGAGTAATTAAAAGATGCAGGGAGAACCATGCGTTCTTCTGCTCCTGGGGTGTTTCCCCTGCAGTTTTACTGCCCGTGCAGCGCAGAACCCCACCGCACCCACCCACCCACCCACGCCTAACCCTGTCTTCCTCTTCCGGACTCCTTCTGGCCCCTGCTGCTGCCCCCCTCCGCTCCTCGCATCCCTCCTCCACCCCCTCGCCGCTACCACGCCCGCTGACACCCTCCACCCTCCCGCCCTCATCTCCTGCTGACCCCACCCCACCCACCCCACCCCACTCCACGGCCTGGGCTCCCGCAGATCCCCACCCAGGTGGGTAGTTGGAGGGGGGTGGAGGGAGGGGTTATGCAGGCCGCAGCGGAGGGAGGGAGAGGGTCGGGGGTCAGGTGGGGGGTGGTCCACCTGCGCCGAGACAGAACTCCTGACCGCGACCACACAGGAACATGACCGGAAGACAAACCCCGGGGGTACCGGTCGTAGGGGTGGAGGGGTGGACGGTAGTAGGGAATGGGGTCGGCTGAGAGAGGGAATGACGCCTGGATCCAAGGCTGCCCCACCTGTTCTTTTTCGCTCCAAACGCCTCTCAACCTCCGCTCCCCTCCCCCCCTCCCCCTCCCCCCGCCCTTACCCAGGCAACCTGCTAGCCACCCGCTCCGGCGAGCTGGTGTATCTGGACTTCGGCATGATGAGCGAGGCGCCGCAGTACGCCAGGTACGCCATCATGGCGCATCTGGTGCACCTGGTAAACAGGTGGGTGGGGGGGGGGTAGGGGGGTAGAGGGGGCAACATGTACCGGGAGGGGAGAAAGGAGGGGGGCACCTGGTCAGCAGGTGTTGGGGGGAGGGAGGGGGAGGGGGAGGGGAAGAATACCCAACGTGTTGAATAGTACGGGGGGAGCCCCGTTGGTCAACAGGTGGGGGCGTGTTGAGAACTCGACTGGCCGCCAGTAGCGGAGCGTACTGTGATTGTGTGCATGTGTGTGTGTTTTGGCACACCCCTGACCCCCCATCTCCTCCCTCCCCACCCCTCCACCCAAGGGACTACGAGGCCATGTGTCGTGACTACTACGCGCTCCAGTTCGTGGAACCCTGTGTGGACACCTCCCCGCTGGCGCCCGCACTTGCCGCCTTCTTCGACACGGGCGTGCTGGCCGCCCCGGTGGCTCAGCTGAACTTCAAAGCCATTGTGGATGGGCTGGGGGAGGTGCTGTTCAAGTGGGTGGGGCGGGGTGTTTTTGGGGGGGGAGGAGGAGGAGGGCAGGGGAGGGAGGAGGAGGTAGCCGAGTTCCAAGTCCGCCTGCTCCCTCTCCTCCGCTCACCCTTGTCTATCTGTTCTCTGCAGTTCCCCTCTCTCTCAGTCTACCTGGCTTCCTCCTGGCCTCCGCATCCCTGCCCCACTCCCCTGCTCCCACCAACCCCCTACCCACTCCCCTGTTCCCCTTCCCACCTCTCCCCCCCCAACACACATTGGGTAATCCCCCCCCCACACACACAGGTTCCCCTTCCGTGTGCCCGCCTACTACGCGCTCATCCTGAGGTCGCTCACCGTGCTGGAGGGCCTGGCGCTGCAGGTGGGGTGGGGGCGGGGGCGGGAGGGGGGGGAAGAACCATGCGTTGAATGATAGTGGGGTCAGAGATACCGGTATACCAAAACCACACGTAAATAGTGGGGGTAAGGGAGGTGGGTTCTGGTGGGGAGAACCGGTGGGGTAAACAACACATTCCTCCGTACTCCCCCCCTCTCATTATATATTCGTTACCCCCCCCCCTCTCAGGCTGACCCCAACTACAAGCTGCTAGCTCGCGCCTACCCCTACGTGGCTCGCCGCCTGCTCACCGACCCTGCACCCGAGCTGCGGGAGAGCTTCCAGGAGCTCATCATCAAGGTGGGGCGGGGAGGGGGAGGGAGGGAAGGGAGGGAGGGGGGCAGGGAGGGGGGCAGAGATACGCCAGAACCACAGGTTAGGGCGAAGCAATGGGGATAGAGGGAAGCAGTTGTGCATGGGCGTGGGGGGCAGGGAGGTATAAACGTGGAAGTGAAGCGGTGGAGCCGGGGAGGGAGAGAGGGGCGAAGGAGGGAGGGAGGGAGGGTTAGTGTACAACCAAGGTGGTGACGTTCACATCGGCGACCCGTGATGTCACCAAACCCCGAATCCCCCTTCCCACTCCCTCCTCCCTTCTACCTCCCAACACAGGACGGTCAGATCCGGTGGGGTCGGTTTGAGAACCTGCTGCAGCAGGGCTCCCGCTCCTCAGACTGGCAGCCGGGGCAGCTGTGGCTGCTGGCCGAGTGGCTGCTGGCGCCAGGCGCGGAGGCGGGCGGGCTGCGGGCGGTTCTGGCGGAGGAGGTGGGGCGCCTGCTGGATGCGGCGGCGGCGGAGGATGTGAGGAGCAGGATTGCGGAGAAGTGAGCAGGGGGGGAGGGGAGGGGGAGGGGAGAGTGCACGGCTGCGGAGGACATGGGTGTTGTGGTGCCGGGAGGGTAGGGGTACTTCGACCTGTGCTGATGACTCCTTCACACACACACACACACTCTACATCCAGTTTCTCTACATCCAGTTTACACACGACAGTGACGGTTACTTATACCTACCTACTTACTACTCCGGTCCTTAGGTCCGGTCGCGTTACGACATTGCTATTACTGCTTTACACTGCTTCCGATACTACTCGATAGCTCTATTACAACATAGCCAACGGACTTCACTTCACCTGTGGCGTTTTCGGTGGGAGGACTCCATCTTTCGGCAATCACAGTACGTTTCGCCTCGCGGCCAGTTATTTTAACACACACACCCGCCCCTCCGTACAGGACGGGCTCCCCCTCCCTGGCGGCCGCGCTGGTGCCCCGGCAGCCGGCGGAGGAGGAGGCGCGGCAGCGGGCGCAGCTGCTGCTGGCGGCGCTGGCTCCTCCCCGCACGGGGCCGCCTGGGGGGGAGGGGCTGCTGGGGGGGCTGGGGGAGGGACTGGGGAGCTTAAAGGTGAGCTGGCGGGTGGGGGGGGTACCTGGGTAAGAGGTGGGTGGGGGAGAGAGGAGAGGGGTAGGGTTAAAATTCTACACCCTGTCGATGGGCATCCCGTGTGTTTCCACCTCCCCTACACCTACCGGGTGTGCGCCTCTTGCATGCATGCACGTTTCCCCCTTTCCTCATCCCTAACCCCATTCCAGATCTTCACTTCTTCTGTGCCACTTCCACCTCCACTTCCACTCCTACCGTGTTTAAGATATGTGCACCCCCTGCCCGGCCGCCCCTCTGCTGTCCTCAGGGTTCCGGCCCCTTCGGCCTGCCGCTCCCCCAAGACGCCCAGGCCGCCGCCTCCCGGCTGAGCTCCCTGGCCTCCTCCCTCGGCCCCCGCCTGGCCGCCCTAGCCGCCCAGCCGGGCAGTGGGGAGCTGCTGGGGGGGCTAGCCGGGCATCTGGGCAGGAGGGCGGCGGCACGGGCCATAAAGTTTGCATTTGGAGCGCAACAGGCACTGGCGGGAGGGGGGGCGGAGGGGAGGAGCGGAGAGGGGAAAGGTGGGGAGGGAGGAGATGAGGTGGCGCGGTGAGGCTGGTGGAAGGAGGAACGAGGAGGTGGGAACGAGAAGCTGGGTTGCTCACGCTGCCCCACCTCGGCCTGTTTCCGTTCTGGGGGCTACGACGGTCATGCATTTGTATACCAGTTGGTGGGTGGAGGTGAAGGTGGGTGGTGAGAGACAACAAGGGGAACATATGAGCCAGGAAGCGAGAGGTGAGCTGTAACTTGGAACTGTTCGGCTCTGGTTTCTGCATTGCGTGCCTGCTCGGATTCGATTACCGTATGCTGCCGATGGTGGTGTGGGGAGACTGTGGTGTTATGGACTTTGTGGTTCATGTGGAGGGGTGTGGGGATGGGATCTGGGGAGCAAAGGCAATGGGTGGGGGTGACGGAGACGGCGAGGGTGCAGTGAGCGGCGAGTGAGGGTTGTAGTCAGCAGCCTCCTCGGCAGCAGGAAACGTGATGAGAGGAGGGGAGAGAGGAAGGGAGGGTGAGAGAACCATAGTAAATAAGAGAGAAATACGGGAGACGGGCAGGCTCGTGGGTTCTAGACCGGTATTATTGCAATAGGTACCGTGTTCCCTTAAAAAGAAAAGACCCATGATAAGGGTCTTTCAATCAGGTCCATGCGCGGAAAGGGCGTGAATTTGAGGGGGGAAGGCTGACGGAGGAGAAACGGAGGCTACGTGCGATGGCAAACCTGTTTGTTTGTTTGCAACCCACGCGAGAGAGGAGTCCCAACTTACGTGCGGGTGCAGGTGGTGCATTCAGCAGTCCTGTTTAACTGCACTCCTCCCGAATCCGTCCACATGGTCGTGAGGGTACTATGTATGGCCTTCATGTTTGTCCTTCAGGAGAAAAAGTCAAAGGGTGTTGCAATCGCGCGGACTACCTGCTTGTTGACCCAACCAACACACGCGCACCTAACATCAGTGCAAGGACGGGAGGCAGCGGGCAGCAGAAGGCACACTCTTCCGAAGCAGCACAGGCCATGTGTGAAGGGGTGAGCCCGCATGGCCTGGCAAGTCAACAGCGCCCCGAGAGGGATGTGTGAGAAGGATGCGGCCTTGCGTACCACGTCCCTTTGCCAACGTGGACGTGCATTACCGGTACAGTCATGGGTTCCTGCTCGCCGTTATACGGCCGTACCTACCATATTTGTAATGCGGCGGTTCCGTAGGAGTATCCGTCGAAAGCCATTGTACTAATTGTTTCATACTTGTGAACCGTGCTTGTGGAGGATAACAGCAAGTCTGATCGCGCGGCGCGATTTTTCTTCAACCAATTACCAGTTGGCTACCAACTTCACGTAACGTTTTGCTGAAATATATAGGAAGGCCATGATGTCAGCAGCGCAAGGGCTCAGCTTGGCTGGACGAGCAAAGCAAGAAATGCAGCAGCGACTATGGAACATCGTCCCAGCAGCGGCAAGCAACGTAGGACGGTTATCACGGCTTATGTCAACCGCCACGCCGCCACAGGTGTGATGACGCATAAGCGACTTGACCTCATGGCGCCAGCAATGCCGCATGCCCACGTAGCCTTCCCAGCCCCCTTGTCGGATGCCAACTTCTAGCTTAAAACACTCGATCCCTTGCTATATGTCCAACCACAACTGAGTTATGCCATTATATCACCGTCGAGACCACATGGATGTTGCACTTCCCTTGTATGCTCCATGTGGACTTGCTGCTAACCCTGAACACACCACACCCTCGAGGATTGTTTTCGTTCTTTCCAACTCCAACATCACCGTAAACCCTGCCATCGTCAACAGCAGGGGGCGGCAAGCGGTGAAGACATCCAGACCCGAGCTGAGCGCATGGAGGTGGGCAGTGACGAGAGCCCGGAGGAGCTCGAAGCACGAAAGCGCCGAGCACTGCAAAGCTATTTGGTAGGTGTGGAGCTTTAGGTTCTAGCGGTGGGGTGGAGTTGGCTGTGGGATGATGGTGGTGGGGTGTGTTATGGCTGCCCATCTGTTTAGAATGCAGCAAACCGCAACCATACATCCCCGCATCCCATGCCGCTACTCCTCTCCCCAGTAATCTTACCCTCACTCCTTCCTCCCGCCCCCCCGCTCCCCTCCTCCCCCACTCCTCCCCCCACGCAGGAGCAGCAGCTGGGCGGCGGCGAGCCGGACCGCGCCTCCCTGGCGGTGCTCCTGCAGCGGCACGGGGTGGTGGTGCGGGGCGGGCAGCAGCAGGCGCTGGAGCTCATGAGCGCACTCATGGTGGGGCGCGGAAGGAAGGGAGGGAGGGATGGGAACCTACCCCTCCCTGATAAGTAACCTTGTAGTGTCTAAGAGCTCTGCATTGCTGTTTCCCATGCCGCAGGCTTGGAAGCGGGGAGAGTGGAAGGCGGATGTGTGAACCCCTCGCTGCTTTATGGGGCCGGTTAAGGAGCAGCGTGCCAGGTCGGTCACACAGCAACATACAGCTCCTCGCTAAATCGAGCGAAAGACATCCAATAAAGTGGAAGGAGAGGAAAGAGGGAGTGCAGGAGGTGGGGCATGTCGGCTGGGCTTCATCCACTTGGGGGCGCAACTGCTAGGATGAGCTGCTTAGCGAGGGTTGTGGGGCTGAGCGGTTACTAGCCGCGCCGTCGCTCGAACCAGCGACGTGTTTAGGGGTTACAAGCAGGCGTACGTCCCTCAAGAACGACACGCGGTGCAAAAACCATTATGGAGGGTAGAGGAGGGGTTTAACGTCTTTTTTTATTGTTAGAATAGGGGTTACCGGTAGATTGCAGTTTAAGCGCGCGGCACAAGGTGATGCCAGTTGCAAGCGTTAGGAGACGACGCGGTTTAGCGGTGCAGCAGTAGCAGCAGCAGTAGCAGCACGGGCGCACCACGTAAGAGGCCATGGCGGCTCGGGTGTCGTAGGACGTACAGGGTAGGGGATACGGGGGGGGGGTTGAAGCAGACAAGCTATATCGCCTGAGCATGCCGGGTGGCTGGTTCTGGGTTGGCGATAGATAGTTTCAACGCCTCAACGCCTTAACAACACGGCGTGTGCTCCCTTTATTGCCCTTTTACAACAATTGCAGACAAGTGACGCCTTGTGTCATCATCATTAGCTCTCAGCTTCCCGTCACCTGGCTTCCTGGCATACACTCCCCTCGCCAAAACTGTACAGTGTGATTGTGATGCACTGTAGCCACGCAGGCAGCGGCAACAAGCAGGCACTCCGTCACACGCTCACACACTCCCCATGCTACTGCAGTTACTGACCCTCGCACCCAGACACCGCCCATTGCGCCAGGGGCTGAGTCAGCCAACCAACCAACCACCACCACGTATACGAGTGCAACAAACAAGCCACGTCAGCATATCGGTACCTGCGTGTGTCTCACGCAATGCAGGCCTTTTGGTCGCCGTACATACTCCGTATATCCAGGTATATCCGTACAAAAACCTCTAACCGCACCGGCGAGGGATTTGTGCATGTGCAGGGGGTGGGGTTCGGACATCCGGGACCCCGCCAGCTGCCACACCCCTCCCAAGTCTCGTCATAAAGCTCCGCCAGTGCCCTGCACTGCCCGTCTCTTGCGTGTTCGAGTTCTCACAAGGCCCCCGACCTCCCTTCCTTCTCCCACCCTTGCTAGGCATACATTCCCATTGCATGCTTCCATCCGCCCCATGATTCGGCCTCCGCCCCAGTCCAAGTCGGGTGCTCCTAACTTGGCGTTATACAGAGAGCAGGTGCTGGTATGCGCAGGTTTACTGTGCTCCTCAGGCCCCCAGCACACCTGCCGTCCTCTTCCCTGCAGCCCTCAAAGGCTCTCAGGCCGAGGGTCCGCCTCCCGCACCGCCCTCATTGCGCATGTTCTCCCGCGCCTTCGCAAGCAGCTCCTGCACCTCACCTGTGCATGGAGAGGTGAAGCAGGGGAGGAAGTGAAGCAGGGAGGGAGGCGCGGGGCAGGGAGAGGGACCAGGGAGGCCCCAGGCAAAGCAGCATTGCTGTTACACGTGCATAGCAGTAATCGTGTAGCTGGTGTGTACCTGCTGGGTTACCAAGCAAGCGAGTACGGGTTCTCCCCTCCAACCATGCCTCCCTCCTCCCTCCCTCCCTCCCTCCCTCCCTCGTCCCTACCCGGCTTGAGCTCCCCATTCTGCATCTTCTGCACCAGCAGTGAGGCCTCGGGCTTGCGCAGCAGCCCGCGCACGTTGCGCATGCCCGTGCCTGCACCGGGATGAAAGGGTGGAGAAGAGGAAATCAACTACCGGTAATCGTGGGACCAGGGGAAGGAGGGTAAGGAAAAGGACAACACTGTGTTGAGGGGTGCGGCTGCGGTGCTCGCTGGTTGGCTGGGTTGGTGTGGCATCTCAAGAGGCTCCCCCACCGCTCCCATCCTACCACAGCCATTTGCCCTGTTTGTTTGCTTGTGTGTTCAAGACCCAGGAAAATGATCGCCGTTTGTTGTTCCCACGGTGGTTGCTCTCCCTTCTCCCTCCCTCCCTCCCTCCCTCCCTCTTACCGAAGCACCGGCCGCAGATGCGGGCCCCCCGCCCGTAGCACTGCGGGCACTCCACGAACTCGTATGCATCCTTGGCGCGCTTGCGACTGAGGGCCCGCCACTTGCCGCTGCCGCCACACATGTCGCCTGTGGGGGGCGGGGAAGGGCGAGAGGCGTCGAGGGATGTTGAGGGATGTTGCGGTAGCGCCGTGCTTCAAGGGGTTGCAATGTGCGTCATGGCCTATTTCCATGGAATAGGCCACTACTCGTATCTGACTGGTGACGCTACTCTAAAGTGGGGATGATCAGAAGAGCTGGGGCTTAACCCTAGTTACGATGACTTACATGGCACAATGCCCGTGCCGTCGCACTCAAAGCAGGTGTTTCCGGGTTCAGGTGCCTCGCCCTCAGCCTTGGCTGGCCCAGCCATGGCAGCAGCCGCGCAGCAGAGCGGCACCATCACGAGCGTGCGTCGGCTAAGATCGATGAGCTTTGGTTGTGCTGCTGATGCCTGGTCGTCAGCATGACGGGGCTCATATCCATCGCGTGGTTGGGACGCTGCGTTGCATGACATTGGCGACAGATGGGATATGGGTTCGCGGCCGAAGCGTACGTACAATTTGCATAAGGTTACCTTGACAAAGGACGCTGACGCAGCAACGCCCTCCCCGGTCAGCTTTGAACGGAGCTGCCTGCGTTCATGTGTGTTGGTGGTTCATGAGAGGAGCTGTGACTAGCTATGCGCTAACCAGTACAACGTACCCGTTGCTTTACAGGCAGCTTGTTTGTTAGACAGCTCATCGTTAGAAAGGCGTGCAAGGATAAGCTAGGCTGCGAACTGCACGCGGATCTTAGGTTAAATGCGACTGGCTTGAGCAGACCTTCTTATCTGTAAAACGCGGGTAAAGCCCTTACCCTTTCTTTCGGCACTGGAATAGTCTTGAGGCCCGAAACCCGTTCCGCCATGCCGTACTACACTTGACGCATTTTGGGAACTGCGTACCGTAATACCGAACAGAACATTAATAATAATTGGATTACAACTGGCCTGGATACGGCCTGATTTTTATAGATGCGACCCTTAGGCAACACCTAACCAGAGTATCCGCTTTATCCTGTTCTCAGCGTCCGGCCCGCTTGTTGCGTCGAGCTGCCGAAAGGCCAAGAAGACCCCGAAAAGTACGAGCACAGAGGGCCCCGCCCCCAGACCCTCGTACCAGACATCTACAAGCTGGGACATTCCCCGAACGCCGGCGAGCCGTCCCAAAATCAGTCAGGTAGCTGCAAGCTCACGTCAGATGAGCGCCGGTTTGTGTTCCGCATAGTCAAGCAACATCGTAAAAGCCGGCTTCAGCACGCAAGGCAAGCGCGCGCGCTGATTTGATGGAAACCCCTGTGTCCGAGGCCTCTCTCGCGCCAGCCTAGCAACCACTTTCCAGCCAAGGACCTTCCAACGCCCTCCTCACCACCTTGAAAATAACCGTCCTGTACTTCCGTGCGTCCGCTTCCATTCTTGGTTGCTGGAACCACACACGGGAAGCACTGCGCCCTCAGGCGACCACACAATCAGAGGCGCCGACCCCCCCGTCATGCCACCCCCTCTCCCTAAACGCTCATACCGGTACGAAGCTGTACATGCAAGCAAGCACGACCGCCCAGCCATGCAAACGCGGCAGCAACACAAAGGCCCAGGACCGATCCACCTTGTTGGGAGCGCGCCACAACGCCCTCCTCTTCACTCCTTTCTCCCCCACTCTCAACCAGCCACCCAGCCACCCAGCCGCCCCAAGCCCCCAACGCAAGCCCCCTCATCAACACGGCAAGCACACACCCAACAAGCACCTCGAACCCCCCTCTCCGCGCTTCTCCAACCCTCATCAACAGTGTGCCGGTAGTGTGCCTGCGTTCCTCCCCCAGCATCGCTCCCCTACCAGGCGACCGCCTTGGCTGCCCCCCCCCCACCAGCTCCCCTGTCCTCTCCCAAGGCTCCTGCTGCTGCCCGCCGCTGCTGCTGCTAGCCCCCTCGCTTGCTGTGCCCCTCTTCTCCTCGCTACCTTCCCCACCCAACTACACACGCCACACAACCCCCAACGAGCAGGGTGCTGCAAAACGCGCACCACTCAGCCGCCCCCAACGGATGTCGGAACCAGCGAAGTCAGCCGACAAGCAGCCACCTGCCTGAGTCGAAGGTCAGCAGCCGCTCGCCAGCAACACCGCCTGCTGCTGCCTCCGCTCCCGGCAACAGCGCCGAGCGCACCCGGGCCACCGAGGCAGTCCCACCGCCCGCTTCCAATACCCGGCGCATTCGCTGTTACGCCTTCCCCGCCTACACCGCTGCTGCCGGCGCTTGCCCGCCGGCGGCTACGTAGCGCGCCTCTGCGCCTGATGCTGCTGCCCTTCTGCGCGCCTCTCGCCTCTCACCACCCACCCTGTCCTCCGCCCCCTACTCCCTGCTCTTGTACTGGAACTCCGCCATGACTGCCAGGTGGTCGCTGCTGTACTGCGCGTTGGGCAGCTGCTCCTCGGGCCGCGACTGCACGTCGCTCTCGGTGGGCAGCTCCAGGATGGCGGTGGGCTGGAAGGGTGGAAGTAAGTGAGAAGCGCAGCAGTTGGCGGGGTGCGGGAGAGGGGACAAAAGGTTGCGAGAGAGGGCAGGCGGGAGGGATTTAAGGAAGGGTCAAGGAGGAATTCCTCTCCCCGGGTGTGCTACATACACATGCATGCACGCCAACAGCTTCACCAATCTCAAACTCCCGCACCAAGCCCCTCGCACCCCCCCCGCCCCCGCCCCCACCCAACCCCGCCCCCCACCTGCAGGCTGGTGGTGGTGTAGAAGATGTAGTCCAGCGTGCCCTTGAAGTCCTTGGTCATGTTGGTGAACAGCGGCTCGTGGTGCCGCGCGTCCAGCCGCTGCCGCTGCTTGTACAGCCGCCCGTCGGCGGAGAGCGGCGCGTCGTGCAGGTAGGCCACCGCGCTGGAGAGGGGCAGCTGTTGGGGTGGGGGGGGAGGTGGGGGGGGGGGGGAACGCCAGGAATGGATAAGAGGTGGAAGGTGCGGATTGAGGAATGGAGGGGGATGAAGAGTTGATACCGGGTCCTGGGATTGCTTTGGCGCTGAATACATATACAGGGACGCAGCGCACACACCCCGCCCTCTCTTACCCCCTTGTCCCCGAGACCCTCCCTCCCCCCCCCAGCAGCCGCAGCAGCACCCACCGAGTGCGACATCTTCTGGTCCTTCAGCAGGTGCAGCGGGTCGTTGGCGGAGTCCTGCGTGTGCGTGGGCACAGGACACGGGGGATCAAAGACCATACCATACCATACCATACTCCATAGGACGGGCTTACACGGATTATTAAGCATGGCACGAGCACAACACAGCAGCATACCTTTCAAGCGCGCCCCAAGCTTTTCGTAACCTACTGTGCTTTCGGCGCTGATAGACGCTTCGTAGCCCCTGTTCCCCCGACCCGTACCCGCACCCCACCACCACCCCGCAGTGGTCAGTTAGATGTTTCCTCTTTACCACCCCGCTGTGTCTGGCCCCTTAGCTGCCTAGGCCCTGGCTGCCTGGCCAGCAGAGCCAAGCCCCCAGTGAAATGCCACCCTTACCATCATGCTCGCGTCTATCTTGCCCTTCACCAGCAGGCAATGCGCGGGGCTGCCGGGAATGCTGTTGAAGTCGCCCGCCACCAGCATGGGGATGTCCGCGCTGCAGGGGGAGGGGGAGGGGGAGGGAGGGGAGGCGGGGGGGGAGTGAAAAATAATCAGACACTGACGGCGGGGGAGGGGGGGAAGGGGCATCTTGACACATGAAGTTCTCACGCCAGGGAAAGGAGAGGTGCGAGGGAACAGGTAATGCCGTGGGGCGCAAGTGTCTGCCGCACCCTAACGCCTCCACCAGTGAACCCCTCCTCTTCCCTCCTCCTCCTTTCCCTTCCCTCTCCCCTCCCCCTCCTCACCTGGCCGCGATCTTTTCCAGCCCCTTCAGCAGCGTGTGCACCTGCCAGATCTTGACGTCGTTCAGCTCGGGGTTGGCGTGGATGTGCGTGTTGGCGACGCAGATGAGCGTGCGGCGGGTGCCCGCATCCGGGGTGCCGGGCTCGATGGCCTCCAGCACCGCTATCAGCGCCACGTTGTCCTGGAGGGGGGAGGAGGGAGGGGAGTTCAGGAGCGCCATGAGCCTGTGGCCTGCATGTGCCTGTCTCGTATGGGGCTGTGGGGCGCCCTAGGGGGGCTCGACGGCCCCCCCCGCTCTGCGCTGCCACAAGAACCGATGCTTCCCCCACCCCCATTGCTTCGCCCCAACCTGTGGTTCTGGTGGTTCTCTGACCCCACCCCCTGGCTGGCTCTGTGTTGCAAACCATGTTGACGCCTTATCACTCAGTCAGTTAGTTGTTTCCTCCTTACCCCACCCCCTTCCACCCCGGGCAGCCACCAGGCCATCAGCTGCAGCACTGCAGTCCCCCCCTCTACCACCACCACCCTCCCTGCTTCCCATGCAGCACCGCTTCCATCCTTCACGCGCATGTGGAGCGCTGTCCTTGGGAGGTCTTAGCCGCTGCCAACAACAAAGTGGCCGAGCTTGGGTCGCCCTCTGAGACACACAGCCTCGTAACCGCTTCTTCCCACCTGCTCTCGGTGGTTCCCTCTGAACCGCCCAACACCCTGCCGCTGTGTTTCCACCCCCCACCCCGCGCCCATGTCCCCGCTCGCCTCTGTGTGTTCCCCCCCCCGCCGGCTCCCCCCCCCCCCCCCTCCCCGCCCCCCCCCCCCTCCCCCCCCACCTTGAGCAGCCTGTTGAGCGCCGCCTTCTTCTGCGTGATGTTGGTCATGCCCTCCGCCAGCGACAGCGCCGCCTTGTTGAACTCCACCTCGTACTTCTTAACCAGAGAAAACCTTGGGGGGGAGGGGCAGGAGGGGAGGGGGAGGGGCGGGCGGGGTTACGGAAGTGGGGTTAAGCAGGATAAGCGTGAAGAAGGCGCAAAAGGGTAGCCCCAGAAACCACGCGCCCCCCGATCAACCACTCCCCACCCCACACACACCCCAAGGTGAAGCCTCGTCATACAGCTCGTTAGTTTCCTCTCTTTTTACCCCCCACCCACCTGCCCCCCACCCCCACCTGTCCCGCCGGAAGAACGTGGCGCAGCCGTCAATGGCGTACTTGTTGTCGGTGTAGATCTCCGTGGTCTTCTTCTTGTAGATGGCCACGTAGCCCGCGCGCTGCAGCTCCGGCGCCCACCAGTCCAGGTAGTGGTCGCTCTGCACCTCCTGCAGGCACAGGATGTCGGCCTTGTGCGCCAGCAGCTCGCGAAGCAGGTTGCGTTTGCGGTAGTGCCAGTGCAGGCACCAGGCGGGGCAGGTGCTGGAGAAGTCGGCCTGGGAAGGAGGAGGGGGGGAGGGGGAGGAGGGGGGGAGAAAGGGGAAGGACGGGCAAGGTGAGGCGCGGGCAGTCGGTCGGAGGACAGCAGGCGGGTTGGCAGGGAGGGCGCCAGGGACACGACAGGAAAGCTGGGGCATGCAGGAGGGGAGGAGGGCTAGGCAGGGGAGGGGGAGAGGCATGGGTGGGGGGAGGGGTTGACGAGGGTTGATGTTTGGGGGTTAGGTGGGGGGCTGAAGCAGCAGGTGGTGGTACAGTAGAGGCACCCCGGGTGGGCAGGGATGAGTCACACGATGCGGTGCGGAGCAGGGCAGGGCAGGGTGGATGCGAATGGGTTTGTTGTCATGAGAAAGCGGTAGAGGAGGAGGAGGAGGTACCCAGCCGTCGGTCGGCTATGGCAGAGCAGCCAGCCCCGCCCATCTATGGGTCGGGTTACGTGGCTCGTATAGCCCCCGTCCCCCCATAAACCGTTGTCCGTTCCTTTCCCCCTTTGCGTTGGCGCCATGCATGGGGGTTCCCGCAGCGCATGGTCGCGTTTCTTAGGTTAACACCCCCTCCCCTACAGTGTGCAGTTACCGGCCCCGAAACCCTTTTTAGCCCCCCTATTACTACCTTGGCGTACAGGTCTGCGAGGAGGTTGTACGTCAGGATGGTGAACCGGCCAGAGGTGGACTGCTGCGAGGGCGGCACCATCTGAACCATGGACCGAACCGGCGGGTTGGGCGCTGGCCGCACCCGCGCTGTGCACACGGACTGCGTCTGCGCCCGGCCGAGGTCGGACGCATAAGGGTGCAGCTTGTCGATAACCGTGACCTCAAATTTGAGCACGTATCCCACATCGTCAGAGGTCGGCGTGTAAGATTTGCTCCGGCCAACCTGCAAACGCAAAGACGGCTTGAGGAACTGGCGCTCGCTGAAGCACCCACAAATTATTTGGGCTTTAAGAATGCATATGCGGTGATATTCGTAACGATAGTGTGTAACCGCGAAGCCGGCGCACCTCGATCCAGCTCTCCTGCCCGCTGGTGCTTGTGCCGTGCGCGCCTTTCACCATCCCGTCAGCGCCGTTCTCGATCCCGCCTTAGAGAGATAAGTTCAATGGGTAGCATTTCAGCGCCTGGTCGCGACGCCTCGCATACCCCCGCGCAATTAACAACGGCCCTTGCGGAGAGCAGCTCACCTCCATTTGCCTGCGGCTGCTTATGGTACTCCCGGTGCAAGTGCCAGTGGCTCTTAAGGCATTCCACTGAGCAGTGGTAGCTCAGGTGCGTGGGCACCCTGCACCTTGTGCAGATTACGCACTGCAAATTGGCCTCCTTGTCGGGGTGCACGCTGCACACCGCCCCACCGCGTGGCTCCGTGCTCCGGTACCATCGAGAGCGAAGCTGAAACTGTCCTTCCGGGGAGCCTTCTTCCGGTATGTCCTCTGCATTTAGAGTCGCTTCTCCGCGCTTGACCAGCACATAGGGCTCTAGAGTTACCCCATGATAGACACCTTCCCCGGTTGGGAGCCGCACAGAGACCAGGTAAACTGCCATAGCAAGCCCATGCTATTTGCCTGTATCCTAGGTGACGTCCGATTTCAGCATGTTAAAGTGGCCCACTGGCCAGTAATGCAGGGTGTCTATCAATAAAGCAACAATACAGCTCCTGGGCTTGAGGACTGTGCTGGCTGTGGGAATTTTTGTTGCATACCATGCCTTCCCTGGACGGACTGTCCCAGCACGCTCTCCTCTGTACACAGAGATGACACCTACCGCTTACAGCGGCTTCCCTACGCTAGTTCAGACTACTTTGCTGCAAAGACAGTGAAAGTTGCTAACATTGAGTTTCAGGCATTCTGAAGGAAGCAACTTTAGGCAGCGGCTAGGCGCATTAGAGGTGAGTCTGCCACCGTATGCATAGGGGGTTACCATATATCACCTATAGGGCGCGTTGCCGCCGCCGGGAGTTCATCTGCTCTCCCTAATTCCTTGTTCGTCCCCACGGGGTCCCATAGTACTGTTCTGCTTTACGCACATGTCAATACATTAGGGTCTTGGTTTGCGGAGCCGGTAGTATCCTCTCACCTGGGCGCCACGTTGCCTGGCATCTCGCCCGCTCTAGGCAATCCGGTGGCTCTGGCGCTCTTATGCCACCAGGGCTCTTGCTGCGGAGTGGCTACGGAGCAGTGCTGTAGGTTCAGCACTGCAGCTTAGGCAGGCAGCATGCGAGGGGCCGTCACTGGGCGCTGCCGCTCGACTACCGCGCAGCGCAGCGGTGTGGCCCAGCGCGGCATAGGGCTGCCTCACAGCAGCAAAAGCCTTAGCAGCAGCAAGCTTAGAGCGTCTTGTCGCGGACTAGCCGGCGTAATACGTAAAAACCGGCGCGCACCGCGAGTCATCGGAACCTCCATTAGGAGGACTAATCTGCTTTTAGCCCGGTCGCAGCATGCAGCCGGCAGGCCTGCCACCAGGCAGCCTTAACGTGATTGCCCTGCAGCCCGCAACAGCTCTGATGCCGCCCACAGCGGGCCCTAACGTGCCAGCCCTCGGGCCGGCGGCTCTGCCATTGCTGCCCATGTCTATGGGCGCCCTACACGAACGACTACAGAGCCACTACTCGGCCTCCACCTCTCTCTCTTCACACCCGCGTCCTGGCAGTGTACACATGCCAGGCGCGGGGCTGCCGGCTGCAGCCAACGCGGCCGCGCACTTCCCTTCTGTTGGTGTGCCGCAGCAACAGCACACTGCTGCCTGGCCCGCCGGGCCTCCCGGTGCGCCCCCACCGCTGCCTCCACCTCTCGGACCTGCTCCGCCACCGCTCGGGCCCGCTGCCCCGCCGCCACAACTGCACCACCACCAGCACCCTCCACCGCGTCATCATCACCACCACCAGAACCACCAACAGCAGCAGCAACCTCAGCAACAGCAGCAGCCACAGCAACGCCTAGTCTGGGAGTTGCGTCCGGACCTGGCGGCGGCTCTTCCACCCGACCTGCCACCCCCCAGCATCCCCCTGCCACCCCCCGCCGCCCGGCGCCTACCCGAGGACACCCTAGCCGCCTTCTGCCGCCGACTGGAACAAAACAAAGTCTCGCTGGCCATCGAGGAAGACCAGCTGCGCCGTACCGAGCGCGACCTGCAGGAAGCCATCGCAGTGTTGCGACGTGCGGAGCAGCTGCCCCGACTGCAATCCGCGGTTTGGTCGTACTTGGACGAGAATGACGTCATATGCGGGCCGTACAGCCTGCTGCAGTTGACGGCGGTGCTCAAGGGCGCGGCGGCGCAAACGCATGTGGAGAACAGCGAGACGGGTGAGAGCCTGCGGTTTGTGGACGCGATCGCCGCCACGCCGCTGCGGAGTTGCGTGTTGGAGCGGAATGCGCTGCGGGAGCGGGTGGGAGCGCTGGAGGGGCGGGTGGGGCAGCTGCTGGCGGAGGTGAGTAGTGGGGGGTGGTGGGGCGTGGAGGTTAGGGACGGGTATTGCTGGGAAATAGAAGCAGCAGGGGCTTTTGGTGCCGGGGGGTAAAAATAAGGAAACTGATGAGGCGGGGGTGGGGGTGCGAAGGAGTGATACGAGGAGAGCTGGGTAAAGGGCGGTGCAGGGAAACGGGAGCGGATGGGCAGCCGTTATGGTGGTGTGGAGGCAGGGTGGGTGGGAGGGGCTTGGAGTGATGGGTGCGGTTGCATGGTGTTGGACTAGGACACAGTTAATAATGTGCAGTTGGGTGGACGAAAATCTGGCGGGGATAGCATTGCAGGGAGTCATGGGCTGATGCGGTCAATGCGGTGTGGTGGTGGTGGTGGTGGCGCGACGCATTGGGCCGTGGAGGGAGGGAGGGAGGACGAGAATGCATGTCGGCACTGCCTGGCGATTATAGCAGCTAGCAGAGAGAAAGATATGTTTGGAGCCACGGTGCATGGGCGTAGTGCCACCCTTGATGTTGTTGTTGGAGTATGGTGTTTCGTGTCGTTTACTGCCAATGCAGCAGCGCCACCATTGCGCTGTTGGCTTTCCGTCGAGAAATGGAGCGTTTGGCGGTGCGGTAAGGGTGGACGGTTAGCCCTCGTGACGGCGATTGGCGGTGCGGTGGAATGAATGCGGAGCCACTCGGGCACCACCCGCAGCGACACATAAGCACAAGAAGAAGGATGATGACGGCGCTTTGAGGCCTTGCATGGATGATTGGGTCCTGCTGGTAGCCGGTATGCTGGGTTGGATTGGTGGAGGAGGAGAAGCTGACGGGAAGGGCCTGCGGGAGCCATGAACGCTCGCTGTGTGTGTCGTGTCGTGTCCGTGTCCTTTTTCCTGGTGCGAAGGCCGCTTTTTTGCAGTTTATGCACCCTGCTTGTTGCGTTGCTTTACTGAGCCGACAACACTTCAATGCGCATCGCTTTGTACAATTGAAGCAACCCACGTTGGTGTGTGTTTTGAGGAAAACTGGCGTTATCATGTGTTATCATGCTGGGTATCTTGTTGGGTATGCGACCGCAAAACCGCAAAGCTTAAGTCATGTGCCCTGCCTGTTCCGGTGCCGGTGCCAACGGTGGCTCGTATCCCTTGCCGCTGCTGCTGCTGGTGCTGGTGCTGCTACTGCTACTGCTGCACCGTTGCGTGAGAGGTCATGGCTGCATAACTGGCTTTGGCAGAAGGATTTGCTATCTAGTGCAGCTGACTGAATGATCATGACACTTTTGCTGACACCTTTCTGCATGTTGCCCGGTTAGCTCGAGAGATGCAAAGGGTTTTCACTGATGGTGGCATCGTCGCTAGCTAGCTAACGCTTTGGGATGTGTGCACATGTTATTTCTTCTTGTGTTTATTGAAGTCGTTGTGCACAGTTGACGGTATGGCACGCCGAGAGGTTTGTGGGGTGTTCTGTACATGTTGTGGGTGTTGTTTGTTGCCTGTGGGTTCGAGCCATGAGTAGGCGTAAGGGAGCGCATTGTCCAAGATGGTTGGGGTCGTTGTCGTGACCGCTGTTGTTGTTGTTGTTGTCCTGGGCAGCATGGTGCGGGTGCTTTACACGTGCAAGGGTCGGCTATGGGCTTGGCAGGGAAGGGACATGTCTATACCCTTAGACATACCCATAGACATATCCTGTTCCAGCATAGCGTGTTCCTTACGTGCCATGAGGACCTGGCAATGTCGTTTCTTTTGCTTCCGTTGCACTTCCAGTTACCGTAACCACTATTCACCTCATCCCTCCATCCTCCTTTTCCTTCTTCTCCTTGCCTCACCCTGCAGGGTCGTGCCATCTGCCTGGAGATTCAGGCCGCTGAGTTCGACGCGCTCGCAGAGCGGTTAGCCACGGCTCGCTGGCTGCCCGCCAGCAACCCTGCAGTCGCCGTCGCAGTCGCCACCGACGGCGGCCGCGGTCTCAATCCCGCCGCCGTACGATCGCAGCTCATAGCGGGGTCGCTCGCGCCCGACGAGCCGCTGATCCCCGCGGCGCTGGCCGCGCTGCCCGTCGCGGCGGCGGCCGCGGCGCTACTGACTCCAGCGACAGAGGTGGTGGCGGAGTGGGAGGGTGCCGTACATGAATCCCGGGAGCGTTTTGCGGCGGCGGCGAATTGCGTCGTACTGCAGGCCGTACAGCTGCCGGCTCAGGACGATAAAGCGTGGTCGTATCTTTCCGGCGGCCGACCCGCGGGTCCGTTTTCTTTTTCGGACATGTCGGCCGGTCTGGCGGAGGGCAAGATGGATTCGTACATGTTGGTATCAGCATCCCGCCCGCTGTCGAGAGTAACGGCAGCGCCAAGGGTTTCGACAGGCGGCGCCGAGGAGGCTTCTGCTGCTGCTGCTGCCGCTGATAGCAGCGGTGACGGCAGCAGCGGGCAGCAGTGGCTGCTGTTAGCAGAGGTAGTACGATTGTACGGCAAGCAAACGGGAGCTGCTACCGCCGCGGCTGCCGCCACACTGGCACCGGCGCCATCCTCACCTCCCTCCTCAACCCTCCCTCCCGCGGATCCCATGTTTGCACTAGGCGGCGTGCAGCCACCTATCGCAACCCAACGACGTCCGCACTCGCAGGGACCTTCGCCACCGCCGGGGCCGCCACCGCCGCCGCCGCCGGCGGCGGCAATGGCGGCGGTGGCTGCAGCCGTGGCAGCCAACGGCATGCTGGGGCCGGCCGCCGGTATGATCGTACCGCCGCCGGCGCTGGCAGCAGCCGCCGCCGCCGCCGCCGCCTCTCAACATGCCATGTTGCCGGGCCTGCCGCTACCCGTCCATGCTCCTGTACCACCGCCGGTCCTCCCACATGTACCCATGCAAGGCATGCTTCCCAACGCCGCTTCCATGCCGCTGCTGCCTCCCCCAGCCGTGCCACCTGGGATGGGCTGGAGTGCCGAGGGCGGCAATAGCAGCAGCATCAGCGGAGCAGCAGCAGGCGCACAGCCGCTCCTGGCTTCGCAAGGCAGCACGGGCAGCCTGGGAAAGCCGCTTCGTAGCAGCATGGGCGGCAACAGCAGCGGTGGTTTCGGAGCGTCTAGGAGCGGCTCTGCAGCCGCGCTCGTACCGCCGCCACTGCCGCCGCCGCCGCTGGGTGCGGGAGCTGGTGACGGCGGCGGCTCATCGCCTCGGCGGCTTCACCAACCGCAGCAGCCACTGCCGCCGCCACCGTCGCTGCCACCCCACCACAACCACCGCAGTAGCAGCGGTTCCAGTAGCGGGATACCCGCCGCCCCGGTACCGCAACAACAACAGCAGACGCAGCAGCATCAACAGCAGCAGCAGAAACAGATGCTGCAGAAGCAGCAGCAACGAGCACCCCACCCGGCGCGTTCCGCCAGTCCACCGCCCTACCCACCACCACCACCACCCACACTGCCGCCGCCGCCGCCTCAGCAGCAACAGCAGCAGCCCCCTCCCCCGCCTCCGCTTCCGCCTGCAGCCGTGCGAGCTCCGTCGCAGCAGCAACTGCCAAAGCGCCCATCTGCGGTGGCTGGTCCTCCACCCGCACCCCCTCCACCCGCACAGCCTCCGTCACAGCAACCACACCATCAATCCCGACCACCACCTCAACAACAACAGCAGCAGCAGCAAGGCAGGTTTGCGGTGCGGCTAGGGTCACATGCGCAGCCTCCACAGCCGCAACCGTCTCGTCATCACCGGACCGATTCTAACCCTCCAGTAGCACCTGCGGCAGCAGCACCTGCTCGTGCAGGCACCGGGTCTACTATCTCTGAAGCTGCCACTGCTGCCGCTGCAGCAGCAGCACCACCACCACCACCACCTGCACTGCCGCCATCAAGCACCGCTGCTGTTGTCGCTCCTGCCGATACTCCGGTTGCCACCGCTTCAACACATACTTTAACCGCAGCAGTCACCACCACCGCGGCTGCAGCGCCAGCGTTTGAGAAGCAGCAACCACCACCACCACCACCGCAGCAACCACCACCGCCACCCCCAGCTGTGCCCCTCACCGCCCCCATCGTGCAGCAGGCGCTCCGCATGACCAAGCTGCAGTTCCTGCAGTACATGCGGCCGCACCTGCACCGCGTGCTGGCGGACATGGTGGAGGACGCGTACTGCGAGTTCAGGCTGAAGCGGCTGGCGGCGGCGGAGCGGGAGGAGCAGGGGCAGGAACAGGCGGTGGAGCCTCCCCAGCCTCAGCCTGTGAGGGGGCCAGATGATGGCGCGGGCGCTGGAGGGAGCACCAACATGGGTCATGGAGGGGCAGCAGCGGCGGCAGTAGCGGATGCAGCGGATGCATTGCCACCAGCCATGCAGCCGCTGGCAGGGTCGGGCAGGATTATGCGTGCAGAGGAGGAGGAGGAGGATAGGGGCACCGCCGGGAGAGGTGGGGAGGAGCAGCAAGAGGATGGTGGTGCGGTAAGCGGGCGGAAGGAGGAGGAAGGTGGGGCGTCCGAGCCTGAGGAGGGCGCACCGTTGCAGCAGCCGGCTGGAAAGGAGGAGCAGCATCAAGCAGAGGAGGAAGGGGACCAGGAAGAGGGGCGGGAAGGAGCGGCTGCGGCTGCTGCGGCCTCGCTGCCGGCGGTAAAGGGGGAGCCTGCGGAGGAGGAGGACGAAGGGCAGCGAGAAGACCTGGTGGGAGGGCAGCAAGCTGGGGAGGGTAAACAGAGCTCGGAAGAGGAGGAGCAGCAGCAGCAGGAGGGAGAGCAGCAGGTGCAGCAGCAGGAGGACGCAGTACAGCACTTGGCTGAGGTGCGGGCCTCCAAGGAGGAGGAACAGCAGGCGGAGGCGAGCTCCCGAGATCCGGGGCAACAACCCGAGCAGCAGACCCAGCAGCAGCGGCAGGAGGAGCACCAGCAGGAGGAAGGGCAAGTCCAGTTGCCGCAGCGGAATCCCAAGGCAGAGGAGCAGCAGGAGGAAGAGGCTGCTGCTACTTTTCCGGCAGCAGCTGCAGAAGAAGCCTCCGGCCCCGCAGCAGCGCTACCAGTGACGGCTGATGCTGCTGCCGCGGCTGCCCATGCAGCACCAGCTGCTGCTGCTGCGCCAGCGGCAGATGACACCTCCTCCCCCAGCTCAGCCACCCCTCCTCGCTCCCCCAAGTCACGACGCGAACCCAGGGCGCGAACCCTACGCCGCAATCGGCTGGCCAGCGAGGTATCCCCCTCACCATCAACCGGCCCCGGCGCTGGCTCGTCCCCTGCTGCTGCCACTACCACTGCTGCTGTGGCACCTGTGCAGTCATCCGAGGCTATCCCGGCAACCAGCGCACCCCCTGCTGCTGCTGCTGCTGCGACTGCAGCCCCCCCAAGCGCCGCAGCAGGCAGCAGCAGCAGCAGCCCCGACGCAGCCACCCTGACCATGGCGCATGAGCTGCTAGATGAGATGCTGGCGCTGGCTCACCTGATTGTGGAGGCGCAGACCTACACCGTGGCGCCCCGTGCGACACGGAGTCGCCGTCAGGGAGGCGCAGCGGGGCCTGCAGCCGCCGCAGCCACCACCTCGCCTTCCGTCTCGGGGGCTGCTACTGCTGCAGCGTCGGGTTCGGAGCGAAAACGGGACCGCCGAGAGGCGGCGGCCGCTGCAGCGGCGGCTGCGCCGCCGTCGGCTAAGCGGCAGCGGCAGGGCACGAAGGCGGAAAAGGCGAGCGGCGGTGGAGAGCCAGGCGCGTCGCCAGCGGTTGCGGAGCAGCGGAGGAAGAAGGAGGCGTCAACAGCGGCGGCGGCGACAGCTGCTGAGGATCCTGGTTCTCCTGCTAGTGGTGGCGGCGGAAGCCGTAAGAAGGCTCGAACTCGGGAACGGGCTCCGCCGGCGGAGGCAGCGGCAACGACCACTAGTAAACCGGATTCCGCGCATGGCTCTGACGGAGACGCAGCGGCGGCGGCAGAGGGAAGCGGCGGAACCAAAGCAGAACCCGAGGCAGCCACGCAGGACGACGCAGCGGAGGCGGCGGCGGATGCGGAGGCTCAGCCGGCGTCTCCAAGCTCTGGTAGGCAACGGAAGGGGGGTCGAGATCGCCGAGCGAAACGCTCGCGTCGTGAAGGACCCACCAGCGATGCCGGACCCCGCGCTGGCGGAGGTACGGCGGAGGCGGTGCCGGATGGGCCGGCGGGCGCGGTGAAGAAGGAGGCGGCTGATGACGGCGAGGAGGAGCCAGGGGCCGGGGCATCGCAGAAAGTTAAGCTGGAGCCGCCGGCGCATGGTGACCGCGGTGGTGATACCGGCGGTGACGTCGGCGGCGGGGACAGCACAACTGGCGGAGGTGCTCACACCGCCGACAACACCGCCGACAACACAGCCGACAACACAGCCGCTGTGGCTGCAGAAGCCGGTGAGGAGGATGTCAAGCCGTCACCTGCCGACGCCGCTGAAGGAACCGTCGTCGCAGACGCCGATGCAGCTGCTGCTGCTGCTGCGGAGGAGGAGGAGCCCTCGCGGAAGCCGGTGCGGGCTCCTCGCTACCGAGGCATCTCCGCGAAAGAGCTCCGGTCGCTTGCCCAGGGAGGGCCGGGTATCGCCGCCTTTGGAGGCAGCGGTGTGGGCGATGCAGCCGGCGGCGGCGGCGGTGGCGACGTGGCGGCGGCGGCGCTGGGACGCCGTACACGGTCCGCGGCGGCGGCGGCCGCCGTTAACGCCGTCGCCACGATGGCGGCGGAGACGCTGGCGTCTTTGCATGGCGCCGCCGCCGCTGCTGATGCGGCGCCAGCGGGGCCAGCCGCCACTGCTGCCGCCACCGAGGCGGCAGCAGCCGCGTCTCCGTCATCGCCCTTGCCGCCGCCGAACGGTGTCACGTCTGCTGCGGCGCCAACGCGACGGAGAAACAGGGAACGGCCGCGGGAGCGCAGTCGTAGCGGCGCTGCCGCCGCCGCCGCTACTCGGTCCGCCTCAGCTGCAGATGAATCCCAGCTGCATCACTACAGCCCGACCCGTGGGTCGTCCGAGGCGGCCGCGGACCCCGACGCAGATACCCTTGACAGCCCCTTCTTCAACGCCGGCGGCGGCGGCGGCGGTGGCGGCGCCAGCGGCGGCAGCCATAAGCGCTCCCTGGCATCTCTCCGCAGCCATCAGTCCCTAGACAGTTTGGCAGCGGAGGCCGAGCTAGCGTCCTGGCAGGCCGCCACCGCCGCCGGCAGGGCGAGTCGCCGAGGCAGCGACAGCGGTCGGCGGCCGCCCAGCCGCACCAGCAGCTGCACTCAGGAGCACCTAGAGGGGTGGCACAGCGCCATCTTCCCGGGGGAGCCGTACGGCAAGGCCATGCGGCATGACAGTCTTACCATGTTGCTGGAAGCGAGCCTCATGACGTTTGGGCATGTGGCAGCCTCGGCTGGCGGCGGAGGTGATGCTGCTGGGGGTGGTGCCGGCGGCGGAAGTGGCTGGACGTCTGCACAGGCGTCGGAGGCGGTTGGTGTTGCTTCTGGAACGGCGGCGGCAGCGGCAGCAGCAGCTGATAATGGCGGCAGTAGCATGGCTGACGATGACAACGGTGGTGGTGGTGAGGATTACAGGCGTGCCGCTCCCAGCCTTCCCAAACACGCGAGAGGACCCCGCAGCGCTCGATCTGGCGGCGGCAGGCGCGCCACAGGTGCCGGCAGCGGCGGCGGCGGTAGCAGGGGGGTCCTGGCTGCCGTTCTGGACGACCCGCAGTACAGCCACCAGCGACAGCGTCAGCAGCAGCAGCATGCGCAGCCTGCTGGATTGCAGGTCGTGCTTCCGGAAGGAGGTGCAGCTGCTGCTCCCACAGCTCGCCGCCGCCGCCAGCCGCCCCAAGGCAACGGCAACCTCACCTCCCTCAGCGATGTGACAACGGCCGACGATGCGGTAGCCGCGGCAGCAACCGCCGCCGCTGCGACTTGGATGATGTACGACGGGGCCGTGCTGGGTGCCCCCGGCGTGGGAATCCCCATGCAGGCGCTGTTGCTAGCCATGGCTGGCGCTGGCGGCGGCGCTGCCTCGGGTATCGGCGGCATCGGCGCAACGACGGCTGCTGCTGCTGCTGCGGTTGCTGCTGCTAACGCTGCTGGAGCAGGGTCCCGTGGTACGACTCGTAACGGCCGACGTAACGGCGCCACGTCACCGGCTCTACCACACCAGCAGCAGCAGCCGTTTGAAATTCTGATGGCCGCAACCGCAGCGGTTGAAAACGAGCGCAGCAGCAGGAGACCCCTGGGGAGTCGCCGCCCCAGCCCGATGCCCATCGCTGGACGTGGCGAGGATGCCGCGGCGACAACAGCAGCTGCTGCTGCCGGCAGACAGCGCACGCTTACACCGCCTGCGCCTAATACTCCCCACGACCCAGCTGCCGCTGCTGCTTCGGAGGACAGCGCCGCGCGTGTGCGCCATCAGCAGCAACAACACCAGCAGCGGCAACAGCAACGAGCCTCAGCGCTAGGGCTGTTGAACAGCCAAGCTGGCGGCTGCAGTCGAGGCCTGCCGCTGCCCGCGGTTCAAGCCCTCAAGCGCTCCTCCCTCAACACCTCCCTCAACGGCACTGGACTTGCTGCTACTGCCGCACCTACCGCTCGGCCGTTGTTAGCCGGCGGCGGCGGCGGCAACAGCTCCCCCGCGCCACATGCGAACCGTCGCGCCCGACCCGCCGCCAGTGACGCCCGCTTTCTCACAATGGCGGCGGCTGGCGGCGCGGCCGCCGCGGCGGCGGCGAGTGGCGTCGGCGGCGGCGGTGGCCCGAACGGCGGCGCGGACGCTCAGCAGGTGATGGAGCTTACCAAATGGCGGCTGCTGGCGGCGCGAGCCAAGCAGCTCAAGTTTGGGAGGAGCCGTATTGCGGGCTGGGGTAAGTGGCGCGGGAGGTGGTCGTGTACGGGGGGAGAATGACGCTTGGGTGATGTGCTGGGCGAGAAGAAGCCACGGCTGGGTTGCTTGCAAGGAGCGGCCGGTTACTAGCTTTTGGGATATGACGTTAGGAGCCACCCTGTAAGCATGCGCTGTCCTGTTCGCTTGCCGTATTCTTTTGCTCGTTTTTCTGGGAAGCGGCTTATAGCGGGCTACGCTCCTTTTCGGAAATGTCTGTACACGTAAACTCGTTTTCCTAAACACTCTTTTCACAACACTTCACAGGATTATATGCGGTGGAGCCTATTGAGCCCAACGAGTTCGTTATCGAGTACTGCGGCGAGCTGATCCGCAAGCCTTTGGACGATGTACGGCAGCGGCGGTACGACGCGGGTGGCTACGCGGACTACATGTTCGCACTGGATGATGCCTGGGTGGTGGATGCGACCTTGGCGGTGAGGGAGAGGGAGAAGGGAGAAGGGAGAGGGGAGAGGGGGTGGAGGGTGGGGGCTGTTGATTGGAGCAGTAGGGGAGAGAGTTGGGGAAGGTTGGGGGCTCTGGGGAAGCAGGAGCAGAGGGGCGTGCACGGATGTCCCGCATGACGGAGGATAAACCGTTGTCACCGTCTCAAGCACTTGAGTTCATCATTACATTCCAACCCACAACCCACAACCCATACGCACATAACGCGCAAATAACCGAAATGCCGCCTTCCCCAGGGCAACGCCGCCCGCTTCATTAACCACTCGTGCGACCCCAATTGCGCGGCTCGAGTGGTGGAGGTGGGCGGGGCGCGCAAGATCGCCATCTACACGCTGAGGCGGGTGGAGGCGGGCCAGGAGCTGTCGTACGACTACAAGGTGGGTTGGGGTTGGGCGGCGGGGTGCTTTGGTTTGGAGACAGGAGGAGGGCGCATTTGGGAGGGGGTTCTTGGGAATATTTTTGGAGCTCTAGAAGACTAAAATGACCACGCGCTAGGCGTTTTGAGCCCTCTTTAGCTCCGCCATTCAGTGTTCCGCTTCTCAGGCTTTCCTTTGGTTTGCACCCCTCCTCAAACACCACCCTTTCCTCTCCTCCATTTCCTCTCCTCCTCCTCCTCCTCCCGTCCGCAGCTGTCCTGCATGCCGGGTGCGGAGCGGATACCCTGCGGCTGCGGAGCACGCAACTGCAAGGGCTTCATGAACTGAACTGGCGTGCTAGCGGGGGCGGGCTAGCTAGCTAGCTAACAAGCGGGGGAGATGAGCTAAGGATTGCGGGGGCTGATACTCCACTGGCGGTGCCTCATACAGATATGATGTTACTTGCATGATGCGGCTTGGGTGCCCACCGGCGGGACTGCAAAGGGGTTACCACGCGCTAAGCTTTTTATGAACTGCTGGGCTGAGGGCCTAGATTAGGTGGGCGGATGCAGCTGGTGTGTGGCTGTTTAAGTGGGTCGGTCCCGTTCACTTCGCTGGCTGGGGGTGCCATCCGGAGGAAAGCGAAGGTCGAGGTTTGGTATTGTGCCTTGCTTGGCAACAGCGTCTTTTGCTTGGGGAGGGAAGAACAAGTGGAGAGACGCGCTTGCAGCATGGGAAGGAATGGCAAGGGGCTTCTATTGCATGGTGGCACTGTGGCGCAAATCCAAACGACCGGCACATTTCACAACAAAACGTTACTGAGCTTACTAAACGGTGCGGTTGGGAATGTATTGTGTGGATGGGTGTGCTACGTGCCACTACGTGCTGGTGTCCTCTTTTCAGTGGAATTGCATGCTCTGGATGAGGCGGGTTAGCATGACTGAAATGGCAGGTTGGGAGAGCTGGGCGTGAGTCGGGGGTTGTGTATGTGTGCGTCCGTGCGCGTGTTAAGAAAACTGGCTGCGAGTGTTCTTCCAACTGAACTGAGCCCCGTGCGTGCGGGTACCGTTGCAGCGTATTGCATACCGGGCTGCGCAGCGGGGCTGCCTGCATGCTTGTGCCGCCGTTGTTTTGCGTGTGGGTGCATGTGCACGTACGGCTACGGCTGCTGCTGCGCCCTGGTTTTCGGCAAACGGGCTGGGAAACCGGATATAGCCACCGGTTTTACCCTAGAACAATATGGACAGAGCAGGGGAGCCTAAACAGGGTGTTCATGCTTCCGCTGCTGCTGTGCAGCTTTGCCACTATGATGCAGTGGTGGTGATGTGTGGGCATTTAGATTTGTTCTAGCATGTGGATGTGCCGGAGAATTGGTGTCATTCCGCTAGAACGCTGGCTCAAAGGCTGCTTGCGTTGCATGCGATACAACGAACGCGCTTCATAACTTCATTCCATGCGCAGCCATGCGGCTAATGTGCGGTGCAGCTTTGCATTGGAATGAGTCCAGGACATCAAAACCACTGGGATGTAAATGGCTGCGGTGCGCCCGGGCGTCCGTTTAAACACCTCGCTCATGGTATGATTAAGCTCGTCGCATCGCGCCATGCTTTCCCTGGCATCCTGTCATGCACATCCTGTTGGGTCACGTGTGAGCATACGATCGGTTGGGTGAATGGGGATTCAGAAGCCCCCGGTTATGAACGGCTGGCAGGCAGAAGAGCGCTGAAATAACCGTATTGACACGCGTTTTGAAGTAATAATTGAAAAAACGGAAACAAATCTGCCCTATAAATATTCCGACAGCACAGATATATTGTACTTTACCCCACGTATACATTTACGCGCGAGCATTGAAGTATATTGTGGCTGTAAGCTAGAGCTAAATCAACATTGTTTGCCCTGTCAGTTAAGTAGCTGGGACAGGAACCCAGCTGGCAACGGAAACCGTCACAGCACTCGTAGCAGCATAGCGGGGCAGTCTGCAACCTCCCTGGAAGCTCCCAGAACCTCCCAGAAGCTCCTCCAACCGCACCGCTATCTTCCTTACGGGGGCCTGTCTCCCTGTTCCCTGCGCTGCGCAAGGCGTCAGGGGTACATTAGTCCTTTACCTCTCGGTCATTGTACGACACAAGCTCAGCGCTCCGAAACCCTGCATGCAGCATACACTCGCTGCCACACAAATCGCCCCGCATCGACTAGCTGCTCGCACAGCATTGGCCAACTGCCATGCGAAGGTCGGTAGGTGAATGAGTTCCGTGTCGAATGCCGACGTTGTTCCTCATTGTGCTGCCGTGACTGGGATGTGAGGTTGCACAGCTGCCGGCATCTGGCTACGAGCAGCCGGGATGCACCCTTCAGACATAGGGGCTGTTTCCTAAGTCCGAAGGACCAACGAAAAGGTGCGCAAATTGCCACCGAGCGGATGCTGTATTCAAAATGTTACCAGGTTCCCTCCTGCAACCCTTTGCAACCGTCCACGCCCCAAGGAGGCACTGTTAAGGCGGAAACAGCTACCGTAATCCATGGAGGCACGTTCACACAAGCAGATCGTTGACACGCCAACGGATGCCAACACGCAGGAGATACCCTGCTGCCCCCAACGGGTGTATGTGAAGTTGTGAATTCACCCCCCCATTACCTCTGTGTTGTTGCACTTATTTATAAATTTCCCCCCTTACCTCCCAACCCATCCCCAACACCCACCCACCCTCATAGGGCCTTGCATGGAGCCTAGACGCCTCCCATGGCCACCCACCAGACATCCTATCTCCCTAGGTGATGCGCGAGGGCGCAGGAGTGTAGGCCTCCAAAGAGTGAGGAGGTCCTCCCAGCAGCCGTGAAACCCAAGCGCACCAGCTGCACCAGATTGCAGCTAGTCGATTTAGGGGGACTCAACCTCTTAGCGAAAACGACAGCAAGCTTGCGTTATGCCTCCCGCCGCTACAAACCCCACCGGCTGCTGCTACCGGCAGGAAACGCCAATACAGGTGGTTGGCAACAGGTTGGGATTGTGCTCGTTCCCGTACGGGCAAAGTTAGTTAAACCCGCACATAAAGCAGGTCACGCAGCAGCAACATCAGGTCCAGAAGCAAACGTGTGTGTATTGGTTACGCACGGCAGCGCGCCCCTCCGCACGAACTTATGCGATATGAGAGCTTCAGCAGACTCCTTTGCTAAAAAAAGACTCGCAAGGAGGCCACCCATGCAATCGAAACCACTGCCAGGAAAGTCGTATTGCTCAGGTCGACTAAACAGCGCACCCGAATCACGGCTAGGTTGGTTAAGTGCGACCAGGCAGAGCTAGCTGGAATTTACTTGAGCCTTAACCCCACAACACCGAAAGACATCCTGGCCATATGTCCACACGTGGAAACCAAGAGAAAAGAGCCTGCAAGGCGGCTCGTGGGCTCATAACAAGTAAGGCCACCATCCGAGATCCTCCTTTTTGACAGCAATGCACATCGCTTGTGCTCTCGTCGTTGGCGAGAGCCGCAATTGGGATTTCCCCGCCACAACACGCTTCAGCGCCGCCGGCCCAGCTGCATCTCAATGCTACGCCCTGTATAGGAAACGCCTCCTTCTAGGGGGCCCATCCGTGGCCATCCATGCGCGGCCCCCAGCGACATCCCTACACATGATAATGTGCGTTCCGCCATCACAGCCACAACCCCCCGGGGGCACCGACACAAAGCTTGGCTAGAAGGGGCACATGCGAGGCAGTGTGCACAACGCTGCAACCACACGCCCACATGTCCCTTGTTTTCCGCAGCGCGTCTTCCTCTTTCTCCTTCATCCTGTGACCTGCCCGGCAGCCATGCCCCGCCCTAACCGTGTCAATCCGCAGGCACATCGCCCCCCCTGCGTTGCTTTCAATTTGGCACATTGTAATGTTGAATTGAGTCTTCACGCACATGAAAGACGCTTACTTGCAAGCAAACAACCTGCGGACGCGAGGACTCGAGCACTCGACCCGGTGCCTTACTTCAACCCCGTGATTCACACGCCTGTCTACGCCCTCCATGTCCACTACTCCTGCGCAAGTCTACCCCACGAAACTAGCACCCTACGCTGCACAACCCACCTTCCTCCAGCCTCCTCCCATGTTGATGCATTTCCTACAAGCACTACCCCTACTTATGCGCCATGCGCTATCAATTGGAAATCTGGTAGCAAGACCTTTACCCGCACCACCTCTCTCATGCCACATGCAAACAGCAAGGTCAGGCCGGATCAAATCATCCATGCATCCCCGCGTCATCACCCCATTTGACGCCCTCAGCAGCACCTGGGCACAAGCCACGTCCATGCAGCCGCATTCCTGCAGCTGTACTTACAGCCGCAGCAGCAACGGCGGCAGCAGCGGCGACGGTGAGACCGCGTCACCCCTAGAACGCCACCACATAGCGCTTTACAACGGTACGACACCCGTTACCCGTCACCCCTCACCCACAGCCGTGATCAAGGCAACGTAACGATACACACACCCTTTCGCCGTCAGCAACACACCACCCCCTCTACATCACCACGCAGCACTTGCAGCCGGGCTGTTCAGCCGCTGCTTTCTCCTTCGCCGCCGCTGCCGCCGCCGGCGGTGTTGACGCCGCCGCCGTGCCGTTCGTCTTATGCCCATTCGCCTGCGGAGCCACTGCTGCACCATCCGCCACTCGTAACGCCACATCCTCTGCCTTCACAACTGCGTCCGTAGCACCAGCAGTAGCAGCAGCCGGCACCGCACCCCTAGCCGTCGCCGCTGACGTCATGCTATCCGCTGCAATTTCGGACGCATGCGCCGTCGCTGCCTTGGCGGCGGAAGCAGCCTCCTGCGCCGTACCGGCGGCGGCGGAGGAACCAGATGCCGTACAAGCCCGCGCCGCCGCCGCCGCCGCGGCCGCCGTTGCCTGTGCCTCCGCCGCTGCCCGCTTTGTCGCGTCTGCTGCCGCCTGCCGCGCCTGCTCCGCTGCTTCCTTGGCAGCGGCGGCGGCGGCGTCTTGGGCGGTGGACGCGGCGGAAGCTGCAACGCCGCGAGCCTGAGGATGGGGGTACCAAAAGAGATCAAAAGTTGGGTTGGGTTGTTAGCGAGGTCGCACATCTATTTCAAGAAGGGATCAAGTGCCGGGGTAAGGGCTGGGCAAAAGGAGCGGTGGCTGCTGCTGTTCTAAAAAACGAAAGGTGCGAGAGGGGGGAGTTCGCGTGGGCGCGACGAGAGGGCCGTTGGCTACAAGGAATGCGAGTACTTCGATTCTTACAAAAGTATTAAAGCCACGGCAATGGCAGATTGACAGTTGCAAGCTCAAAGAAGCCCCAAAGATCCCTCATAAAGGGACCCCACGTACCTCCTGCGCCTGCTCTCTAGCTGACGTCGCGGCTTGCTGCACCGCCGCCTCCGCCGCCGCTGCCGTCTGTTGCGCTTGAGCTGCGGCCGTTGCCGCCGCCTCCGCCGCCGCTGCTGCCGTGTTCCCGACTTGGGCTTGCAGGCCAACGGACGAGGCAGTCGTCGCCTCAGCGGCCCTGCGAAGGGATTCTGCGGCTGCAACCTCCGTAGTATGCTGCGCCGCTGCCGCCGCTGTCTCCGCAGTCCTCACGTCAACGGCCCCGTCACCGTTCGCAACCGCCGCCGCCGACGGAACTTTACCGTTGGCGGTTGTTTCGGTGGCGGCGCCGCCGCCGTTGGCGACGACGGCGCCAATCGGGGCATCCGTCGGTTGGGTGAGTGGGCCCGCGGCGGCGTGCACGGCTAGCCTGCGCAACGTGACGCGAGAGGTGGTGGAGGTGGGAAACATGGAATGAGCGGTTGGAACTGCCGTACAGACGCCGTACAGTGGCAAGGAGGGGCACAGTAGGTAATCCGCCTGCTCTCTCTGATGTGTCCCTATTGCCCTTGGTCGTTATGCAAACAGAGCCTTTCCATTGTAGCCACCCCCCTCCTTTCGCCCCCACCTCTTCTTCCCTCCTTTCCCCTTCTGTCAAGCCCCCGCCTCCGCCGCCGCTGTTCCCTTCCCGCTGCCCCCTCTCAGCCCCCCCCCCCGCCCTCACCGCTGCTCGATGAGCCCCGACACCGCCTCCTCCAGCTCAACGTACGGCAACGTCTTGGAAACCCAGTCGGACGGGATGCAACCGGGGCCACCCTGGGGGGGGGCAGGGCAGGGATGATAGTTGTGGGGGTGGGGGGGCGGGGGGGTAGCAGGAGGTGGATAACCCGCACATGGTGTGGGAGTGAAGGCAGATGGGTCGGAAGAGGCGCCTTGTTCCTCTTCGGCCGCCGCCCCGCCTCACGCTCCTTCCGAACCGTCCTCAGCAGCCCAAACCCAAATCCCCTCTAAGACCCCAACGGTATGTGCTCCAAAAGCATGACCTCCTCCTTTCTTCCTCAAGCTCTTCTTCCCCTCCCTGCCCCCCTCCCTACCCTTGCCGCCAGCAGCGCCCCCACCAGCACCGCCCGGGAGCAGTTGTCGCCCCCGAGCAGCAGGTTGCCGCGCACACCCGACACGTAGTCGGGGGCCTGCAGGGGGGTGGGGGGGAATGGATGGAGGGGAAGGAGAATGTCCACTGTGGTGAATGAAGACGGCAAACTGGGTGGCAAACTCCTGGTGCATGGAAGCAAGTTGGTCGGGGTGGGGGCCGGCACCCACCGAACCTCCGCTCCCCTCGGCCTCCTCCTGCGCCATCTCTAGCTCCCCCCCCAGTCCCTAGGGTGTCCCTAGGGTGTTTGTTGCTTTACAGTTGAGCCCCACGCTTCTATAACCCCGACCCCTCAACCCATCCTGAAGCTTCGTACCGTACATCTCTCGTCAGTTTCCTCTTCTTCTTACCCCCATGCCCACCCTCTGAAACCCCCAGCACCCCCTCCCAGTGCCCCCCCCAAACCCTGCCCCCACCCCACCCCTTATCACACAGTCAGTTAGTTGTTCCCTCTTTACCCCCACCTCCACCCCACCCCCCACCTGCAGCGCCACCAGCAGCGCCGCTTTGAGGCAGCCCGGGTTGCTGCAACCCGCACCCCAGGGACCGAACTTGACCTCGGGGCCGGGGGCGCCGTACATGAGGCCTACGAGGTGGGGAAAGGTGGGAGGTGGGGGGGAGGTGGGAAGGTGGGGGGGAGGTGGGAAGGTGGGGGGGAGGTGGGAAGGTGGGGGGGAGGTAGGAAGGTGGGGGGGAGGAGAAAGGAGTTCATGAGCTGGGCCGCGAGGGCAGAGGGAGGGATGGGTGGGAGGGTTGGGCCCTGCAGGCGCGGCAGGTGTGGAAGGTGCAGCCCGACTAACCCTCTCAACACCAACACCAACAAGGGCCCTCTTGCTCTCCGCATCTCCTCCCTCTCCTCCCCCTCCTCACCTCATCAGTTTCCTCGTTTTCATCCCCCCGATCTACCTTCCCCTCCCCCCTCCCCCCTCTCACTCACTCCGCGGGTCTACATCCTTCTTCTCCAGCACCTCCCGAACCGCGTCACGGCTCTTGACCGCCCGCTCGCCCAGCCCCCCCTCGGGCCCCAGCACCCACTGCAGCGCCGACTCCACACTGCCACCCTGGGAAGGGGCGGGAGGAGGCGGGAGGAGGGAAGAGGCGGGTGGGGAAGGGGAGAGGAGGGGAGGATTAACATGGGGTGGGGGCTGAGGTAGGCCCTCCATTGCGAGTGCGGACAACCGAGGAGGGCCCCGAAGCAGCACAAAAGCGGCACCCACTTCCGCACCCGTGTCCTTAAAGGTGCCCTGTGGATTCGGTACCTACTAACCGCTTCCTGAACCCCGCCCCCCCCCCCGTGTGCCCCAACCCCCAACCACCTCTCCAGTCTCCACCTTCCCCTCTCCAACACCCATCTCCCGCAACCTCCTCCTCTATAACCTCCTCCCCCCCCTCTCACCGTCACCCCCACTCCTCCAATCTAGTTGTTTGCATTTATTATATAAATTTTACCCCCCCCCTCACCGTCACCATCACCCGTTCCAGCACCCGTGCCGCCGCCCACGCCAGCTCCACCGCCGTGTCATTGTTCTGCTGCGCCCGTACGGCAGCCTCCACCCCCCGCCGCAGTGCCGTACCGCCGTCAGAGCGGCCGCCGTACAGCGCAACCAGGGCAGGCACCTTGACGAAGCAGTTGGCCTGGGGGGGTGGGGGAGGGGAGGGGGGAGGGGGGGAGAAGAATACGAATATCCATGTGTTGGGGAGGGGGGGTGAGGAGGAGGAGGAGGAGGAGGAGCGGTGGAGGGAGAGGAAAAGAGGTGACGACGAGGGGTGAGGGAGAGGGAGAGGCTGGGAGGCATGACCCGGACGAAGGAGAGGCCAGACTGGCTCATATGGCGACACACCTCCACATCCAGAGTACGTTCCTACTCACGGCCAGTTTCCGTGCCGTACCCACATCCCTCCCTCCCCGGCGCCCCCAGCCCCCAGCCCCCAGCACCCCCCCCCACCCACCTGGTTGTCATTCGGCTCCCCGCACTCCGGCCAGGGGCGCCCCTCCGCCACTCTGTCCCGCATGGCCTTGGCGCTGTGGTTCAGGTAGACCAGCGGGGGCGAGTCGGAGGCGTAGTGGGCGGCAAGGTACTGCAGGGGGGGGGAAAGGGGGGAGGGGGAGGGGGAGGGGGAGGGGTGAAGAGGGGAGTGGGGGGAAGGGATTAAGAAGAAGGGGTTACCAGGGATTGAGGGAGAGGTGGATGACGCAGTAATCATTTCCCAGCTAGACCAGCTTTACGCCTCCCCCCCCCCGTCCCTCCTCCCCACGTTTAGCTCCCAACCAACCAACTACCCAACGTAACCAACCGCAACCAACCAACCGCAACCAACCAACCTTGGCCCATTCCTGCGGCTCGCACTCTCCGTGTGCCGCCAGGAAGGTGACCAGCGGCAGCAGCTCCTGTCCGTACGGCGACAGCGCGCCCACCACCGCCTTGTAGAAGAGGCAGGAGGGGCGCTCGAAGAACTCGGGAGCAGCTGTGTGGTCCACGGGTTTGGTGAGGGTGTCGCGGAGGATGGTGCGGTTGTATATCCACTGGAGGGGGGGTGGGTGGTAGGGAGTTGGGGGTTAGGGAAGGGGTGGGGTAGGGTTGGAAGGGGAATGAGGTGGCAGTGAGGATGGGGTGGGGATGTGGGTAAGGTGGGAGGTAGAGGTGGTGGGAGTGGGTCTGGGAAGGGCTGAGGTGGTGGCCTGGGAGGGTGAGATGGCATGCGCGAAGTCCAGAAAGAGGGCCCGCTCGATGCGTTCACGAGACGTATGAGACATAGGGTAAACCAAAGCGCTGTACAAGTTTGATAGCTGAGCAGCAAGGGTGGTATGCTGGACTTGCGGTCTTGTTATCGCGACATTGCACAACAGTTTGCAAGCTGTAAACGAACCCAACGCGAGATCAGGTATTGTAATAAAAGAGTGAAACTGTTTCCTGATCCTGGAGATCAGTAAGGGTATATGCCTCGCCGCGTGATTGCTGGCGAATATGGTACGCCCCGGCCATATCCATCGCCTACCATACACGCGACGGCTAAACCCTTACGTGTAATGGTGATGTTGCTGCATCTGCTATAAACGCCCCCAACAATGCTGCGCGGGCTCTCTCGACTTCAACCTCCATCGTCCGCCTTAGCCTCGCAGCTGCTAAACCGAGCAACTACTCAGAAGTAAGACGAAAAAGGGTGTGTCGGTTTTGGTTTGCATTCGGTATAGGTATTGATGGGCTGGCGATGCTTGCGGCCGCTTCATGCGGTGCTGTACCTTCTATTGGACATGACCCCCGGCGAAACCTCCTGTCCAGTATGTACAATGCCATTAAGAGCTACTACGTATCTTGTATAAAAAAGCAAGGATCTACCTAACAGAGCCCTCTAAATGTCATACCGAACCCGCAACACCATTGTGCTTGCCTACACTTCTTGTCCAGCAGCGAAAAGCAGGATACTCTTGTGGTCATTCACTGCATCACGCTGCTACTCACACGTATCCTGTATGTGTATGTGCCATGCGAGCCGTAGATATTTGCTAGGAATGCGCCTCATGCAAGGCTCGGTGAGCAACGGTCGGGAGGCTTTCTTGGCCAGTGGTTTAGCTAAGGGCTGATGACGCACTTGGTGGCTGCGAGGCAGGAGGTCGTGTAAGGCTTAGGGCAGCATGTGGCGCCACATGCTGTGGAAGAATGTCCTATACGAACAGCGTAACCAGGGGGAGGGACCAAGGGTGAGGTGAGAACGTGATAGTGTCATCGCTGCACGCTTCTTTGCTTGGGAATTCTGTGCCGCCTGGCCCCAACGGGTGGCCGCCTACGCCTGACCTACGTACCGGTACACGAATGCACGCGGCAACCCCGCATCACCCATATAGCATCAATTCATCTGGCATGACACCTTCAAAGCCGGATAGCGCTTACCGTAATGTGGCTGCTGCTCCAGGCATGTCCTTCAACCGGCCAACTAAGCAGTGCCGCTTGTTTCTCATCACTGCCAGTTCATGTTACAGCAGGAGTGTCGATCTATGGCCAGCACTCAGATCCCAGCCACCCATCCTGTAAGGAAGCGCCTTATGAAAACCCCTCGGCGAAACCCTCCCCCCGTCGAAGCCCCAATGTTTAAGTTGCACTAGTGGCCGGAAGTGCAGACAGTCCTGCGTTGTTGCACCACGAGAAACCAACACCTCCAAGCAAAACTAGGCAAGAGAAACGGTCCTGGCGGGGCACCATCCCAACACAAACCAACCACGGCCCGCCATGTAGGGTGGGTGGGCGGGTAGTAGGGCCACGTCCCGGCAGAGGGACACGCCTCATCAACAGGAATATCTACACAACGGCAGTTAGGGAAACCAGCGAGTGCAGCCGGTAAACAGACTGGGACCACCGATTGCCGTACCACGCAAGCACCGATGCCGTGCGTCCTGCTGTAAGCATTCCTGGCAGTTTCTTCGCAATAAGTGGACGTTTCTTATCTCTGTCTCGTCAGGACTTCCTCAACTACGAAAGAAAAGTCAGCACTTATGCCGTTATGCGTGAGGTGAATGGCGTGCTGGTATGCTTGGCTGAGCTAAACAAGTACGATCTTAGTGTCGCTGAAGCTGAAGCTGAAAGGTGAGGTGGGGCTGTGAAGCTGGGGTCACGAAGCAAGCCTTCACCACCACGACGCAGCACCAGGTATGCCTTTGCTGCACCATCACGGGCCGAAGGGGTCTGAACGTGGTCGTGTTCGTGAAGGCAAGGGCAACCCTGCGGGCCTAACAGCGACCCTGCTAGCGCTGCCACACGGCCAAAAGATACCGTAGCGTGTCGGACTTGGTTTGCCGAGTCATGCAGTTGCATGCATGATGCGGAATGATGCGGAAGCGGCAAACCAAGTCGTGCTCGAGGTCTTGACGGTCCATGCAAGATGCGCAATGCAGAAGCGGCCTTCGTGCAGGGGTGTCTAGGTGGCCTGGTCACCTGAGCAGCAGTCCCTGCATTCCTAATGCCATAGGCGCATAGCTGGAGGAACTGGGTGATGTATCCCATGGTTTGGCTTCGAACCGGCCCAGGTAAAGGAGGAAAGACCCATGGGTCTCAGGTAAGGCGACTGAAGCGTTTTGTTTGCTTGCGGATGCCTGTGCGCTGCAGGGCTGCATGCTTTGTAGTGCCATGCGTAGACGCACACGTGCAAACGGCAAGCCTGCGGGATTGGCATGCTTGCTTACTGGCTGCAGGGACGATACAGCTCGGAACGGTAAGACAGGGAATTCACTGTGACGGGTCGCGCTGCTTGTTGGATATGCATTAGCAAGCATGCATAGCGCTTTCCTGATGATCGTTCACAAGCGTACTACGCTCTGCAACCAAGGTAAAGAAGGAGCGCAAAGGACGCTGGCTGCGACGGGGTATCCCGTCCAGTGTACCTGCCCTGAGTAATGGTCTAATGGAGCATTGGGGCTTGGTCACAATCGGCACGGCATATGTTACGGCCCCCTGCCACCTGTACACTTGGCTTGGAGCGCATGTGCTTAATCGTTTTCTAGGTAATTCGAGTGGCAGGGACCTGGGGCACTAAAGTGGTTGCGTTGTTTGGATACACCGGTACATGGATGAGACTCGCAACCGTGGGTTTCGCTTTCATGTGTCTAGCCTTCATTGACTCGAAAGAATGGAAATGGCTATGGCGCAGTACGAGCGTGTATAGGCGTTGGCTTTGTTAAATAGCGGGTCCGTAAGGAAGAGGTGGAGGGCCAAGCCAGGGATGATGGCCATCCTGGCATCCGCTCTCCACCACCGCTTACCATTGCGAGCAGCGCTCGACCACGGCCCCTGCTCTGGTATAGTTCACTGTAATTCATAAAGCCGGATAGATGAAGTGCCCAATGGCTCATCTGGACTTGGAATACCGGTATGGGGATTTAGAATACGGAGAATAATTGTCAGATCGAATGCGTCTTAATGGTACAGTGTCCTGTGGCACAAAGATACCCCTGACCGTCAACGTCGCACACACAACCGAACGTTGAAGTGTCGTCTCAACCAAGTTCTACTCCCAGGAAATGCAAAGTATGTATAACATGTAAGTCACAGCAATGTAAATAGAAAGTTTTAACGGAGAAGAGGAACCGCAGCGACACATCGGCGTACGACATGGCAGTTGCCCGTCCAATATTTTTTGCATGCTTTAACCGGCATGTACGCGTAGTCAATACACAGCTAAAGTCAAAGCTAGTTTCTTAGTTGACTTCCTGTCTTGGATATCTGACTGGTAGAGACGCGTCCCAACGGCGATCTGCCGAGCAAACCGGTTGAGCTTCCCGAGAAGGGCGATCAGCCCAAATGGCTACTGGATGGCTTCGTGGCACGGTGAAGGAGGTTGTGTCAGGTGACACTCTGGTCATCGCTGGCACTACTAAGGGACCGGGCCCGGCTCCGGAGAAGCGAATCACCCTTTCATCGCTTATGGCTCCCAAGCTGGTAAGGATTAATAATATTGAGCAGCTTCAGCCTGATAGAGATCGTAAATGCACATGGTTGGGGGACACGTCGCTGTTGCCTTGATGCTTGCGGAGATCTGATGTCACCTTATCGCAAACGCGCATGCAGGGTAAGCGCGATGGCACCAGCAAGGATGAGCCGTTTGCCTGGGACTCTCGCGAGTTCCTGCGCAAGAAGTGCATCGGCCAGGTGCGAAAGATGTATACAGAATGCACATAAGGACAAGACGCGCGATCTGGTTGTCGTTGTATACATGGCTTATCGTGTGCGGGCTACTGTTGTAATTTTTGCTCTAGTAGCGCTTGCGCTTGCGTTGAGCGAAGACGAATCATGGATCTGGAGCGAGCCGACTGTTGGGCACCCCTTTGGTGGTAACGGCTACTTCACACCCCGCAACCCGGTCCCCACCCCGCAATCTACTTCGCAACTGCTACTTCACACCAACCGCAACCCCGCCCCCACCCCGCTGCAAACCCAAACCCACACGGTGGCTTCAAACCACTGCATCCTGCGCGCCATCAAAACCCTCCGTTTTGTCCCCCCCCGTGTACCTCCTGCGCCTCCTGTGCCGGCCCCCACTCACATGCCTCATCATACCGTCACATCGCGCTACGAAGCAACCCTTCCTCCCACTGCCTCCTTTCCGTCCGGTTACCTCCCCAAGCCCTGCGTGTTCTCACCAGGAACCCCTCGCCCCTGAATGCCACTGCCCCATTACCTCCTCCTCCTCCTCCTCCTCCTCCACCTCCACCCCCTTAGCCCCTGTGCCCTCTCCTGCCAGCCCACCACCTTACCTAGTGTCATGTGTGCTGCGCAGTCCCCCTCCCCTCTGCACAATTTTGTTCCCAGCGTTTCCCCAACCCTTTGCTCGGTGCGTTGGGTACGTGTAAGCCCTAGTTGGTGTGCTCACCTCCGCCCCTCCCCTCCCCCTGCCCCTCACTTGACATCCCTCCCTCTGCCCCTCACTTGACATCCCCCCCTGCCCCTCCCGCCCCCCCAGCCCTGCGTGTTCCGTGTGGACTACGTGGTGGAGGCCATCGGCAATCGCGAGTTCGGCTCGCTGTTCCTGAACCAGCAGGACAACGTGGCGGTGGATGTGGTGGCGCAGGGCTGGGCAAAGGTAAGGGGGGGTTTAGGGGAGGGGGGTTTAGGGGAGGGCGGGGGGAGGGTTTAGGGGAGGGGAGGGGCTGCATGCCAGGTGTGCATGGCGGCACTTGTAGAGGGGTGGGGGGTGGGAGGTGGGACGGGGTACAAAGGGGGGGGCAGGGCGGTGTGCGTGTGTGTGTTTTTCCCAACCCTTCCCTCCCCCCCTCCCCCCCCTCAAAACACACACACACACGCAGGTTCGGCAGGTGGGCAAGGAGCAGAGCCCCTACCTGGAGGACCTCAAGCGGGCGGAGGAGGCGGCGCAGGCGGCGGGCAGGGGGGTGTGGAGCAAGGACCCGGCGCGCACCGCCAAGGCAGTGAGGGAGGTGGCAGGGCAGGTGAGGGGCTGGGAGATGGATGGAGGCAGGGGGGACAGGGGCAGAGAGGAGGCGTGGGAGGATGGGGGCTACAGTGGGACCGCCCTGTCTTTAACGCGCATTTATGGTCTGGCCAGTGCTCTGCGGCCCCTATGTCCCCCTTGCTTTCCTCTTTCCCACCCCTTTCCCATCTCACTTATCCTTTCCCTCCCCCTCCCCCTCCTCTCCCACCCTCCCCCTCCCCCCTCCCCCCCAGGACGACGACGCCGCCTCGCTGCTGCTGTCGCGTGTGGGCAAGGGCGGGCAGGTGGAGGGGGTGGTGGAGGCCGTGCTGGGCGGCTCCTCGCTGAGGGTGTCGCTGCTGCCGGGCGGTTGCATCGGGCTGCTGGTGAACCTGGCGGGGGTGCAGTGCCCCTCGCTGGGGAGGAGGGTGAGACGGGGGGGCGGGGGGGAAGAAGAATACACATAAAGTATTTGTGTTGAATGAGGTGGAGAGGAGGGGAGGGGAAGGGGTGGGTAACCCGAAGGAGAAGAAGCAGCAGAAAAAGAAGTACCATGCAGGGGGGTGAGGAGGGAAGTGAGGAGGTGCAGGGTGGTGAAGACAGGGGTTAGTGGGGAGGGGAAAACACGTCACCCGCCCTCTATGCCCTCACTTAACACCCGCACACCCTCCCCCCACCGATCCACCAACCCTCCAGGGCACCCCCGCCGCTGACGCCACCCCCGCCCCTGCTGCTGCTGCTGCTGCTGCTGCCGGGGGTGCGGAGGGCGCTGCCGCTGCCCCCGCTGCCGCCCCTGCCGCCCCCACCGCTGCCTCCATCGCCGCCGCCACCGCCGCCACCCCCGCTGAGCCCTTTGCGAGGGAGGCCAAGGCGTTCAGCGAGGCGCGCGTGCTCAACAGGTGCGGGTGTGTGTGTGTGTGTGTGTGGAGGTTGTGAGCCGGGAGCAGTAGTGGGTAACCCGGGCAGGACTAGGGTGACTGGGGCTGGCATGCCATAGCCCTCTTCCGCCCACCCACCCACCCGCCCACCTTCCCACCTCCTATCTCCCTCTTTTTTGCCCTCCCACCCCTCGCCCTCTTTCCTCTCCCCTCCTCCCCCGCCAGGGATGTGAAGCTGGTGTTGGAGGGGGTGGACAAGTACGGCAACCTCTTCGGCACGGTGCTGTACACCCCCCCTCCTGCTGCCGTACAGCCTGCTGCTGCTGCTGAGGGTGCTGCTGCCCCTGCCGCCCCTCAGCAGGAGAACCTGGCCGAGCAGCTGTTGAAGCAGGGCTTTGCCAAGGTGGGTGGGGGAGAAGGGGAGGGAGAGGGGGAGGAAAGGAAGAGGGGAGGGGAGGCACAGCAGTGCAAGCGGGGAGAGGGCGAGTCGCTCCCCTCCCTATCCAGTTACCCTTCTCACCCCATCCTCGGACTTCTGGCGGCCGGCCGCCCTCTCATCACCCAGCCGGCCTCGCCCCAACCGCTTGGAACCCCCCGCCCCTCCCGCCCCCTCTTCAGCGTGTGTATGTTTCATTTACGTTTCCTCAGTGTGTGCTCATGGCCCCCTCCGCCTTCCCTCTTAAACCCTTCTTTCCCCGCTCTACTACTTGGTTTCTTCCTTCCTTCCCTCCCCCGCCCCCCCCCACTATCCCAACTATCCAGCGTTATGCGGATTCTGTTTCCAAATTACCCCCCCCCCCCGCCCCACCTCCCCTCCCTCTCCACCCCCAGTGTGTTGAGTGGTCGCTAGCCCTCATGGCCCCCTCCGCCGCACTCAAGCTGCGGGATGTGGAGAAGGTGTCCAAGGCGGAGCGGCGGGGGGTGTGGACCGGGTACGTGCCTGCTCCCACCAACCAGAGCAAGCTGTCCGACCACTTCACGGGCAAGGTGAGAGGGTGGGGGGGGGTTTGGGGGGTGGGGGGGGTGGGAAAAGTAGGGTTTGTGTGGGGTGAGGGGCAAAGGAAGAGAGGAGGGTTGAGGAAGGTAAGGAGGGAGGAGGGACGTATCGGTATGCCTGTTCGTACGTGCATCACCCAGTCCACCAAACATGCGCATCCCTGCCTCCTTGCCTCCCCCCCTTCCCTGTGAATGCACTCACTGCATGAGTCGGGATATGGGATTGGGGCTCTAGTTGTTCGCACTTCTTATATAATTTCCCCCTCCTTCCCTGCCCCTCCCCCCGCAGGTCATTGAGATCGTGAGTGGCGACTGTGTTGTGGTGAAGGATGCGGCCAACGGGGCGGAGAGGAGGGTCAACCTGTCCAGGTGGGGGGGAGGGGGTAAAAGTGGGGGGAAAACTGACGAACTGGATGACGGGGCTTCTCCATGGGTTGCAGGGGGGGGAGGGGGTACATAGGGAGGAGGGGTAAAGAGGCAGGAGCTAACCGAGTGTGGCCTGCATCACGGTGGGGGGGGGCCTGGAGGGGGGGAAAGGGTAGTGGAGGAGGAAGTGGAGGAGGAGGAGAGCAGAGAAAAGCAGCAGGAGAGGTGGGCCTGGCTGGTAGACTGAATGATGGCAAAGACTAAACAAGCCTGTCGCAAGAGAGGGCTTATCCAATTTTAACCGTATGACACATGCCACAAAGTGTGCAATGATATGCCATACTCGCTGACAGTCCGCAGCCACCACCACCACCACCACACCACCACCACCACCAGCAGCACCTCCTCACCGCAACCCTCCCTCCGTCCCTTGCCATACTCGTGCCACATGACAACACCTCATCCCGCATTCCGTTCTCCACCTCCCCCCCAACACATGCGTACTCCCATACTCGCATGCTCTCCTGCTCGCCCCGCTCCCCTCCCTCCCTCCCCCTCCTCAGCTGCTGCGCTTATCACATACCTTTCCCCCTCCCCCCCTCCTCCCCCTTGCCAGCATCCGCGCCCCCCGCCCACCCGCCCGCGAGCGCTCCGGAGAGCCCTGGGCCTCCGAGGCGCGCGAGTTCCTTCGCAAGAGGGTGATCGGGCGGGCGGTGGAGGTGCGCATGGAGTACACGAGGAAGGTGCAGACGCGTGAGTTTGGGGGGGGAAGGGAGGGGGGAGGGAGGGGGGAAGTGTGTTCGCCACGGCTTAGTTTACCTATTCCCCCATAAGCACTAACCCCTTCCCCCCTTTCTTCCTTTCTTCCCCTTTCTTTTTTAACTCCCCCCAGCTGAGATGATGCTGGCGGGCGAGGCCGAGCGGGTGCTGGCCTTCGGAAACGTGGAGCTGGTGCCGGAGAAGGTAAGGTGGGGGGGGGAAGGAAATTCCAATGTGTGTTATGAGCGGGGGGTAAAGAGGAGAAACTTGCTCGTAGGAATGGAGGAAAAGAAGAATAGCCAATGGGTTGAATGATTTGGGCAAACGAGAAGGCAAGCTCCTTGTGATTGGAGGAGGGGGAGGGGGACGGGGGACACTTGCTCTTAAGAAATGAAGGGAAGGGAAAGACACGTGGAAAAGTTGGAGAACACCCATGCGATAGATGGATGGAGAGAGAGGAGACGTGAGAAAGGGGAGGAGACATGGCCTACCCCCACCACACCACCACACCAGGGCGAGGAGAAGCAGAACATTGCGGAGATGGTGGTTGCTCGCGGCTTTGCGACCGTCATCAAGCACCGCACCGACGAGGAGCGGAGCTGCGTGTACGAAAAGTGAGAGTGAGGGGGGGGGAGGGTTAGGGAGTGGAGGGAGGGGCGTTAGGTGATCCGTAGCCAGTTCGGGAGAGGGGTGGTGGTAGTGGTGGTGCAACGCAAGGAGGGGGCAGATCACGTCGTCTAGGAGGCAGCACCCGGCACTACTGCACTACTGCACTACTGTTGTTCCCTACCTAGGCGATGGGCCTACAAACCCAACGAATGCGAGTCCATTAATTTGCCGGCTGCCCCCTACAACTCCCCCCCTCCTCCCCAATTCCCCCCCTCCCCCCCCCCAAAGGCTGATGGAGTGTGAGGAGCTGGCCCGCTCCTCCAAGCGCGGGCTGCACTCGCCCAAGGAGCCTCCCGCCAACCGTGTGAATGACGTGAGCGCGCCGGGGCAGGCCACTCGGGCCAAGCAGTACCTACCCTTCTTCCAGAGAGCAGGTGGGAGGGGGGGAGGGGGTGCGGGAGGGGGGACGTTGTGTTGAAAAGGGGGGAGTGAAAGGGAGGGGAGGGGTGTAAAAGGAGGGGGAGGGAGCCGGGTGCTGCTGTGACTGCGGCTGACGGGTTGGCAGTGCCACCGCCAAGCAGCCACCCCGCGTCTTGCCTCACCCTCTCTTATGGTGTACTTTTTCCCGGACCCCCCTCCTCCTCAACCCCCGCCTCCCCTCCCTCCTCCCCCCCGTCCCCTCCCCCCAGGCAAGATGCAGGGTGTGGTGGAGTACGTGCTGAGCGGGCACCGACTGCGGGTGCACATCCCCAAGGAGGGGGTCACCATCGTGTTCGCGCCCTCCGGCATCAAGACGCCCTCGCGACCGCAACCCGCAGGGAATGGGCGGCCGGCGGTGCAGGTAAGGGGGGTGAGGGGGGGAGAAGCGGGTTGGAGGGGTTAAGGATGGAGGGGGGGGCGGGGAGCATGCAGGGGTTAAGGATCAAGGACACTGACACATGCGGGGAGGAGCATGCGGGGGGGGAGGGGTGGGGGGGGAGTTACATGCCCAGCACGCGAAACCCCTGCCGAGGATGGGGGTAGGTATGTGGGGGTGGGGGTGGGGGGGATCGGCTGTGTGGGTTTGGTATCCCCGTACCGCCTCCCTAACCCAAACCGTGTTGCCCCCTTCCGCCTCCCGCCTCCCCCCCCCAGGGTGAGCCCCATGCCGAGGAGGCGTTCGCCTACACTCGCGAGCTGATGATGCAGCGCGACGTGGAGGTGACCGTGGAGACAATGGACCGCGGCGGTACCTTCCTGGGGGCGGTGACGCTGCTGGCGGGGCCGGCGGCGGCGGGGGGCGGCGCGCCGGCGACTGCCAGCGGCAAGCCGTTTAACCTGGCACTGGCGCTGCTGAGCAAGGGTGGGTGAGGGGGAGGTGGGGGGGGGGATTATATAATAAGTGCAAACAACTAGAGTCCCAATGCAGGTTGGATGGTCATACCAAACTGTAGGAAACCACAAGGGTATCGGTGTGTGTTAAGGAAACTGGCAGCTAGTCGGAACGTGTTATCGGGGTGTTTTCCTCCTTACCCTCTGCCTCATCCCCCCGCCCCCGCCCCCCAGGTCTCGCCCGGCTGCAACCCGGCGTGGACCCCTCCCGGCTGCCCGAGGGGGGTGAGATGGTGAGGCTGCAGCAGGCGGCAAAGGAGCAGAGGCTCAAGGTAGGGGGAGGAGGAGGGGGAGTGGGAGAGAGGGGGGCGAGGAGAGATGGAGAGAGGGAGGAGGAGGAGGAGTTGGGGAGTGACCCACGGGTCGTCAGCAGGGTGCTGCGGTATGTGATGTGCATGTAAGGCCCCTTACCAGCGAGGAGGACAAACACGGTTTCATTACACACCCTGCCGTGAAGCCCCTCGCCATCTCATCCTCCTTCTCCGTGTCTTCGCCCTCTTTCCCCCCTTCTCGTCCTCCGTTGGAGCCCTTGGAGCCAACATTAGCGGTAACCTTGTCTTTTCCTCCCTTCTCCGCTCCCTCCGCTCCAAATTAATCCCCCCCCTCCCTCAGATCTGGGAGAACTGGACCCCCGACATGGACCGCGAGGAGGGCGACGAGGAGGCAGACAGTGCAGCCCCCACCACCTCCTCCGCCCCCAGCAACGGCGCTGCTGCCGCGGGCGCAGGAGCTGCTTCTGCCGCCCCAGGTTCAGCTGCAGGTGCCGCTGCTGCTGCCTCCAGCGGTCGGGCCGCGTGGGGCGGTGCTGCTGCCGCCGCCCGGCCTCAGCAGGAGGTGCTGTCAGTGACGGTGACGGAGGTGGTGGATGCGGGGGAGTTCTACGTGCAGGTGGGGGGTTAGGGGGGGGGGAGGAGGAGGGGTTGGTCAGGGGTGGAGGAGAGGGGGTGCGGTGTTGGGGGGCGGCAGGCGGGCACGGGTGTTGCGACCTGAGGTGGGCTGGGGGCTGCTGTGGGTGTTGCTAACAGCTGTTGGGATGTCTCTCCCACCCCTCTTCCTGCTCCCCCTCCTTTGCTGAACCCCGTACCACCACCACCACCTCCTCCCTGCCCCTCCCTTCTTACCCCCTCACTGCCCCTCCCTGCCGCCTGCTACCCTCACTGCGCTGCCCTAACCCGTGGTTTCCCCTGGTTTGGTATCCGGTGTTTGACCCCGCCCCCCCTCCTCCCGCACCCCCCCCTCCGCAGGTTGCGGGGGAGCCTCGTGTCGCCTGGCTGGCTGAGCAGCTGGGGGCGGTGGCGCTGACGGATGCACCGCCCATTCCCCCCGAGCTCAAGATGGGGCAGATGTGCCTGGCACAGGTGGGAGGTGGCGGGAGGTGGGGTTGATAACGGGGTCTCTATCCCACATCTCGACCCTCTCTCGCAGTGAGCGGGGTTAAGAGGCGGGACTCTTGTGCAGGCCCCTGAGCATCCTGTGAGGTTTACAGTTTTTATGTTTTCTTGCTGTGTCGTATACATAACTGCCATATACACAGGCAGGAACAGTTCAGGTTCGGTCACCTCTGTTTTGTCTGTTTTGCCTGTACTCGCGGTTCACATGCGAACCTCTCCCCATTGCTTGCTCCTGTCCTACTCAACTACACACACACATATCCCAGTTATTTTAACACACACACATATCCCAGTACGTTCCTACTCGCGGCCAGTTTTCTTAACACACGCCCCCCCACCTCCCCCCTTTTGCAGTTCTCGCTGGACGGCTGCTGGTACCGAGGCTACGTGGAGCGGGTCAACCGCAGTGAGCCCCAGTACGACATCTTCTTCATCGACTACGGCAACCGGGAGAGGGTGGCCAGCGACAAGGTGTGTGTGGGGGGGTAGTGGGGGAGGAGGAGGGTGGCGTGGGGTGGATGTGTTTGGGGGGGATAGTATGAAAGCCCTTGTAGCGGGTATCTACATGGGCTGCATGGGGTTGCTTGAATAGGATCCTCCGCCTCCGCCTATTTCCCCTTCCTCTCTTCCCACCATCACCTCCTACGCCCCCCTGCATGAGTCGGGATTCGGGATTGGGACTGCGTTGTTGCATTTATTTATAATTTTCCCTCCCCCCTCCCTTTCCTGCCCCCCCAGGTTCGCTCCATCGACGCCGCCCTAGCCGCCGTGCCCCCCCAGGCGCTGCCCTGCTGCCTGGCGCATGTTGTCGTACCCGCCCCGGGCAGCGACTGGGCGGCGGACAGTCGGGCGGTGCTGTCAGGGCTGCTGGGAGGGGGGCGGCAGCTGCTGGCACATGTGGTGAGGTTGGGGGGGGGGGTAAATATAAGGGAACTGACGAGGAGGAGGGGGGGGGGGCTAGGGGACGTTCCTGAGGTTTCCCTCAAAAGCACATCGCGCTTCTTTCCTTCCTCTTACATGGCGCCCGTACACGCCCTGCCACGCCAGCAGTACTGCAAACCCCCCACCTCACCCGGGACCCTTCCGAGCAGGCAAGCACACTCCCATCACTACCCTCCCAACCCCCCACCCCCCACGCCACCCCTTCCAACCCCCTCCCTGCCCCCCCCAGGTTTCCCGCGAGCGCGCCGACCCCAAGTCCCGCCACCCCAAGGGCCGCAACGGCAAGTTGACTGCCGTACTGGTGGAGCCCGACACCAACACCAACATCGCTGTGGAGATGCTGCTGGGTGGGTGGGGGGAGGAGGGGGAGGTTTGGAGGGGGAGAGGGGGTGAAAATAGGGGGAGGTGAAAGAAAAGAAAGAAGAAGCAATTATATAGTGGGAAGGGGAGCGGGTGGTGGAATGGGTTTAGGGCGCTGTGTGCAGGGCTCTCGCATCCGCATCCCCCCCCCCCTTCATTCCTCACATGGACCCTCCTCTTCCCCCCTGCCCCCCCCTACCCCCCCCCAGCCGGTGTTGCCCGGCTGCCCAAGCTAAACAAGGTTCGCGACCCGGCGGCACGGGAGGCAATCCAGGTATAGGCGGGCACGGGGGGGGGGCGGTGTACGGTGTACGACATTGTTGTTGTGTGTACGACGTTGTCAATGGTGCAGGTATTGTATTGTACCCTACGTAACCTGATCTCCTACTGCTTCCTTTCCTAAACCCTGTTTCCATGTCTCCTAAACAGGCCATGCAGGAGTACGAGGAGGAGGCCCGGCAGGCGCATCGCGGCATGTTTGTGTACGGCGACCCGGGTGACTCGGAAGACGAGGAGACGCAGGGCGGCGGCCGGGGGGCAGGCGGGGCGCCGCGGGGGGGACGTCGGTGAGGGGAAGAAAGCGGGAGATAGCGGTGATGGTGAGGGGGTAGGGTAGGGTATGGTATGGTAGGTTGAGGTTTGAGGGAGATGTGTACGGGAGGAGGGTGTTCAGGCGCGGTGTGACGGACGAGGTGACGAGGTCGGAGGGAGAGGACGGGAGAGGTGACGGATGGGGAGGAAGGGGGAGGAGGAGATGTGTTTTGTGGTGGATGCTTGATGGTGGTAGCGGGTTAAGCCCGCATGTGGGGTGAGGTGGATGCGGAGGAGAAGAATAATGTGCAAGGGAGGCATGGTTGCTGCAGGGGGAGTGGATAGAAGGGTGGGGCGGAAGAGGTGGCAGCGGCTTGTTGCTGGTGGGGGTGCATGTTGGTTTTGTTTGGCTTGATCGCCGGTCTTCCCTCGGGCCTTTCACTTGAGTACCCTGGGCTTCCTCGCTTCTTGGCCCCCCGGCATGGAGGAGGAGGAGGAGGTTGCTGCTCAGCTGCTTATGCCAAGTGTTTCTCTGCATGGATTTGCTGGTCAAACGGTGCTTGGGTGGTGTGGCGTGGTGCATGGAGTGTGTTAGCAGCGTTCAGATCAGCTCAGCATCAGCCTTCCTGTGACGGTTTCTATTGAGAAACACGGGGGTTTCGCACGGAGAAGGTCGCCATTATTGGTACACCTCGGAGCTATTTGCTTAGGCAAAGCCAATGACATGTTTCTCCGGTTGTTGGCATGTGGTGCACTGCACACGCAACAAAAGTCAAGAATGGGCCTACGGAATTCTTTCCCAAATAGGAAATGCTGTTGAACTAAGGGAAGGCTGTAAACGCCTCGTGCTTGCAGGTTCGCTTTTGCCGGAAACAGTCGACGTTGCTCATAGAGAGCAAGGCCTGGGGATAGCGCACTCCAAGCTATAACTGCATGTGGAAGATAAATGTGCCTTCGCTCCTCCACACAAAAGCGAGCCTTCGCTTCGCCTAATGCTACAAAGAAAGACCGACTAAAACAACTTATGACAAGCCAAGGCGATGTGTGTCATATTTCAAACTGTATCAGCTGTTAATCGTAGATGCACATGGGCATTCCAGTGCTAGAGTGACAGGGCTTCGTTAAGCTGGCCCATCTCATTTAGGGTCTGTGCGTCAGACATAAATTTGTTGCTGAGCCTGAAGAACGGCAGACGGCTTCCAACAGTCACTATGTGGCTGATAAATTAACGGAGGGTCACCTACAACAGAGAGGTGCCCTTGACACCTTGTAAAATCGCTAAATCGGCTTAACTGCTCGTCCATACCGTTACCGGTATTTATAGGCGGGCCAAAGGTGGGCGAGGCATCTTCTACGAAGTTGGCAATGCATCTCGAGGTATTTGGGCCATACGCGCAGCGTTCGTTGCAAGGTTGCCTACGCCTCACCTCTTTGCTCTCAATGCTGTCCGAGGAAATAATAGCCGTCTACAGCTGCATTTCGTTGACGCTTCAAGACACACAAACCAAGTTCGGGGAAACAAGGGAGCCCTACTGCTGTGAAACTTAGTTGGCTGGGCGCGCGCAGGAAGCAAAACCTAGCTCTTAGTGGCCAGTCACCTTCTAAGAGCCAGCAGATATGTCTACTAAGGAGATCCTACGAGCCTAGTATTTTGGTGCCAGCCATTAACATGACGGGCGACAAGCCCACCTGCATGGTGGGCGACGGAGCGAGCAGGGACTTCAACCTCACAGGTTACTACGCGACACAGACCAAAGTGAATAGCAGACAGCTGTGAAAAGGGACATTGCAATGAACAAGCTTTTAACTAATACCGGTACCACCCGGATCTAAGAATCTGCCTGAGTAACTATTCATAGTCAGATATCAGCGGCTATGGGAAGGCATATTATTATTGGCTGTATTCTTTCCCTCTATTGTCAAGCTGGCATGCCACCCCATGACACCCAAGCTACTAGGGTTTCCTGCCGTGATCTTGCCACAGTGATGGAACTGATTGCCAGGCGTGGACCTTTTAGGTTGCCTTGTTACACGTGCCTCACCAGCCCTCCTCCACCCTGCGCGAGCATCGCTCCACCATTCCTTTTTGAGCCCCACAGCCATTCCACACGAGCCGCAGCCGACATGTCTCGAGTCACACAACACTGCCGTCCCCGCACGCAGTTTAAATAAGCCGACAACCGCCATCCACTGCAATAGGATTTGCCCCTACTTCGACGCAACCACGCGTTCACAACAGAAGCTCACCCTTCGCAGCAATTAACCGGTTGATTGCAGGATTCGATTTTGGTAAATGTTGTACAATTGTTTGATGAAGGCGAGCGCGCGCGTGCATGCACACACCAGGAACATTCACAAGTGCACAACCACCAGCGACTCGCACAACTCCCACATACAGCTCAAGACCGTCAACCGCAGCTAGTCAAGACATGACGCAGGGGTAGGCGGAGTAACAGGGTGCGTAAGAACGTGCCCAGCAACAGGAGAAGAAGGCAGGCAGGCTTTTCCCAACCCTTCTCCAACTAAACTAAACAACGCAGAGCTGGATAAACAAATTAAGCAATCACGTATTATACCTGCCAACAACAACTATGATTTCCAAGATCCAGGCCTCGCAAACGGGAACCAACCAGCAGCAACAGACCAAAGACCTAGGAACAAAACCTGCCAACATATTAGATAATTCTGATAACAACACATAACCCACACCTGCCAAACGTCAACGTGTCCCTGCCAAACTGCCCCGTATGATACCTTATGCGTGCATCTCTGCTTCCACCGGGATATGCGCCGCCAGAAATGCTGCAAACGCCTGCAAAGGCGGTGGTGTTCGGTCTCACAAGCAGTGAAATGTTGTCGCACGCACTGCACGCACTACTTGCGTAGGAGGAAACACACCTTTGTTTGTAAAGGAGCGAACGGAACGAAACGCACGATAAGAGTCGTGAAACGTGCGCAACAGTCCCAGTACGACACAGCTGCAGCGCCGTACCGACAGGGCCGAGCTGCTCCCGCCCACGGTGCTGCCGAACATTCTACCAAAACCTGCCACGCTAAACACAGCCCATCCTTTCGGACTTTTGCATGCACAAAAAGATTACCACTCGCCGCGACAAACAACCGCCCGCAAACATGACAGGTGGTGGTGCGATCCGTGTGATTATATTTGGTTAGCGCTAGCAATTGCACAATTGCACAAGGGCGTGTTCCGTTCCGCAGACAAGGTTGGGGCACAACCAGGCGCACACGTGGGTTCGGGGAGCTCAAAGGCTCATAATCTTAGACATAATACGGTCCTGCTGCTGCCCTTTTCCACTCCCAGTGCGCATTCATACGCAACGGGCTAAATCCAGGGCCCTCCTCCTTCCTACCCAATAAGCAAACGGCACACAAATAATTATCACCACAAACGCATGTTGGGAGTGAAGCCGACGGGGCAGGCAACGGTTCAGGCCGCATGCAACATACAGGGGTTCACACTTCACAGGATCGTCGCAAGGGCCAACATTGGCTGGTTGCCCAACGGAATCCCTGTCCCGAGCACCGCGGCCTCATATGCCGACACCAGATCCCCAAAGTGAAGCTCAGTTGGAGCGTTATCCAGTAACCCCAAAGTGCACAACATGAGCGGCGATTAGGACCACAGAAAATGGTTACTCGCGATAATAGGTCGGTAACGGAGTTATCACCAGCACATTTCCTGACAATCCAGGGAGCTGCTACTTTGCAACACCAACAACAATTTTCAAGCGCGATTTGTCGCAACACACAGACGCGAAGTCAGATCAGGCGCCACAGACCAAATGCAAACATTCCAGCGTGCGGGCGGCGAGAGAGTGATGTGGAGCGAGATTGCCTCACGCAAGGTACCATGCACCGCACGCCCAATGACACAACGCCGACTTGCCAACTCCCAACTCGTACTTTGCAGCACGCCCATGCACCATAGCACCCTTGCAACAGCTGAACCCCACAGGGCCTACCCAGCCCTCCCATACAAGCGCACCACCAACCACCAACCGAAAGCGTCAACCGCCGTCGTTCTCGCCTTGTCCCATCCTCCGTAAACCGTAGGGTCGTCGTGACGTCAGCAGCCCGGATGAGATACGTCCAAATGATGATGAGGTCGGTCGTCAAGTCCAGACTCTCAAAAGCTGACCACAACTAGGAGCGGAAGAAGGTACCCTCAGCTAAGGGCCACAGTATTAGTCGCTCCGTATAATGGAAACCCCAGGAAGACGAAAGCTGGCGGCGAGTCGAAAGCCGGCTGCTGACAAGCCGGTTGCTGGCGAGGCGCTTAGTAAGTGCCGTAGGTCGGCGGGGAGGGGGAGGGAGAGTAGCCGCCGTAGGAGGAGGCAGTGACCTCAATGGCAGAGCGGCGGGCGCCGTAGGCGGGCGGGGAGGGAGAGCCGTAGTAGCCGCCGTAGGAGGAAGCGGAGACCTCAAGGGCAGAGCGGGCAGCAGCGCCGTAGGCGGGCGGGGGAGAGCCGTAGTAGCCGCCGTACGAGGGGGCGGTGCCGGTGGCAGTGACATCGGAGCCAGGGGCAGCCTCGGGGCCATCAGAGCTGACCTCATAGGCTGAGCGGGCAATCGGGTGGGTGATCAGGCGGCCGCCCCAGTAGAACTCGCTGAGGAAGCGGCGAGCCAGAGATGGCTTGGCATCGGAGTTGCTGCCGAAAAGGTACTCAGAAGCCGAACGGCGGGCCTGCGTTGGACAGGGGCGAAAAGGAGAGGAGAATGGCGTTGATTCTATGGTTGAGGAAAAAAGAGAGAGAATTATGCCGAAGTAACAGAAAACAGCGCAACACGTGACCATATATGGCCTCAATAGGTATATAGACGCGGTAAGTGCTGTGGCTGTTGCGGTTATCGGACACATGGCGAACCAGACTGACGGGGCGTTGCTGGCACACAAAGGACGCCTAGCAGCCATCCAGAAACAATGAAACACATTTAGACACTACAAAGCAGTAACATGTGGTGAAGAACTCGCGTAGGGTGCAGAGACGGCAGGCGGCAATGGACAATCAGGCCAAGAAGGCGAATGATACTATGGAGAGCGACAATATAACACGTGATGTACATAAACAAATAAGGCCACGGTTTGCGACAGGTACTGTTAGAAAGCGGCCAGCGAACTTGATGCGCCCGCCCCCTGGGGGCCGAACAACCATTGCGACACTGAATCACTAAAGTGCAGGACTAACAATGCGTGTTTACCCTGAAAGCATATAGCAACGAAGGAGCGGAAGGCGACCCTCGCCAGCGACAGGTCACACATCAGGTGCCGCCAGATATACAAGGCGTCGCACGCCCTATACGAATTACGCTGCCAACTTTGCATAAATCATTAGAACTTCTTGAAACATTCCAATAGGAGCATAGGCCTTGCGCGCCGTAAGGAATACTTGGCGAAGGAAACCATCACCCGACACATAGCACGCCTTCATCCCAGCCCTTACAGCCCGAACCCACCGGCTGAGCAGCTGACGCCGTCGAGGCAAGCGCGATGAGCAGCAGAGCGCGCACAAGAACCCGCATGTTGAACCAGGTCCCGGCAGCGGTGGAGGCCATCTTGCTTATGACTTGCTGGCGATAGAACGCCAACAGCTGTAGACTCGAAAGGCTTTAAGTAGCAACGACACCACTAGGCGTCTTTATAAGTTGGCATTCCAGGCTTCTATACCTGTAAATCAGTGTCGTAAGTTTGCCGTGCAGTCGTATCCTGGCAGCTCGGACAGACTGCTGTACTCATAACACCCGGCAAGCGGACAGTTCATGTAGACCTTTACACGCTTAATCCTGCTTTTTGCTTTCTTACCTCAATGCATTGGGGCTTTTTCCCCTAGCTTCACCCTCCTTGACACACCTCGCAATGCGTTGCCATTGCAACTATTACTTCGTGTGTAGCAAAAGAGGTCTCATGGCGCTCGAAGGTCTTTTGATGTTGCCTTCGCTCAGGAATTGAGATAGCCCTAGCCAGCATCTCTTGCAAAGTCTTCTGAATTTGGTAAAGGCAGATTAACATAAAAATCATACTTCGTTTATGCTGGACCACACATTATGCCTGCACGTTGCACGTTGCAAGGGGGCGCTGCAAGCAAGTTCCAGGGAAAATGTTGCTGGATGCCTGCTTAAAAGGATACTTTGCTTACTGTTTTCGTCGCAAGGGTTTTCGTCGCAAGGGTCGAAGTGGCTCACGCCGTGTCCGCACTTCAAGCATATCCTTCATGCGCAATCTCTATCGTTACTCGCATTACATGGAAACAACCGCAAACAAAATGTCAAGGCGTATTCCGGTAACTCCATCAACATCCGTGCACCACAAAATGCATAATACGGAAATGGTGGTTTACGTCCGGGCACCGATGGCGAAAGCGGGCCCGCCATTTCAAGGGTGTTCAATTCACAGCAAGCAAAAGCCCCAAGCAAAACCCCAACAGCATGGTGTTGCCCCTTGTGATAGCTTTCTGGCTTATCGCTGTAGCAACCAATTCCATGATGGTACACCATAACTACAAGCACCCAGCCGGTTAAGCAACCAACGAGCAGACCAGGGCAAAGCCGGCAATCAGCACGCACGCCTTCTATCCTGCCATGCGCATCATGGAGGGTAAACCTCCATTGCCGCACATGCTGTGGCTGGAATTGTGTGCACGTGCAACCCTGCTGCCACTACCGTACATGTGGCTCATCCCCTCCGGCTACATGGTATCTGGGATACGGATTTCTTAGGTGCAGTTGGAAGTCCTCCATAAGCTGAGCCAGGCATACTGATGAGCGAGGGGTTTGTCATGTGCTACCGACGTTTTGAGGTTGGAAGCAACAGGCGCATACGCAAACTTGTTGACGGTACGGCTTGGGGCTTGCCCCTCTGCGACAGTAATGCTAGAGCCTCAAGCCCAAAGAGTCCAGTGAGGAGGATGTTGGATGATGGGGCACGGGTGAAGTTCGATTGCATGCAGACTTCGGTAGCAAGCTGGACGATACCGCCATTCTGCATGCCAGGTATGACAAACCATCCGTGTAGACTTTGTTCTTTTTATATTAAAGTTTAGAAAAAGCATGCATGGGATTAGGTGTGGCGATATCCATCCAGGCACACGAAGGCGAGCGGGAAACTACAAGTCTGTGGTCCGGAGCGGACGCTCCGAAGCCGCGAGCCCGTCATCTTTCCCCATGACCCTAGACGCAAATGCCACTCAGCAGTTAAGCATGCTTCCTAAATAGCACTGCATGCATTATGTTCGAAAAGCTGTTAATACAACCAAACTTACGCACGTAAATACGCAAGCAATAGGTTAGGAATGGCCTCATATCCAGCCTTAAAAGCTACAATACACGACCGAGGGGCATTGTCTACTACCGCTAGTAAATGCCAGTCCACCTTAGCGCCTTTTCCTGTGGTTAACCTTGCACGCCTGTCGCGGTTGGTTAGCATTGGACCGCCCGCGTCGGCACGAACGCATGCGCCCAGCCGCAGCCTGCTGAAGAGGCGTCGCATTGTGACGCTTGCGACGCCAAAGGGCTTTGAAAGCGAGGCGGAGCGTTTCGTGGCGACGCTGGAAGCTGCTGAGGTGGTTCCCGATGAGACTGCAGAGGATGCCGCGTACCAGGCGCAGCTGCAAGATCAGCTGCAGGCGCTGCTACAAGAGGTGGGCGGATGGGTGTCACACGATGCCGGCATAAGCGGCGCGTTCACTTTGGGCAAGCGGTCGCCACGTAGCGGCATTGGACAAAGATGGATGAGGTGTTAAGGTTCGGGTAACACCAGCCCAGACCAGCAGGGTCCGTGTGCGCTTTTAAAGCACGAGGGAGGTGCACGTGATGGAGCAGCCTTAGGAAGTCTTAGAGGTCATAGCGAGAAGTCTCCGGAACTGTTATGCTGCATGTCGGACGATGGGGTACTTCGCAAGCATATCCTCGAGCTCGGGCGCCGGTCGCGAGACGCCCCGACTGGGCAGGTTTACGGTGGATCGCGTTAAACCGAATGTCCAGAATGGAACGTGGGTTCAGCTTTAGTTCTCTTCCCGAAGTCGCTCTGCAGCTGCAACGTTGCCTGCAACGTCAGAGTTACGACTGCAATGCTTTCCCGAGACAAGGCATTAAGCTGGAACTGATCTGTCGTTCTCTGCACCAATTGCACTTCTCCAATCCTATCCCTCTCTCAGCCGTACCTATCCCCGCGCGTCTCCTCCTGCTTCACCCTCCACCCCTCAGTGCCTCACTGTTTTCTTTTTACCCGCCCCTCGTTCCCCCCTTCGTCGCCCCTCTGCCCACCCCTGCCCACCCCGCTCCATTCAAAACACCTCTTACAGGAGACCCGCCTGTCCGCCGCCATCGACTCCCTGTACGACAACACATTCCGAGGCGTTGAAGTACGAGTGACGTACGACCAGGCATCAGCAGCAGCTGCTGCTGCTACAGCCGATGCTGACATTGCCGATGTAACCAGCACTGCAGCGGAAGGAGCAGGCGGGGAAGTGAAGGAAGCGGAGGAGGAGGTGGCGAGGGCTGTCGCTGTTGCTGGGTCCAAGCAGGAAGACGAGGAAGTGGAGGACGGAGGAGCAGCTGGCGAGGAGCAGCAGCAGCAGCAGCAGGAGGAGGAGGAGGAGGAGGAGGAGGAAGAGGGAGTAGTGCTAAAGTTTGAGAGCATGTCGGAGGGGCAGTTCTCATCGCTACTGAGGGAGCAGCCGGCGGTGGTGGCGGCGCTGATGGCGGCGGCTGAGGCGGCGGCGGGGGCGGGGGCGTGGCGGGAGTTCCAATCACAGGTGCGGCAGGGGGAGTGGGGCGAAAGGAAGGGAGGGATGAGGGAGGGAGGAAATAAGTCTTAGGATTGGACACAGTGGCAGTTGGAGCGCCGTCGTACAGAAGCAGTGATGCATAGTCCTTGTCCTCCGGGGCTCCGGCCCATTTGTGCCTCCTCAAGCTCACGCCCCAGCATCCTGACTCCCATTCCCGGCCCTCATCATCATCATCATCATCATTATCGCATGTTTTCTCTTGTTCCCCTCCTCTCAACCTCTCATCTTCTCGTCCTCTCATCACCTCTGCATCCACCAGGTCAGCACCCTCAAGCTGCAGCGAAGCCGCACCACCCGTGAAGCCGAGGAGCTCAGGGCAGCACTGGCGGCGGCACAGCGCAGCGCAGCCAGCAACAGCAGCAAACGAACCGCCGCCGCTGCTGCTGCTGCGGATAGCAGTAGCGGCCAGGCGGCTCATGGCTTGGCAGTTCCGCTGGCTCGTCCAGGAGGTGGTACGGCAGCAACACGTGGTGGAGGTGGCGGCGGTACGGCAGGAGCGGCAGTACGGGATGTACGGATTGTGTTGCTGAGCGGGTTCGAGAGCTTCAATGTGGGGCTGTACAAGGAGGCGGCGGGGGCGCTGAGGAGGCAGATGCCGCATGTGACTCTGCAGGTGGGGTGGGGAGGGGTGTTGCAGTAGACGTGCAACGGTCTTGTCCGCTGGTCTGGTTTGGTTTGATCGTCTTGCTATCCTATCTCTGTAATATTCCACTGCGGATAAAGAATCATGGAAGGGGAGGAAGGAGAAGGGAGGGGATGTGGAGAAGATGGTGCGCTCTCGTCCTGTTTCCTCTTGCCTCCTCAGCGTTTCCCTCCAATGCAGGCGCACTACGGTGCTCACATTGATTCGGACAGCCGGCTGCGTCCAAAGCAGCCCCTTCTCCCTCTTTTCCTTTCCCTAACGGCTCCCTCTGCCTCTCACCCACCCTCCCGCCCTTCCTCGCATCTCTTCTCGACTCCATCACCTCCCAGCTCCCATTTGTGTCAGCACCATTGCCGAATATTAGTTGTACAGCTAACACAATGGTACGGCAAACACAACAACCGGGCTGTACGACCACCTCCCTCCCTCCGTCTCCTCCGTACGACAGGTGTTCAGCGACCGCGACCTCACCTCCGAACCCAGCCGCTCGCGGGTTGAGGCGGCACTGGCTCGGGCCGACATCTTCTTCGGCTCGCTGATCTTTGATTTCGACCAGGTAAGGCACTGGTAAGGGTGCGTGCCGACACAGCTGAGTGGGTTTGGGGATATACCGGTAACGACAGGACAGGATGGCAAAGCGGGGGTATGCAATAACGCAACCTAACATGCCTACTTGCGGATACATGCCTACTTCGGGGTCAAAAAGAGATCTGGCTTATTAGAGGTTTTCCCTTGCTTTTCATTCAATGATGTACAACAACACTGTTGTTGTCGTACGACGCTACCGCCCCCCAGGTGGAGTGGTTGCGGTCGCGGGTTGAGCGGGTGCCGGTACGACTGGTGTTTGAATCGGCACTGGAGCTCATGGCGTGCAACAAGGTAGGTTCGCGGTGTGTGTTAAAATAACTGGCCGCGAGGCGAAACTGTGTGTGTGTGACAGTTGCGGCTAACTCGGGGCTGAATAAGGGGTTTCTTGTTCAACCTAACAGGAGATGTCTAGAACTGAACACTTGCTTTGTCAATATGCTTGTGCCCCGGCTCCATCCCTTGCACACCGCCCACTGGTTCATACTTTTGATTGCTGCTACTAACTTAACAAGTATGACCATATGACCATACACGCAATCGTATGCTCCAGGCTAATGCCGAAGATGTATCCCTAATACCGGGCATCCCCACCACTCCGCTTCCGGCACCTCGCAGGTCGGTTCCTTCACCATGGGCGGCGGAGGCGGCGGCGGTGCTGCAGCCAAGGGCCCGGGGGGGCCCCCTCCGGCCGTCAAGAAGCTGCTGTCCATGTTTGGAAGCGGGCGGGAGGAGGATAAGATGGTGAGATGGAGGGATAAAAGTAAGGAAACTGACGACCTGTATGACGAGGCTTCACCATGGGTTGCTAAGAGAGGGGAGGAGGGAAGTGTGACTTCTACCCGCGTGTGGGCAGGTGTAATGGGGACGGGTAATGGCGTAACCCGTAGGGAGTCGTGCCTAACTGCTGTGTGTACTGGGCAACTCCCCTGCCCTCCTGTCCCATTCCGGTCGGGACATGGGATTTGGGTTGTCGATGCTGCATTTGCCGAGTTATTTTTCGTTTTTCCCTTTCCCCGCAGGTGGGCTACCTCTCCTTCCTCAAGCTGGGACCCAAGCTGCTCAAATGGGTTCCCGGCCAGAAGGCGGCGGACCTGCGGACCTGGCTCACCGCGTACGCGTACTGGAACCAGGTGGGCGGAGGGGGGGGCGGGGAGGCGGGAAAAAAGAGGAAACTGAGGGGAGTGGGGTGGGGGGCCTAAGTCCTAACTCTTCGTCCAGTGGCTTTGCCGGTGTATGCTTGTTTGTTTTCCCCGATCCCGCGTCTGCGACGTTTAGTGCAGCATAGCTTGTCTTCATATCCACCATTCCTCCCCTCTTACCAAACCTAACCCCCCCCCTTCCCTCACTCCTCCTATCTACCCCCTCTACTGGGGCAACTACGGTATTCCCTCTTCCTCTTCCCCCCAACCCCACCTGCTCCCCCCCCCGCCCCCAGGGCGGTCCCTCCAATGTGGTGGCCATGTTCGCATACCTGGTGGAGGCTGCCGTACAACACACGGGTGGGTGGGGGGGTGTCAGAGATGTACCAACCCCACGGGTGTGTGTGGGGGGGAAGCGTAAATACTAACCATTGGGGGAACGGGGGGAGAGCCGTTTGTGTGTGCTATGAAAACTGGCCGCGAGTAGGAACGTACTGTGATTGCCGGAAGGTGAAGTCCCCACAGAAACGCCACGGGAGGTGCGTTTGGAAAACTTGCCGCATGTCAGTTGTGTGTGTTTGTAGGCCCCTCTGAGATGCACACATGCAGGTTGGCTGGGTTGTACCGGAATGCAAAGGATTGGCTGTAGCCATATGCCCTTGCCTTCCCTCCTCCTTTCTTCGTCGCTGCGGCGATGGCCGCACCTCGGGCTTTTCTCCCTCCCTATCTTCCTCCACCCTGCCCCAACCCTCCTAACCCAATCCCCACAGGCTACGTCCCCCCTCCCATCATCGAGACCCCCGCGCTGGGCTGCCTACACCCCCTGTACGACAAGGTGGGTAAAGGGGGAAGAGCTAACTAACCGGGGTGTGTGGAGGTGGGGGCAGCATGGTTGCCGGGATCAGTAGTTGGGTGCCGGGGGCTCCGAAGAGCAGAAACACTGTCGTGCAATTACTTACGATATCGCTATATTATAAATACCACCACGGCTGCAGCGGCCACAGTCTGCGGCTCCCTCCAGCTCCCTCCCTTCAGCCACATACGTACAGCTCCGGCCGGCACGCTGCCAATGTGTAATGCAGGAGGACATCTCTCATATGTAACATGTAGAAGTGGAGAGGGCCCTGTGGATGCAGAAGCCAAGCACCTCGGCGCGCCGACGGTCATTACCTATACATCGCATTGCCCCGACCGCCCCCACCAACCCTTGTTTCCCCCAACCCTTGTTATCCCCGCTCCTCCGTACGACACCCACACACCAGGGCTACTTCTCCTCCCCCGCTGAGTACATGAAGTGGTACGGCAGCAGGGAGGGGCCGTTACGTGGCCGTACGACAGACGCTCCGGTCGTTGCCGTACTGCTGTACCGCAAACACGTGATAACGGAACAGCCGTATGTACGGCAGTTGGTTAGTCAGTTGGAGGCGGAGGGGCTGCTGCCGGTCCCCATCTTCATCAATGGAGTGGAGGCGCATACTGTGGTGGGTGGGTTGGGGTCGGGAGGAAACCAACTCGTGATGAGGAAAAGGAAAACCAGAAATGGGGGCATGGAAATAGTGAGGACGGAGGAGAACGGTCGGATGGGATGTGGTGGGTGGGAAGGATATTTACGGGGAAGGGACGTGGACGGACAAACGGGGTTTGGGGTAAAGGAGGGTCTGCACGGTGTAAAGTGGGGGAGGAGTTGGAAGGAAGGGAAGATTGTGTGGGAACGGAGGTGGGGATTTCTGGCCCTTTGTTTGCTGGGGCTGCGCTTTGGGCTGTATCGCGCGGGCGGAGTGGGTTGGGGAATTGGACAGTGGGGTATACCGTACGCCGTTTGCCGTACAGATACCCGCTGCTTACCTGTCGTACCTTCCTGTTGTCGTACGTACAGGTTCGCGACCTGCTGACCACGCAACATGAGCAGGTGAGGGGGTGGGGTGGGGCGGGTGGTGTGAGCGTGTGTGTGTATTGGGGTGTCGAAGAGGAGGGACTTACGGGGGTTCTGTGTATGTGTCGGGGGGGGGGGGTTTCTGGGTAATGCAAATAAGGAGAGTTTCTGGGTAATGCAGGTAAGGGTGTAGGTTGCTCATCATTTCTGCTCATCGAAGCAGCAGGGCCCCCGCAGGGACACACGTTCCTACTCGCGGCCAGTTTTCTTAACACACGTACAGTGCGAGCACAGCCTGCTTCCTGCGCCTCCCTCTACCCGCACGGCCCCCCTTCCCCATCCCTTTCCCTGACTCCCGCACCGCCCCACCCCTCCGACGCCCCCCCCCCTCCCCAGTCTCTGCTAGCTCGAGGCGAGACGGGCGCCATCAGCCCCACCCTGAAGAGGGATGCGGTGCGGGTAGGTGGGGCAGGGTGCAGGCTGCGTGCTTCGGCGGGGTTGTGGATCTGGAGAGGCCGGGGTTATGGGTTTACGGCCCGCCTTTCCACCCACCGCTCCCTCCTCCCGTTCCCCTTTTCCCCCCTCCCTCCCACCCCCCCTCCCTCCACCTCCCTCTACCTCCCCAGGTTGATGCCATCGTGAGCACCATTGGTTTCCCGCTGGTGGGGGGACCGGCGGGGAGCATGGAGGGGGGCAGGCAGGCGGAGGTGGCAAAGGTGGGGGAGCATGGAGGGGGGCAGGGAGGGAGAGGGGAAAGGGGAGGGGGTCGCACTTGCTGCTAGGCGCTTACCACGGCGCTCAGCATGAAGGGTTTCAGTGCTCTGCTGTGCAGCAGCTACCGGAGTTGTCACCGGTCCTCCCGGTGATCTATTCACAGATCAGGGGCAGCCGGCGGTGGCGGCAGGGCGGCAGGGTCACTTTCTGTCGTGTGTAGCAGCAGGAACCGCCTGCCAGGTTATCATGCAATCAAAAACACAAACATCCGTTTTCCCCTCCGGCGGTGTCGTACCACGCACCCCCCCTTCCCCGCACTCTTTCCCCTCCCCCCCAACAGGCGATCCTGACCTCCAAGGATGTTCCCTACATGGTGGCTGCTCCGTTGCTTATTCAGGACATGGAGAGCTGGAGCAGGGACGGAGTGGCTGGTAGGGACAGCAGCAGGTTGGGAGGGAGGAAGGGGTAGCTGCATGGGTGTGCGGTGGCAGAGGGGGGGGGAGAAGTCCAAAGGTGTGGGGGGTGTGGGGGGTGGGAGGAGCGGTGCATGGGGCCGTATCCACACCTCTATCCCCGTGAGATTGGACTTCCAGTGCTTCCCTCCTTATTCACTTCCTCCCCTCCCCTCCACTCCCCTCCCCTTCCCTGCCCCCCAGGCCTCCAATCCGTGGTGCTGTACTCGCTGCCCGAGCTGGATGGCGCAGTGGACTGCCTGCCCCTGGGGGGCCTGGTGGGGGACAACATTTACCTGGTAGGGGTGGGCGGAAAGTAGGATTGGGTACAAACAGTGGGTGCAGACACTAAGCACTGGGAACTCAATGATGGGAGAGAAGGAGAAACCAGACCGAACATGTTTGGGCAACAACAACAACAACAACAGTCGTGTTCGTTACGGCGTCTGTTGGTTGGAGGTTGTTGGTTGCAGTGAGGAACAACAAGTACCTGGCCGGAAAGAGCCGCCGAAGAGGGTGGTGTGTGCGAGAGTGTGCGACAACAGTGGCGTATAATAACCCTGCATGGTCTTCTGCGTGCATCTTGATCAACGAGTTAGTTAGTTAGAGCTAGCCTCAACACCTCTACCAACCGACAACCGTACAACGCCCCCCCTCCCCCCGTTCTTAACACACACGCTCTCGTATGCACATCCACACCCCAGGTTCCCGAGCGTGTCAAGAAGTTGGCGGGTCGGCTACGTGCCTGGGTCAACCTGCGACGTAAGGCCCCCGCGGATCGCAAGGTTGCAGTACTGCTGTACGGCTTCCCCCCTGGGGTGGGCGCCACGGGTACGGCAGCGCTGCTCAACGTGCCCAAGAGCTTGGAGGTACTCCCCGGGGGGCTGGGGGGGGTGGTTGGTTGGGGGGAAAGGGGGGGGTGCGGGGGTTAGGGTTTGTGGGTGGGGGGGATGGTTAGGACAGCGCATACTGGTAACCCATTAAGTGACGTTTGGTTTGGAGGCGAGGCGCCCACCCTACAAATTGAGCCTAACAGCCCAAGTAAGGATGCAATGAGAGGTGCATACATACAGCAAGTAGGGACTGATGAGTCCCTACTCACGGGCTATGTCCCAACTCCCTGTCGGCCCCTGGACCCCCCCATTCGCTCCCTCCTCCCCCGCAACCCCACATTGCACATCGCATTGCTTTAACCACCATTTCGGCTCGATTCACGGTTGATTCCACCAGGGATTGTCAGCGACTTGTATCATTATCACACCACACTTTGGAATTTCTTTTTTCCCCCTCCCAAAGACGCTCCTGGTGTCGCTGCGCCGTGCCGGGTACGATCTGGGGCCGGACGTGCCGGAGGTGAGGCTGGGTATGTGGGCATCATGGGGGAAGGGGATCGATGAATAATGGCGAGGCCAGGGTTTACCACGGAGTTGCAATGGCAGCCGCTGGCAGGGTGCAGTGAAGCAGCCCGCATGTGCGCATGCATCGCTCTTTCATGCATCTCTCGACCCATCAGCCTAACCCCAGGGCTCCCCGGCAATACCGGAACTTGACCTCGCCCAGCGGCTTGGTCAGTACATCTGCGACCATGTGCTCCGTAGCGCAGTACACCAGCGGCGAGGTGGAGCTGGTGTACTGCGCTACGGAGCACATGGTCGCAGATGTACTGACCAAGCCGCTGGGCGAGGTCAAGTTCCGGTATTGCCGGGGAGCCCTGGGGTTAGGCTGATGGGTCGAGAGATGCATGAAAGAGCGATGCATGTGGGCATGCAGTTTTGCAGGGGGAGTCGTGTAGGTATGCATGAGGTTTGCATATGGCTATGGGTGAACGTGTAGGTCTGCATGCGCATTTGGTGCGGTCAGAAACCGCAGTATAGCATTGCTTATACTACTGGACCGCATGGTTTAGGCAAGTCGAAGGCTGTTGCGCCTCTTGTACCATTTATGCACTTGTACTATAGTTCTATTGCGCCAGACCGCATGACTTTGCCAACCGAAGGCAGTATGCTATGTGTCGTACTCGTACGTACAGCCAGGACGGCAGACAAGAGTTTTTCTGCTGAGTGTTACTGTACACTCTTTTGGGTATTACGTTTTGGTGGCCTAGTTGAGCCAGGTACGGCCCAAGGGGGAGTGTTGATGTAATTAGGGTTCGTGCCACACCTGGCTACGTTGTGCCGGGTGGGGTGGGGGAGAAAAACTCCCAATGCGTTGAATGAGAATGCAAAACCAAACGACAAGATCCGGGGCCCCTGGGGGGGAAGGGCTTCGGTGGGTCTGTCAACACACATACACACCTCCTCTCCTGCCGAAGGAGTACCGGTAGAGGGACTCATGCAACTTCCCCCCCTCCCCCCCGCCAATCCCTTCCCTCTTGGGTTGCTCCCTTCCCTCCTTCCCTCCCTTCCCTTCCGCTCCCCTCGCGTGCCTGCTGCTCAGGATCTGGCGGGTGTGGGTGAGGCGCTGGTGGCGGCACTGAGGCGGCAGACTGAGGACCAGCGGGCGGTTAGCGTGGGGGCGGCAGGTGGGCGGGGGTGGGGGTCAAAAAAGACCAAATCATAGGAAACCATGATTGGGCAGGTGGGGGCGTGTAAAGAAAAGGAAGAAGAAGAAGAAGTGAAGAACAGGGGACAGGGGTGGGGTTCTATTTCGGAGAAGCCATGGAGCATGCGGGAGACAAGGTGAGGGCTGGGGGCAGCAGGGTTTATGATGATTGAGTTATGAAGGAGTACCCCTCCACGCATGTGCTGCTGCGGTGGTGCCCCCTCATCTCCCCCAAACCCTCCTCAGCACATCGTCACGTGTTTTATCCTCTGGAACACCACCCCTCAACCCAACCCCAACCCCACCTCTCCCCCTCCAGGCATGGCCGCCCTGGGGCCAGGTCCCGCCGCCCCCTTCGGAGTGCGGGTGGGGGCAGGCGAGATGGGGCCTGTACGGCTCAAGGTACGGCAGGGTGGGGAGGCACGGGAGAGAGGATGGAGGGCATTAAATGTGGGGGGAACCAAACCTGTCTCCTGTATATGGGTGTTGGCAAACGTGTGTTAAGAAAACTGGCCGCGAGTAGGGACGTACTCAAACGCGCGTGTGTGTGTGCGTGTTTTACACCCCCTAGCCATCCTCATCCCCCCTCCCCTCCCCTCCCTGCCGTACAGGAGCTGCTAAGCTACCCCCCCGATTGGGGTCCCAGCGAGTGGGGGCCGCTGCCGTACCTGCCCGACCCGGACGTGCTGGTGCAGCGCATGGAGCGGCAGTGGGGGGACCTGCGGGGGCACAGGTGGGGGCGGAGGGGGGTTGGCAGGGGAAACGTGTGTGTATGGGTTTGTACATCTACGCTGGAGCGGCAGTGTAGGGGTTGGGAGGGGGTGTGCGGATTACGCATCCACTCCACCCCTTCCCCTTCCCCTCTAGCACCCTTCCCACCAACCAAGAGACCGTCTGCTCACCCCTTCCCTGTTCCCTCCTCCCATTCCATGCCCCGTCCCCCCTCCCCCCCCTCCCCACCTCCACCCCAGGGGCATCCTCACCTCCTCTCGCGGCCTCTTCCAGGTTCCCGGGTTGCAGCTGGGGCGCGTGTGGCTGGGGGTGCAGCCGGCTCTCGGACTGGAAGGGGACCCCATGCGCCTGCTCTTCCAGCGCGACCTCACGCCACACCCGCAGTACGCGGCGTTCTACAAGTGGCTGCAGCACGTGAGTGCAGCGGTGGGGAAGGGGAAGGGGATGGAGGGAGGGGCCAGAAAGGGTCCTAGCCAAATGAAACCACCAGTTAGGGCAATGCAATGGAGATAGGAAGGGGAGGATGGACAAGAAGGGAGGTGGAGAACGCATGCGCATGAGCACGAGGCTGCAGCAATTGGGTCTTTGTGCCATTCATCCACCGAGGACCAGTACCTCCGGGGAAGCCTTCAGTTACCAACCATCAACCAACCCACCAACCCAACCACCCACCTAACCAACCAACAGGAGTACGGCGCGGATGTCGTACTTCACTTCGGAATGCACGGCACCGTGGAATGGCTCCCCGGCTCCCCCCTGGGCAACACCGGCCTCTCCTGGAGCGACGTGCTGCTGGGGGAGCTGCCCAACGTGTATGTGTATGCCGCCAATAACCCCTCCGAGTCCATCATAGCAAAGAGGAGGGGGTACGGCACCATTGTGTCGCACAATGTACCGCCGTACGGCAGGGCAGGTGGGGGTGGGGGTGTACGACAAGGGGGCTGGGGGATGGGCTGGGGTGGGGAAGTCACAGCAGGGCAGGAGGGTGGTGTACTTGTCCTATACCAATAGGTGCTGCTCGCTGTAGAGGCAATCGTAGCTTCTATGGCATCATACTGCCGTCCTACGATCTTCACTCGAGACCCATGGGTCACTCCCTTTCTCTGCTCTCCCCTCAAACCCCCTCCCCCCCCCGTCCCCCCCAGGCCTGTACAAGCAGCTAGCTACCCTGCGGGATCAGCTGGCGGAGTACCGGGAGACGGCCCAGGCAGTACGACAAAGTGTACTGCAGCAGTGGCACCAGCAACAGCAGGAACAGCAGCAACAGCAACAGGAACAACAGGGAGAACAACAGCAAGCGCAGCCGGTAAGTGGTAGTGTGCCTAACAGCCTACCAATCCAACAGCCACATTTCGGGCACACGTCAACCCAATGCAAGCAGTCGGTACTCGGTAGCAAGGTAGCCTGATGTTAGAGCTACGTTCGCTGTCGAACTTCCCAGGCTTGAACGTCGTCTCCGAGGGAAGGAGTGATTCCCGACAGAGCTGTTAATTCCGGCCGAACGGTTCCGGAACCACATGCACCCGCACGCTCCTCCTTTCCCTGCTCTGCTCTTGTTCCTGCGCCTGTTCCTGCTCATATCCCTTTGCTGCTCCTGCTCCCGCCCTAACACAGCAGGCGGGGGGTATGGATGCGCTGCTCCGTGCAGCCCTGGCTCCGGTGGTGGCGGGGCAGGCGGGGGCGGTGATGGACCAGCTGCGGCTGGCGGGGCTGGAGGTGGGTGGGGGCTGGGGGCTCGGGTGGGTGGGTGGGGGGTAAGAGGAATAAACTAACTTTGGGGAGGTGGGAGGTTGGGGCTTTGTGTTCATGAGGGAGGTAAAATTGAAAGAGGTAAGATTGAAAGAGGTAAAGTTGAGGGAGGTGGACCATGTGCAGGAACACCAGGCCTAAATGTATGGCTGGAACGAGGTGGTGGTTGAAGCTACCTCCCCTCCGTTCCCATCCTGCGCGGCCCCCCCCTTCCTCCTCCTCCCCCTCCCCTCTCAGGCCGACTGCCCCTTCCAGGAACCCTCCACGGGTCAGCTCATGCCCCTCCCGCCCGCTGAGGCCTTCGCAGCCCTCACCGCCACCACCCCGGCCTCGTCCACAACCACTGATACCACCAGCGCTGCTGTGGCGGCGGCTCACACCTCCTCAGCTCCCGCCTCCTCAGCTCACACCTCCTCAGCTCCCGTCTCCCCAGCTCACACCTCCTCAGCTCCCCAGCCGCCCCCCGTTGTGCCCCCCCAGCACCCCGCACTAGACCCGCTGGTGTTCGATGCGTACGCCTCCAAGCTGTACGCCTACCTGCAGGTGGGGGGGGGGGAGGGGAAAAAAGAAATTCCAATGTGTGGTGTGATAGTGGTACATTGTGTGGGGGAGGGGAGGGGTACGGCAGGCAACAAAGGAAGGGGATTGGGGGGCACCTGCAGGTGTGGGGAGTTGTTCCCCACCTTGTTCCCTTGTTCCTTGTTCCTGCATGAGTCGGGATATGGGATTGGGATTTGTTGTTTCACTTTTATATAATTTTTTCCCCTCCCCCCCTTCCCAACCCTCCCCCCCCCCCAGCTGCTGGAGGGCCGGCTGTTCTCCGAGGGGCTCCATGTGCTGGGCAGCCCGCCCTCCCCTTCCCAGCTGGGGGGCTACCTGGAGGCCTTCTTCGGAGGGGGGCTGCCGCGGGGGGCGGTGCAGGCGGTGGCGGGTGAGAGGGGGAGGGGGCTGGGGGGTGGGGGCTGGGAAAGAAGCGAATTACGAGAAGTGTGTGAGAACGCGTGGGCAGGGGAAAGAGAAGGAGGCGGGGGCGGGGGAAAGAGAAGGAGGCGTGGGCGGGGGTAAAAGGGGTAAAGGAAACTGACGAGCTGGCGAGGGCGGCGGAGGTGGGTATCACCTTCCTCATTTCTCTGCCCGGAAACCTTTCTCCCCAGACATGCATTTATCGTTACCAACTTGGTCTTGTTTTCATTACCCACCCCTCTCCGTCTTTGGGACATTGTGTTTTACCCTTCACACGTCACCCCTCCCTATCCTCCAGAGCGCGGCGAGGCGGGTGCAGAGGCGGTGCGATCACAGCTGGAGAGGCTGTGGGAGGAGGACCAGGTGGGGGGGGGGAGGGGGGTAGCAAGGAAACAGTAAAGGGGTTCCACCCAGAAGGCTGGTATGCAGAACTCAGTTGTCCCGACGCCTGAGGCAAGCCGAAGACACACGACCTTGGTAATTCGGATCTCCCCTTTACCTTTGAACTGCGTCGCGGTGCGACAGGTCGCCATCTCTCCTTTCGAGGCGCCCCTTCCTGCTGCTGCTTCCTCTCAGCAACCCACCGCAGCTGCAGCCCCCTCCTCAGCGCTAGCAGCAGCAGCAGCAGCGGCAGCAGCAACAGCTACGGCTCCAGGGTTGGCAGCTCCGGAGGCCCCCACTCGCCCCACTCGGGAACAGCTGGTAGCTAGATTGGAGGTGGGAGCGGGAGGGAGGGGGGTGGATAGGTGGGTGGGGTTTTGGCTAGGTAAGGGGGAATGGGTAAGTGGGCGGAGATGGGATGAGACGGAGTGTGGGGTTGGGTAGGGTAGGGTAGGGTGGAGTGGGGGGGGCGGGGTTATGGTGTAATGAGATTCACCCCTGGTGTAATGAGATTTACCCCTGGTGATCCTACGCCAGACTGGATTGTTCTGTTCACCGCCCCTCACCCCCCCGCTTCCCTGCTGTCCCTCCCTCCCCCGCGAGCGAGCAGGAGGCCCTCAAGATCCGGTCACTGCTGCTCCGTAACACGGAGGTAAGGGGAGGCAGGAGGGGCATGCGCGTGCATGGGAACGTGTATGTGTGGGCATGCGCGTGCATGGGTACGTGTATGTGTGGGCATGCGCGTGCATGGGTACGTGTATGTGTGGGCATGCGCGTGCGCTTATGCACGTGCGTGTATGGGTGTGTGCGCAGGTCTACGTGTGGGGGTACACGTAAGAGAAAGTATCGGATGCATACCCTCAACCATCTCCCACTCACCCTCCCCCCCTCTTCAGCGGCCTGTTCATCTTGCCCACCGATATGTGTGCCGCTCACCTACCTGTGCGTACGACCTTGCTATAATACATAACCCCACACGAACCCGCGCTCTTCCCCCGCCCTCCCCCCCCCCGCTCTCCCCCCGCCCCTCAGGAGCTGGAGGGGGTGTTGAAGGGGCTGGGGGGCGGCTACGTTCTGCCTGAGGCGGGGGGAGATCTGCTGCGGGACGGAACAGGCGTGCTGCCCACAGGTGGGCAGGGGGGAAGGGGGCAGGTGTTTTGGTAGAACTTGCCGAGAGTCGGAACGTACTGCGATTGCAGAGTGCGTTGGCGGAGAGGAGAGTTACGTGTTGTAAGGTTACCAGAGCGTTAAGCCCATGCTTACCTTGCGGTGTTGCTCCATTACTCCACGTCCACGTCTATGATTCTTACCGCTGCATTCCCCCGAACCCCTTTCCGCTCTCCTTCCCCCAACCTCGCTCATGCCCCAAACCTTTCACACATACACCCTCCCACAGGTCGCAACATCCACGCGCTGGACCCCTACCGCATGCCCTCCCCCGCCGCCATGACCCGCGGGTCGGCGGTGGCTGCCGCCCTGCTAGCCCACCACACCGCCTCCAGCCCGGGGGGCCAGCTGCCGGAGACGATGGCGGTGAACCTTTGGGGACTGGACTCCATTAAGAGCAAGGTGGGTGTCGTACAAGCCTGGATTGGGTAGGCACAGTGATAATTAAGAATGTGTAATGCGCACATGTGTATACGGGTATACGGTAGCTAGGTTGTCCCAGCGATCGTACCTTCTCCTTCCTTGCTTCCCCATTCGCGCACTTATCCGCTCTCGCCTTCGCAGTCCTGTTTGTCCTGTGAAGTCCAATCGTCCTCGTCCTGTGATTTGGACCGTGGTTTGGGAGTGCTTTGTGTACCCCGCTCCACACCCTCCCGCCTGCGCAATCCCACTAGCACCTGGTTCGTTCTTCCTCTTTGCCCACAAATTTGCCCACTCTTTGCCCACACCCGCTCCTGCTCCCTCCTCAACCAGGGCGAGAGTGTTGCCATCGTGCTTTCCCTTGTCGGGGCGGTGCCGGTGCGAGAGGGAACGGGCAGGGTGGCAAGGTACGTACCGGCGGCACTAAGCGCGCCCTTGTTAGGTGTTTGGGTTATTACCAGCCCCCGCCGTCGCATGTCCTTTCCGCTGCCTTCACCTCACATCTCCATCCAGCAATCTGTCATCCGTACAACCCTAAAACCCCGAAACGTCCGTCCCGTCCCTATCCTGAACACGGACCGCATGACCGGGTCCGTTTTGTGGCCTTTACCCCCATCTCACCACCACCACCACCACCACCACCACATTCACCAAGAGCTCATCACCCCCCATGCGCTTGGCACCCCGCCCCCTTCCCCGGTCAGTTAGCATCTTCCTCTTTATCCCCCGCTCTCTGCCCCCCCGCCATCATCAAAAGGTTCGAGCTGCTGCCGCTGTCGCAACTGGGCCGCCCGCGCATCGACGTGTTGTGCAACATGAGTGGCATATTCCGCGACTCCTTCCAAAACGTGGTGGAGCTGCTGGATGACCTGTTCGCAAGGTGGGGGGTGGGGGCGGATTATAATAAGATGGGCGGGTGGGTGTGTAAAGTGGGAAGAAAGTGACCTAGCGAACTAGCTGCCTAACTAGCGAAGTGGTTGATAATACACGAACTAGGTAGGTTGGGAGTAGAGGGGGAGGGGGTGGAGCTGCTGGATGAAATCTGTTCTTCGCAAGGTAGGAGCCCCTCTCCCTCCCTCCTCCACTTTTCGCATCCACATCTTTCTCTCCCTCTCCTCGCAGAGCTGCTTCCGCGGACGAGCCTGATGACATGAACTTCATTGCCAAGCACTCCAGGGCCATGAAGGGCCAGGTGGGTGGGGTGGTGCTGACGGTGCTGCCGGGCCTCCTTCGTGCGTGCGGTGGGGGGGGGGTGGGGTTGGAGCGCTATTCGCTGCCGCTGTGCTGTTGGTGTTGCTGCCGCTCCTGCGGCTGTGTTTGCCCTTGCACGTTATCCACACACGCGGGACACAGCAGCATCCAACTCACCTCCTCCCTTCTTCCTCATCCCGCCCCCCCCTAACTCGTGGTTTCCTGTGGTTTGGTCTACTGTGACCCCCTCCTCCCCCCGTCGCCCCCTCGCTCCCCAAGGGCCTGGCGGCCACCTCGGCGCGCCTCTTCTCTAATCCCGCGGGTGACTACGGCTCCATGGTCAATGAACGAGTGGGGGCGGGCAGGTGCGTGGGGCCGGGGTGGGGCCGGGAGACGCGGGGTAGGGTAGGGTAGAGAGGCAGAGCAAACAGACACCGTCGAAGTGCAAAATGCAAGAAATAAGTGCCATGACCCGGTTTGGCACGTTTCACCGTTGGAGCATGACATAAGCGGTGAAGTGCGCAATAGGCAACCTGCCTCTTCCGAGTCTTACATGTAGAGAGGACCACCGCCCCATTCCTCTCCTGCCGCACTCTTTTCACTTCTCGCCTTCCTCCGTGTCCCACCACTCCCCCAGTTGGAGCCAGGGGGAGGAGCTGGCTGACACCTGGGTGGCTCGCAACGCATTCAGCTACGGCAGGGGCAAGGAGCGGGGCACGGCACGGCCGGAGGTGAGGGGGAGGGGTGATGGGGCGGTGGGGGAGTTGGAGGAGGGGAATACATCTTGGTTTGGAGCTGTGCGTTACCAGCTGTCCGCAATGGAGGAGGGAGGGCAGGGGAGGATGGAGTTGAGGAGGCTCTGCGGTAGGGCTGGCTAGTTCCAAAGATGGAGGTGAAAGAGGGAGACAAAGGAGGGCAGGCCAGCAAGCGGAGCAATAGCAAAATTAGCAATGCGCCGAGGTGTGTGTGTCTCGACAGGTGTCAGGACGGCTGGAAGGGCATGTGGGAGGGTCAAAGAGAAACCAATCCGTACTGGAAAGTAAGGAGGAGGATTGCATTTAGGTTATGCCCGGATGCCCTTCTACCGTATCTCCCCAGCCCCTCTGCTTTTTTCCTTTTGGCAGCCCCCTTTCATTTCATTTCATCCCCGCACGTTCCTCGCACAGGTGCTGCAAGCCCTGCTCCGCACGACAGACCGTGTCGTACAACAAATAGACAGTGTCGAGTACGGCCTCACGGACATCCAGGTACGGCACTATACGATACGTACGGTATGCTACGACAACTCGACCCCATTCCCCAGGACCCGTGTCACCTACCGCTGATGCTGCCGCCGTCATCCACCTCATGGATGGTCTGTCTTTCTTTTCCCCTCCTCCTCAGTCAAACATTCCGCGGCTCAGTTTTATCTACCGTAATCTTCCATCCCCCCTGCAGGAGTACTACGCCAACACCGGCGCGCTCAAGCGGGCCGCGGAGGTGGCCCGTGGGTCGGCGGGTGGCCGCGTGGGCTGCTCCATTGTAGAGGCATTCGGGGGCGGTGGCGGGGGAGGGGCAGGAGGGGCGGGGGGCGGGGGTGCGGTTCCGCCCCCCCGGGAGCTGGAGGAGGTGTTGAGGCTGGAGTACCGCACCAAGCTGCTCAACCCAAAGTAAGGGGGTGGGGTGGGTGGGGGGTGGGGGTTCAAAGGAATCTGAAGAACCCCCGCAAGAAAGAGCGGGGCGGAGGGGATGTAGGAAGTAAGGGGTTGTGGGGAGGTTTGCTGGACTCGAAGGAAGGGGTGGGGCAGGGGCAGAGGGTGGAAGGGGCGGAAAGGCAGGGAAGGAGGCTTGCTGGACCCGAAGTGCGGGCTTCCCCCTAGGGCTTGCACCTACCTTGGCGCCCGCTGGATCTGGCAGGCAGGTAGCGAACAGGGCCGCATGCATGCATGCAGGGCAGGGCAGGGCAGGGGAGGTTTCCTGGAGCTAGTCAGTTTTATTTATCCCTCTCCACCCCTATCACCTCCTACCTCCTCCCCTCCCCCCCAGGTGGGCAAAGGCCATGGCGGCTCAGGGCAGCGGAGGCGCCTACGAGATATCCAGCCGCATGACGGCACTGGTAGGTTAGGAGCGGCCTTTTGGGGTTAGGGGCGAGTTCGTAGGTATCGGGGCGGCTTTCTAGGAAGGGAGAAGGCGGGGGCTCGGAGGTGTGGTGACGGGACCTACTGCCGTGTTGGTGCGTGTCTACCCCACCCCACTTTCACTCCCCGCATGCAAGTCAAGGTGCTGCACATATTACAATTGTGCTGCACTTCTCCTTTATCCCCCCCCGGGATTTGTTGTTTCACTTTTATATAATTTTTCCCCCCGCACCCACCCACCCCCCGCATGCACAGGTGGGCTGGGGTGCCACGTCTGGCTTCCAAGAGGGGTGGGTGTGGGACCAGGCGCACGACACCTACATTGCGGACACGGAGATGGCGGAGGGGCTGAGGAAGGCCAACCCGCAGGTAGGGAAGGGGTAAAAGTTAAGGAAACTGACGAGGAGGGGGTAAAAAAAGGAGGAGGAGGGGGGGAGGGGATTAGGCAAATTGAGCCGCGGAAACACTGACCGTAGGGGAGGGTCTGATGTTGGCTACCCTTGGCTTGCCAGTTCTCAGCCTTGGACTTAGATTCCTCCTTGCCGTACGATACCCCGCTCGTTGCCACCTTGGGTTCCCTTCACCCCCCTCTCCCTCCCAGGCCTTCTCCAACGTCCTGCGCCGCATGTTGGAGGCTGCGGGCCGCGGCATGTGGCGCCCCTCGGAGCAGCAGTTGGCGCAACTGAAGTCGTTGTACGGCGACCTGGACGATCAATTGGAGGGGGTGGTTGGGGTGGACAGGAGCGGTACGGCAGCAGGAGGGGCGGGTGGAGAGGGAAAGGGGAAGGGGGGTAAGGGAGGGGCAGGGGCGCGGGTTGTTCCGGGCAGGGTGAGTGTGGGACGGCGGCATAGGTGATGGTAAGCACTGTTGAGGGAGAGGAGGTGCGAAGGAGAAGAGAGAAGAGCTACTTGTGTCAATGAACTAATGTATAACAGCATAAAGGGTGGAGAGGCGATTTGGTCCGCTGCTCTGCTGCCGAGCGTTTTGTTAATGCACGTAAACGTTGCTTTATTTTATGGGCTTTCAAATGTTTACTACGATAGCAACTGGGGCGCTTTGTAGTCCGTCTGTTTTGCGGCTCGGCTCGCTCTCTTGTCGTACTGCCGTGTCGTACAAAAGGCTGTGGTTGCTTGGGAGTGTACGGCGGGATGCGTATTCTATTTAGGGCTCTCAGAGAGATTGGGCCTTTACAAGCGTCACTTGCGTCTTTGGGGGAGGAATATACTTTGTAACGCTGCGGCCTGATAGGAGCGAGTATGTAAGGAAGTTGTGGCAAGCGGGTACAGGTGTACGGCAGGGTACAGGGTACATGGTGGGCCACAGCCATTGTCTGGGAGATAATGATGAAGGGTACGCATTTTGCAGTGACGCTTGTTAATAATGCTCAGGACAGAAATGCTTAGGAAAGAAGGGGCACCCGGGAAGAAGGCTGGCTCCATCATGCCTAACAAGAGTGTAGTCCTACTGAAGCACAGCAGGCAAGCTCCACGGTTCCGTCCCGCCAGGCTCGGGAAATTGCCACGTTAACAACCACAACAATATCATGGGATTGGAAGGCTTATAGCCATGGGCCCCACGTGCACGTGCTGGCTGTTCGTACAAACTCCGTGTTGTGACAGCTGCCGGGTAGGGGTTCAATTTGTTTATGTGTAAAGCTGATCCTATAGCTGACAGTTAGTCTTGATGGCGAGATACTCGCGACTTGGACTCTGAGTTGCAAGTTAAGGCAACTTTCTCATAACCTCAGTTAAGGGATAGGTCAAAATGTCGGATACATCGGATTCTGATTATGAAGGGAATGAGGGCTTAGTGAGCTTGTAAGTGTACAAGGGAAGGGTTGATGACTTTTCGATGAAACGTCCTCTTGGGCTAGCAATGTTAAGTCCTCCTGTGTATCTTAGTGAACGTTAGAACGCTAATGAAAGCCTCATTGGCCTAGTGTTATCTGTTTTTGGCGCGAAGCAAGTTACAAATGGCAAGGAGACGCATGCCTGTCAAGTGCAGCAACAAGCCTAATGCCTACCCCGCATGTTACCTTGGCGCAGTATGGTACATAATGCAGCTGAGGCTGGGGATGTTGACTCGCTGGAGCGCATGCTTGGGCTGTCAGAGACAGCTAGCGTGGTAAGATGTTGCTCGCTAAGAACTTCCCCACGTAACACCACAAGCACTGTTTTCCATTTTCAGTAGTGGATTTCTTGCTGATGCCTCTATTTGTCGCATCCATTCCAATGGATACGACGCAGCCTGATTATCTGCAATCTCCATTCTCCATGTCCCTCCCACAAGCCCCTTGCCCAGAGCGTTGTCTACCGGCGCCTGCTCAGCCTCACGGACCGCAACGACTGCACTCCCCTGCATCTCGCCATCATAAACGGTGAGCCCTCTTGCAAACAACACTCCATCATCCAAGCATGACCCGTTACCCATGTGCAGCCCCGTCATACATCCCACACCTGCCCCTACGTCCCCCACCACAACCCTAAAGCACTCCATCCTTTCATTTACACCATCTTCCATTAATACCACACCACACAACACCACACGTCCCGCTCCAGGCCACCCCGCATGTGTGAAGGTGCTGCTCCGCGGCGGCGCCTCCCCCTCCCGCGGCTGCGACGGCTCCCCTCCGCTGGCCCTGGCCGCCTGCCTGGGCCTCAGCGCGGAGGAGGGGCGGGCGGCGGCGGCGGAGGGATGCGTACGGGCACTGCTGGAGGCGGGGGCCGACCCACATGACAGGTGGGTGTTTGGAGGGGAAAAAGAAATCCTAATGTGTGGTGTGATAGTCAGGGGGGGGTACATTTTTTTTTGGTAAACCCCATGATGAATTTTTGGTGGCGACCCCTCCCAGACCCACCCACCCACCCTACAGAACTTCGAACGCTAATTTCTCGTGTTGCCGTACGCCAAAAAAGACGCAAAAAAGACCAATGGATTCCTTTCAGTGTCATCTTTCTGTATATATAACTTGTTGAGCTTTTGCACCTACTAAGTCATGCCATGGTCGCGCCATGCCATGGTCACGCCATCCAACCCTATAGACAGCAACGGGTGCACCGTTGTACACTAGCCTCATACACACGCGCTAGTACGTTTCGCCTCGCGGCCAGTTATTTTAACACACGCGCTACTGCGTCAAGACCAGCAATTACCAGCAAGGATTAGCAGGGCTCAGACAACGTGCAGCGGCTGGCACAGGTGACGCAGCTGCTGCCGAGAGACCTGCCCCGTTCTACTCCCCTCAACCCCACCCCAGAGATGCAGCACATAGGGGAGCCGTGTCACATGGTTAACTTCCCGGCCCCCTTCTGCTTGGCTGGGCAGACCACCTGCGGGTGATTCCCCCCTAAGTGGAGGCACCCGGACCCGCACCCTGCCTGCCCCCCACCGACCCATACGTGTTTTGGTATCTCTCTGACCACCCATGCGTGGTATGTCATCATGCCATGCCCAAACCATATCAGGAAGAGGCAAAAATGCGTTTATAGACTGCTTACAGTATGTTTATCGTATAAATTTACTTCATAGTGAGTTTGGCAGCGCCAGGAAAAAGTTAGGAAGCCCTCGGAAAAAACCCACTGGACCCCCAGACCCCACCCACCCACCCTGCCGTACAGTCACCTTTAGGCGCAGATAACTTTTTCCGTACAACTCCAATTAAATTTCTGAAAGCAGATTTGGAATGCTCTCAATAAGCTCTTTAACTTTGAATCATGGGGTCTGTCCTCGCGTTTCCTACCCCCCCCCTGTGATAGTGATACATTTAGCTTAGTATAAGTCAAGCACGCACGCTTTCGGTCGCATGCTCAAACACGTACACGTACACGTGGCTTTCTACGGTAAACACAGACTTGTGGCGTTTCTGTGGGAGGACTTCATCTTCCGGCAGCCACAGCACGTTCCGCCGCGCGGCCAGTTTTCTTAACACACCCACCCACCCACCCACCCGCACATCAACCCACAGGGACGACGGCGGGCGCACCTCGCTGCACTGGGCCGCCTGCTGCTGGCAGCCCTCCCTGCTGCCGCTGCTGCTGGCCGCCGCCGCCGCCGCGCACCGCACCCGCGTGGGCGCACTGTTGGCGGATGCCATGGAGGCGGCGGCGGCGGCAGCGGAGCAGCAGCGGCAGGGGGCGGGAGGGGAGGGGGCGGAAGGGGGGGAGGGAGGTGGGGGCCTGGTGCTGCCGGCGCTGGATCGCCCGGAGCACATCCTGGCGATGACGGTGAGGAGTGGTAGTGGTTAACTAGTTGCCAATCCCTGAGGGAGGTGGGGGGAGGAGGGAGGGGGGAGAAGGAGGAGGAAGAAAAGGGAGGGAGGTAGCATGTAAGGCGCCGCATGGAGGATTTGAAGTCCTGAACTACAGCCCCCAGTTAGCCCCGGTTCACCCCACTTACCACATCACACCCTTCCCTCCTCTTCCTCTTCCACCGCGCCTATCCTCCTTCCCCCTCCCTCCCCCCCTCCCCACCTCCTCCCACAGGACCACGACGGCTTCACGCCGCTGCACCTCGCCGCCAGGTGCGGCCACGCAGCCGTGGTTTCGGAGCTGCTCCGCGCTGCCGCCGACTCCGCCCGGGCAGCTGCGGCGGCGGCGGAGGAGCTTGCCAGGGAAGCAGCGGCGGCTGACGCTGCGGGTGCTGCTGCTGCGGATCCCGCCTCCTCTGCTGCTGCGGTCACGCCGGCTGCTGCTGCTGTCCTCCCCAGCGCCGCCGCCGTGTCCTCCCTACTCCCCGTGTGCGAGGTGGCGTCACTGCTGCGCATGCGCACCCGGCAGGAGGGGCACACGCCGCTGCACCTCGCAGCGCTGTACGGCAGGGCGGAGGCGGCGGAGGCGCTGCTGGCGGCGGCGGCGGGTGGTGGTACGGCAGGTGGTGTCAAGGCGGCGGCGGCGGTGGGGAAGCTGCTGGCGGCGGCGGATAAGAAGGGATACACGGCGGCGGATCTGGCGCGGCGGCGGGGACACACGGTGGGCGAGCAGTTGGGTGTGTGTGGTTGTGTTGGTTGGTTGTTTGGGGTTGGCTGGGGAGCTAAGTAGGGTGATCGGATGGTGTCGGGTTGAGTCGGCGGGTCTTCTTCTGCTGAAGTTTGAAGTGGGAATAGGTGCGCGGAGGCTAGCTAGGCTCCTTATCCTCCTCCGTTCAACTCCCTTCTCCTTCTCGCTCTCTCTCAGGCCCTGGCAGATGCGCTGAAAGCAGCAGTGGGCGGTAAACCCTTCCAGCTGCCCCCACAAGCCCCCACCTCAGGCGCCGACGCCTCCCTTGCAGCATCAGCACCAGCAGTCGCAGTAGCAGCCGATCCCAGCAGCACCACCACTGCCACTACCTCCACTACTCCTGCTAGTGGTGGCAGTAGCGGCAGTAGCTCTAATCGTACACTGCTCCTGGCCCCGGATGACTGTCACCTGCACTGCACCGCTCCGGAACCGCTGGTACGCAGCGGTCCCGAGCCGCCTCCGGAGAATGTGAACCGTCTTCACGTGTTGACCCGGCCGGGTAGGAGGGAGGGGTGGGGGGCGGGGGAGGGGGGCGAGTTGTGTGTCGACAAAAGTGGCTGCGAGTCGGAACGTACTGTGATTGTCAGAAGCTGTTGGTATTGGTGTGTGTGCCTCCCCCTTTCGGGTGCTCCACCTCCAATGCTTTACCCCGCCCCTCCTCCCTCCCAGTGCGCGTCGTCGTGGGTTTTTTCGCTGCCTGCATGAGCCGCAATCGGGCAATGGCATTTAAATGCCGGTGCTTCACTCATCCTTTCCTCCCCTCCCCCCCCACACACCCTTCCTACACTGGGTTTTCTTCCCCTCTCCTCTCCCCTCCCCCCCTGGACGGCCAGTGACGGGCATTCTGCACAACCACGAGTTCTCCGACCTGCTGCACTGGCGCACTCGGGGCATACCGCAGGTGGGTGATGGAGGGGGTGAGGGGGGGGAGGAAGACCGCACAAACCAACAGGAAACGACAGTGCTTCACGTCTCCTTTCCTTCCTTTCTTCCTTTCGGCTCGACTAACCCGGTTCCATTCACCGGGAGCCGTCGACTTGTCTGACTTTTCATCATCACCGCGGACCCGGTATCGGTAGGGAATACTAACCAACACTTTGCCTTGTGGCACCCTGCCAACTCCTACCCCCATTGCTTTGCCCTAACTTGTGGTCTCCTATGGTTTGGTATGGTCTTTGACCCCCCCTTCCCCCCGCCTCCCAGGCTGCCATGGTGGATGTGCTCAAGTGCCACGAGTGGTCCTACGTGCGGGACATTGTCAAGGTGTGTGTTAAAATAACTGGCCGCGAGGCGAAACGTACTGTGATTGCCGAAAGAAAGTGTGTGTGTTTACGTGCGGTCGTACGGCATGTACGGCAGGAAGGAAGGAAGGAAGGAAGGAAGGGAGGAGCCTAAACACAGTCAGGGGGTGGGGGCGGATGGAGACACTGTGCACGCAGCATGTTTATGAGCCGTGGCAAGCATACATGCATTGCTGCTGCCGTGCAACGCCCATACCTCCCCCACCCCCTGGATGCCAGCCTGTGCCCGGAACACCCTCAAATCCGCCCCACCCCACCCCCAATCCCCCCTATCCTCCCCCCCAGGCCTGTGAGGCGCTGCCCGACAGCCCCGCCTCCGTCGGCTCGCTGGACCCCGACACCGCCATCAGCCGGGGCAGCATGCGGGCGGCGCTGGCGGCGGCGGGGGCGGTGTGTGCGGCGGTGGATGAGGTGGTGGCGGGCAGGGTGAGAAAACGGGGGGGAGGAAGGGGAGGGTGGGGTGGGAAGAATATCCACTGTGTTGAATGAGGCTGGCAAACAAGACGACAAGCTGGGGTGGGGGTAAAGAGGAAACAACTAACCGAGGGTGGGGGGGCTGAGGGTGGTAGGTGCCACGGCCTGGCCGCGATGTGTGAACTGCAACTGCGGGTCATCAACACCCCCGAGATGATCCACTTCGCTTTTTGCCCTTCTCCGCTCGTGACGACACAAACGTCAATTTTGACCCCCCCCTACCTTGCCCCCCATCTCAACCCCCCCCAGGCCCGCAACGCCTTCTGCGCCGTCCGCCCCCCCGGTCACCACGCGGGCCCCACCGGCACCGTGGTGAACCCCAACGACCCGCACGGCTCGCATGGCTTCTGCCTGCTGAGCAATGTGGCCATCGGGGCGGCCTACGCAATGAACATGCACCGCAATGCGGGTGAGGCGCATGGGGGTGGAAAAATATTTTGGGGGAGTGGAGGAAACGGAGTCAAGCTGTGTGGCATGTAGGTCTCACCATGGGGGTTGCAAGCAAGGTAGCTGGCCCATCTCGCACTGCCCTGGGGGGTGGTAAAAAATATATAATGAGACACTGACACCGGGGGGGGGGGCTTGGTGGGGTCTGGGGAGTCGGGGGCCGGGGCACTGGTACTCAATTGTTGACATCGACCCATCATTCCTAACCTCCTCATGCCTTGGCGTTGACCTATGTACTACAACCCGACCCCTGCCTGCCCCCCCCCTCCCCCTCGTACCCCAGGCATTCGCCGTGTGGCTATCCTGGATTTTGACGTCCACCACGGCAACGGAACCCAGGTACGACAGCTGTCCGCTTTGCTTCCTAGTTTTACATCTCTTCCTGGCAGCTTCTTTCCATTTTCCAGCTAACAACCTGGTCTCTTTCCCGCCCTCCCCGCTACCCTTCCCCCCCAGGCATGTGTGCTCAACACCGCCCCCTCCGTCCGCTCCGTTCCCATTCGCACGCCCTTCAGCGAGGGCCTGCAGCGCTTCCCCACCTACAAGCCCTGGCTGGGGGACGGGGATGTGCACAACATCTTCTTTGCGAGGTGGGGAGAAAGGGAGGGAGGGAGGGAGGGCCGGGGCAGTGAGGAGGGGGCGGATGGGGGTAAAGGCCGGGGGGGTGACCATAATGGTAGGTCGGGTAGCGGGACGGAATGGGTTAGACTTGGAGGTACCGGAGAACTTACCCATGGTTTCCCTCTTAAGGTTGGTTTTGTCGTACTCTTACCGAAACACGTCATCCGCTGTGTTTTAACCCTGCCCATGCCCTGTCCATGTGCCCATGCCTGTCGTACGACAACTACAACTACAGCGTGCAAGGGTACGGCAACCGCGGCGGCGGCGGTTGGTTCTACCCGGGTTCTGGAGCCACTGCCGACAGCGCCGTCGCCGCCGCCCTCAAACCCTCCTCGCCGCCACCTCCTCAGCCCCAACCTGCTGCTCAGTCAGAGGCGCCAACAGCAGCCCCAGCAGCCCCAGCGGAGGCTGCAATGACCACACCCACCACGTCCGCCGTTCCCCCGGTCGGCGGGGCCAACACCGCCGGCGAGGGTGCAACGGAGGAGCCTGGTGCGGCCGCTGCCACCCCTGCTGCCGCACCAGCAGCACCGCCAGCACCGCCAGCAGCAGCGGCAATATCCGGCAATATCCCCCACACCCGCAATGGCGGCGACAGCGGGGGTGACAGCGGGGGTCAGGTGGTGGAGGACCCGGAGGGGGAGTTCCGGGGGAGCTACGACGTGACGGTGCTGGGTGGCCCACGGGTCATCAATGTGGGCATTCCGGGACCAGGTGGGGGGTGGGGTGGGGGGGTGAGGTGGGGGGTCATAGACCATGCCGAACCATGGGTGTTAGGGGGGCGAGGGCGAAGGGACGAGGGGCGGCAATGGGCGGAGTGCTAAGTAATGGGCCGCCATGGTATGTCGGAAAGGAGGGGGGGGGTGAGGGAGGGGGGAATGCGGGGCGGGAGGGGGGGGGCGTGAACAATCGTTGTCAATCTTTATCACGGTGGCCCCATCTCGTCCCCCCTTGTTTCCCCCGCACCCCGCACACCCACCCACCCGTACATACACACCCACGCACATGCGAACCTCTCCCAATTGCCTGCTCTTGTCCTACTCAACTACACACACTCGCACACAGGCAGCAAGCCCCGCATGTGGCGCAAGGCCTGGCGCGACAAGATCCTGCCGGCACTCGTGAACTTCAAGTAGGGGCGGGGCGGGGAAGGGGGCGAGAAGGGAGGGGGAATGAAAGTGAAGCAACGGGAAGGGAAGGGAGGGGCGAGAAGGGCGTGAAGGGAGGGAGGAAATTTCTTGAAGTGAAGCAACGGGAAGGGAAGGGAAGAGAGGGGCGGAGGAGGCCAGCAGCGGGAGTTGGGTGGCTCTGGGGGTCCCTACTCCTACATTCCCTGCTGGCCCCAACTTCCCTTCTTCCACTTGACCTCCGCCCCATTTACTCCGTTTCCTATTCCCCCATACACCCTCTTCTCTTCCCCTTCTTACTTTACCCCTGTAACCCCTGTAACCCATCCCTGTTCAGGCCGGACATTATCCTGGTGTCAGCTGGCTTTGATGCGCACAAGAAGGAGGATCTGAACCTGCGGTGAGAAGGAAGGGGGCTAAGAGGGGGTTCATGTAAAGGGGTTACGAGGAGGCGGGGTGGGGGGATGGCAAGGAGGTGGGGGGAGGCGACAGGCCAGGTAAAAGGGAATGTAGGGGAAGTGGCCTCCACCCCTTGCCTGCCTCCTTCACCTCTTTGTTTCCGCCACCAACTCCCTAAATTTTCCTCCCCTCTGCATGTTTCTCTCCCTTCCGTACTCCTCGTTCTTCCTCCTCTCCTCACTCCTCACCTGCCTTGGGACCCTGCTCCCTCACTCCACCTCCCACCACCTCCCACCACCTCCCCCCACCTCCCCCCACCTCCCCCCTGCCGTACCACAGCTACGTGGGTGTGGCCGAGGCGGACTACGAGTGGCTGACGGGTCAGATCGTGGAGGTGGCCAACGCCTGCTGCGGGGGGCGGGTGGTGTCGGTGCTGGAGGGGGGGTACAACCTGCGGGGCGGACCGCTGGGAAGCCCCTTTGCGAGGAGGTGAGGGGGGTTAGAGACCAAGGAGGGGGGGGCTGGGGGGCACATACCGATTTATACGCCGCCGCCTGGTTGCGTGACGTGGTAGAACATGATTCTGTTTATTACTGTAGCATGATGTCGCATGTGTTTGTCCGGCCGGACATGCAGACACGCCCCTCCCTTCCTTCTTTCCCCGTTTCACTTGTTCCGGCTGCAGCCGGATGCCTCCTCTCCCCATCGCCTTGCCCTGTCTTTCGGGTTTCTCAGATGCGTTCCATTCCCCCTCCTCCCGCCTCCTCCCCCTCCCCCATGCGCTCACTGCATGAGTCGGGATATGGGATTGGGACTCGTTGTTTCACATATTAAATTTTTTCTCCCCCATCCGCCTCCCCCAGCGTTGCCGCGCACGTTCGGTCGCTGGCCGCCCCCTCCACCGCCCGTTACGACCCCTCCTGGGCGGAGACGGAGCGGGCGGCGGAGAAGGCGGCGGAGCGGGCCGCGGAGGCCAAGCGAGCCGCGAGGGCGGCGGAGAGGGCCGCGGCGCTAGCGGCAGGTAGGGCGGAGGGGGGGGGGCAGCAAGCCAGGCCGGGAGGTGAAGGAGAGGTTGAGGTGTCTTGAGACTGCACAGCCGGCTACGCTGCGCTCATACCGGTAACCCGCACGCTCGTTCCCTAACCCCACCTCTTCTTCTCCTCTCCTCTCCTGTCGACGCTGTCGTACAATGTGCACCGGGCGCTCCTTTCCGCCGCAGGCCTCGCTACCCCGGGCTCCGCACTTCCCACGCCCCGGGCTGGCGTCACCCCCGGCGCCGCCGCCGCCACCCCCGCCACCGCCGCCCTCAGCCCCGTGGCTGCAACCCCAGCTGTCACAGCCGGCGGGGGCGGCGGCGGCCCGGCGCCAATGGATACCGACGCAACGTCGCCAGTGGCGGCGGCGCCGACGCCGACGCCTTCAGTGCCGACGGCGGCGGCGGCGGGTACGACAGTTGGCGACGGATCCGTCGCCGCGACGCCGTCGAATGCGGTGACAAGTGCGACCGCCGCCGTCGCCGGTGTTGACGGCATTGGCAGTGGCGGCAGCGCCGCCGCTGGTAGCGATGAGCCGCCGAGCAAGCGCCGGCGGCGGCCGCCGGTTGACTACGCTGCGTTGAATGCGCAGTTGGAAAGGGAACGACAGGAGGCGGCGGCGGCGGCAGCGGGGGCGGCGGCTGCAGCAACACCGGGAGGCGGCAGCGGCGCCGGAACTCAGGCATGATGGCCTGTGGCGGCGGCGTGTTGTGCGGCGTGTTGTGGCGCCGAGTGGTGGGGCGCGCTCGACAAGCACAACGAGATCCGCAACCAGATGAGGCTCTGGAGGGCAGTGGACCGGGGCAAGACAGGACAGTGGTCACCTCGCAGAGGATTGGCTGGTGGAGTGGTGGAATGGTGGAGCCCCTATGTATGGTACCGGTACCGGTGTATGAGAGGAGGGCAGACCTGGGTTACACATGATGTGGTTGTGTGGTTATGCTGAAGAGGAGGAAAGCGGAGGGGTGTGGCGGGGGGGCTTGAGGCCGGTAAGGAAACTGAGGAGAAGCCCAGGGGTGAGGGCTGTTGGGGGGGGGGTCGCTGGTGCGCTGGAGGGTGATGAGGGCGCGGAGGCGGAGGGGGAAAGAAATGCGGGTTGCTGGTTAGTTGGCGGCGTTGAGGGGGAGGGGGACGAACAGGGTCGGTGGGCGTGCGTCGGGGCTGTGGTGTGAATGTGTCGCTTTGTGGATGTCAGTTCGTTACACCTCTTGCGGTCTTGGGTTCCTGAGTAGGGCCTGGCATTTTTAAACTATGAAAAGCCGCTAGCCGGGCCGGTAAAAGTATTACTTGTGGGGCCCATGGCCCATTGTTGTCGCTCACGCTCGTCATGGGCGTGACCAGAGGAAGACAGCAGAGGCCTATAGCAGGGAGGCGCGGGGAAGGGCGGGTCCGTTGTTGTTTGCCTGGTTGGGGGAGGCGGAGGCGTGCTGGAGGCCTACTGAGGCGGGCTTGGGCGAGGCCCTGGGGAGCTGAGGTAGGTGTGTTGGAGCTCGAGGCGTGTTTTCCGCTGGGGCCATTCCCGTATGGTCGCCGGGACTGAGCATTTAGGTGCGATGATGATGGTGTCAGGTGAGCCGCTATTTGTGTGGGTGTCTGGAGGTTAGGCACTGTGTTTGTCGGACGATTGTGGGTTGGGGCGGAAAGCAGTGAGACGCGAGGGAACGGGTGCCGGGTGCCGATTTGGATGATTGTGACATGCCCAAAAAGATGGGCTTGCCATGAAACGTTGTGCCTTGAAGCGTTAGGAGTCCTGGGTTCCTCCCTCCTGGTCACAGAGGTGGACTAACAAGGACTTGTGAGACAGTGAGGAAAGCAGCTGGGCACTGCTTGAGGGTCGGGCATTGTGTTGCAGGCGGATGTTGGTTTTGCCAAGAGTGCAACATAATGCAAGAAGCCAACTATATTACGGTACTTGTACATCCCGCTTGTGAAATATATTGGTTTGGACAGCCCTGGTTAAAGGCAGGCCACCTTGGGTCGTCCGCCTCAGCCGCATGAGGCGTTGCACGGGCATATCAGACAAGAATCACCCAAGTAGTGCGAACTTCAGTGACATACTGAGGCACTAATTCAAGTCAAGATTTTATCATTCCAGTGCGACACAGAATGCGCAGGGTGTGACAGGTGCAAATTACTTACCGCTGACGTCTGCCGTACTGATCGCGAAGGGGTAGTACTACTGCAATAGAGAGACAGTCTTGCAGGCTGACACCGAGTATTCCCACAGTGCCAATGTAAAACTGTTTGCTCTACCATGCTCTATGATCCAGTCCTGTAACAGTGTTAGCTAACTATACACGAGGATGTCGCAAGTTGAAGCGTCGCCGCACTCTAGACGACCAATTGCTAAGCCTGCGCCCATTGAGATACCAGTAGCCTCCCTGCCTACACATAATCGCCTCCAGCTTTGGCCAGCGTTGCGTGTTGCACCGGAAGAGTCGCCTTGGACTCCGAGTCCCCGTCAAAAAGATGAAACATGCCCCGCAAGGTTCCTGAGCAATGCTATAGAAGGGGCGGGAGATGGTGGCTGGTCAAGTATGCCTGCGCACCTGCTGGAGTTCATCTTTGCGGCACTAAGAGACCCTCAGGGGCGCTGGCCATCACGCCAGGTGCGGCTTTTGTTTCGTTAACGATGCCACAAAGCTTGCCACCTTTTTTCCTGTGCAACTTTTGTTAGTACTCGAAGAGAACATTAGGTGACGCACCAGGTTTTGTCGACGTCCTGAAAGGAGTGAACTAGAGCCTGCCTTACGAGCAATAGCCTGGCCCATGCTTGATTGCCTTTACACGTGTTGATATGCGTGATCCTGCTTCTCTTCGTCGCCGAGTCGGTGAATGACAGCTGCGTTGTGTATGTGACAATGTTCGTATGCGGCCGCTAACAGCCGCAAAGCGCGCGACTGTGTAAATCTCTCTAGACGTTCCTGCGGCAGTTTGGAAGCCCCGTCGGTCTCCATGGACATTACATGTTCCCCCAAGCCTGTCTCGCTTCGGGAAGGCTGAACAATCCCAATAATTTGCCTTCTATCTTCAATATCAATTGAATTGCTTGAGCCAGATGTCCCCGACGCGGCCCCACCGCAGGTCCTGTTTGGCATCTGTGGCGTGTGCAAGTTGTGGCGTCGCGTGGGCCACACCTTGTTCTTCTCCGACGTCTGGAACAACCACTCGGATGTGGTGGTGCACCCTTCGCAGCTCTTCACGCTGGTGGGGTGGGATAGAGTGGGCGCGGTGCGGTATGGGCTGGACAGGGCCGTTCAGGTTTTGCTTCTGGATCGTGTCTAGGATGGGTCGATGATGATGTTTGCATACTGGAATGACTTGGCTTGGTGGAAGCGGAGTAGGCCCTCCACGTGCTTTTGTGCCGTTTATGTCCGGATAACCCCGCTGAAACCGACCTTTTCAACCCCACAATCTTCCTCGCGAACTGCCTCTCGCCCTGTCCCAAACCCCTTTCGCTCGCTCCCTCCACCCCCACCCCCACCGCAGAGCCCGCACCCCCTGCGCCACACCTCCAGCGACCACCTCCTCCGCTGCTGCGTCCTGCGCCTTCCCAGCAGCGGAGCAGGGGTTCCTGGCGGCGCCGGCAGCTGCGCATCTCCCTCCGCCGCTGGCAACGCGGCTGCCGACCGACCCACGGGTCTGCCCAGCCCGGCAACAGGTCCCCGGTTGGGCCGCCACTGCCGCTTTGCGCTCTATCTGAGCAGCGGGGCCGGCAGCGGAGAGGGAGGAGGCGGAGGGGGCTTGATGGAGGCAGGCGGGGCGGCTAGCTGGGGGGGAAGAGGAGAAGGAGGAGGGGGAGCTGAAGGGGGAGGGCCTCGGCTGCTGATGTGGGCTCAGCAAACAAGCAGGTGAGGAGGGCGGCAGCCGGGTGGCTCATTGTCGTGCATTGTATGGCCCGTTTCTAGCCATTTCCCTTGCCTTGCCTCTTCCCTCTCCGCTTCCGTATGCGTCACTCTCTGACCGCGCCCTCCCCCCTCACCATCCCACCACCCTCACCACCACCCCCATCACTCGAACCCAGGCGCTGCTACCAGCTCATGTTGGGTCCGCTGCCGGGGCGCGGCCCTGCACCCGGGCCGCCCCCTCGCAGCCCCCGCCCCTCCCCGCTGCCTTCCCCGGGCCCCAGTCCCGCCGCCTCATGTCCACCGCATGGGCCGGCTGGGAGCAGGGGGTGTAGAGGCGGGGGTGGTGGAGAGGGCGGCGGCAGAGGAGGAGCAGGGGCAGGCGGTGCAGTGGCGGCAGCAGCGGTGGCGAGTACAGGAGCAACAGCAGCAGCTGGCGGTGGCGGTGCGGAGGAGCGGGAGCAGCGGCTGCACCATGGCAGGGGTTCCCATGAACATGCTCCACTACAACAGGAACACCACCACCAGCAGCAGCAGCAGCACCAGCAGCAGCGGGGGGACATGCGGATGCGATCCCTGTCGTCTGGGCCGCAGTGCCCCTATCACTCCCATCACCACCGAGGGGGGGAGCAGCAGCAGCAGCAGCCGGATGAGGTGCATGCTGCTGAGGAGGAGGAGCCGCAGCAGCAGCAGCGGTGTTGGAGTCCGGCTGGTATCCTGGCGGGTCTCAGCCGTCGTTCATTCCGGCTGGGAGGAGGAGGAGGAGGAGGAGCAGCAGGAGGGGCAGGAGGCAAGGAGCGGTGTGCTGGATTGGGCGGTGGCAGCAGCAGCCGTGGCGGCAGCAGCGGAGGCGGAGGGGGAGGGGGAAGCGGTGTGGTGGTGGCGGTGTTGCGAAGTAACTTGCGGTGCAGCGCGTACGAGCTGCTGCCCGTGTGGTGAGTGGAAGTGGGAGGGGGGGTCGCGGGTGCAGGAGGGGAGGGGGGAGCGGGGAGCAGGAGGGGGGAGGGGTTGAAGAGGAGCCAATCGTGTGGCCTGTAGGGAATCCACGTTGCGCTAGCGCTAAGGAGGCTGGCGGTGTGTGATGTGGCTGTGTGGCACATTGTCTCCTTGCCCGGAGCCACTTATTACGGCATTACAACCTCTTGTCGCCCTCACCGCACCACAACACCCTTGTGCACATGCATCCACCCCCCTCCCCACCGCCCTCCGCAGCTCCTCCCCCTGGTCCCGTCGCCTCGTCTCCCTGGCTGGATATCAGGTGGGACCCTGCCCCGACCCTGACGCCGAGCCTGACACCGACACAGCCGCCGGCGGTTCGTCCTGCGTTCCCAGTCCCCGCCGGCCCCGCGGCCCCCGGCCTCTGGCCGCCCTTCCGCCGCCGCCGCCGCTGATTCAAATTGACTACCGATTGCGGGTTCGAGGGATCATGCTGCCCCGGAGGTGAGGGGGAGAGAGGGGCCCAGGGAGGTGGGGGAAGGAAGAGGGGAGGTGGGGGAAGGAAGGGGGGGTAGGGAGGGACGGCCGTAGGCATGCAGGGAGGGGAGCAGGGAGAGCGGAGCAGGGCGAGAAGGACTGCGGGCAGAGAGGAACAGCAAGTACCCTTGTGACACGACACACGAGACTCCCCCCCAATCTTTCCCCCCCCCCAGAATGAAGGTCCAGGTGCCTGTACCGCACTGCATGCAACGTGTCGTACACAACCCCCTGTACGACCTGCACGACCATGACCAGCTGCTGGTGATGACTCATCACACCCAGCTGGCGGGTGGTGGCGACCTGCTCCTCCTGGGCAGGGGCGGCATCAACGGTGCAGGAGGAGGAGGAGCAGCAGCAGGAGGGGGAGCAGGCGCGCTCCTGCAGGGCATGGCGCAGTTCGGTGGTGGTGGTGGCGGAGGAGGAGGAGGCTTGGGTGCGGGTGCGGGTGCGGGTGCTGCTGCTGCTGGTGCTGCTTTCATGGCTCCTCCGCCCCCGCCTCCCCAACCTCTCCTGGCTGCTGCTGCTGCGGCAGCACATCCGGCTGCGGCTGCTGCTGCGGCGGCGGCTGTGGGGAATCATGCAGCCGCAGCCGCAGCGGGCATGCCACTTGGCATGTTGGGAGGAGGCGGAGGGGGAGGAGGAGGGATGGTGGCGATGCTGGAGGACTTGCTGGAGGCTGTGGTGAGTAGTGGGTTGGGGGGTTGAGGAGCGGGTGGGGTGGTGGGGGATGCAGGTGTGAGGTCGTGGGTGGTCATTAGGTGGCTAGGAAGGACGAAGGACGAAGGAAGGACGAAGGACGGGAGGAGGTGTAAGGAGGGTGCGAGGATGTCCATGGGGGGCAGCATGCCACCTCACGCCATATACCTGCTGCCCCTCCCCACTTCGCTACCCTCCCCTCCATTATCGTATAACACATTGGGTCTTCTTCTTTTCTCACCCCTCCCCTATTGCTCCCTGTCAATCTCCTCCCCCAGATGCGCAGCCAGCCGCTCCTCCTAGCGGATATGGTGGAGGCCGCCGCGGCAGTGCGACCCCAGGAGCAGGAGGTGGAGGTGGCGGGGGAGGTGGGGGAGGTGGGAGGAGAGCAGCAGGCGGCAGCAGGGGCGGTGGGCATACAGGGTGCCGGCGGAGGCGGCGGTATGGGTGCTGGCGCGGCCGGTGGATGTGCCTTAGTCGGCGGAGGCGGCGGAGGCGGTGCTGGCAGCGCCCGTCACATCCTCCCAGGCAGAAGCAGGAGCCACAACGCCGCTGCCTTAGCCGCCGGCGGCGGCGGAGGTGCAGCAGCGGACGAAACCTCTGGTGGTGGTGGTGGTGGCGGTGGTGGTGGTGGTGGCAGTCATGCCGACGGCCGCCGAGGGGTCCGGGGCCGGGGCTTGCTGCCGCGCGGCTTCTTCTCCTTCCGCAGCCGCCGGGGCGGTGGCGGTGGCGGTGACGGTGGTGACGTCACCAACGTACCAGTACACGGCTGGGGACGCGGTACCCCCACCACCACCACCACCACCACTAACGGAAGCGGCGCAGGCGGCAGCATGACGTCCCCGCCGCCGCCACCCGCTCTCACGACCTCAACCCCGCTGCCCCGTCCTCCACCTCCGCCGCCTCCGTCGGTTCCGGTGGTTCGACTCCAAAACAAGGCCCCCCATTGGAACGACACGCTCATGTGTTGGTGCCTCAACTTCCGCGGCCGGGTCAAGATGGCTTCCGTTAAGAACTTCCAGCTGATGTGCTGCGCTGACGGTGCGGGTCGTTGCGTGATGCAGTTTGGCAAGGTGGAGGAGGGGGTGTACATTCTGGACTTCAATCCCTGCGTGCTCACGGCGGCTCAGGCGTTTGCGGCGGCGCTGTCAACGTTTGAGACCAAGTACTTGTTGTGAGGGTGTTCAGGCAGGACGAGGGAAGGAAGGAGGGCATGTGCTGCTGTGGCATGGGCTGCGTTGGGCGTTGGTTTGGGGGTGCATAGGTGTTGGAGTTCAGGTCGTTGTTGTGATGACAGTTACAATGTTCGTTGTTGTTGTTGCCGTTGGGTGCGCATGCGGAGTGGGGTCGCATGCAGGTACAGTGCAGCAGTTGCTGATGGCTGCACAGCGTGCTGCAGTGACCGACAGGTGGTACTTTGTCAGCAGGAACGCTGTCAGCTGGCTGGTTGTTGATGTGGTCATTAATGTCAGCGAGAGGGGTTTGTAGATCGCAGTTTATTAAGAAGGAACGACAATGAGAACAGAATTAACTACACGCAGCAGGACGACAGTTGCAGTGGAGGGTTGGAGGGTCGGGTACAACTTCGCAGTGTGTGTTTTCGGAAGCCATAATGCGTAAGAGCAAAAGACAATGAAGGCAATAAAATACTTGAGCATGGACTTTGTTACCCGCGAGGAGAGCGGAGTAGGAGGGGAAGGTTGCACCGGGGGAACGTCCTTATGCTGGCAAAGCCTCCTTTTGGGAACCGGTCCGAAGGCCCTTTTTGGATAAACAATAGAATGAAGAGGAGGGATAGCGGTAGACAGACATGATGCTTAGGGGCGACGTTGGTTGGTTGGACGATGCAAGTGGTGGTTGGAGGTAACGGTGAAGGTCGGCGGCAAGGGGCATGAAACTTGACAGTCTGTGTGGACAGCTGCTCTGGTTGCTTGGCTTGCGGAGTACGGCGGTGCGTGGTTGCATGGGAGAAAGCATCTCCTAGGGCTAGTTAGGGTAGTTACTTGAGGGGTTGAGTTACGTGTTCCCTTAAACCGTGTTTAGCCGTGGGTTCTCGTCGTCGTCAAAGGCATTGCATACATGCACGCACAGACCGGGATTCCTTTGTAGTTATAATGATAATAATGATGTCCAGGCCAGCGCTATCTGCCACACTCGGGCACTAGCTTCAGTGTTGTTGCGTTACAATACCCGTATCGGTAGGAACTGCAGGATTGATGGGATGACACATTAGCTGTTGGATATTTTCTTACATGGTAGCTTTAGCCTAAGCAAAGATTGACTCGTGTATCAAGTTTCACGAGTTGTTGTTGAAAGCTGTTACCGGGTGGATGTAAACATGTTTTGCTACTATTGCAGCGGCTGCTGCTGCTGCACTGTCCGAGGGGGCCCCCCTGCTCAGTAACCAACATCCCACGCGGATACCCCCCCTGTTGAACTTGGCTGAGACCTGTAAGCCAGACCTCGGCCCCCTGTAACATTCTGGCGGGGACATCATCTTCTGACAATTTTAGTACGTTCCGACTCGCGGCCAGTTTCTTAACACACTTGTTGTCGGCTTCACATAAGCCAAACGGCGCCTCCGTCCCTGGCTCCGGGCGATATGCTGATGGATTTGCCCTCCTGAACTGCCGTACGTACATTGTAGGTTCGTTACAATTGTGCCGTACACCACTCCATCCACGCCCCCCCACACCACCCCATCCACGCCCATGATCTTTACATGCCATGGGGTGGGGTGGGGAGGGAGGGAGCTCTGCAAAACTGACATTGGCCAGGCGTGTGTTTAGTACCGGTCAGTTAAAACTGACAGCAAATGTGCAAGCTAAAAGCTAGCGTAAAGCAAGACAGCAACAGCCGTGATGTAAATACCTTCCCACCTACCCCGTAGGATAACGTTACGGCCCCCTTTTCATGGCGCTCCGCATATCTCGATGGTACCATTTCCCTTATGGTTACAGGAACAGGAGGAACTCAACACCGCCAGACCACCAAGTGAACCTACCTCCGAGCATGCCTCAGGAGTTGGGTTTCAGCAATTTGCGCCCCAACCGGGTCGCTTGATCTCTAATTTCCCTCAATCTAACAGTTCCCCAAGCTTCTGTTAACTCAGCAAACGACACGCCCCCCACACACCCCTTTCTGACACTTCCCTCCCAACTCCTCCTCACAACTCTCAGCCTCTGTTGCCGCTTCCCTCTAATTCCTGTTTTATTACTTGTCTAACACACACGCGCCAAAAGTACAGCATACGATGAGAGTAGGGAGCAGTGCTGGAATGTTATTATGTTCGGCGACAGCCCCACCCTTCCTCCCGCAGCGTATTATGGGCTCATGAAGCGAATGCGCCTAGCCCCACCGAACCCACCCAAGTGCTTGCCCCGAGTCATTTGGCTGAATCCTCCCACCAAAGCCAAAAGATTAGAAGGACCTTTTGCATGTTCGATAACAGCAGCAGCTCAACATCCTTCCCGCACTCAGCACGAAAGACACACCGGAACACACGGAAGCCTACCCGCGTCTCACGCACCTTTGCACGCGCGCTACAACGCAAGCGTACCCTCCTCTGCTTTGATTCCCAAACACACTTCTTCGCCTGTATATTACAGTTTATCGCCTTACAAAGGAAAAAGCGATAATCTAAGTCAATCAACTCAAGCTCCCTCCCACCCACCCAAGCCATCGCCACCAGTGGACCATTTCTAACCAACCACAACCACAACCCGTTTCCGCCCTTCCCCTTCATCTCCTCCTCTACCACTTTCCCTCTTCGACCGCCCTCCTTCTCCGTCCAACATCCCACGTTTGCAGGTCCCTAACAGGTGGTGTGGTCCCACCGACCACCCTGTACACCGCAAGCCATTCAACGCACGACACTTGAATAAAATACACCACTTAATATCAAAGGCAGATATTCCAGCCTAACACTCTTCCCTTCTCCCTCCCTCACGGCTCAAGCCCTCATCAGCGTTCACCTCGCCGCAAACTGGACCCACTGGTGGTCGACTTGCTCCCTTCTATTTCGACTCTGCCCAGCTCCCTCCTCTCCTCTTCTAGCCGCTTTCCCACCCGCCTTCCTTCCATGCAATCCGCACACGTGGTCCTCCTGCATCTCACGCACCCACCCGCCTCACCTCCACCCGAGGCCCGTGGCACGTGAGGTACGCGCTCCCTCAAAACTACTCGCACCAACTCCTCCCTCTCCTGTCGCTGCTCCCTTGCCCCTCAGTGCCATCTTCTTACTTCTTATAACCCCACCTCCGGAGCTCGTCTTGCACCAGCTGCCGACTCCTAGAGCTAACCAATCCAACCTTTCTAAGCCCGCAATCATCCAAGGCGGCTAACTCGTCCAAACCGCCAACCACCACGCCGCTAATCGTGCGCGCGTAATGACCCAAACCCAACGAATTTAACAGCTCACCAACCGTCTCCGGACGAGGCTGCGGCCGCTGCTGTTGCGACATTGCCAGTGGCGACGGCGGCTGGCGTTGCAGCGGCGAGAAGGGCTCAGCGGAGGCGCGAGACCCCACGCCGTACGGCAAGGGCGACACTGGCGGCGGCGGCGGCGCCGCCGTCGTTGGATAGAATGAGTCCGCCGATACAGGTACGGCAATGGCGATGGCCTCACGGGCGACAGCGGCGCCGCCAGCGGAGGCGGCCGCTGCCGCCGTCGACGCTCCGACGGCGGCGGCGGATGTGGTGTCGTACAGGTCCGGTTGCGAGGCAGCTCGGAGTCGCGCCAGGCGAGCTCGCGTCTCATCCGACAGCCCTGCGTAGGGGTTGCCGCTCGCAACCATCATTGCAGGCGTGGTGGCGGGCGCGGTAGCGGCCATCGAGGTGGCGGCGGCGGTGGCGGTTGCCGAGGGTGCATCCAAAGAATCGGATCGAATGTGCCCTGGCGAATAGAATTGCGGCGTTGAGCAAAGTGAGCTGATTGACGCAGGACCGCTGCCGCTGGCGGCGACGCTAGCGGCCGACGCCGCCGTCAGGAACCCGCCGCCGCCGATGCCGCCCCTGGCGGCGGCGCTGCCGGCGCCGCAGCCTCCGGCGGGAAGGGTGCTGTACGACGCCGCCTTCGACGGCGCGTACAAACGACGCATCGTGACGGAGTTGATGCCGCCGGCGCCGCCGCCGCTGCTCCTGCCGCCGGCGCCGCCGCAACTGAAATCGTCACCATAATCCCCAACGACGGCGGGGTCCGAGACCTTCAGCAGGGGTTCCGAGGTCGATACGCTGGGTGAGTGTTGGTGCTCCGGCCCCTGCCGTACCATCGCTCCCGCCTCCGAAGCATCCAGCATGGATAGCTGCTCAATCTCCTCCGTCAACGTCAGGCCTCTGAACTCCTCCGTCGTAGCCGTTGAGCCAACCGCCGCCGCAACCGCCGCAAACTGCTCCCGCGCCTGCTGCACTTCCGCCGCAGTGGCGGCGGCGGCGGCGGCAGCCGCCGCCGCCGCTTGGTGCTGTTGCATGGCAGTTAGCAGCTGTTGCTGCATAACCGTCGCCGCCAAAGGTGATGCACCGACGCCGCCGCCAGCGCGGAATGAGCCCGCTCGCGAGGGACCTCGTGAGGAAGAGGCCGCCGCGACGGTGGCGGCGCCGCCGCCGCCTGCTGGAGCATGCAATCGCTGCATGCGGGTCAGACCGGAGGAGGATGCTGACGTCATCAGACCTGAAGCGGGCGGAGCCGGAGAGAGGTCTTGCACGAGGGAGGCGTCGCTCGTGTGGCGGCGGCCGCTGCTGCCAGAGATTGTCGAGGCGGCGGCGGTGCCGGTTATGGTCGTTGGGGGTAGTTGTGACTGCAACTGCTGCTGCTGTTGTTGTTGTTGCTGCTGTAGCGGTGGCGGCTGCCGCGGCTGCTGCTGGGCTGCAACTGTTCCGGAGGCAGCGGCGTTGGCTTGGCTTGAGTCGGTGGAAACGAATGAGCCGACCTCCACCTGTTTGTAGTTGACATGGGGAAGGACGAGATATAGGGACGCTCGCGATTACGAACTATTACATACTATGACAGCGCCTTCTACTGCAGTACGTCCATGGTCAGTGTTCGTAACGCCTCTCAATTCAAACGAAGCACCATGCAACCCAGGATCCAGGATCCAGCCCAGCCCACTCACCGCAGCGAGCGCCGCCTCACTAGCCCCCATCGCCGCCACATCTTGGGTCACATTGGTGAGCGTGATTGCGTATCCGGAAGCTGTGTGTTGTATGACACATGCATTGGGAAAAAGGGGCGTACGACACATGCATTGGGAAAAGGGGTGTACGACACATGCACGGCATGTACGACACATTAGAGTAGGAAACATGTGGCAACGGCAACAGGAGTATGGGATGCGCTAGAATATGTACTCCCACGTATCGACACGCAATCTGCAATCTATTGAGGCGTAGAGGTATCCTTCACACACGCATATTTGATAAAGGCATACGTGACAGTGGCATGCGCTCTCGCATGCAAGACATAGCAAAAACGCATTCACAGGTATACGTGAGCAGCTAATAACAGCGGGTCCATTCGTTCATTCAACCTCACTGCCATCCTCCTGCTCAAGCCCTCCCCCTCTTCCCTCCCCTCCCTCCCCCCCCCCCTCCCTCCCCCCCCTTCCCTCCTCCCGCTTCCTTTCCTACCTTCGCTTTCCCTGCTGCTCGCAGCTCCCCCCGCTCCGTCGCCCGTACCACTGCCTACGGTGCCATTCGCTGAGTGATGCCGCCCCCCCATGATGGGAATGATCTTGTACGGAGATCCCAGAGGCGCCGCAGCCGCACCCGCTGCCGAGGCCCCCCGGGACCCAGCACCGCCGCCGTCTCCTGCTCCTCCTCCTCTTGCAGCGGCAGCTGGCGCTGCCACCGGCGGCGGCGGCGGCGGTAATGCAGCCGCTGTTGCTCCTATCGGCAGCGGCGGCGCAACCGCCGTTGCCGTACCAACTGCGACGCCTCCAGCATTGATACCGGTTAGGAGCTTTCCGGCCCGTGACCCACGGGTCGCAAGCATGCTGCCGACACCCATTAAACCCAGAGTGCTGCCGCCGCCAGCGGCGGCGGCAGCAGCGGCGCCGCTGCTGAGCAACGAGGCGGAGGCGGCTGCCGCACCTCCGCCGCCGCCACCACCGCCGCCGTCAGCGTTGAGAAGGCAGTTGAGGACGGTTACGCCATGTGTGCCGGCGGCGGGTCCTGCGTTACGTAGATACTCCACGACGACAGCGTTTTCGAGCTGGGAATAGTCCAGCATGCCGGTCTCGCTCCCGGTGGCAGTGGTGGTGGCGGAATCGACAGCGGCAGGGCCAGCTAGGTAGGTTCGGATGATACCCAGGCTCTGTTGGGAGGGGAAGGAGGAGGAGGTGCGGAGGTAGAGGGGTAAGAAAGGGTGTGTTGGTAAACGTATTCGGCGAGATTCGGATGACGAATCGGTGGTTGTTGTGCGCCTCACATGGCGTCTTGTTGTTGTTAAAACGCGTTACCATCATTACCACAATAAGACATCCCTACCTGCGTAAACGGCAAATTGAACGGCATGTGCACATTACATATCTGTGAAGTGCAGCACTTCCCTTACTGACCCTTACCTGCACTTGGGTCGTTGTGTACGGCGTGAAGACCTCCCCTCCCGCCTGCCGTACCCTGTTGTACACCACCTCGGTCACATGGATGGTGTTGGGCAGGGCGGTGGACTGCGGGGGGGAGGGGGGTAACCACGAGTCATGGCAGCAACCACAAACCATTGTAGGAGGGGGTGTGCAGGGTGGAGATGGTGGGGACACAGAATTGGCTTCGGTGGATTCTGTCGTCGTCTCCTTTACCCGCTTGCAAAGTCTAAAAAGCCCCGTTCCACTCAAATTTTTTATTAATAATTTTCTTCGCCGAAGACCTCAAGACGGGTACCTTACTGCCTCCTCTCCCACCCTTCATCTCCCCCCCCGCCACCCCCCACCTGCAGCCCCTGCGCCAGCCTCAACGTCGCCCCAAACAGGCTGTACCGCGGGTATTTGACCCCGATCACACCGCCGTACACCGCCCCCACATGCAGCCCGATGCGGATCTGCATCTTGCCCAGCGTGTCGGGGTACGGCAGGCTCTCAACTGCCGCCAGCATCTGCCGACCCAGATCCAACATCAGTTTGACCTGGGGGGGTGGGCGGGGGAGGAGGAAGGGGGGGAGGGTGAGATTGTTTGGAGGGGGCATGCTTTGGTCTCACGCCTCACATCGTCACATGCCGTGCCATCTTTTGCCCAGTTCGTTGTGCATCTCTTTGCCCTCTGTAACTGCTACGGTGCTGGTATCTGAGGGTTGCCCCTCATCCCCAGCCCTTCACCCCGCCCCCCCCATTCTCATTCTCATTTCTCATTCTTATTCTCCCCCCCCCCCATATCCCCCCCATTCTCATTCTTATTCTCCCCCCCATACCCCCCCCTCACCTGCATGACGCTGCTGAGGTGGCGGTCCTGCGGCATGTGCCCCAGAGCCGCCACGTAGGAGTCGGTATGGCAGTCCATCTGGTCGGTTGGGGGGGGGTGGGGAGGGGGGTTTGGGGTTTGGGAGTTGGGAGGGGGAATTAGGGAAAGATATAGCGCCATGATAGGGGTGGGATTGGGGTCAAAGAATGGCCGCTACCACAAGTACCGCAAGTCAGGGCAAGACAGAAGGGGATAGGAGGCGGCAACGGATGGGGGCGGCAATGGATGGAAGCATCAAGGCCACCAACAGCAGCTACAAGTCGAGAAGAGCGGCCAGGTGTGTTAACATAACACTGGCCGCGAGGCGGCCGGGTGTGTTAAGAAAACTGGCCGCGAGTAGGAACGTACTGCAGGCAGGCGTGTGGTGGGGCTAACCTCCCCCCGTTCGCTCCTCTCCCTCTCCTAGTCCCGCATAGATACCCGGTAGGGTACTCTCCCCACCCCACCCCACCTTGTGCACGCCCATCCTGTCTGTGAGCGCATCAAAGGTGGAGAAGAGGCGGTTGAGAGTGAGGATGCAGTCGGCGGTGTCGGCAGCGGCGGCCAGGGCGGAGAAACCCACCTGGGGTCGGGGAGGAGGTGGAGGTGGAGGGAGCAGGAGGGGAGCAGGAGGGGAGGTGGTTGAGGAAAAGGAGAAAGTGCGGGGGAAAGGTGCGTCCCTGCCCGCAACGCGTCCTTCTTTTCCCTCCTTTCCTTCCCTTCTTCTGCCTCCCCCGATTTACCCCCCCCCCTCCCTCACCACGTCCACGCACAGCACCGCCACCTCTGCGAACTTCTCCACCACCACCCGGGTGCCCCCGCGCAGGGAGGCCAGGATGTGTGGGGGCAGGATCTGGGGGGGGGGGAGGAGGGGAGCAGGGGAGCAGCATGGGGCGAGGAGGAGGGGAGCAGGGGAAGGGTGTGAAGGCAGCTCTAAAGGTAACACGCCTGGCATGCCTCACATGTTTTCCCGTTTTCTTACCATACACCTCACCTTCCGACAATCCAGTACGTTCCTTCTCGCGGTCAGTTTTCCTAGCACACACACACACACACCGGTCGTTTTACGAGAGTGCTTCTTACGTCCTACTTACTCTCAGCACCAGTACTGGACTTCTATATGTACATACGCTACCCTATTCCTCGGCTCCTGCGGCGGTTCTGTGGGGACTTCATCTTCCGACATCCCAGTACGTTCCTACTCGCGGCCAGTTTTCTTAACACACCCACACCCTCGCCTTGACACACGGTTTGTTGGTCGTTCCTGTTTTTACCCCACCTGTCTGAGCAGCGCCATGTTCCTCTCCGCCGCCTCCTGCAGCTGCGCCACCTCGCCCATGAACATGCGCAGTTGCGTCTCCACCCGCGCAATCACCTCGGGCGGCTGGAAGGGCTTGGTGATGTAGTCGCAGGCGCCGGCCTGGGGGGGAAGGGGAGGGGGCGGGGGAGCTCGTTTCAATCTCGATCTTCTCGCATGAAAGGCTGTGCCCCCACCCCCTTGCTGGATCTCTGCCCCTTCCTCCCGTACCCGCAACCTTAATGCCCCCCTTTGAATCGTTTTCCCCCCCTTGCTCCTTCATCCGGATACCCTCCCCCCACCTGCAGCCCCTTGATGACATCCTTGGTGCTGGCCTTGCCGCTGATCATGATGATGGGTGGCGGCACACCCGGGGTCAGGGAGCGCATCTTGAGGCACACCTGCATGCGGGGTGGGGTGGGGTTGGGTGGGGGGGTGGGGGTCAAAGACCATACCAAACCATAGGGGGAGTTGGGGACATGAGAGGTGGGGGGGTTGAAGAGGTGATGAGGAAGAAGGGAAGAACACGGCACGGGGAAGGAGGTTGCCATGTGTGTCATCATACCCACCATCTCGCCCCTACCCCTACCCTATCCTACCCTTATTTAATTTTTTACCCTCTCGCCCCTCCCACCCCCCCACCTCATGTCAGCTGCATCGTCTGTGTCTCATTAGCCTTAACACAACATACCCACCTCATGCCCCGACATGTCTGGCAGCGTCACGTCCAGCAGCACCAGTTTGGGTTGCGGGTCGGAGGTGAGGTAGGTCTCCAGCGCCTCCGTGCCGCTGGCCGCCGTCATCACCTCGTAGCCCTCGTTGGCAAGAAGGTCCTCCAGAATGGTCAGGTTGACTTTGGGGAGGGAGGGGGGAGGGGGGGAAAGGGGGAGGGGGAGGGAACAAGAGGGGTGTCAAAGACCACGTACCAAACCACAGGGAGCCACAGGCTGGGGCAAAGCAAATTTGGGGGTAGCAGGCGCCAGGGTGCCGCAATACAGAAGTTAGGACGGGGGTGACAGACACGAGGCCAGACCCCCCTCCCCACCCTCCTCCCCCACCCCAAGCCCAGCCCAGCACCCCACTTACTGGGATCATCATCCACAATCAGCACCCGCACCGACTCCTCCGCCCCCCGCACGCCGCCCTCCTCCCCAGCTCCGTAACCGCCGCCTCCACCTCCACCGCCCCCCACCGCTCCCCCAGCCGTAGCCGTGTTGCTGCTGCGAGGAACAGCTGAACCGCCGCCACGTCCTCCTGCTCCTGCCCCTCCTCCTGTCGTACGATTCCCCTTCCTGCTGTCAGGTCCGCTTCCCCCTCCCCCTCCGCTTCCTGCGGCTTCGTTGGAGCTGTTAGCCGTCGTCAACCGCTCGGTGTTATCCGTGCTGGCAGGACCGCCTCCGCCACCGCCACCGCCGCCTCCGCCTCCGCCAGCGACACTCTTACGGGCCTTGCGAGGCACAGCAGCAGCAGCAGCAGCAGCACCTGCCACTTCACCGCCAGTAGAAGAGGCGGGAGCCGCGGCGGCGGAAGCCGCCGCCGACGCCGCTGCTGCTGGCACCGTCGAAGGCGGCGGCTGTACGGCCGCGGCAGCGGCCGCCGCCGCCACCGCAGTTTGCGCCGCCAACGCCGCCGGCTGCAGCAGCGGCCCCTGCAGCGGCGGCGGCAGCCCCGCTCCCAGCGGCGGCACATCCTCCTTGGTCCTAAACGTGAGCTCCACCCACGCCCCAGTGCCCCCTCCTCCCCCTCCCCCCCCTGCTCCCCCCTTGTTCCCCAGCCTCAACACGCCCCCGAACAGCGCCATGGTTCGCTTCACCATGGTCAGCCCCAGCCCCAGCTGCTCGGTGGGGCTACCGGTGAGGGGGCTGTTGAACTTGTCCAGCTGATCCGAGCTGAATCCGGATCCTGGGTTTTGGGGGGAAGGGAAAAGAAGAAATTCCAATGTGGTATGACAGTGGTCATTTGTGTTTTGGAAGGGGGCGGGGGACCTGGTCAAAGATAGAGAGAACAAACCACAGGAAACCACGGGTTAGGGGATAGGAGGCGGCAGGGTGGGGTGGTGTGGGGCACGGGGCCGACAAGATCTAGCGGGATGCGGTAGGCGGCTTTGGGATTTCGCGGCGCGGTGCAATGTAGTACAAAGGTGGGCCCGAGTTGGGTGGAGTGTAACCCTCCTTCCTCCCTCCCTGCTCCCCCTTTCTCCTCCTCCCCCCCTACCCGTATCCACCACCCTCAACGTGACCGAGCTCCCATCCCCAGCCGTCGCCGTCTCAATGGTCACGCCCCCCTTGCGTGTGTACTTGAAGGCGTTCGCAAGCACCGTGTGCACGCTCTGGTACAGCCGCGCGTCGTCCGCATGGACCAGCAGGGAGGGGTCGTGCTCGGCGCGGATGGTGAGTCGGGAGCCGACCATGGGGGACATGCGGCGTAGAACCTGGGGGGAGGGGGCAGGGGGCAGGGGGGGAGGGGGCAGGGGGGGAGGGGGGGAGGGGGCAAGGGGAGAGGGGGCAAGGGGAGAGGGGGCAAGGGGGGTAGAGATATACCAAAGAAAACGAAGGTTAGGCAGGTGGAGCAGGTGGAGGTAAGGAGGAGGAAACTGACGAGGTGGAGGTGGGGGTCAAAGACCATACCAAACCATAGGGTAGGGGGTGGAGAGGTGGTGGTGCGCACGTCATCGTGCGTTGCGTGACATCATATCAAGCAAGAGGAAGCAAGCGGGGGCTGCGGTGCCGTTCAACTGCAACCCTGGTGTTCCCAGCTGCCAGCAGCCCCCCTCTCTTCCCTCCCAACTTCCCCCCCTCCCCTCTTTTTTCTTTCCTGTAGTTGGTCAATTTTTTGCCTCCCTTCCTCTCCCTTCCCCTTTCTCACATGGAGGAGCTCAGCCATATGAGACCAGCCAGCTTCCTCCTCCTTACGCCTTACGCCCCCTCCCCCTCACAGACGTCTTCAGTTTCCCAAACACACCCATCTCCACCCACCCACCCACCCACCTCCTCGATCGCGTTGGCCAGCTGCACCCGCCCGCAGTTCACCTCCGGCTCCCCCCCGTGCAGCATGCGCAGGCAGTCGCGCAGCTGGTTGATCATGTTGAGCAGGTGGTAGGCGCAGCTGCGCACCACTCCCAGCTGGTCGCCGGCGGCGGAGGGCAGCTCGCCAAAGGTACCCTGCATGGAGGGTGAGGGGAGGAGGGAGGGAGAGGGGTCAGAGAGATATAAAACCACAGGTTAGGGCAAACAATAGGGGAGTGAGGGAGGGGGGGGGGGAGAAGACCCAATGTGTTGCATGAGACCAAGTCGGCAGCGGTGGGGCAGCGGAGTGAGGGAGGGCGGACAAGGTTCTCTCACTGTGCACTGCACCCCCCTCCTTCCCCATGCTCCTCCCTGCTCCACACGACCCTGCACTCCACCCCCACCTCCATCTCGTCCTTCACCCGCCCCCGTTGCTGCCATACACCATACCCCCACCTCCACCCCCCTCCCCCCTGCTGCTGCCGTACACCCCACCTGCAGTACATTCTGACTCAGCGCCAGCACCCCATTCAGCGGGTTCTTCATGTCATGCGCGATGTCGGAGCTGTGCTCGCGCAGCGCCTCGATCAGCTCAAGAAGCGCGCCCGCGGTTGCGGTGGCAGCTGCTGCAGAGCTGCAGGGGTCGGAGGCGGGAGGGGGAGCGGGGGCGGGGGCGGGTACCTCCACCCTGACCTCCACAGGTACCTCCTGCGGGGGATGCAAGGGAGGGAGGGGGCGAAGGAGGGAGGTGTGGGGGGTAGGACGGGTGTAGAGCGCGGGCGCGAGCACACCTGCCTTGACCCCACCTCGTTGCACATCCCACACACCTCCACCACCCGGCCCCCCCTCCTCCCACCACCCGGCCCCCCCTCCTCCCACCGCACTGCCAACATAGCAATCCCCCCTCCACCGCTTCTACCCCTTCTGCTGCCATGGTAGGCACCGCCCCACACCCACCTTGACCACCGTGACGGGCCCTAACTCGCACTGCACCCCGCTCTCCTGGGTGCATGCGGCCACGGCCACGGCAGCAGCAGGGGCGGGAGGAGCGGGAGCTGCAGCACCAGCGGGAGTAGCGCTGGTACAGGTGCAGGTGGAAGTGGAGGCGGTGGCGGGTGTCACCTGGCAGGCCTGCGGCGGAGCAGCAGCAGCAGCAACAGCAGCAGCAACAGCGGGGCACGGTTTCACACATACGTTTTTGGCGGGGACATCATCTTCCGACACTTCAGTACGTTCCTACTCGCGGCTCCTTTTCCTGACACAAACCCTAGCACACATGTGGCACATCACAGCCGCACAACCCGCGTCCCAGTTGCGACCAACTGCCACCACCCACTACCCGTATACGCAGCCTCCTGCGGCCTCTGCCCCCCCCCCCTGCTGTCCCCCCCCAAGACACTTTCCTTTTTGGTTTTCCTATGGTTTTAATTTGTCCAAAAATTGACCCCCCAAGACTCACCACCGTCAACATGAGCGGCCGCCTGGGCGGTGATCCCTGCCTGCTCCCTCCTCCTCCTCCCGCCCCCATTCCCTCCCCGCCTCCTGCCACCCCTCCTCCTCCCTCCGCCGCTCCCCCCTCCCCTCCTCCTCCTCCCCCTCCTCCTCCCCCTCCCCCTGCCGCTCCCCCCTCCCTGGCCCCCCGGAATGTGGTTCGCGCCATGTACAGCAGCTGCAGCAGCGCCAGGTCGCCCCGCCAGCCCTCGTCGCTGCTACTGCTGCTGTGCTCGGAATCTGGAGGGGGATCCAGGGGGAGGTGAGGTGAGAGGGGAGGTGAGGGAAAGGTGTGGGTAGAGTTGGAGGCAGCAGTGGGGGGGGGGGGCAGAGCGGGGGAGGGGCGCGAGGAGACGCGGGGAGGTGGAAAGATACCCAGCTCGCACTCCCTGCATCCCACCTTCCAATCAAAGTCCCCTCCCCCAAGGGCCCCACCCCCCTAACCAAAGCCCCCTCCCAAAGCTCTGTAATCCCCCAAGCTCCCACCCCCCTCCCCCAAGCTCCCACCCAGCCACGCCCCCACCCACCCTCGGTGATGCGGTAGAGGTCCCCCACCTCCAACAGACGCGAGTGGAAGTGGGACATCTGGGGAGGAGGGGAGGTGGGGTGGTGGGGAAGAAGGAAGAGACGAGGAGGTGTGGAGGTGGGGGCACATTCCGTTGGGACGCGGGGGGCGGGTCGGGCGGGGGCCATGTGCAGGCTGTCGGCGACTGGCAGCAGCTGCACGGATGAACTCTGCCCCCCTCCTTCCCCTTGCATGCTCTGCCCCCCTCCTTCCCCTTGCATGCTCTGCAAAAGCGGGTCGTGTAGCATGCAAGCACCCCTATACACACAAGCGCCTGTGGGTGTACTAGTGCCGTTGCTGCTGTCGGGGTCTGAACTGCCTAATGCCGCATGTCGGACTTCAACGTTGGTCCTATATTTGCTGTCCCGCCGCGTCCACCACACCATGCAAGATACACATGGACCACCCGCCTCCAAACGCCGGGGGGTTGCGGAAACCTTTCCCCCATCCGCTTGCGTTCTTCCCCGAAAACAACACCGGCATACCCGTACGTACGTACGTACGTACAGAACGGACGTACCGTCATGCCAGAGTCCGAGTCGCTGTCCGCTCCCCCGCCACCCCAGGCAGCACTCAGCGACAACCGCCTGCCGACTAGCGGCGAGGAGGAGGGGGGCGCCGATGAGGGGAAGGGGGAGGAGGCGAGGGAGGGAGGCCACCAGGGGAAGGGGCCACTGCCGCCACCACCACAGCTGGCACGTGCCTGTACGGCATGGGAGGTGTACGGCGGCCGTATGGCAGAACAATTAGGCGGCCACGTAAGAGGAGCGCGAAACTGACCCACGGGTCCGCCCAATGTCCCTCCCACATTCCCCTCATCTGACCCACGGGTCCGTCCCCATCCCCCACTTGGCCCACCACGAATGCTCGGTCTGCCTCCGCTCCCCCATACTACCTCTCCCACACACTGACGTGGCTCAGTTTGTCCAACCCCCCCTACCTGACCCACAGATCTTCAGTTTCCTACCGGTATTTTCACCCACCTGACCCACGGGTCCGCCCCACTCCTCAAATCCCAAGCTGGGCGCCCTCCTCAGCAGGCTGCGTCGCGACACCAGCATGCACGCCGCGTAGCGCAGCAGCCCGTAGTACATGCAGAGCGCCAGGGGCAGCCCGTACAGCGCGAAGGCTGTGGTGAGGGACCAGAGGGCGGAGCAGGAGAGGACGGCTGCGGCAGCGGGAGGGGGGGAGGGGGAGGGAAGGGATGTGGCAGGAGGGGGGAGGGAGGGAAGGGGGTTAAAACCAGACCTACTAAATGATGACTAAGCAAAGCAAACCCGTCCAACCCCGGCTGCTGCTGCTGCCCCCCCCCCGCACACCCAAAGCGCAGCACGTCGCCCCCGGCCTCACCTGCCCCCGAGCTGTCCGACAGCTGGACGCCCCACCCGCCCCCCGCTGCTGCGCCCACCGCAGCTGCTGAGATGGCCTGCATGTACGGCGTAAGATTGGGGGTGCGGGATTGTGACAGGTGTACGGCAGTGACCGTAGAACTGTGTCGTACAGGGTGGTCTGGAAGGGGATAGTGCCGGGAGGGTGGGTCAGAGAGGATGGAGGCATGCGGGAGGGGGCGAGGACGGGGATCCGCCGTACATGATCGTCGGCTCATCCGTACATGATCATCGTGGAATAAACTCTGGTTACACATCTGGTTCCCCTCCTCTTCCCAGTACGGCATTTCGTACAGTCATGTCGTACACGCCCACTGCAGTACTCGCCTGCAGTATCTTCCCCGCCACCACACCCGCCACCAGCGCCTCCATGGGCGCCGGCAGCAGCGTCTGCGGACCCAGCGACAAGGGCGCAGTGTTGTTGGCAGTAGTAGCTGCAGCCGTGGCAGAGCTACTGCCCGTGCCAGTTCCACCACCGCCTTTACCGCCGCCTCCTTCACTTCCATCACCCTCGCGGCCGCTAGCGGCTGCACGTTGCTGCTGCTGCTGCATCTGCCTGCCGCCACCACCACCGCTGTTTCTGTTTGTGCTGCTTGAAGCAGGGGGCTGTGGCTGTGCGCTGGCCATGGCGGCATTTGAGGGCTTGCCGGCATTCCTGCGCTGCGCTGCCGTCAGCGGCAGCAACACCAGTGCAAGTGTTGTCGTGGATATGATGCCCAAGCTGGCATGGACTGTGGAGGAGGGGGGGGGGGAGAAGAAGGTATTGAATGCGCATAGAGCGAGGTTGGGGCCTTGGAGCACCCGCGTGGGTAATTGCAAGCCCATTTGTTGGGAATGGGTCAATGGCCACAAAGCGCTCACCAAGCGGCATATCCAAAGCCAGCAGCATCGCGAGTCCGATTATGGCTAGAGCAGCTTCTACGACAGCGCATCGAAGAAGCTTTTGTGCTGTTGGCGCGCCGCTGCCTGGAGGTAATGTCCCCAGCAATTGAGCTAGCAGCCACCATAATAATGGCGCGCTGCATAACCACTGCATATATGCGTAGACGCCGCTGTAAGGGAGCGGGTACGAGGAGGATAACGGAGTTAGACAGCGTGCAAAGAAAGGGGCGATGACGTCTGGGTTGACTAAAGCTGCGGCTTGTCACCTTGTGCACAGCCGCGCTTAACCTCATTGTTTTATTCTTTGCACTTTGATGCAAATCTTGTTGCTTTCGGAGTCAAAGAAACCCCGAAGGGAAGCGGGACAGCGACTAACAGTAAACTGGAGAATACCAGCACAAAAGCCAGCAAACATATTGCGCACAGACAGGACTTGGCAATGACCAGCTCTCGCACGCATTACAACCCAAAGCAGCCAAGACATGCACACGTGTACCCCCGGCTCCTGACCTAGGTAGCAGCAGTTGAAGCAAGCCCAATAAATGCAGCGCAAGTAAAGCGCATGATAGGCGAGGTGTGTTATCATTTCCAGGATCCTGGGTACGCCTGCGCAAAGAATTGCGCGTTCAGCGCATAGCGCGACTCAAGTCGCCATACTTTGCGCAGCTGCGCAGCACTTTATAAAGCATCAACTTCTATTGGAGCAAGCTATTGTCCTTACAGTAGAAGCGTGACGAAGATGTTCAGCGTCGAGCTGGCCACGAAAGCTCCCGGGTACCACATCTATAGCTAACCAGCAAAGCTAGATAAAACTGTACTAGACTGTGCTCATCCGGGTTCGATGGTCACTGCTGGCAATACAAGCGAGTTGTTCCCAAGCAGTGCTGCAGCGCTAAGTCTCCAGTGCACAGTTCCAACAGTAACCAAAAGAGATGCGGATGAATTAAGGTTGAGTTCAAAGACGTGCTTGCATTTCCTAAATTTTATCCGGAGGGCCACAGCACGGTCCGGGCTGTTAACAAGAAGCGAGCAGGAACTATTTACTAATTGTAGTGTTCATAGCTCTATCATCTGCGCCTGTATGCTTCGGTCGGCAAGCTTGTGCCAGGCGGCTTTTGCGTGTGCGGTACGAAAAAAGTACAACATGTCGATAGGTATGGTTGCGCATTGATGCCTGGAAAGTAGCCGCATTGTCCAATTTCAACAGGGGCCAATCATTAGCGACTACTTAGGGGCACAGCGCTTGCCTGGTCATCTGTATGGCTTGATGACGCACTAGCCGGGTCCAGAGCTTCTCCTTACCCTGGCTCACACTAGGCTGTCCACATAAGAAGAGCGGATGCGTAGAGCAACAGTATTCACGGTTACTGTTACTCGTGGATATGGGATCTTAACAATAGTCTTCGGCAAAACTGTTAGTTGCGTTAGCACTTTTCAGCGCCTAACAGTATGCCTAATCTTGCACCGGCCACCATTTAAATCGCCATCTTACAACACGCTGTGCTGCCCCAAGTATTGATGAAATTAGACACCCATCACGAAGCCTCAATACCGGTTATCCACGTCACTCAACATGCACGGCTGTGCGCTGTCAACTCCATAATAAGCTGCCTCACAGTCTTTGTATATCCGCTGACAGCCAAGCGTATATAATAACTATGTTATTATATTGCCAGCGCACCAAACTTGACGTCCTTGTTGTTGCCCTCTAGTGACCGAGGCATCGCCATTTTTTGTTTTCGTCCCGACTCTCTGCTGTTACGACTCTCTGCTGTTACAACGCTTCATAACATTGTACAAATACACTTCTTTCCATGCTTACTGTAGTCGCAGTGTCCGTTTGCCGGACCGCTGGGAACAGATGTCTAGTAGATTGAGGTTATCCTGGAATGATTTTCGAGACGGACAATTGCCCTGGAGTGTACATACAATTATTGGTACGTTTGGTGCATGGCCGCACCCAGCGCAACCAACAAGTAGCCTCCTAGCATCTGTAGTATCCTGTCTGTACAGCCACCCATCATGCGTACAATCTGGTTAGAACCCACGAATGCGTGGCGTGAGCTGATCCTGACCGTGATGACTTGCGGGTTGGGGAAGCTGGACTTCTAACTGACCCAAGGGACGTCAAGGCTTAACTTTGAGTACCGGTACGGAGTTGTTGAGGGTCGCTGCAGGGACCCAGCCATGCATCTGGAGGTGCTGTGCCCCCAAACATGAGGGCCATGGCTCACTAGAACGGGCATGCATCCTGATGCCGCCTTGACCAACGGAACCTCTGTTGGGGGTATGAAGTCGAGTATTTCCAAGCTGTGAATGCTAAAAACACAATGCGCCATTGTATGAGTTGCTGCGTCAATATGCACAGTTCATATGCCACTGTACGCCAATCTTCCCAGCCCAGCTAGCAACCGGTATGCTATTGGCCCCATGAGCCCCTGTTCCCTGCCATCATCAGGAGGGTGATCTGGGGTGTGTTGTTGTACGGCAGCACAGTACGGCATGGGTTATGACACGTTATGACATGGGCCTCCACGATGTAATAATCGCATTCTCCACGCTCCCTTTTCACCTCAACACCCCCTCAACAATCTAGCTCCCCTGATTTTTTTCACTTCCGCATCACCTCCCCAGATTAGTCCTAATCGTCCTTTGTGGACCAGGAACCAGGAAACTAATACCCTATCGACCCATACAAATGGTAGCGTGAAGCAGGGTTCAAACCACCATTATTATCCCACAAAGCGCACAAAACACTACATAGGATTGAACCACTACTTTCACTAGGAATGTTGCGCCGCTTGGTGTCGCGTCATATTATTTGCAGATAGTTCGCAGTGCCCTATCGATTCCAAAGTGCGTCACGGGTCATTCCTTCCGATGCTTCCCTCCCCTCCCATTGCCTCAATCGTAGTCACACATGCCGGGCGGTGGGTGGCATCTACAAGGCGCAAACAAACCCGTTTTGCTACACGTCGGTCGCAATGACAACAACGACACCCTTCCACCTTAATGAGGTGGGATATACCACAACTGCCAACATACCTACTAACCCACAGTCACAAAACCCCAATCACGGTTGAATCACAGCTTCAGTGCTCTTCCTCCCATCGCGGACTCACAACGCCATGCATGGCCTCTGCCAAGTTCCGGACAATGCACTACACAACCAAGCGACAATCATGTGCGGGGTGGGTGGTTTCCGCGGCTCAGTTTATCTAATCCCCCACCGCAATCCCTTGACGCCTTATCCCTCAGTCAGTTAGTTGTTTCCTCCTTACCCACCGCAATCCATCCACACTTCCAATTATAGGCCCCCTTATACACCCCACGTGCAAGCATCGTTCTCCTCTTCACTTGACACCGCTGGATCGCATTTAATGCTGCTGCCGCTGCCACCGTTACCGCTGCTGGCACTGCTGCTGCTGCCGCCCGGCCTGCCGCTCTTACTCCCGGAGACTGCCGACCCTGCCGCCCCACCACCAGACGACCTTGCGGCCCCAGCCACCACTGAACCCACCGCGCCTGCCGCCTTCCGTACCCCCTGCGACGCACTCGCCACAAGAGCAGCAGCCCCCTGGCCGCCCTTGCCTGCCGCCACAGACGCAACAGCCCCAGTGGCAGCCGTTACGGCGCCAGTGGCGGCGGAAACCGCGCCGCTGGCAGCCGCCGTTACCGCACTCTTGCCTGCAGCCACCACACCCTTGCTGGCTGCTGCTGTGGACGCCACGGCACTGACGGCGCCCTTTGCGACCGTTACGGCGCCCGAGGCCGCGGACAGTGCGCTCTTGCCCGCGGCCACCACTCCCTTGCCTGCTGCTGCTGTGGACGCCACAGCACCTGTGGCTGCGGTGACCACTCCTGCTGCAGCCGTTACAGCGCCCTTGCCTGCCGCAACCACGCCCTTACCAACACCAGCCGAGGCGACAACGCTCGTTGCAGCCGTTACGGCCCCCGTAGCCACAGTTACCGCGCTCTTGCCTGCCGCAACCACGCCTTTGCCCGCAGCTGCTGCGGTAGGTGCCACAACGCCTGTGGCAGCCGTAACAACGCCCGTGGCGGCGTTGACCGCCCCCTTCGCGACTGTTACGGCGCCCTTGCCCACCACTGCCGAGACACCCTTCCCTACGGCTGCCGTCGACGCTACTGCGCCCGTGGCTGAGGCTACAGCACCTGAGGCGGCTGATACGACTCCTGAAGCGGCGGCCGTTACGGCGCTCTTACCGGCTGCGAGGACGCCCTTAGCAGGGCCCTTTGCGGCAGCGGCTGCTGCTGCGGCGGCTGCTTCTGCCGCTGCTTCCGCAGCTGCCGCGGCGGCAGCCTTGCTTGCAGCCATGTCCTTCAGCCCCTGTGGAACCGCACCTGAAACCGTTGTTGGGCTTCTCTTGGGCATGGCAGTACCGTTGGTGCCGTTAACCGCACTGCTGGTGTAGCCGTTACTGCTGGCGTTGCCGTTTCGGTCGCTGCTGGCGTTGCTGGTGCCGTACAATGTCCCGGCCGGTCCCATGGCGGCCTCCGGAAGGTCGTGGAGAAGGTAATCTTCTTCGTGATCTGTTTCGTCGCCGCCGCCCTCAGCTGCCATAAGGTACGGCATATGTACGGCAGAGTCTGCCGCAGTATCCTTGCTGCCGTACTGTCGGCCATTAGGTGATGCTGACAACTGTACGACAGGGCTCCCCTCGCGGTTGCTAGCAGCGGAAGCTGTGCTGCTGCCGGTGCTTGGGCGAGAAGTAACAGGGGTGGTGGATGCAGCAGGGGCAAATGCCGTGCGGGCATTGCTAGCCGTAGGTGCAGATGTGGGGCGGTTCAAGCCCCCGAGTGGCGTAGTGTTTCTGATAGATGCAGACCGGGTGGTTGGAGCCGCCTTGGAGGTAAAGGGCGTCGCGACGATTGCCATTCCGTCGCCTTCGTCAGCGTCGCTTTCGATGGTAAGGCCAACGGAAGGCAGCAGAGGCAACGGCCGCAGACCATGCGCCTCAGGCACTGACTCTGTTGCGTGGCTTCTGGTCAAGAGAAGACCGCGGCGTGGGGTCCATTGGTCGCCCTGGGAAGGAAAGGGGTCAGGCGGTGATGAGGGAGGTCTAAGGAAGGTTGCCCAGCTTTTTGCCCTGTAGATTGCAAGCGAGGCGACAAGCAAGGAGATACCGAGTTCCATGTTCAATTCGTGCAAACGAAATAATGTTCCGGAGTTTGCATTATAACGTTTCGCAATTGGTGTCCCGCCCTTCAACGAGTGCGAGAAGGTCGATATGTATGCATGCCTAGTCAGCAAGGGCGAGCATAACAGACCGACCCAAATGCGCCTTGTGAGCTGCTAGTGACACATGCTACTAAATGGAATGAACTGGCCTTGCATGGATGAACGAGGCTCTGGAGCTGCGGCAGCATTCAGGTGTGCAACCCGAGCACAGAACCGTTGCATGGTAGGATTCATACCTTCCAGACTTGTATCGCAGACGGAGGGAATGGCGTTGGCGAGAAGGTAATCTGCCAGCTACTCTGCGGCTGCTTTACTCGCCTCCTAACAGGGTGGCCAGGTTGCGTCGCCACAAAGCCGGCAGGCGCTGCGTGATTTCCACAAAGGCTTTCATGGCTTTTGTACGCTACAAAAGCCATGGCGTGCTCAAGACTCTGTCCTGTCGCTTCGTGAAAGGCGTCTGTTGTTTAATGGCGTCCAGCAACAGGGACGTGATAGCTACAGCTCCAAATTAACAACACAGATTGTGCAATGGTGTAATACCTATGTGGGTCACAGCGCATGCATCTTTGTAGGTATCTATTGCCACGTAGACGCAAACGGAAAACGGCTGGGCGCCGTACTCGATAGAATGCCCCAAACCCGTTCCCACGAGGCAGATATCGGCTGCTCTGCCATCCCATACGTATGCATTTGTCAAGTAGCCTTTTCTAATCAACCGACTAAGCATCAAATCTTGTGCTTGCACAGTGCATCGCCGCTCAAGTAGCCTTTACCTGAGGTTTCGTGACAACATTTGCCCTATCTTCCCTATTGTGATTGCAAAATCATAACTTGCCATCAATCTTAGTGGCGCCCTATTACTAGGGAGTCGTTCGAGGCGAAAGCAAAGCTCGATGCCCTGGATTCAATAATGCAAACGACACAGAAAACCTCGTGGTCTGGTGCTTGGGCGTCCTACGGCCACCACACGGCCAGGCGTTGCCGCTCGTTTGCAGCAAAGGTCGGCCCATGAACGAAAGCTTGCGAACAGTGGTAAAAGCCATACTGATCACATCCTGAGCAAAACTCATCTTGATCCGTTACTTTTCGCTTGCTGTGGGTTGACCAAGCGTTCATGGTCACGTACAGCAAGCTCAACCACCTTACCAGATGCAATGGATGTGCATGCTTAAGTATAATGTGCCTGTTACGTGTATGCCGTGCGTGCAGGCCACTCCCACGCCGGCAGCGACCACGAACGCGCGCGACATGAGCTCGGCATTGTCTCTTGCAAACATTCGCAGCTCCTTGATTCGCCAAGAGGATACAATTATCTTCAGCTTCATCGAGCGCGCACAATTCTGTCGAAACTTGCCGGTCTACACGCCCGACGCTATTCCCGTGCCTGGTGCGTCATGGCAGCATGTGCCACTATACCCACGGCTAGGGTAGCCCTATCGGCACACAATGCACATGGACCGCCGCTAGTTGGGCTGAGGCCATGGAATCTTTACTGGTGTACAAAAAACGTCGGTGGGATACAGAAAATCAAATGGAATGCCAGGAACGCATGCGTACACCCCCTCCCCCAGTTGTGTTGACACTCCGTCCCACCTCATCCCAGGCTTCGACCGCAGCGGGCGGCGCTACTCGCTGCTGGAGTACGTGCTGCGGGAGACGGAGCGGCTGCACGGCAGTGTACGGCGCTACACCTCGCCGGATGAGCATGCCTTCTTTCCAGGTGGGTGTAACCATTCAACCCAACTCAGGCGGCTGTGCAATCCGGTCTAGCACCTCTCCGGTCACGAGCACGACAACGATGCGGGCAAAGGAAGGCACGGGTCTTGGCCAGCACCGGTGGTTCAAAGCCCAGCACTCCCTCCCCTACCCTCCTCACCCAACCCCTCCGCCGCTGCCCCACCCCCCACCCCCACCCCCCAGACGACCTCCCCCCGCTGGTCCTGCCGCCCATCTCCTACGCCTCCCCGCTGCACCCGGTGGCTGAGGCGCTCAACATCAACGACACCATCCTGCGGGTCTACCTGGAGGACATACTGCCGGGTAGGGGGGGGGGCTAGGGGCTAGGGGGGGGGCTGGGCGGTAAGTATAAGTTTGGTATCCGGTGTTTTACCCCCCCCTCTCTCCCGCGCCCCATGTGCGGCTGTGACCCCTGCAGGTCTGACCGCCCCGGGGGATGACTTCAACTACGGCAGCTCTGCAACCCTGGATGTGCCCTGCCTGCAGGTGGGCGGGTGGGCGGTTGTGATGGGCGTGGGGAGCGGGGAAGGCGTGGGGGCAGAGGTGGGGCGGATGGGGCGGACGGACCCGCACCCCCACCCCACCCGCGTTTGTCATGTGTGCGGCCCGCGTACGGCCAGTGATCCAACAGCGTGTGTAACCTAAGACGTGGCTGCCCGCGGATCTTGTATGTGGTCATGTCATACTCGCACGCATGCAGGCAGGCAGGCAGGCAGGCACATCCACGCACACGTCGCCGTACCTGCTTCCGCCCCACTTCTCCCTGTCCCCCTCCACACCTCAATCCCGCACCTCACCTCCCCCTCCCACCCCGCATGCTGCCAGGCGCTGTCCAAGCGGATACACTACGGCAAGTTCGTGGCGGAGGCGAAATTCCTGTGAGTGCAGATGGGGTGGGTGGGTGGTGGGGAGGTGCGAGGAGGTGGGGGTGGGGGTGAGCGTGCGCGCATTGGGGCAGGGGGTGATGGTAGGGGGTGGGGGTTGCAGGCTTGTGGCTGCGCACATACCCGTACGCTCCCTTCCTTATGCGCATCTTCACCCCTTCGCTGCCCTTATTACCCACTCTCCTCACCACGTGCACAATATCCCTTATCCCTCCCCCTCCCCCTCTTCTTTTTTTCCCCCTCCCCCTCTTCTTTTTTTCCCCCTCCCCCTCCCTCCCTTTCCCTGCCCTCAGCGCCAAGCCCGAGCAGTACAGTGCGCTCATCCGCGGGGGCGACGCGGAGGGCATCATGCAGCTGCTCACCGACAAGTACGGCAAGCAGAACGGGGCTGGGGTGGCTTGGTGATGATGACGCGTTTCCTTTCCCTCCGGGTTTGGTCCTGCTTCCCCTTTCGCTTCCATACTCTGCCTAGCCTCCATATCCCCATTTGGGGTTACTACACCCTGTGTACATCCCTTTAACCCTAACCTCCTAACCCCAACCTCCTCGCAGGGAGGTCGAGCGGCGAGTGGTGGAGCGCGTCCGTCGCAAGGCCGCCACATTCGGGCAGGACATCACCGAGAACGGTGCAGCAACAGCGGCCGCTGCAGGCAGCAACAGCAACAACGGCAGCGGCAGCAGCAGCGGCAACAGTAACAGTAGCACGGATGGTGCGGGCGGCTCCAGCTCCAACACCAGCACCAGCAGCTCCCCGCGCCTCAAGGTGTCGCCCGATTTGGTTGCGCGGGTGTACGAGCAGATCGTGATGCCGCTGACCAAGGAGGTGGAGGTGGCGTACCTGCTGAGGAGGCTGGAGGGAGAGGAGGGTGCAGCAGGGGGGGTGGGGCGGGAGGCGGGGGCGGTGGGGGCGCAGCAGCAGCAGGCAGCGCCCGCTCGGTGAGAGGTGGTGTGGGGGAACAAAGCAAGCGTGCGATGACGAGGCTCAGCCTTGTGAGTGGGGTGGAGGGTCGTAGCGGTGCAAGGTGTAGCAGGAGGAGGGAGGAAGGAAGGAGCAGGGGAAAGGGGAGGGGATGCAGAGCGTGGGTCGTGTGTGGATACGGCGCCGGATGGGGTCGCCCTTGCTTGCTTGCTTGCTTAGGCAGAGGGGCGGAGAGGGGGCGGGGTTTGGCTGCGGGTTGGCGAGAGGGCGGATGATAGTAGTGGTGGTGGTGGAGGTCTTGTGGGGATTGGGGTAGGCTTCCTCTGGTGTATACCTTTGGGTTACCTTCGGAAAAAAATGTCCATTTGAGGTGGCGCGTGAGAGGGATGGGGAGGAGTGTTAGCGATGAAAGAAAAGAGGGATGAAGAAGTGGTGGGGGTTTGCGCGAATGCTAAAGCTTCGGAAGTCGTAGGGCAACATTACGGACGTACCTTGCGCATCGATTGGGTTACCGGTTCTTCAGTAATGCGATAACAGTAATGACAGCGCGTCTCTGCTGCTGCTGCTGCCGCTGCTGCTGTGGCGGCGGTTTTGGTGCTTACATTGGCTAGCCGTCCCTAGCCCTCGTCGATTTTGTGAAGCGTTAACGACGGACAGATTACCTTGAGTGATCGGAATTTTTGCAGGGGGGGCATAAGATGATTCCACCAATTTCAGCAACCTGGTATCCGCTGTAAGGACACGTGTTTTTTCTGTAAGGACACGTGTTTTAAATCGTTGACCCATGGCTCATGTTCGCCTGTCAAACAGCGCACAATGTAAAATCGGCTGTGGTTCCTGGGAATAGAAATAGCGTGTTGCCAAGTGCGCCCAACGCTGCTGAACATTGTGATGGGACGCTTTTGGTAACCCACTGCCTGACCGAATGCAGGGAACAGGTAGATGCACAAACAGCATACCGTACCTATACAATATCATCCGTGCAAAAATAAATAAATATTTGGAGGTGGTAATGGCGAAGCTGTGGTGCCTTAGGCAGGCAGCGCGACGGCACAGAATGGTTCTTTGAAGTTTGTCATGTTACTGGCATCGACAATGCGCAGCTTGCATTCACAACACGACAACATTTTATACCTGTTTGAAAACTAACACATCTACAGCCTAAACAAATTAGACAATAAAATTTAGCTCGCCTAGCATTTAGCCTTCGGAATGCTGTACATCAGCTCGCTTAGTGCGGATACTCGGGACCGGGGTACCATTACAGAAGTGTCACCCTCATTACTGACAAAACAATAATATCAACTATGTTTAGTATAGTTATAACCACAAAATCGAATAAATATCTATACAGGTCTTCCACGCTGAATACCGGTAATATCATTGGTCGCAGCAGATCGAACTTAAAAAGCAAGGCTTAAAGTACGACGGAGTTGTGTTGTGTGGGTGCGTTGGCACCGTGCAATTCTTTATATGGCAGATATGTAGGTTAATGCTGCTGTGTATGCCGTACACTGCACAGGTGTTCCAGGCAACGCCGTCGTAAAATGAAATTTAAACTCTTTCATACAGCCGTCTGCAATTTCTCCGGGTACCAGACCAGGTTATATGGCTATGCATGGCTTGTAATTAATATTTAGCTGTCAGCGGTAAATACAATTCATGCAGTGCCATTTCGTAGAACCCAAAGTATACAACATTTGGGCGAGGGCTTACATAGTTTTGTTTCCGTCTCAATAGTAGCCATCGGAATATCTGTTCTCATCTGGCTGTCCATATGAAAACGTCATACATTCGCAGAAGGGGCCACAGAGCTCAATCCCACCACTTAATCGACTGCCACCCGCATAATAGCTCCTTCAAGTGAAACATTTGCAATACACAACGTGCAAATGGGAAATTACGAACCACGTGGCTGCCTGTCAAATCCAGATTTTATACGCATTTTCAGACGAGCTGATGACAAGCAAAATGCGTCGAACGCTAGCTTATGCTAGCTTATCCACGCCTCTGCCTGCACTTTTCGAACACAAGAAGCCGACCTGTGCACATGATGAGGTATTTTATGATGTTTACCGTGTATTGCAAAATGCCCAATGCATTTGGGAAACGCTTCATCACCCTCTCCATTGCTCTGGCTGCGGCAAAACCCACCCAAACCCTTTTATGTGAAATACCGTACAAACCTCCGTAAGGCTGCTTCCACCAAAAGCGGAAGCAGAAACACCATATGAGATTTGAAATGTCAAAATCAGGAAAACAAATAGGGTGCAGTTAGTCGCTTAAACGATGCGAAACCAAATGCAACCGTAACCCTCGAAGTGCATGCGGCCATGCAAGGATAATGTGAATTAAGTCATTAATGGGAACCAATTTGCCAAACGGTTGGATGTACCGGCACTCCAGCCGTGGCGAATTCGGTCCTGGAAGCTACTTTAGCTGCATAATAGCCACGCAAATACTATAGCCAAGACCCCGACAACTGCACAATCAGATAGACCTCAGTGGAAAATTAAGTCAGGCGCCGAACGAACCTGCCTCTTCCATACCACCTCCAGTTGCTTCCACATGCTCTCGCAAACCGCCTCCGTATATCGGATTCAGAGATGGTCCTGTTGGTGCTAGCTCTAATAAGCTGGGAGGGAGAACACGCCTGTTACCTTACCAGGTCCCCTGCCCCCCACATGTGATTGCCCTTACTAGGAAAGGAAAACACTTGTGCAGCTCCTAACGAAGTGCATCGGCTCCCAACCATCAGCGCCTCACAGAGTCCACACCCGTCCGCCACCTTATCATGCCGATAGGGCTGCATTCTCACGTGCCTTCCACTCCTCCGCCTAAGCACACATTATTACAGTGGGCAAAAGCAAGCAAACCTCGCCTTTGCTGCGATCGTCGTCACCCAAGAACGCTGAGGCACCTAGCGTCCTGCAACACCCCCTAACAGGTTTTTCCAATGTCATATCATGCTCACCCGCACAGCTCGCATTTCTCTGCATTCACATGTGGTTGAGGCCAAAGCTCACGTAACACACCGTTGGTGGTGAATGAGCCCCCAACACACGAGGGGGCGTGCAAACTTAGACAACCCATGCTTGGACACGAAGGTCGGCTGTACTACTGCGTTCTGCTAGAAGCTGATGACAAGGAACGGTAGGACTTGACCTGCGGGTTAGAGGGATGCAGTTTCTTTCAGAATGCAAGGAGCTGGTAGAGGAGGAGGAGGAGGTGATTAGGGGGCAAGTAGCATCTAGTGGGGGCAGCTTTCCATACGACTGTTCAGCAGTGAATTAACATTACCTATGGGTTGCGGCATCTTACCTTGTTGAGGATTGCGTCCATGCCGCCACCCAGGCGTGTACCAAGCACCACCACGGCCGCCTTGGAAGCAGCCACACCGCTCTTCCGCATGAAGAAAATCCTGTCATGAAAGGAAGGTTAAATAGCTCAAAACATACCAACGTTGGGTGTCTATTGCACGGGAACGCAGCGTTTCAGTTCCGCGGCTCTTTTATTACCACACGCGCGCACGCATGCACGCATACGCACCACCCACCTCTCGACCGCAGCGCCCAGGCCCCTCCCACTTCTCCAGGGGCGCGGTTCCTCCACCATCGCTGACATGACAGACTTGCGAGCCTGTGAAGATTGACAAAATGAGCAAAGAAGCGAAGAAGCGAGTGGAGCACACGAACATTTAGACGGATGCAGGATAGATCGTTCGATGGTGCACGTAGGGATGAAAGTCCAACAGATGAGGACGAGATGCGGGCTTTATTTTTCTTATTTTGGTTTCCCATTTTTCATGCATGAATGCTAGGATACACTACTCCACTACTGTCCTAACGGCTTCTGCTGCATACAACTTACCTCGGCGTAATTCAGCGACTTCCGGGTCTTGGAATCCAAGGTGTCGAGACCCGACCCAATTAGCAGACCGTACCAGTAAGCCTGAAGATTTATTGAGGGGTGAAAGTGTCAATCAAGCAAGCGAGTTGTAGTTGTTTTTCGCGCTAGAGGAGAAGACCGTTGTGGTTTAAACACCGCATGTATGGCGTAGTGTGGCCCGATGGGGTGTTCCACAATGAACTAGGAATAGAAGGGGGACATCGGATATGGCGATATCCAAAGCGTTGCCAGGACGCTATAGGAAACGACATGAGAAATGGTTGTGATGCTGGAGAAACAGAGATAGCCTATACATCTACGCGGAGGCCATGTTGCTCGACGCGATATGTGCCCATTAAACCTGCATAACAACGCTGAAAGGTAACACAGCCCAAGAACTGAGTCTGCAAGGTAGCGAGAGAAGTCTCCCGCAAGCTAAAGCCTATCCCACCTTGAGAATGCCCCAAATAAATGCGACAATGGTCACCGCATTAATGGCCACGATGGCTAGGGAGATGGTAACACGCGGCACCCTGTTGTTCACGCTTCTGCGCGGCAGCAACAGCGGCAGGAACAGCAAAGGCTCACAGACCAAACAGTAGATGCTGCATGAAGAGGTACAGCAGGTTGCAGAGGCAGGTGCTTCGTTGCTTATGGCAACCTTCCACACCTCACATACACGTCGAGAAATGACAAGTACGCACTCTTCCATCCGCAGCCAGTCCACATACCCCACCCGAAATGCCACTCACATCTGCGTCAGGTAAAGCAGTAGGTAGACGGTGGCGATGAGCGAGCACAGCGACACCTGTGCCATCAGCCCCGCGAACATGCTGCGATAGGGCTGCGCCAGAAGGTGGGCGACCTATGATGAAAAGGGGGGTGGTGGGTTGCTGAGGAGAGGATGGGTGGGAGGGAGTAAAGGGGTAAAGGCTATTTCATACTGGGCTGGGGGTTAAGTGAAGTGCGTATCAGGCAGTAATAGCCAGGTGGGTGGGCGAGGAGGTTGGGTGGGCTTCAGGACATGGCGGAGAAGGGGGCACAGGGAGGGTGAAACCAAGTGACCGTTTCGAGGAAAGCGGCGAGCTGCTAGATCATTGCGCGCCAAAGAGATAGCGGATCTTCGATAACGAGGATTCCAGTTGTAACCCAGCCCCTACATTTCATCGTCATACCGCTACTCAGGCAGGGAGGCATGCTCCCTCAGTTATTGATAGCACATCTTTTATCCACCGCAGCAAGCTGCACCTCACAGCTATACGTTTTTGTGACGGGTCCTAACCTCCTCGGTCGCCCCCTTCCCCTTGCTATCTGCAGTCTCACCGCTGCCGCCACCAGAACAGAAAGAACCATGAGCAGCTGCACCGCAGCAGAGGAAATATAGCTCACAAAGGTGACGGTAGTGGCGATAGCCAACTGGCGCAGCAGAATCACCGACTCCCACCAAATCCACCTGTTGGGGATTGTGGACGTGTAGTGGCCGTCACTCATTTTTGGACGAGGTCGCATGTAAGCGCAACAAGCAGCAAAAGACAAGAGCAAGAGCAGAAATGACATCTTGAAGGGAGGAAAGGTGTAATAATTAGTTATCTGGGAAAAAAATTACGTCTTGTCGCGGGGAAGACGTGTTGAAATGCATGAGGCCATCATTGCATGCATCTTAATACGTGCACAGCGGGCGGGCGGGCGAGGCAAAGCATATCGCAGCACACCAATTTCCGAAGTAGGATGTTTGGTAGAAGTGGAAGGGCGGCAGTACGAGCATCTTGCTTAAGCAAGCAACAAGCTTGCTCCCATGAAGTATTCACATGTTTTGTTCAAGCAATGTTTCCTTAATTTATGTAGTGTCGCTTGCCCTACCTGGGCAAATAATCAGCTGCCGTGATTTCAATAGACACGTTCCGGATGTTGCGTTTTTCGCCAGCTACCCGCCGCAGCTTTTGAATCATGATCCACGCATTGCCCACAGGCCAGCCTGCAGAGACAGAGGGAACCGAGCAAAGAGAAGTTGAGAAGAGCATGGTATTGAAGATGGCGACGGCCCAGATTTCAGCGCAACAGTGATGTCATACGAGCATGCGATAGACTAGCAATAGTGAGGAAGACGAAGGAATGTGGCCAAGTGGCGAGCTATCAGCAGTTAAGAAAACCAGCCACCCAAACAGCAAAAGGCCAATTCCATTCTGCGCGTAGGCAATTTTGAGGTGTTCCGGTGGTTTTTCCTGCATTGGGTAAATAATAATAGTTAAGGGTCATTGCAGTGCAGCATTGCGCTAGGCTAAGGAAAGAAACCTCGCCACTCCCATGACAATTTTGTTACAGGTTGCGCTCAGCTTGCCCATGCCAAAGGACCCATGCGTGAGCATGCCATCCCAAAGAAATTTAATGGGGTAGGAGAAGTCAATCATTTCCATATTTACCGATGCCAAAAAGCAGCAATCCCGGGATGCCGAGCCCCAGCACCAGCGCAAGATGGCTGCCCTTGTAGCACTTGACGCTGAAGTCCTGCTGCCAGACGCTTTCCGTACGATAGTACGGCATCTGTTAATGGATTTGAAAGTAATGAGGAGTGGGCAGATTTATTTTTAGGCATGTATGCGCGGTTTGTGTTATCAAAGGTTAACTCGCGAGGGCGCAGATTCACAGTTACAAGATGAACGGCATGCATGTCATTCAACTTTTACCTATGAAGATGAAAACAGACAACCCTGGTGATGATGGATGAATATGTGGCAGTAATGAAAGGGCCAGGCTCCGCAAGCGAAAATAAATTAAGACTACAATCTTTGCGTAATGCTGCCGCCACGCATCATTTCAAACAGTGTACGAATCATGTGTGTGTGGCATGTGCTATGCGGTTCTCGGGCGCATATGTCTGGTGCCTATGTTAATGCTCATGGCTATACATGCTGCCCTACATACTATTGTGCATAACATCTCGCCCGCGGCACAAAGTCGCAAAACCTCACATCTACCTACTCACCGCCAAGATATTGGAAGTGTCGTACGTATCGATTTGCAAGCAGTCGAAAATGGACATTAGGGCTTGGGAGACGCTGGGGTAGAAGAACAGCATCACGTTGCTGAAAGTCAACAGCAGTCGGTTGTTGCGGTTGGTGATATGCTGCATGATTAAGCCGCCGGCCGGCCGCATCGTTTGGTACCTGTTTGTGATGTACATCGGAGCCAGGGTTGGAGGGTTACAGTGCAAGTCAGTTTGTTCTCTGCTTGTTATTTTCCATTGTTGCTAATGTTTTACTACCTGACACATCCCATTTACGCATTACTGCAAGCATACATTTCGTAGCCACTGCCAACTGCCTGACCATGCGCTAGTAATGCCCTGCTTCTACAGTGCCACGCTTCTATTACCGTACAGCTTAACCCCTGCGCATACAACCTACCAGGACATGTAGTACACCCCGACGTCCCACAGCGAGAACAGCAGCATGGCTCCAATGAAGGTGTAGACGGGGGCCAGGATGGTAATGAGGATGCGTGCGGCACCTCGGGACATGACCAGTGTATCAGGCAGCGAACAGTCGAGCGAGACCAGCGTGCCTGTAGGGGTGGTGAAACGCAGTCCAGAACCCATGTCTTAAAACACTTCTGGTGCTTTCTGATTCACACGTGTGGTAATAACTAACAAACCGTGGTTGTTGCGGGCTCTTGGCTAAAAGCAAATTCAATTCAGCAGGGGCACTACCAACACTATGGGAACACCCCGCGTTCACATCTTAGTCGAAGCTGGTAAAATTGAAGGAAGAGGCAATACGAATGCGAAGTTGGAGACTCCATTAACGGACGCATGTAAGGGTTTTAGGATTTCAGGGTTTGGGGCTTTAGGACAACCGCGGCCACACCGATACTCCTCTATGACCTTTACCCGGTACCGTAATCATGAGTACTTAATGATTTGGTAACAGCGATGTGCTGCAAAATGGCTACCTGTGAAAGCCCGCGGACCATGCTATGGAACTTTAGCAATAGCAAGGATACCCCATGACTATTCCTCATGCGCTCATTCGTTCCCTTAACCTGCTTACCCGGATAGCTGGTGGCCTGAATGCAAATGCCGTAGAAGATCCTCATGAAACCCGGCAGATCCAGCGGTACGACACGCATCAGCGCCAGCACCTGAGATCCAGCGGCACTAGAAACATAGTAACTGAACAGGCGCATCTTGCAAATGGAGGAAGTAAAGGAATACGAACACATAGCTGGGAGTTCCATTAGAGGACAGCAGAAGCGACCACACGTAAAGCAGTGCGGATAAGGGAAGTGGCCATAAAGGGCAGAAGGGCATGCCATTACATGTGAGGTAGCCAGGGGAGCCCCCACTACTGAACAAATTGTGTCATAAATATAATGGGCATGCACCTAACGTAGGATGTTGCACGCCCCGCAGTAGCAGGATTGCAAGGACTGGATATAAGACCCCACTGAGGTCGTGCGGTAACCTTGTTGACTACACTAATCTATTAAGCATAAAATGACAAAGTGTAGCCCCTAAAGTCCCCTCCATTCACAGCTCCAGTTCTCCACATGTAGAACCCGGACAAGCCTGCCAGCTTTCCCAAACCCTAAGCCCAACAGCCACACAGCCCAAGGACAGCCAGACCTGGAGGTACGTGATGAAAAGCCGCAAGAGAGTGGGCAGCTGTGCCTTTGCGTGCATTTCCATGGCCTTCTGGGCGCTCGCTTGATCGCTGCTGTTGTCGTCAGGCAGCCCAACATCAGCTGACGGCATGGATGACGGCGTGCCTCCACTTGATCGTGAGAAGGAGTTTGCTGCCAGATTGATGCATGGATTGCCAAAAGAGTCAACGTCATCTCCGCCTCCTGTTGTTGTGTTGCTTCCTGCGTTGCGGTGGTGGACCGTGTTATACCCGGACGCAGTAGAATCGCTTTCGAAGACTCCGGCGGTCCCCTCACTGGCTGGAGGCCCGGGAGCGGGGTCCATGATGAGAACGACCACCTCGTTTTCCAGGAACACGGAGTGGAAGTTTGTAATGTCCGAAAACGAAGACAGCAAGTGGTCTTCCATGGCTTTCTGGCGGTTCTGTTCCTCATGCGACACTTTCATAGAGTCCTGCTTTAACTCCAACTGGCAAGTGATGAATGGTTGTGGTGCTGATGGAGAAGGCTGCAGCGATTGTTGGTGTGCGTAGTCACGCTTCATGTGCGTCAGGTATCCAGCATTAGGATCTTGTGCGGTAATGTCCTTATCAGCAACACTGCCAGAGGATGCATTGGCATATCTGTTGAAATCGGAGTGTTGGCTTGCAGCCACAAGCTTCTGCTGTGCCGAAGTGTTGCTTGCATACACCGTGAAGGCCAGTGACAGCAGTGTCAGCAGCGAGGATAGTGTGTAGTACAGCGCATTTAGCGACTGCAAGGCGAGGGCGGGCAAACGAAGAGAGGGGAAGACGTGTAGGCAAGAGGTACACGGTATGTCTACTATGCCAAGAGGCAAACAAGTGAACCAGGACATCATAAAGAAGAGGAGGGGTACCAACAGCTGCATAGGTAGCCCCTAGCCAGCGTTGCAAGCACGATGAGGTGATGAAACCAGGGAGACGGATGGGATGGGTCCATATTGACTAAGGCAATCAGCTTTGGCACTCATAGGTTGAGGGCGATATTGCCAGAGGGGTGGGGCACACAATGGTGATAGCCACAATTACATCTTTTGGTGCATGTACATGTGCCAGCAAAAGGTTTATGGTAGCAAATCCACTTGTGTGTTCTTAGAGAAGCAAAAACAACAGGGCTGTCGAGGACATCTCCAGTATGTAGGGCAGCTGCATTAATGTGAAGACAGCAACACGGTGCAAGTCGACTGGCTTACCCCGTTGGGGCATTTGGTGCAGGTGGCAATGTTAATCCAGCCGTAACCTGGCGCACATTCCCCACATAGGGTGCCTGTGTATCCCTTGGCGCACTGAGCTGCCATGTACTCTTCCCTGCGAGATATGAGGCAGCAGGCAGGAAAGCATGCATTTTCTAATGTGTCCAGAGTCCGGGTTTAGTGCACGCCTACATATAATATATCAACTGAAACATATGATCATCTGATGTTTGGTGCGCATGCACCGTATGTGCAAGGAGGAAATGTTTTGGTATGCAGTCATGGTAGGATTGTGGTCAATGCATCCCTACACCTCCAGCTACAGGTACATCAATAAAACATACCTCTAAAGCATCAGTGTCTGACGCCTCACTCACATGAAAAGCCTAGTCTCCTGGATGACCTGGATGTTATACTGCGTTATGTTGGAGTACGGAATGTACTGCTGGAGCAGCTGAGGAGGTATCTGCTGTAGGTCGAAGTCAACACCGCCGTCAAGACGCTGGGACAGCATGTTACGAACAGAATCCGCGGCGAGGACAGATGAGGTGCGGTTTTGCGCCTCTAGAGCTTTCTGCATTGCAGTAAGGCAGAACGGAAGGAGTAACCACTATATATGCAGCTAACCAGGTTTTAGGGGCGCCAACGCCAAGCACCAGCAGTACAGACGTTCACGTCACGGCTTTTGCTCAAGTGGATGGGTTTTGTGCTCCACATGTACGAATAAGGTAAGTGCTGACGTATCTTCCTTGTCGAGGAAGTATTGACAAGACGGCAGCAACTTTTGACTTCTTTTAACGAACAGCAGGACGCACAGGATGGTTGCTTGCTTGGCATGTATGGCACCCTAGGCAGGGATCAGCAACAAATTGACGTGAAGGGTCGAGGATGGTGGCGTACCTGCCTAACCTTGTACTGCAGTGCACCAAGCAGTTTGCTGCGATTCTCGCTCCTACAAGCTGCCGGATTGGGGCAGCTCAGCACCTGCATTCCATTTTCAGGCAGCGTATGTAACAAAGGCGACACTTGCAGTGTGTAATCTACATTCCAAGACCGTTTTAGTCCTCCAAAAGTGCTTACCACCAACATGTATGGTGCGACAAGAAGGGCGCAGCTGTTATGATAGCGTACCGCAAATGCTGCTATCAGCTTAGGAGGTAGCAACTTTAGACGTGGTACACATACGACTCTCATAACGTTTCTAAATTATCCGTATGCCAGGAACACGCACGCTCTCCGCCGACATTTGGCTACTAGACCAGCGCCTCACCTACCTGGCTACTGAAGAAGCTGCTGTGCCATGCACCATCCTTGGGCACCATGTAACCCGCATCGTCGGCAACCACGTAACCAGAAACGTTTGTCAGGTAATTGCAGATCGCATTAACTGGGCATGGAATACAGCTTTCCTGTACGACATAGGCATACATAAGCACACAACTTCAGCTTAGTTCGTTTACGTTTCACCAGGTTAGATAGGTTATGGTGGACGGTTAAGAGACTTTGGGAAGAGACATACAGGATGAGCCAGCAGTACTACCCTTAATAACGCGAAGGTTTAAGCGAACTTTGACTGGGACCGCTGAAAGCCATCCTTAGGCTAAATTTCCTAAAGCTATACAGAGAGATTGTCCTTACAATAGAAATGGGTACTATTGCCTGGCCTAGTCAAACCCCTAATCCTTAACGGATGGCAATACATGTGGGCCATGTACACTTCGTCGTTAGTCCCTAGACGCAACTCAGACCTATCTTACCGAAGTCGTGTCAAGGTTGTACGAGCCATGTTTACATTTAATGCACTCGTCTTGGTTTTCCGGTGCAAGATGCTCATTTATGCTGCACGGCCGCACGTACACCTCTACCTGAACATCAGTAAGGAACGAACAAACGAGCGGCTACTCAAGAAAGGCAAGGAAAGCGAAGTAGGAACATGGATACCGGTATGGTGCTCATACCTACATGAAGGAAACCCTATACACCTCACCGGTTAAACTTACAAAATCCACAAAAAATTGTGCTGTATCATATAGTTATTGGTTGCATGGGTGTTGAATCATACAACTTACCGTGTCTGGCTTAAGGATGCGCAGTGGGCTGCTTGAGCGCCCGACGAAGGTGATGCTGTGAGGACCCTCGCGCGTGCGAAGCACTAGGCTTGTGAAGTCAGCAAGACCGTTCACGACCGTCTGGCTTATGGTGCCCGATACCTGCCGAAGCAAGGAATGAGCGGAAGGAACGGCGATCAGGGCAAGCCTGCGGTGACATGGATCTCCAATAAACATGCAGAGAAAAGGTCCGACAAATATGAGCAGCGCCTGGCTTCTGGGGACCGACAAACAATATGTACAGCCACAGCAATTGCATGCCATTTATCACGAGCGAACACGTTGCAGCCCGCATACGTATGCATCTGCAAGGCAAGCATCGCGACCACACCTTTGGTGACACCGCCTCAACAATTACTACAGTCCTCGTGCTGTTCACTTCCGCACAGTTGTTGCCAAACCAGTCGTGTGTGGTGACGGCCAGCTGCAAGTTGGTGTTTGAGCTGTAGAAAGGCTTGTAGGGCTGGACCTGCACGCCAGTGGGAAAGGGTAATTAAATGGGTAAATTATTATAGTTCTCTACGTGAACATTTTAAACTTCATATCTACAAAGCGCCGGGCGCATTTGGCCAAATGTCGCTAAGATTAGATTTTACCGTATTAGCATGGAACAATACTAAAGTTCTTTATCTTTACTGGAACAAGAGTATGTCGGGAACGCTTAATAGTGTTAAACATAAGCCTGCAATAAGTCTACATGCATGTACCTTACCAGCAGAAAATATGGCGTCGTACTGATGTCATTCCCGCTCACAGCAACGTTGTACTCCCAGTTGGAACAAGGCAACTGATTGTACGGCATTCCAAGCCAAGACGTGTCGTTCACATTTAGGACGACTGTGCCTTCTAAATCAATGGACGTCAACCCTAACTCGTCGATTATCTCCAAGGCAGCTGCCGCAGTGTCGTTTGGCAACACGAGATTGCCATTGACCATGTAGATGCTGCTGTTGGCTGTCGCCACAGGGCCCCCTAATGGCTGCAGCAGCTCAGCCTGCAGATTGCGGACTAGCTTGCCATAGGTGACAGGCAGAGCTTTGCGGCCTGGTAACACAAGCTTAATTTGCGTGGTAGGAACCTTGGAAAAGTCGGCTATAATATAATCGCCATCCAAACTGTAAACATCGCCTGCTGGTGGTACTCCTGATTCTGCTGAGCCTAGAGGGATGGTGTGGTAGGAGTCAGGAGCACAGGAGTTGACCTCCACAACGGCCTCGTGCTCCCAAAAAATGGCGCCACCGCGGCCATAGCGTGCAACATTTCCTGGAAGGAGGTCAGCCAGCAAAACTTAGCTCACTCATTTGACTTGTCTAAAAACCGCTCTTGGCTTCATCTGAGATGTATTTATGCCGCAATTTACCTGACATATTTACATTGTTCAACCGAACACTGTAGCATCCAGCTAGGTTCCCGCAGCTCCGTCCCTCGCCCACGTAGAAGCCGCCACCATGCACATCTGCCTCGTTGCCAAAGACATCCGAATTGTCGAACTGTAGGCATTACAATTCATAGCACGAACCTTCCTGAGGATGTTGTTGTTGAACGTTCTGCATTAACTTACTCCAAGGCAGCTGTTCTGAACACCAATTCAAGTAGTGTCAGTGATAAGTGGATGGTGTAACCTGGGCAAACTAGCAGGGGCGGGCTAATTTTAGCGTAGAACCGCCATCCAGCCACAGAGTATACAGCACTTGCATGCCTATTGCACGGCGGCGACTACTGCTTTAAAGGAGGTCCATAGCCGTAAGGTCTGCCAGTCTGGCACCATATACCACAACTGACCATCAAGTTGTTCGCATATATTAATTGCCGGCCACCTTATGCTGCGGCTAAGACCGTGCTAACATTGACAAAACCCGCGGGGATGTCTTCCGCCTGGCGGCGCTATCCAGTGCATCTTTCCTTTGTCTTTAGGGCCTGTGTCGCATGGGCATACGGCTTAGCGTTATGAAAAGCGTAGGTTTATCGGTACGATAAGGCGGTTTCTTGGACGAGGTACGACACTCTTAGTGCTCTTAGCGTTCTCTGAATTGTTTCACGGCTATTCCGCCGTGTTGTGATTCTCATAGGAGCTCGTTCGTAACCTCTATATTATAGTTCTAGTATTTTACTTTAGGAGTAGAACGATGGCAGACGGGGGCGGCGGCGACGCCGCCAACGCAGCAATTAACTTGGCAGCAGTGAACAACAACATTACTGTCGGTCGCCGTAAGGGCGGTGAGCGCTACATGCAGCCGGACAACCTGACGGACCCGAGGATGTACCGGCCGCTCCAGTTCCTGCATCGGAACATCATGATAGAGATTGGCAGTCGCATATTCGCAGCTAAGTTCGCGATGTCTTATTTGGTGGAGGCGGACCCCCTTCTTTGCCCCATCTACGAGACGCTGGTGCACGCCATCATCCTGATGGACCTTTTTCAGTCTTCGATTGAAGCTGCGTCCCGCTGCCGCCAGTTACACCCTGAGGCCATGCAGCAGCTCTTCGAGAACAGCCGCCCGCTCGCCATTAACCCGTCACAGGAGCTGATGGACGATTCCAAGAACCTGTACGCGCCGGACTACGAGCGCTATCGTCGGACTTTCAAGGACGTCCAGAACCGCTTCGGCGTATCCCCGTTGGCTGAGCCGGACAACAACACCAGCAACAACAACAACAACTACAGGCAAAACGGTAACCGGGGCCGGGGAGCTTACCGTGGCGGCCGGGGCGGCAGGCACCACTACCACCCGTACCAGCAGCCTTACTTCCCGCCTCAGCAGTACCAGGGACCTATGGGACTGATGGGACCGATGATGCCCGCTGCCGGCCATGGACCCCGTGGCTAGTAGTGACGGTAGGCATTAGGCCAATGCGACGATGCGGTCAATTCATGATAGCCCAAAGATGGCTACAATGGCGCAATATTTAAGAGCAAGAGGCTCTTCTTTATGGGAATAGGATGAGGTAGTTTGCGGTGCGCGCGTTAGGAGGCGTTAGGGTCCGGGCTTACGGAGCGTTAAGGGACCCAGAGGGTTGATTATAAGCGGGTATCGAGTACCGCTGCGCCTTAATTATGCCAATTATGAGGCAATATTATGACACGCGGCCACGAATGGCAAGGATAAGAGGCAATGTTTTGGTTAGGGCGTGAATAAAAACATTCAACAACGGCCCCACAAAACAGCATGTTTGACCGGGTTCCATGCTGCATGCCCCGTCCAACTAGCACATTCGGCCCTGCCACGCATGCATATGACTTGACACCGACTCCAGCTCTTAGCCACCTCATGGCCTATGTATGGGGAGTCCGTAGCCGTGACTGTGGCGCGAAATGGATGCCGGGTGGCCCTCCAGCCCCACAAAACAGCATGTTTGACCGGGTTCCATGCTGCATGCCCCGTCCAACTAGCATATTCGGCCCTGCCACGCACGCATATGACTTGACACCGACTCCAGCTCTTAGCCACCTCATGGTCTATGTATGGGGAGTCCGTAGCCGTGACTGTGGCGCGAAATGGATGCCGGTTGGCCCTCCAGCCCCACAAAACAGCATGTTTGACCGGGTTCCATGCTGCATGCCCCGTCCAACAAGCACATTCGGCCCTGCCACGCACGCATATGACTTGACACCGACTCCAGCTCTTAGCCACCTCATGGCCTATGCATGGGGAGTCCGTAGCCGTGACTGTGGTGCGAAATGGATGCCGGGTGGCCCTCCAGCCCCACACAACAGCATGTTTAACCGGGTTCCATGCTGCATGCCCCGTCCAACTAGCACATTCGGCCCTGCCACGCACGCATATGACTTGACACCGACTCCAGCTCTTAGCCACCTCATGGCCTATGTATGGGGAGTCCGTAGCCGTGACTGGGGCGCGAAATGGATGCCGGTTGGCCCTCCAGCCCCACAAAACAGCATGTTTGACCGGGTTCCATGCTGCATGCCCCGTCCAACTAGCACATTCGGCCCTGCCACGCACGCATATGACTCGACACCGACTCCAGCTCTTAGCCACCTCATGGCCTATGTATGGGGAGTTCGTAGCCGTGACTGTGGCGCGAAATGGATGCCGGGTGGCATGCCTTGAGCATGGAGCCCTGATCATGGGCTCTGAGCATGCTCCGAGCATGCTCAGAGCCCATATACTGGGCTCGTTGTTCCTAGGTGGGGCCCGGGTTGTTTAATGCCCCTCGCGATTGCTGCATAGCTAAACGACTACGTTAACCTATCCAGTGCGGTGGTTATATGCCTGGAAATGCGTGCCTTGAGCATGGAGCCCTGATCATGGGCTCTGAGCATGCTCCGAGCATGCTCAGAGCCCATATACTGGGCTCGTTGTTCCTAGGTGGGGCCCGGGTTGTCTAATGCCCCTCGCGATTGCTGCATAGCTAAACGACTACGTTAACCTATCCAGTGCGGTGGTTATATGCCTGGAAATGCGTGCCTTGAGCATGGAGCCCTGATCATGGGCTCTGAGCATGCTCCGAGCATGCTCAGAACCCATATACTGGGCTCGTTGTTCCTAGGTGGGGCCCGGGTTGCCTAATGCCCCTCGCGATTGCTGCATAGCTAAACGACTACGTTAACCTATCCAGTGCGGTGGTTATATGCCTGGAAATGCGTGCCTTGAGCATGGAGCCCTGATCATGGGCTCTGAGCATGCTCCGAGCATGCTCAGAGCCCATATACTGGGCTCGTTGTTCCTAGGTGGGGCCCGGGTTGTCTAATGCCCCTCGCGATTGCTGCATAGCTAAACGACTACGTTAACCTATCCAGTGCGGTGGTTATATGCCTGGAAATGCGTGCCTTGAGCATGGAGCCCTGATCATGGGCTCTGAGCATGCTCCGAGCATGCTCAGAGCCCATATACTGGGCTCGTTGTTCCTAGGTGGGGCCCGGGTTGCCTAATGCCCCTCGCGATTGCTGCATAGCTAAACGACTACGTTAACCTATCCAGTGCGGTGGTCATATGCCTGGAAATGCGTGCCTTGAGCATGGAGCCCTGATCATGGGCTCTGAGCATGCTCCGAGCATGCTCAGAGCCCATATACTGGGCTCGTTGTTCCTAGGTGGGGCCCGGGTTGCCTAATGCCCCTCGCGATTGCTGCATAGCTAAACGACTACGTTAACCTATCCAGTGCGGTGGTCATATGCCTGGAAATGCGTGCCTTGAGCATGGAGCCCTGATCACGGGCTCTGAGCATGCTCCGAGCATGCTCAGAGCCCAGAATCTGGGCCGAAATCGAGAGCATGCCCAGAGCCCATAATCCTGGGCTTTAATGCGAGCATGCTCAGAGCCCACAATCCGGGCGAGGACCTTACTGGAATAGCGATAGAGGACCAGTGGCTGCTCACGAACACTATATACGCGTAAGATGGATATTATACGACCATGAAGGGTCATGCGTAAGACAGACGTTATACGACCATAAATGGTCACAGCGAATTGTTATTACCGCGACGATTGCCTCTTAACGCATCAAGCGACATTCGCCTCATCCAACAGAATTTATTTAAGTCATATACAGACTTGTTGAATAGACCTACTTCACAATGTCGGGAATGCATCTGCTACCCAGGTCCAGACAACTTAATGGACATGCACAGCAACAGGGACAGAACCCGACGTTGAGCTACGCTAGCGGCTTAAGCTCGTTCGGAATTCCTCGCATTCCGGATAGGACCATAGCCAGGGCAGCAACACCACCGCTAGCGGCAGCAGACATCCCCGCCGCCGATCCGAGCGTACAGCAAGAAGCTCTAGATATCCCGGGGCAGGTAAATAAGCTTCAATTGGAAACCAATTTAATTGTCGTGACAATAGTATACAAGAGTCACGAGTTTACTATTTCTTATAATTCTTAATCAGGATGCGACTGGCACCATAGACAACGAAATCGTTGGGAATACTGGTGACAACGAGGTCCAGAACCAAGGAGCAGCCGCAGGACCGAGTGGCGTAGGCGGCCATCCTCCCATCGGCCCAGAGCGTAACGCACCTGTGGATGCGGGGCATACCGGTAGCCAGACCCGCGCAAGGCGAGCTCGCACAACGGAAGTGATCCGAAGCGCAACAGGTGTGGACGATTTACCAGATGGCCCCGGCGAGGTAGAGAAGAGTGAAGGGGAGCCCAAGCAGAAGAGATTCATGAGAGGACGCTTGCGTAAGCAATTTTGGTTCTGGGCGTCTTTTGCGCGTAACCCGCTGGCGCTGAAATGGATCCTAGTCGGGTTCCCGCTACTATGGCTGGCGGCACAACCGCCGGCCCCATTCTTTGGTCGGAACCATGGTTCGGTGAGGGAGCATGCGGCATTCGTAACGGAAGCAGTAGCAGAGCTCGTGGAAACCGGTACCGCAATCGCAGTAGAACGGCAACCACACTGCGTGTTGCCGTTAGGTGTAGTAGTAAGGCCAGGGAGCGGAAAGAAGCGGTTAATCTTGGACGCTAGGTACCTCAACGAGCATGTCGTTACCCCGAGCTTTAAGTACGAGACGTTATCCGGCCTGCAAAACGTGTTGCAGAGAAACGATTACGTATTCACGATCGATTTTAAATCAGGTTACCACCACTTAGGTATGGATCCGGATTTCTGGACGTACTTGGGTTTTGAGTGGCAAGGTCAATATTATGTTTTTACACAGCTGCCCTTTGGCCTTGCGCCAGCTTGCTGGGCGTTCACCAAGTTGACGCGGGAATTGTTAGGCCGTTGGCGGGCAGAAAGCCACCGCTGCACGGGCTACCTAGACGACAGCGCCCATGCACATCAATGCCCTGATACGTTAGCAGGAATACAGAAGCGTGTGTTTAGCGACTGCGAGAGAGCAGGAATCCTTATAAGCAAGGACAAGTGTCACGATATCGCACAGGAGTTTCCATATTTGGGAGCAATGGTGAATACGGTGACGGGGACGATGACAGTGCGCAGGGAGAAGCAAGAAGCGCTCATGTCCATGATTGATAGCTTGATAGCGTCTAAGCATCGTTGTCGCATCCGCGCAGTAGCTTCCGTCGTAGGGCATTTAATGTCAATGAGTTATTCCTTTGGGGAAATGTCCGTTGTCATGACCCGTCACCTACTGCAATGGCAAAATGAAATGCTGCGGCAGGGACTGGATTTTAATAAGCACGCTGCTCTAGACTCTTTCGCGTTAGGAGAGCTAGGTTTTTGGAAAGAATCTTTCCTAAGGTTTGACGGCCGCAACCCGATTTGGACCCCGCCATACTTGCATACGATTCGTCTTTTCACCGACGCCGCCGGCGCTAGCATGTGTTCATTCGGAGGCTGGGGCGGTTGGGCCGATCTCCCAACGAGGCCGTTAGCAGCAGGAGCATGGAAGGTTGACACACATGGTTTATCCTCTGGCTACTTAGAGCTGCAAGCGATTTTTGGGCGGAGCCCCCGCCGCGAAGCGGCTTCGGGGGGGCTTCAACACAACACAACACAACACTGCTCCATGGCACCTTTGGAAACCACGACCCGGCTCCGAAAACAGGCGGACAGACGGACAGCCGGACACATCCCACCAACCACCAAGTACAACTGCCCCCAACCGCACACACGGACAGCCGGCCACACGGACACTCTTCATCGCCCAGCAGATTGCCCCTGTCCGTGTGTCCGTCCGTGTGTCCGTCCGTCCGTCCGTAACGGCAAAACATACAAACTAACAGATACGAACATACAAACTACATTAATTGCACCTAACAGATATTTGTTACCTGTATTCAGTAAAAATAACTGGAAGCCAAACAAACTTAATTTCGCAACAAACGATTTATTGACCAGCCGTTCAAAAGGACCACCGCGGCAACACCGATTAGCGCTCCTCTATGGTTTGTCCTGGTACCGTAAACAGTATTTAGTGAATTGGTAACAGCGGCGTGTCGCCAAAGGGCTACCTGTGAAAGTCGGCGTGAGCATGCTTGCGTGCATCGACAGTGCTACGCTGAGCCCACACAATCCTTTTGAGACGATGTTGCCGGCCTTTGCTATTCGTTTGCGCGCCATAATGGTAGCTAATGCCTATGAACTGTAACGCAAACAGGTACCTAGAAGCTAACAGCGATGTTACGGTGCAATTGCCGAAGTCCTTAAGAGCACGATGCCGACATTGCCGAGCCTGACCTCCTCATCACGTTAGTAATGTAGGCGAAACCTAAACGACCTGCGGGACCCTGAAAGCACTCCCACGTGGCAGTTACGCCGTCGATCTGGATTCTGTAGCCTAATGCGTGGGTGTTAACAACCTGATAAGACGTTACTGAATACTCGATTGAACAGGCGTAACCTAACAATGAGTGCAATGAGTGAGGACACTATGTACGCCATGGCGGCCGGCCACGGCTGGACAAGGGGCTCTGAGCTCGTCTAGCCATGCAACGAACACTCCAACTACAGAAAACAAGGGGGTTCAGCGTCCATATAACAAGGTGTGTTAAGTCAACTGGTGCCGTGGAGTCACAGGAGCGCATGCCGTGCCATTCCAGGTCTATAAGGCCCTGAGTCGTTCAGACTCCCCTGTAATAATCGCATTCATTCCAGTGGTAATAATACGTTCCTGTACTGAAGAATAGGGGCTCCGCCCTTTTCCAGCTTTGAGGAAGCTGAACCCCCTTGTCAATGTGCTGCAGAGTATTAACAGGAACGGCATACTTGATAACCAACGGGTATTGCTGCACACCGATAGCCAAGTGGCCGACGCAGTACTAAAGAAAGGAGGTTCCATGGTGTCGGATATCCAAGGTGCATGTTTGAAAATTTTCTGGTACTGCCTAGAGCACCGGATTAAGTTGGTGTCTACTTGGATACCACGTGATCGTAATGCATTCGCTGATTTGTTGTCAAAGCGTGACGACGCTTGTGATTGGAAGCTCAACCCAGTAGTTTTCAGGGAGCTGAATGCCCAATGGGGGCCTTTTGCGGTTGATTTATCTGCGTCAGACACTAACCACCAAATGGAGCCGTATTACACTTTTCATCACACACCGGGCACGCATGGCGTTAATGCATTCGCGTTCCCGTGGCCTAAGATTTCATGGTGCAATCCACCATTCGCAATGCTTAGCAGAGCGTTGAAGTATGCCGAGGTTTGCCGTACTGCTATGGTGCTTATCGCACCAGTTTGGCCAACTGCGCCTTGGTGGCCAGCACTAGTTGAGAATGAAATGGCTTTTAACTCTTTCGTATGGGGCTGCAGAGTGCTAGAAAAGAGAAGAGATTTGTTCTTTAACCGTATGGGCGTAGGGCATCTGCCAGTACGGAACACCATGGCGCTGTGGCTGGACTTTTCACGAGAATGCCCCTATATGGTGCCTGTTCCCTCCTTGTGGTAATGTAACAGGAGACGAGATTGAAGCTATCGTGACAGGCGTACTCTGCCGAGACACCACCAACCGCCACCCGCATCTACGTGACCTGATCAGCGCAATGATCGACAACGCGGCCCTTAGCCGCGCCCTCAGCACTTGGCAGCAATACGTGCCGGATATCCGGCGCTGGATAGCCTTCTGCGCGAAGGTACGGGAGTCCCCTCTAGGTCAGGACCCAGTAGTAGCTGCAGCGTTCCTAACGGAGACGCGCAGAGCAGCAGCAGTACGCAACATAGGACCCGGCACGGTAGAGCGCGCAAGCGCATCCATCTCAGCGTTCTATGAGCTCGCCGGCCTGCAGTCCCCATGCGCACACAGCCTGTGCGCGAACGCTCGCGAGGTAGCACGACGCACCCTTCAGGCAAAGCAGCGCAACCTGGGAGTCGCGACAGCGCAGGAGGTAGAGCAGCTAGCAAGCCACCACCTCAACCCACAGGCCCCGCTGCTAACCCGCATGGTCGTGACCTGCGCGGTCCTGGCCTTCTGCGGCCTCCTGCGGTTCGACGACCTATCCCACATCCTTGTGCACACCGACTTACTGCGCATCTACGCCGACCGGGCAGAGATTTTCCTATTCAAAAGCAAGACAGATCAGCACTGCCGCGGTACATTCGTTACCATCGGCCGCATTGACAGCCCCTTCTGCCCGGTACGCCTGTTGGAGGAGCTGCTACAAGCAGGGCAGTATAAGCGCAAGCCCGCCGTTACCAGGCGGGACGGCAAGGAGGAGGACGCAGAGGATGTGGGCCCGCTCCTGCGCGCCGTCGACTGCAGAACCGGCCGCTTGGAAGAGGTCTCCGTCAAGCTCCCGCAGGTCATCGAACCGCTGCCGTACAGCTCGTTCCGCAACAAGCTGAAGGAGCTCTGCAGGCAAGCAGGCGTGCGCCAGGACCTCTGCCCCCACGACCTCCGCCGGGGCGGTGCCACCGCCCTGGTGGAAGGGGGCGCAGCCCGTGCGGAGGTGCAGAAGCTAGGGCGGTGGAGAAGCAACAACGTTTTCGAGTTTGCTTACGTTCGCGAAGATGGTGCCCACCGCCGGGCCATCACAGCGCGCATCCCCTTAACGAGAGTTCAGCGTGCAACCTAGCCTAGCAGTCAGGATATTGCTTTCAAGGTCCGGTGATCCGTGGCCTTGAGAGAGTTGCAACCGGCCATTGGTGCAAGTTAAAAAACCTGACCTGACGTGGTTGTTGCCATGTTCTGGGGTAGGGCGCAGGTTTCCATTGGGCCAAGCCGACTAGCGGGGCGGCCAGGGTAGGGTTTGTAGAGGCCAAGCCGATTAGCGGGGCGGCCAGTTGGTGGAGGTGTGTAGCGGTGAAGAGGCTGCCGGTGTATCGTCGCCGGAGCCATGATTAGGTTATATCTATATAACGTACCGAGGACAAGAAGCGTAGGTTTATCGGTACGATAAGGCGGTTTCTTGGACGAGGTACGACACTCTTAGTGCTCTTAGCGTTCTCTGAATTGTTTCACGGCTATTCCGCCGTGTTGTGATTCTCATAGGAACTCGTTCGTTACCTCTATATTCCCACCCGCCTTCCCCGTGCCCCGGCCCAGGTCGGTTTTCCGGCCGCGCGGGCCGCTAGGGCTCTGTTCGCACGGATTTTCGGTTATTCCGGTGATCCGTGGCCTTGAGAGTTGCAACCGGCCATTGGTGCAAGTTAAAAAACCTGACTGACGTGGTCGTTGCCGTGTTCTGGGGTAGGGCGCAGGTTTCCATTGGGCCAAGCCGACTAGCGGGGCGGCCAGGGTAGGGTTTGTAGAGGCCAAGCCGATTAGCGGGGCGGCCAGTTGGTGGAGGTGTGTAGCGGTGAAGAGGCTGCCGGTGTATCGTCGCCGGAGCCATGATTAGGTTATATCTAAATAACGTATCGAGGACAAGAACCCTAAGGCTTGTTAGTGTTTATGTTATTATGTAGCATTCCACCTCAGGTAAGGGGAAGAGATGTGGTTGTAGCGGTGGGGAAGGGGCAGTGGGTCCTTCCTACCGCATGCCCCATTCTCCTATTCAGTTTTCATGGGCAAAATTGCGGAACGGATTGGTGGCCCAGCCAGCGTTCAACAGCATAATTTCATATCCTCCACTCACCTCTATGGAGCTACCCTCCCAGCCAACGATGCATGCTGCTGCTCCTTCACCCGAATAACATGCGTGCCTGGCTGCTGACCAGTTCATGGCCTCTCGTCCCTGGAGTCCAGTGTACCCCTCAGCAAGCGGAGGCGTGTAAGCACGGTTGCCCAGGAAACGGGTGTTGTTCAGGTATACCTGATGGTCATAAGGAAGAGGCCAGAATATAATATATGAAACTGTTGGCACGCACAATAGAGTGACACATCATAGGATTTTGGGGGCCGATTGTAGCAAGTTGGTAGCAATTGTTGGCTCCAGATGCATTGTAAGCGTGGCAAATGTTAAAAAAGGTGCCAGAATAAGCAACATCACATGCGCCTTTCTTTACACTCTCCTCTCCGAGAGGAAACCGTATCCCACGCCCTTTGCAACATCACGGCCCCACATCCAGGTAGACATGAAACCGTTCAAAATTTGCGGCAAATAGTGAACCCATTGACGAAAAACGCATTGGTGCCTTTCCTGCGCTTCCTCACCTCAAGCCCACCATCTAGCATAATGGCTGCACCACCATTTGCTGTGTTATTGTAGAAAACGACTGCAGGTTGATCGATTAGCGGTACCGTTTCAGGTGTAATGTAGGTGGTTAACTGCGACCTGAAAGCATGTTGAGCGTACAGCGAGTTATATGTTGTTGGTCACAACAGCGTATGGTGAAAGCTCTGGCACCCGACCTATCTAGAAAACCACAATGGTTAAGGCACATGCATGGTATCAAACTAGCGTTGAGAGCATGGCGCAACCAAAATAACACAACATTAATTGCCATGCGACACTGGCTCGTCAAGCTTGGTCAAGCTAGGTTTGGGCCACTCACCCATCATCAAACTCCTCGACCTTATACACTTTGTAGCCCTCGGACAGATATGTTTGGCTAACTGGTCCAAAATCGATAAATGTATCTGTCATAACCCCGGCAGCAGAGATACGTACAACGTCGTGCATATAGACTCCTCCACCAATCAGGGCGATGTTGTTTGCGAAAAGGATGCTGTACGGTATTACCCCTTTAACACCCAAGGGGTTGGGTGCACCCGGAGCCTCCGCAATTTGCTCAGACACTGTGAGCTCAAGGTGGGTAAAGCCTGAAGGTGCCATAATTGACAAGTTGCCCGAGATGGCAGCTATGCCCCCACCTGCAAATTGCATGCCGCCAGTGCATGTTAGGTCACTACTACTTTATCAAACATGGAATGTGGTCCCGATCATGTGGTTTTGTAACGGAGGTGCATCTTAATATAATTGGGTCTTAAACAGCACAAATCATACGGAACTCACCAAGTAAGGCCGTGTTGTTTGTGAACTGCGATAGGGAGGCAATCTGTGTTGGGGTCTGTAAGACGTACAGTCCGCCACCATATCCCGAATCCAGAGAGCTCAGGGGGAAATGCACTTTTTCATTTGCTGCTCCTGGCTCTGGAGATGTATCCGGCCAGGCCCATGGGTTCGTCACCGAGTTGTTGTCAAAACTGCACTGCTCAAGAAACAGCTGGCCGACCCTGAAAGCACGCACGGGACAAACATTGGCAGCACAGTTACAAAATACGTTCCTGACATGTACTTAAGACAAATAGGCCATTGGCTTTGCAGGTCACCCATCAAGTGCATTTGGCATCAAAAATTCGCCTTACCTGGTTGCTGCCACAGCACCACCCATGATAGCAATGTTGCCTGAGAAAACATTATCACTAAAAGTTGCAACTTGACCCTCCATCAGGCGCACGGCTCCACCGGCATGCCGTAGTACCTACAGTCCGTAAGCAAATATACCGAAGGTTCATTTCTGTGCATAAGTCCAGGGGGGGGGGGTAAAAAAGTCTTTGCCAAACCCCATGCTAAAAAAGTCAAGAAAGGGGTGCCGGACCCACCCACCCACCCTGTCGTACCGTTTTTGCTGTACGACAACGCTGTAAACTTCGCAAAATCGCCCCAAAAAAGCACCATTCGACTCCATTTCACATGATCTTCGTCGTTCTCACGTTAGGCGTACCATTTGGCAACATGTCCGAGTCGCTCGCCACACGGGGGGGCAGGCAGGCTGCCAGACTCAATGCTCTCTGGTATGCAGCCGATACACATCTCTTTTAAACCTCACATGCATTCCTGTGATGCTTGAGTGCACGGTTGCGTTGGTGTGTGTGCTCCAGCCCACCTGCCACTGCGTCCCTCACGTCACCCCGCCATCGGTACGATTGCGCCCCCTCCCCCGGGTAGCAGGTTGGGCTTGCACCCCATCGCCCTCAGCACCAGATGCAGAACCACGCATGTTTCCACCTGCCAGGGGTGTGTCGTCAGTACGCCTGTTTCGTGCCCTCCCCCTTTAACCTTGCCCTAACTTTGTGATTTTATTCGTTTGGTTCCTCTTTGGGCCCCTTCCACCTTAGCCCCTGTCCCTGCTGCTTGCTTTGCTTCTGGAGAAGCCATACCGTGTATGTTGGGCCAGCTAGGGTGTTCCATGGGGACATGCCACCCGCAAACTCCACACAACGGCTCCAATAATATGCATACACTATAACAGGAATACTAAATCTGCTATCCGTTTGGCGAAACGATACCTACGAAAAAAGTTTTGGAGGTCAAAGAAAAATGTCATTGGGGCTCCGGACCCACCTACCCACCCCTGCCGTACGACCAACTTTGGGAGCCTATAACTTTTTTCGTACAACTCCGATTACAATTCTGAAAGCGGATGTGGAATGCTCTCTTTAATATTGAAGCATGGGGTCATTTTGCGGCGAAACTACCCCCCCCTGATAAGTCTCCAAGATAGTAAACAAAGTCGCCAGGGGGTGCACGCCATTGGCTTTGCTCTTGTGGGAGTAGTATGTACATGCAGAAAGCAGGTTAGTAGCATATAACGTTTGACAAACAAGCCTACTTAATGTGGCTGAGTGCCAGCTCAGATGTGCAGATGTTCATACTGGTCAAAGCGGGCAATGTAGCAGAAACCGGCAGTGTGCATAGGCTACCGAGTAAATACTGAGTATCAGCACTGAGCAATGAGCCAGGAGGAGATCAAGTAAAGGAGCTTTTAATGTCGCCGGATTGACGGCTGGACATGCAGGGGTGTGCATCTGCCACAAACAAGCATGAAGCCCATCACTAGGAGTGCTTGCTTTGATTGTCCTATTTACCTTGTTTTTCATGAAGACATTGCCAGTAAAGCTGGCGAATGCAGTGTTTTGTATATACATGGCGCCTGCAACATAGGTGGATCCAACTTGTGATGGCCCAGTCATAGCTATGAATCCAAGGCTGACCGCTAAGCCACTCGTACCTCCACCAGCCATGTCATCTCTCGGTAGATAATCCATCACATGTTTCGGTGGGTTTACCATGGCAATGTTTCCTTCCATAGTGTTGCCGGTAATCATCCATCCTGAGCTAGCTGCTACATCAATTCCAGCAACTGCACCCCCCCTTCTGCCTGCAGAGGCATGTGTTAAACCACAGACCTTCAAGACCTTCAAGATAGAGTGGGGGTGCACGTGAGGTTGCAGGTGGGGATAAAGGTGCGATTCTGTGAGTCCCTGTCTTCGTAGCCTAAGCACTGTAAAAAACGGGCGGGGAGAGTAGAATTGCCCTTCCCAGCACAAAAGGTAATGCCGGAACCACTTCTTTGGTCATGAACTCCATGCTACAGGAGTAAATATATCATACTGATAGCAAGGCCACACGCTGGGACAGACAATTGTGGGAAGTCCTTGACTTACCTGCACGGTTACCAGTGAAGGTGCAGCCCCAAAGCGAGTCATAGTTCATGTTATATGAAGGTGGATCACTACCCTCCTTCTCAGTCGTAATAATCCACACAGCCCCTCCATCTCCACTTGTTGCGGTGTTTCTTATGAAGCTGCACCATTGGCCAGAAATCAAGACCTCAGCATTATAGATCCAAGTGCAATAGTGAAGTACACCGTCCAAGGACGGCATGAACAGTAAGTGTACTACAGACATATTAACCGTATCTTACCTGTTGTTCTTGAGAAATGAAATGTACACGTCACGGAGGAAAACTGCGGGAAAGGTGTGCAGGTGTGTTTATTACATATAGTACAGCTTTTAAGAAGGTAATCCCAAAAACGACAAGCCGTCTCTTCTGTGGACAAATAGTGAAGGAAGGAGGCAGGAGAGACCAGAAAACGTCACCTGGAAACCAACAACACCATCCCACCTGCACCACCTCCAGGTGGTGACGTGTTGTTAATGAACGTGCTGTCGTAAATGTTGGCACCACCATAACTGATTGACCAGCCAGTTAAGGCCCCACCACCTGTGTAAGCAGAAAGGAGCTGTAATTCAAGGATCAGGCTGGACTGGCCACAACAGGCACTGGTCTACAGCTTGTGCTGATACGATTGGATTGTGTTCAGGCTTCATAGCCAAACAGATTGTCCGCAGGATGTAGTTCGCTGGGCATAGAAACTAGCGGCAATGGTTGTCACAGCTTCTGCTGCTATGAGTGGTGAGGGTGCTTCATTGAAGCACTTCTGGTAAGCAGCATGCACAGACGCGTCAGAACTCACCAATTCCTTGGTTCGCGCTGTTTGACCTTGCGTTGTACGTCTGGAGATTGTCCGTAAATGAAGAGGAGGTGACTGTCATCACACCGCAATGATCTATGTAAACACCACCATTGCGATTGTCATGGAACCTGGAATCAGATTGAATTAGGTTTGGCGGAAAGAACTTGGAGCAGGTTTGGACAAAATGCCCGGCCGTGCCGATGTCTGCTTCTGAGACGTCTGGGGTGCTAGAAGCGATTGATTCAGCTGGTACACCAACAGCAAAAGCAGCTTTCAACCGAGTGGTCACCAATGCCAGGTCTGAGATGGCGACGACAACTATGCGCTCATACAATAATCGTTAGTTAGCAAAGGTGAGTAAATCAGTAGAACTGTGTAAGCCAAGCGTACGTCTGGTAAAATTTACAAAGGAATTCGCAGTTGGACAAGGGGGTTCAGCTTCCTCAAAGCTGGAAAAGGGCGGAGCCCCTTCTCTTCAGTACAGGAACGTATTACTACCACTGGGATGGCACAGCATGCGCTCCTGTGACTACAGCAGTTGACCTAAGACACCCTGACACTGAACCCCGCTGTTTACTGTAGTTCGAGTGTTCGTTGCATGGCTAGACGAGCTCAGAGCCCCTTGCCCAGTCGAGGCTGGCCGCCTTGTTCACCCATGGCATTCATAGCACCCTCACCCATGGCACCCAATCGAGTACTCCGTAACGTCTTATCATGCTTGCTAGCAACCGTGCATCAGGATACTGAACCCAAATCAACCACTAGGAGCAAAATGCCGGTGAAGGGGGGTACTGTCGTTTTGGACCAACTGAAACCCCTAGGCTACCAGTAACCTGAGCTTGAAACCAATGTTTGTGCAGCACATGCGCATGCGCATAAGCTGTGTTAGCCTTGTAGCCTAGTGTCTAGCCATGTGAAAGTGGCGAGCCAACATTTGCCCACCATCGGAAAGCCTATCGGTGAAAATTGCACCGAACTCTGCACGGAGACCCCTACTGCGCCATTCCGCGTTTCCCGGCATTTCACTTGGGCTTTTCCTGACATATATACGCCTTATGCTTGTGCACTTAAGGGAGCGTACGCGCATGGGCCGTCGATGCCCAGTTCAATTTCTGGCCAGGAAGTCCGGACGTCCAAAGCCAAATGTCACCATTCTGCTCATGTACAGATCCAGCTTGTTAGGCACATTTCCATTGTTACCTCCTGGCCAAGGCCCCATCCCGGTCCGAAAGTCAGCGCCCCAGACACTTTGTGAATTTGCCCCAATAAGTAGTCAAGAGATAAAGAAGAATTCCTTGTAAGCTTTCCAGGAGGCGCCTGTGTAAACTAGCCCAGTCAAAACTTTCACCGGCTTCGTACGGCATTCCACCAACGGCCAAAGGCCGGCCCAAGCGCACAGATTTCGCAGCGCTTAGAGTAATTGCAACCCATTACTCCTTGTCAATTTCACAGGTAGCCCTTTGGCACACGCCGCTGTTACCAATTCACTATATACTGTTTACCAGGACACACCATAGAGGAGCGCTAATCAGTGTTGCCGCGGTGATCCTTGACAAATGGCTGGTCAATAAATCGTCTGTTGCCAACTCAAGCTTGTTATATTTGCAGTTATTTTTACTGAATACAGATAACAAATATCTAAACAATAGTTTTATCTAATTTGTACGTTCTGCCGTTACGGACGGACGGACGGACAGACACACGGACAAGGGGCAATCCTGAAGGCCCCCCACAAGCCGCTTCACGGCGGGGGCTCCGTCCAATAAAATTTGAAAATATTGACCAGCCCCGGGACCATTCTACACCCCAAAATCATCCTCGAACTTGACGGGGAATAGGTGAAAAGGGCTATTTTGCACCTCCTCTATACTTCTAAGCCGTGTTTGGGATTAGTTTACCTTGACCCACTATAAGCTAGAAACTTTCAGCTGGTTAGTGTAATTTGTATTCTTATCGCGCAATCCTACTTTTACGGGTGCTTTCATTTACTGCATTTTACTGGTGCTTTCATTGGGCTTTTCCTCGTGCTTGTGCGCGGGCATTTATTTGGCTAACTGCAAGCAACGCCAGCCAAAGTCATTTCGCAAAGAACGATTACCGCTTCTGAATGATGTTTACCCGGTACCAAGGGGGGGGGGGTAACAATGTTAGATACCGACGACCTGTGAATGCCTGTGATGCTTGCACCTACTGGGGGTCGACCCGTGTCTGTTAACCGATGATTGGTTGTAGTTTATTGCATGTCGCGGTGCATTCAACAGGGAAGGAAGGGTCGCCACCAAAGGTTTATAATGGGCTTTCATTCTTTCCTTTTCCATACAAAAAAGCCAACTGGTTCCTGTACGTTTCGTCCTTATTGCTAACCTGGATCCCGTGATGGCAGCATTGTAGACTCCGTAGATGTACAGCGGCCTTTCTGAAGTAAGGCAGATCGCTCCAGTGGCAGATGGTGACAAGCCAAAAGAGGCACGCCTACATCAAGCGAAAGATTGCCAGTTACCCAAAGCAGATGTGGGCATGAGCTCATTTGGAGTGATGATGCCAATAATCATCTTGATCCCCCAAGAGTTTGAGCTATTTACATCCTGACTCACCTGCAATAGTTCCGAGTAAAGGTCACATTTGAGACAAGTGCTCGCGTGCGACCAGGAAGGTTGTCCTTATCATCGACTGGCATGTCATAGCCAACGATGTAAAGTGCGCCCGTGGTGTAGGCAGCATTTTCTGTTATGGAAGGAAGACGCAAATTAGTCATCACCACAAGGCCTGGGCTCCCGGGCTAGGCAGGCACCGAACATTAAGGGAATCTGGATCCGCTTCTTGCCTTCAAATATGCTGTCTTTAACAGTGGCTGTGTTCTCCACGTTGCCCAGTGGTGTCATCATGATCAAGACAACTTGGGAGGACCCGGTGCCAATCCTGACTGGGAAAACGGTGTTGTCATCTTCGTTCGGTGCCGAGGCGATAAAGCCCCAATGGGATAACCAGTGCTGCGCTGGGATATAGTTGCCTGGTAACGAAAATGACAGGGCAGATATTAGAGTTCGTATATATAGAGTTAGAATAGAAAATGACCAGACCGAAGCGATCTCATGGCCTGCCCAAATGGGTGTGCGGCATGGAGGGCTGACGGTGCGGCGGGGTGGTTGGGTGAGGTTTCACGGCTGTTTACGAGGGTGGCTGACGAGGGTGGCTGACGAGGCTTCTTAGGAGAGTGGCGCATGGGTGTCCCGTTTGGGAGGGTCAGTTGGCAGCGTAGGGGCATATGAGGGTGGCGTTTACAGCGTCGAGCCTCAGGCCTGTACAGTGGCAATTGGCTCATTGCACTGGCAAGCCTGGCGTCTGCGGCCCTCAGGGGCAAGTCGTCTTGCTAATAAGGAGGGTCTCAATTGCAACCTTCTCTGAAATGCACTCATAACAAACAACGTACCTATACCGCTCTCCTTTTGAGCACTGCTTGGAACAATGTCACCTTCGTTTGTGCGATGGAGCAATGTCGTCAGCGAAACAGTGGTTACCTTCAAACGCTTCACTATGAGCGACCGTAACTTTTTGACTTTGTTCCTTCCGCAGTCGATTCCGCACCATGCGTGCTGTAATACTGGGCCGCCCCTTTTCCTGCAGCATTGTCTGTGGCGAAGCTTCCTTCCCAGTAGCCACGATAGTTTGTAATGCTTGTTTAAAAGCCTGCTCATCTTCAGTACTCCACCGACAGCGTTTTTTTGGTGGTGGCGGACCAGACTTCTCTTCTTCGTTAACAGCTGTCTCACTGGTGCCGCTACCATGCCCTAATTCTTTACCAATATTGCTTTTGTAAATGAAGGTCTGTAGTTGCGTCTTGGTAACATTGGCAATTCGCGAGTCGTTCCTCAAGCTTTCTGTTAAGTGCTTGACAGTAAGTCTTCCATTGTCTACAGCTATACGTTCTGCAGCTTGTTGCAACGCAAGCAGTTGGTCATCAGTCCAGTGGCGTTTGCCCATGCTGCTTCATAGCAACACAATAACAACATAAGTATTCTAACGGTACTGTGAAGGCTTCCTTGTGTATAACTACAACGACTATCCGTGATCAAGAAGGGATGCCAAACAGCAACTGTAAGAAAGCACGTGTACGACAGCCCCTTTCCGAACAGCAACGTTGCACCTAAACAACAGACAACAGGAAAACACGTAACGTAGTTGTTTCGAACATTCACTGATCCAAACCATAACACCAACCTCATTTCCATGCCCCATAACAATGTTGTCTGTGTGTTCTAACAACTGTTCTTTTAGGTTCCGTGGCTTACACATAGCAATAGTTTGGAAACATTGTCAATGTTATGGCTTCGTGCGCGATGTTACCTAAATAGGAAATTTACTGTAATGCGTAAGTCCCGGTATTCCCTATGGCTTTTCCCTTGCTTCCACGGCGCGGCCTATCGGAGCGCCTAGAACCAAGGGCAGGCCAAAAAGCGCCATGAGAAGAGAGACAGTAGGAAGCGGAGCTGCATGGGAGTGAAGGATTGGGATGGGGCATTTCCAGTATCGTATTGTTACCAGCCTAACAAGCCCCTGAAAGATAACGATACAAAAGTGGAAAATACAGTAACTTGCCCTAAACCCACCTCTAAAGGTGGAGCCCTCGACGGTTGCACTGTCGCGGACTTCTTCCATCCAAAGGGCACCTGAGCTGTCAGTGACCTGGGGGATTGTGTGAATTGGGCGTTAATGGTATCATTTTGGCTGCAAAAGTGAAATGGTTGGTCCTGCATGGGTGTAGGTAAGGTTTGCGAGCCGTACACCCTCATGCAGGTCAGGTTTGCGAGCCGTACACCCTCACGCAGGTAAGGTTTGCGAGCCGTACACCCTCATGCAGGTCAGGTTTGCGAGCCGTACACCCTCACGCAGGTAAGGTTTGCGAGCCGTACACCCTCATGCAGGTAAGGTTCGCGAGCCGTACACCCTCATGCAGGTAAGGTTCGCGAGCCGTACACCCTCATGCAGGTAAGGTTCGCGAGCCGTACACCCTCATGCAGGTAAGGTTCGCGAGCCGTACACCCTCATGCAGGTAAGGTTCGTGAGCCGTACACCCTCATGCAGGTAAGGTTCGCGAGCCTCCTTACGGCCCAGACATCCAAAATCCTCCCAAAGACACCCATGCTACGGATTATGGGTGGAAAATAGGATAAAATGTAAGGACTTCGCAAGGAAATTGATGCAAACAAGGGTCTAAAAAGCGTTTTCATTTTAAGGTACTAACTAGCTAGGGATTATGTTTCTTGCGTAAGGGGTTCACGGCACTGTTAGGCGACATCCCCACCCTACCTTGCAGTCAGTAACAAGTACATTGCGTGGCCACCGCAGCCAGACAGCAGGCATCCCGTTGGCGTGGCTATTGATAGCGAGTCCTGATAACAAGACATCAGCACTGTGCCTTGACGGGCCAGGTGAAGCCCCAGAACTGCTGCAAGAGGCTAGGTGAATCCAATCTGTAACACAAGAGAGGCAGGGTTAACAACCAGTTAATCTGATCACGACAGCAAGCATGCGAAGGGAAACAGCGATATGGGCTTACCAATCGCCGTACTCATGATCACTGCACCATCGTTGCCACTGTAGTGGCCGCCTTGGACAGATACTTTTGCCATTGGCGTGCCCGTTGACAACGGAGCAGAGCAAGGCGCATTTCGCTGATGGATCACTATGGCGCCCAAGGTGCGTCCTGTGACACTTGGAAATCCAGATGATGATAACAATGCATATGCCTGCAGAAATAATATTTGCGTGGTAAGGTTGCTATCCAACGCCCCGGTGTACGGCGCCCTGTGCCATGACGAGATTGCAGCAGTTACCTGGTCAAAACTGACTACGGTTTCTCTCATCAACTTGGTATAGCGAATGACAGGGTATGTGTATGTGAGCCAGGGTGCCATGGTTGTAAGCAGCTGAAAACCGGTATCATAGTCTCCAAAAGTGTTCCCAGGACTCGGCAATGTTGCTGGATCAAGAGCCGGTTGCCACAGCAGCTTGTTGTCCTTAATTGTGCAATCTCGGATGTCCACATTGCACGTAACATTATCACATAAGACGTACAGGCCACTTGTTGCAACGCCTGCAAGCGCGGGGATAGAGGGCGATGAAAAACCATAAAAAATACAAGGCTTTGGGTACCAAAACGTGTCTACCAGCATTAACCTGACCTCGCTACGCCTGAATTCGGCTAAGCCTTTTTCCTGACCGCTATGTTCCCTGGTGCCTGGTCCAGGTTCTTGGTTTGCCCCAGACCGCTGTCCTGACCCCTCGCACTACCCAACCCCTCTACCCGACCTAGGACATCCCCACTTCTCTCTCGGAGTCCCTCCATGGCACTAAGAATTGCATTGCCGATGACCTCATCACACTGCCCCAACCCTGCTCTGCACCTTCGCCACGTGCCCCGAATGCACCCCAGGCTGCATTGATATACACGACTTGCATGCATCCCCTACTCCCGATCAATAGCTGGCGTCCTCTCATAGCCTTACCAGTATTGCCTAATATGGAAACTCCCTCAAACGTGACATTGCACGACTGTGGCATCAGGTTGCTGTCAGCAGGGAGGTCGTTGCCATGGCAGGACACTGCAATAACAGCCTCCATGTCATCAGCCCACGGCCCCTCCTGCAGGGGATAAGTGGTGTGGAACCATTGCGTGCATAGGTCACGGAGCGCTACAGGAATTGCACGCTGCTGACAAGCATGGAAAACACTGCAATCCAAACAAAGGATCGTCACATGGGAAGGTGCATCCCAATAGGACAGCACAAAAGCCACACTCACATATGTAGACGCCTTGTGCATCCCCCTGCCCGCAAGCCCCTCCGGCCCCGCCCAGATGCATTAGCCCCACCCGGGCCCCCCGGGCCCCTCCAAGAGCCAAATCCCCACCGACCACTGTGAACCAGCACTACACAAGCGCAACACCCATGTGGTTTCTTGTGTCAGGTCACCCATGGAAGACCGCCCCTGACGCCCGCACAACACGGTGTCTAGGCTCCTGGGCTTCCTGACACCTTGACTCCCAGAAAGCCTTCGTGAATGGACTCTCTTGGTACCCCCAACAACTAAACAGCAGTGCAGTTTGGGGCGGAGTGCACCAACCTGGAGACCAGAGTGAAGCTCAGCTGCCTGAGCTACAGGGTAGCCACTTGAAGCTGTGGTGGCTGATGACGCCAACTTCCGCTGCTGCAGATGCTGCTGCTGCGGGCCCACATTGCTGCCCACTTTTGCCGTCTGGCTGCTGATACCAGACGCCTGCTCTTGGGTTGTGAGGAAGCCTCCAGGAACCTCATCCTCCCGAGTCAGCCTCCGGTGGGCCATCCGGTGCCGTTGCTGTCCTGATACCGGTTCAGCTGCTGACGCTGACCCGCTTACTGAAAAGGTGTTGTTGTTGAAGATGGAGTTGCGGATGGTCAAGTTGCCAGCAAAGGCGCTTGCATGGATAGCCAGTGCCATAGTTTCCGACGTGATGGGTGCAACACCAGCTGCATTTGATACGTATACCCGTCCAGGCTCCTGCTCATAGTGGGGGCGACAAAGGGGGTTGCACGGACTCCTAGGCAAGGGCTTGGTCTCATTGCTTGGATTGTTCCTAAGGCTTATGTAAGACACACAGTTGCTGTTGATGAAGGTGACTGCATGAAATGTACACAGTATACCACAATTGTAAGGCATACCGGGTTGGGACAGCAGAAAAGACGCAATGGGAGCGAGAGCTTAAAATGAACTTACTGACCCGCCGCCGACGACCCAACTAACTCCGACATGTCCCTTCTACTTAATTAAGGCAAACAGCTGACATGTTGGCAAATGCACTGCCAAAAGGACCCACTGTCACACTTGCTACTTGAAGCGGGGCGAGTTACACCAGGAGTACCTATTTCCATATCTCATGTCCGGGACAAACAAACTGTTCGCCTTACCAAAACGCGATGGAAATTCGAGAATACCGAGTCTGTAATTACAATGTCAGCCTTAGATCCGTAGCTGACCAGGAGGCCAGGGCGCATACATCCTTCTAGGTGGACACCGGAGATTGTAAGCCCTGCGCTGCGGCTGCTTAGAACGATGAGGCTCATTTCGCTGGATGTGCATTTTAATATAGATCTTGGAGAAGTCCCTGGTTCAGCCAAACTGGCGCCTTGAAGCACCAGACCTATGCTCACGTGGAGGGCCCTCGTTAACGAAAGCGTCGCGGGTGGAAGCTGAAGCTCTAAATTCTGAACATTCCTGGTAGTCGCTTCCTCAATAGCGCTGTGGAGACTCTGCTCGTCAGTAATGACAAAAGAAGCCTGTACATTGCCAACTATAGCAAGCATACAGGAGAGGTATAGCTTTACCAAGCTGCCCAAGGTCGTTTTCATGGCTTTCCGTGACTGTGTAATCGCCGCAAAGGTTGTGTGGAGAACTACTAGCGCCTCCCCGCATAGCTAAGTGGCAGCATCCCTTCCATCCTTAATAGCCCAACAGAAGGCAGACTGTCATCCCTCAACATAAAATTAAATAACCACGCGTCGCACGTACCAAGCAGTCCGCACTGCCATCCACTATTTCCGTACACGGTACTATATAGTCGCCACAGGCCCCATGAGCACAGGCCCCATGACCGCGGCATCAGGTGAATTTTGCGCAAAATTCAGCCGTAAAACTCAGCTGTACGCACGCTGACTTTTACCCTTATTAGATTGTTAGCTGTAGACTAACAGCCGGACTTTATGCTGCTTACATACATAGTAGCTGGCATATATAGTAGCCTACTGTATACTATGCATGCGTAGGCACGCACCCTTTACCCCAAGACTCCAGCCTTTTCCAAATACCACCTGTAAGCACCATAAAAGCTTAGAGCTATTCCATTGCTTGACAGCTGAATTGCCAATAGGAAAAATACATAAGGCTAGCCCTGTATGTACCTATTTTGAGCCTTTTGCTTATATTCCTCCGCTCTAAGGCGTGGCTGCGAGTTCGACAGTCGCAAATAGCACACTGAGACCTTCTGCATACATACATTGAGCTGCTTAAGTTGTGGTTCCCGAATCAAGGTTTACTGCGCGGGCGACGGGATAACATGTTGTGGAGCTTACATAAAGTCGTTTCGCGCCGCGCCGTTCTAATGTGAAGGTCATATAAATACATTAGTCTCACTGTCACTGTCAGTTGTGGGTGCGACTGACTTTCGGTCTGAACCCATGGCCAAATGGCGAAATGCTAGCATGTTGTCCCACCACCTAGAGCAGAAGACAAGAAAAGCCTAGCTAGAGCCCCGTATAGGCTCTATGTACCATATGCACACCAATTGCCGAGACGCTTGCCAAATAGCGCCTTGCTGCAGCTTGCTGTCCCCAGAATGCATGTCGCGGCGACCGCAGAATTGCGGTTCCGCTTGTTTCAGGATTGCCCGCCCATGTTCGTAACCTTATTGCATTGTATCTAAGCTATAGATAAGGTCGCTTTGTGTTAAAATGCCTATCCAAGTGCGTTAAGCTGGCTGGCTCAATTTGCCAAGCCCATTATTAGTAGCGAATTTGTGGCAGTGGAGCGCCTAGGTGGCTTTTCGTCCAAGTCTGACACGATAGAATGCAAGATAACCTTAAAATTATATTTGTGGCTTGATTCACGATGCATACAGCGTCGGTTTGGGCGAGCGTACGGGCGATTTCATGCGCCGGCTCAAATCAGGGCCACTTGAATGAATAGCACCTTCAGGGCTAGCACCGCGGTAGACAAAACGCCGTTTAGCCTGAATTTAGTAAAGTATACTTCAAGGCGCGAACGGGAGCTGCTACTGAGGGTAGGGCTGTGAGGGTGGCCTGTGAGTTACCTACTGTGAGGCCTCTCTGCTCATCCATGTGCAGTGCCTGCCGCCAAATGCCCTTCCCATTAACGATCGAACCTGTACGTTGCCTGCGAAAGTCCCTCTAGCGAGATGTCAAACCAGCTCTCTCATTAAGCATGCATGTGCACATCGGAAAGCAAGGGAATTCCCTATATGTTCGGTTTTCTCCAACGACTTGTCTTTCCTACCCATTCTATTTTCCCAGCCGTTCCTTCCATCTGCATAGCTGCACGCGGTATGGCCTTCTCCCTTGGTCAGCCCCACGCTACTCCTCCGTTAACCCTGACAAACCACCAAACACCCCGAATCCGGCCACCTGCAAATCGGACAACACAAAGGGCCCCTTCCCGCTCCTCGCAGCCGCAAGCACATAGGCCCTCTGCCACCGCCATCCCGCGGCTGCTCTCACCGCTGATTGGACATTGCATGGGCAGCCGTCAACAGAGCCGTCGCTGCCAACACCATTTCATTGCAGCGCCGCTAGGCCGCCGTCACCGCCAGCGACGTCAATGAGGCCGAAAGCCAACACTAGCACTTCACTTTACGAGGCAAGCGCGTCCGCAGTCGTCCTGTTGTACGTTCCGGATGATGAAAGCACAATGAACGAGGCCGATGGGCCATACCTAGACGCGCCTCCATGTTCCCAATTCCCTTGCGTTATGTTCCACACTCGCGCGCGCACGTTTCATCTCTACCTCTTTATTTGCCCCCCACCGCTTGAACCCAAGGTTGCTTGCCTGGCCGCTTTTCGCTACTGCCAGCTACCATCCTGTACCTCTCCCTTTGGGTCATCTTTGACCCACTCTGCGTGGATCCCGCCCGTCCCCACGAACCACCATACATGCCTGCGCGTGAATTATTGTAGCTGCAAAACGATTTGCACTACTACATTCTAGGTTTTCCGAGCGCAGAACCTTCTTCCGCTCCCACCGGCTTCTGATGCCTTCACAGGAGGGTCACGCCTGCCTCGCATGCAGCGCTTGCAGGTGAGGCTGCCTTTTTCACAAGGTCCCTTGCGTTTGGGCTTCTGCCTGCAGCAGGCGCGGGAGCAATCGGCGGACATTGGTAACGGCGGTTGGCTCAACAGCTGCATTGATGAAGCTCGGGGCCCTCACGTTGGCGAAAGAGGACGTGCACTGCTACTTCATCTTGGCGGTGGCGCTGCTGTGGGAGGCTTTGGAGCACCACCTACTGTCGTTCGGAAATTCTGCGACGGCTTGAGTGAGTAGTTGCGACCACTTATATACTGTGTCAATCTTCGAACCCTTGCTTGCTGAAGGTCCCGGACCCCACCATCGGAGACTTCGACAACGAATCCAGTGCGGCGACGGTGGGAGCAGCCGCGGTGGCACCGGCGGCATCTACCAGCTCCGTCACGAGACGCCGTCAAAGGCGGCATCGTACAGCACGCTTCCCGCTGGCGACAGAAGCGATGGCGGCTTTCCGCTGGTCCATTAATAGCGTGCGTGCTCCGTGCAGCAAGGATGGCGCTGCCGCTGCTTTCAAACCAATATTGTAAAGGGACTTTGTTTTTGGCTTTGGCAGGCGGGTGTGGTGAAATGGCTTTGACTATAGACCGTGTGGGTGGGATGAGAAAGCATCCGTGCTTTGGAGGACCTACACAAACCTTACAAACGGCAGGTGTCCCTGTTTCTCTGCATGCCTGATATGGTACAATGCGTGGCATCACATAACGCTGCGCGCCAGTACTACTCCGTACGCCGTATAGCAGTACTTGTGCGGGTAATATAACATAACACTAGCTGAGGGAAGCGGTGATGCAAGCGGTCCCACGCAGCGGAACCACAGCAGTCGGTAGCGGACACGTACGGCGTGCAAGTCTTATGCCTCATGCTGCCCCTGCAAAACCACGGAATGTTGTCGTTGGGGTGTGCACATTGACTTTCCTAGGCTGGAGTGGCCACGCCCGGCCCCACGGTAGGGTACCACACGTATACACTTGTTTGGAATGCAGCCATAAGCCTTAGGAGCTGATGATGAGATAACATTGCTAAAAACCAACTGTGATATTATTATGCAATAAGTCTCCCTCCCTTGACTGTCCTGAAAGGAAATATAAGTAGTACCTTACATTGGGGCGCGTCTGAGCACCGTGTAAATGTCCATAAAGGAAACCACGTTACAACACTTCAATTTATGACCGTGAGAATCGACTGCTAATAACCTTCAGCGGCCTGCTGCGTCAGTAAATTCAGTGCAAGTAACATTATGCGCGGAACCCATTATGCAGAATGGGATAATGCGAACTCTACAACCCAAACATAAGTCCAGGCGAGACACTACAGGTGACAAGCGAGGTGTGCTACTAACCAGCTTGAGCACATGACCACGCTACCCGCACCATGTATGCCAACAGCTGCTAGACGCCTGAAGCACGCGGTAGACATGGATGTCATGCGGCAAATGCTGCAAGATGCCGCACCAGGAGCATTAGGTAAGCGCATTCTTCTATCCTCGGTCCTTTCTGGCTGAGGCAAAGCCCACGTGAACCCTCCTACCAAAACCTAACAGTATGCATTTCTGAATCATCGTACGCAACTCAAGCAAAGGAAGCTCAAGCCCAAATAGAAGCAAAACCGCCAACTGAGATTGGAGGTCTACCAAACAGGATTAATGGATAGGGCAGAGGTAATCGCCGTCAAAACGTGTAGTATATCCAGACCTGTTCGTGTCATATGCAGAGCGTTTTTGCACTGCCGCTCTGAAACGGGAACTAACATGCCAAACGGTTGGACATACAGCAGCCATGGTGCTATTCAACAGCTCTACTAACTAACCAAACCATCTCATTTCCCACGCTCAAACCTTCGGCGTTCCAGAAATCAGACGCTGGTAAATTAAGGGGGCAAACGGCTTGGCCGCGCCCATTCACTTTTACCCATATCGTGTCTCCCCTGGAAAGTAAAATCCACACACTAATACTGCTGTTGCTATAATACTTAGGAAAAGCGGTGGCGTTCAACCGTTGGCGCGCCATACACTTCACTCCATGTGCATCATGTGGCCGTCCGTACAATTGTCGTACACAGCCTTACTCAAGCAAAACTCATCATTGCAGCGATCGCTCGTAAGTGCATAGGCAACCCACCCTCAAGCGAAACCCACCTCCCAGCAGATTCTTCGAATGTCCACATGGAATACACCCGCCCGTCTGCATCCTGCATCTGTACCGCAAGACGAAGCCAAAGCCAAACCATTCTTCTTGCATAACGATGACGTTGCTCGATGGGAAATCCGAAAGCCCTTAGCATGAAGGGTACACTTGCTCCTTTTGCGCAATCCCAGGATCCCGCCCTACACACTGCCCAGGTAGAGGTAACAAGCCATGTCGGCCAGCCTGCGAGCGCGCGTGCGGCGTAATCAGTCTGCTGCTTCGTCATTCCTAATCCTAACCCACATATTTCTTCATGAACATTATCATTTATTACCAGCAAAGAACGATGGACAAAAATGAAAAAGCGGCAAAATGCGGCTTCAACACATGACAACGTGCCAGTGTGTGACTTTTGCTTCCTCGCAGAATATATGTAACCGGTCAGCCGACTGCCAGCCTTAAACTAAACGTATGTGCTCCCAGCTACTGAACCGGGCGGGGCCCAGAGAGACCGGAACCTAACGTTTTGCGAGGTGACACGCAGAGCGGGTGCGTCGGGTGGCCCGTTTGGTTCCATCACCCGTACTGCATCCTGCCAGAAGCCGACGACAAGGAGCGATGGGACTTGACCTGCATGTTGCGGGGGTCGGCCGAGGTGTGGTGGCTGATAAGGGGTTTCACGGTGGTTGCATCCCAGGGCATCTCGTGAAGCTAATAGAAATGTTCCAAGGCGAAGTGGCGGAGAAAGGAATTAAAGTCTTGATCACTTTTGGGGGCAGGTGAGTCCAGGCGTTCAGGAGCTGCTGTCAGCAGCCGTATTTGCCTTCCCACGGATACCAATGCAAATACAAAGCTGTGCTTTCACAGGCTGTGTTGCCGTACCTTGTTGAGGATAGCGTCCATGCGGCCACTCAGGCTTGTACCCAGCACCACCACTGCCGCCTTGGAAGCAGCCACACCGCTCTTCCGCGCAGAGGAGAACCTATCGTGAAGGGAGATCAAAAGGCGTACATTGGGGTGCCTATCTTATAAGAACGCAATGACGCCAGTCCTTCACCTCATATGAATTAGAACGCACAATACCATACTGCATGCATGTACACCTCTCATAGCTGCGTGAAATAGTAGCAGAGACACCCACTGTACACAAGCATGCGTGCATGCATACGCACCACCCACCTCTCGACAGCAGCGCCCAGGCCCCTCTCAGTTCCCCCAAAGCGCGGCTCATCCATCATCGCTGACATGATGTACTTACGGGCCTGCACAGACAGAAAAATGAAGTGAGTTAGCTTTCAAGCAGCTGGTCAAGGGTTGCGGATGACCTTCTAAGTGGATATTATCGCAGGCAAGTCACTCAGAAAAATAATTTCCTGGTTCTCGAATGTCGCCGCATAATCGTAGTGGTTCAAATAGGATTGGGAATGGGGAGCATGAGAATACAGGTAAAAGGGGCACAAACGCTAAACTAAAATCATATGGCCTATAGAACAAAGTATGACAAGATACCTTACAAATGACGTAATGTATTGCGAATTACAATTCCAAAACTACGTTAGGCTCTCAATTGCTACAACCTACCTCGACGTAGGTCAGCGACTGGCGGGTCTTGGGATCCAAGCAGTCGAGACCCGACTGAATTAGCAAACCGTACCAGTAAGCCTGGAGAAAAGAAGGGGATTTAATAAGCGGCAGCAGGCGCCACAAGAGCGGATTAAAGAGAAGAGACGAATTACTGCTCTGGTGCTGTGTTGCTTAGGTTTTACCACCCACGCTGCAAATGCCCGTTTAGCAATGCCGATATGCAATGCAGCTCGCAAGCTAAAGCCCGGCAGCGACAGCCTTCAAAAGCTAGAGCCCAACCCACCTGGATGATGCTCCAAACGAATGCAACCACGGTCACCGCGTTAATGGCCACGATGATGAGGGAGATGGTAACACGCGGGGCCAGGTTGTTCACGCCTCTGCAGGGCAGCAACAGAAGCAGGCGGATCAACAGCAAGAGCAACGGTAAAAGGCTACCTAAAGGAACAGCAACCCGGTAAGTAGCGGTAGAGAACGCTGCAGAGCCGCGTGACCTGGTGGCTTGTGGCAGCACCCGCTACCAATGGATGGCACCACCACCCAATCACGACCGGACCCGCCTGAAACATTGCGGGCCTGACTGCAAACCAGATTAGACAGGTTAACACTCCACCAACCCCATCCCCTCACAGCTGTGCCACGTAGGAGAACAGCTAAGCAGACGAACAGTTGATGATGTCATTGCACCAACCTATCTCTAGGCGCACACCCACGGCAATCAAAAAAGAAAGTAGACACGCACGCGACAGCAGCCCTCAACCAAACCCGCTAACACCAACTCCCAACAGCTGGTGTGGTGCGACCTGTAATCCCTATCATCCCAAATTACCCCCTCACATCTGTGTCAGGTAGACCAACAGGTAGACGGTGACAATGAGCGAGTACAGTGACGCCTGCGCCATCAGCCCCGCGAACCAGCTGCGGTAGGGCTGCACCAGGATCTGAGCGACCTGTGCGGGGGAAGGGAGCGGTGGGGTCATCCGGTGAGAGAAGGGAGCAGCGGCGGAAGGGTACCGGTATTGTTCCCTGCCTGATGAGGGGGTCTTAGCTGTGGGGTAGGGTTGAACCAGGAGCTGGTAGCCAGGTGGGTGAGCTAACTTGTTGTGCCCCGCCCCATAATTTGTAGCGCCAACACCAGAGAACGTTTCGAATGAACAGTGGTGTGTTTCCCCAAGGACTCTAATTAACCCCCTTGTTCTCCCTTACTCCCCCGCCCCCGACTCACCGCTGCTGCCACCAGAATGGATAGCACGATGAGCAGCTGAACGGCGGCGGAGGAGACGGAGCTCACAAAGGTGACGATGGCAGCAATGGCCAACTGGCGCAGCAGAATCACCGACTCCCACCAAATCCATCTGTTTGAGGGTTGCGGGCGTGTAGCGGTGATACTTCAATTTCGGGGGTGGCCGCATGCATCTAGCAGCACATGGAGGAGCAATAAATATGAGGGCGGATAGCAGGAAGCGGGCTCCCAGCGGATCCAGGTGTATGGAGAAGAGAGAAGGAACTATTGGGCATGGGAGGAGGATGGGGGTTGCTGTGCTGTCATGGGGTTGGCTAGGCCCCCAAAACATACACGGACAAAGTGTGAAACTGCATGCATGCACCCTACTGAAAGGAAGAAGCGCGCCGGCCACATGCCCGGGGGTGACACAGCGAATTCAAAAACATCCGAGGTGGTGGGGTACGTGGACGGAATCAAGCAGGAGGTGCGAACACCTCCAGTACAACTATCCCCTGTATGTAAGTAAGTATTTCTTGTAAGCATACCGCCCGTCCTACCTCGGCACGTAATCAGCCGCCATGATTTCGTTTGAGGTGTCTCGGACGTTACGTTTCTCGCTGGTTGCCCATCGCAACTTGCGAATCATGATCCACGCATTTCCCACCGGCCAGCCTGCGCGACAGAGGAAACCGGGCACATGGAGGGGGGTGAAGACAGTAAGGATTAGGGAAGACAGACCACAAGACAGAACTGTCTTTAACAGCGGGTACTACACCGTATTAAGCCACTTCGCATTTCCAATCTTTCCGACATTTGTGGCAAAGTTCTACACCAGGATAGGGCGGGGGACAACATCTCGGAAGGCGGTAAAGAAAGCTCAAAATGTAACAAAATGTAGCAAGAAGGCCAATGACCGCTTCCAAAACATCCACGCCTAGTGCCGAGCTACAGATTTCATCCTAAAACAAGTAAATACGCGCAAACATGCACTTGTCCTTGCCTCCGTACTCGTCCACAGTAAGGACGCCACAAACCCCTATTTCTGCGCTGGGCTTCTATTACCCTTGCTCCCACGGCGTACCAGGCTTTAGCATGCCATCCCCAATTGAATGCGTAGTAAATGCGGTTTACAGTGCCGTTCGTCACACTGGACTCACCGATGCCAAACAGCAGCAATCCCGGCATACCGAGGCCCAGCACCAGCGCGAGATGGCTGCCCTTGTAGCACTTGACGCTGAAGTCCTGCTGCCAGACGCTACTCGTACGATAGTACAGCGTCTGGGAAAATTTTGCAACAAAAGTAACAATAAGGAGTTAGCGGATAGCAAGCTAGTACGACGGGGTAACTGGTGCATGTCGCCTGAACCAAGCTTGACGTTACTGGTAACCGTTATAAATTGCATTTTGTCAAGCGCATGCATGCACACTCGTGAGAGGAGAGCGGAAAACCATTGTCGAGTGGCAATGAACTTTTGAGAGCATTGAGGCGCTAATGCTCCGTAAAATGCAATTCGTTTTAGACAACACGCGTCTGCGGAAGAATGCTACCACACACGACCCTGCTGTATCATTGCGACAATAATGGGCAGAGGACAGGTGCGGTATGTTCCAAGCAGTGGTCCAGCATTTGTGTGTTTCAGTGCTCGTGGGTCTACGTAAAACGCTATCTCTTGTCATACAGAAACGTCCGCCCGCTGAACTAACAAAGAACCACTTGTCATACTTCCACCACCATCCGCTTACCGCCAAGATATTGGAGGAGTCGTACGAATCGACTTGCGAGCAGTCAAAGATGGACATAAGGGTTTGGGAGATGCTGGGGTAGAAGAAGAACATGACGTTGCTGAAGGTCAACAGCACTTGGTTGTTGCGGTTGGTGACGAGCTGCATGATCAAGCCGCCAGGTGGCCGCGTGCCACGATACCTGTTTGGGTAGCGATCGGGCATTTAGTACAGAATTACAGAGCTGGAATTTTAAAGGGGCGACAGGGCCGACCGTGGATTCCCATTTGCGGTGGCACAGGGAACACCTTTAATGTCGGCATGCCTGACTATCCTTCATGCTTTGCTCCTACACTGCTATGCTTGGAGGACGGGTACAACAGGTAGGATGTACCTACCAGGACATGTAGTACTTCCCGACATCCCATAGCGAGAACAGAAGCATGGCTCCAATGAAGGTGTAGACGGGGGCCAGGATGGTAATGAGGATGCGTGCGGCACCTCGGGACATGACCAGTGTATCAGGCAGCGAACAGTCGAGCGAGACCAGCGTGCCTGTAGGGGTGGACAAACACAGTGGACAGCAGATCGTAGGAACCACGACAGCAGGTGGCGCTGACAATGTAATGACGTTTTGACTGTACAATTTTGGCTAGCGTAAAACAATGCGATGGAGGAGGAGCATTTTGTGCTTGGTTAAGCAACTCAGTCAGCAGCGATCGAAACAACATGGGTATCCCAAGTGCAGAAGGGAAACAGCATTTCCTAAACTGGAGAGAATTTCAGCAGGGCAAAAGCGTTACATTGATTGCTAGCGTCAGGGCAGGGAAGTAAAAATGGAGACTTCAGCAGTGGGGCGGAAATTGCACATTCATGACCGCTGCCCATGTAGGCATGCATACCTCTAGGGTGCTTACCTGGATAACTGGTGGCCTGGATGCAGATGCCGTAGAAGATCTCCATGAAGTTCGGCAGATCCAGAGGTACGGCACGCAACAGCGCCAGCACCTGAGGTTATGCATGGGTCAGGAGTAGCCCCCGAAAAAGCACCTTTGCTCGCCACGCAGGAGAAGTGGTGTCGGGCAATGAGCCCGTCAAGATTAACCAGGAACACCTCTATCGGCTGAGATACCCTTTTTTACTCAAACTTCTCTCCGTTCCTTAGCTCCTTCCCTGTAGAGCCCGGGCAAGCCTCTAGCTCTCATAAGCCCTACGCCTTGAGCCCGTCAGCCATACAGAAAATTACACGCACACACATCCCATCAATCCACACCTGGAGGTACGTGACGAACAGACGCACGAGGGTGGGCAGCTGTGCCTTGGCGTGCATGTCCATGGCTTTCTGAGCGCTCGCTTGCTCACTGCTGTTATCATCAGCCAGTCCACTACCGGTAGCAGCGCCAGCGGCAGCACCCACACCCTTTCCAGGCAGGGTTTTTGAGGTGGGGGCCATGTCATCTTCCGGACGCACCACCGCTTCTGATGGAGAGAAGGATTCGGTTGCCAGGTTGACGTGTGGGCTGTCAAAGGGGTCGGCGCCCTCTCCACTTCCCACGTTGCGATGGTAAACCGTGTTGTTGTACCCAGTTGCAATGTGACCGCCTTCAAAGACTGGGGCCATTGCACCAGCTGGGTGCCCAGGGGACGGATCCATCATGATGATGACCTCCTCATTTTCCAGGAACACGGAGTGGTTGTTTGTGACATCCGAAAATGGGGAGGGCAGTTGTTCCTCCTGTTTTGGGAGGTTTGGCGGCCCCCGTGACTCCTTCAGCGAGGTCTGACGTGACCTTGACGATTGGTGAGCGAACGGTTGTGGTGCTGCGGAGGGGTATGGCTGCAGATACTGATGTTGTGTATGCTCATGCTTCGTCAGGTCATCAGCGTTGGGATCCTGTACAGCGTAGTCCTCAGGAATGCTGTTTGTGGATGTATTTGCGTTATTGTAAAAGTCAGAGAAGTGGCTTGCAGCCACAAGCTTTTGTGTCGGCGTATTGCTTGCATACACCGTGAAGGCCAGTGACAGCAGTGTCAGCAGCGTGGCGAGGGTGTAGTACAGCGCATTATACACCTGCAAGGCGAAGGCAAAGGAATACAAGCATAGGAAAGAGATGCAGAAAGAGTTCATGTTCAGAATGATGGCACGGATTAACAACATATGAACGAAGAGACCAAGAAACGGACAAGAGCCCTAGCTTCATTTCTTTCAGCCCCTAGCTAGCGTTGCAAACATGCTCATGTGGTGGAGGCAGGAAGATAGGTGGGGACGACCGTGCATGCCCATACAAAAGCGACTGGGCCAATCAGCTAGATGGAAACCAGGCTGAACATGGTGAGCCCGGAGGGCAGTAGAGTGTTAGGTGCAGGTGGTGACCTTCTTACCCTTTTGGGGCATTTGGTGCAGGTGGCAATGTTAATCCAGCCGTAACCTGACGCACATTCCCCACACAGGGTGCCTGTGTATCCCTGGGCGCACTGAGCTGCCATGTAGTCTTCCCTGCGAGGTATGTAGGCGGGCAGGCAGGCAGATGGACACAATCAGACAGGTGAACACAATGAAATAAATTAGGCGCAAAATGCGCAATTAAGCCTAGAACCGTTTGCAATTGCAGGAATTTGGAACTGCAATGGTGTTACGAACTACAACTACCGCGTCAGGACTGAACTCCAAAACTCCGTGCTTGGTCCATGAACGCCCTACTCACATGAATTGTTGAGTCTCATGGATGACCCGGATGTTGTACTGCGTGGTGTTGGAGTACGAAATGTGCTGCTGGAGCAGCTGATGACGCCGCTGCTGTAGGTCGAAGTCAACACCGCCGTCGAGACTTTCGGACAGCATTGCCCAAATAGAATCCGCGGCCAGAGCAAGGGAAGTGCGGTACTGCACCTCACGAGCTTTCTGCATGACAGTATGGCGATACGCAAGGAATGGAGAACAAAAGTTGTCAACGTATTGCATGAATGCAGTCCGGTCACGCCAATGTCGCCTAGGCTGTAATGGGTGGGGTTTTGGGCGTGCATGGATAAGCACGGAAAGGAACGAGCAGTGTAGTGACGGCGTACCTGCCAAATCGCGTACTGCAGTGCACCAAGCTGTTTGCTGCGATTCTCGCTTTTGCAAGCCGCCGGGTTGGGGCAGTCCAGGACCTGCGTTTCAAATTCAGGCAGCGTATTCAGCGATAACGGTTATCAACTGTACTACGAAATGTTTACCATTCATCTGGGGCGACACGGACACGACTACGTTGTTATGTTGATAACCTAGCACACTTTCACAAATGACACGTGCCATGCAAGACATGTCGTAGACAAGGAGTTACCTAATTGTCCTCAGGAAAGAGACCCACACGCTTTCCAACATGCGCCACGTTGGCTTCACCTCACCTGGCTACTGAAAAAGCTGCTATGCCATGCGCCGTCTTTGGGTACCATGTAACCCGTATCAATCGCTACCACATAACCGGTGTCGTTGGCCGGATAGTTGCAGACCGCATTGCCTGGACAGGCAGTGCAGTTCTCCTGAACGGCAAATAAGAACCGTAAGCGTCTGTTAAATGGGGCTATAGTACATAGGGTTAGGCAAAGGTTATTGTGATGAAACGGGACAACATTTCTGTCAGGTGAGGATTCGAGGAAGGCACAGGAAAGATCCAGCGTTGGTTACTGATTAAATCAAACCTAAGCCTAGGCCTCACTGGACGCCCTGTAAGCTATGTACACGCCCCGTACATGGCGCATTTGTAACTAGCTAGACCAAATTCGGACACAACTTACCGAGGTCGTGTCAAGGTTGAACGAGCCTTGCTTGCACCTGATGCACTCATCGTGGTTCTCAGGTGCAAGGTATTCATTTATGCTGCAAGGCCGCACGTATACCTCTACCTGCATATCAACAAAAACGGGCAAACAAGGACACTAGTCGCGGGCCAAGGCAAAAGGGAGCAGAGCGAGTACGTAGGAACATGAAGATGGAGGCCAAGGCCTTCGTTTGGAAAACCCACATCTACGACAGACCTAGCATATACACGGTAGAAAATAGTGTGGCGCACATTTGGTAGTGAAGGGTCGCATCAGTACTACACTCTGTTGACTCACTGTGTCCGGCTTTAGGTTGCGCTCAGGGTTGCTTGAGCGTCCGGTGAACGTGATGTTGTGAGGACCTTCATGAGTGCGAAGCACTAGACCCGTGAAATCCGCAAGACCGTCCAAGGCCACCTGGCTCATGGTACCCGATACCTGTGGAACCCAGCACAAAGAAGGGAAACAGTGATTGTCAGCGCAATGTGCGAAATTTCGGATATCCGTTTACAGGAATGCGGAAAGCAATGGTTATGATCCGACCATAATGAGCTGTAACGGCTTGCTTGGCTGTATGCTTAGAAAAATGGCGACTACGCACAGCCATAGTGAAGACATGCCACTGACTAATAACAGTACGGCTGTTAGGTGGGTTAGCTGGTGACCCTGCTGTAGCCGACAATGTTTTTGAGGCATCGTGCGCAACACTGCGACCCCACCTCAGGCGACACGGCCTCTATAACTACCACTGTCCTCGTGCTGTTCGTTTCTGTACAGTTGTTGCCTAGCCAGTCATGTGTGGTGACGTTCAGCTGCAAGTTGGTGTTGGAGCTGTAGAAGTGCTCGTATGGCTTAACCTGCACGCAAATGAGAAAGGGCAAAGAAAAGGTTAAGATCACGATTCATTAAAGCCTAAAACCTCATCCCTTTCAAGGACGCATGGCAAGCAGTGGCTAAACACCGACTCACTCCTGAGCTTAACTTGAAATGCACACAAATATTTTAAAGAAGAAAGACAATTTAGTAACTTGGCGCCACTAACGTCTCCAAGTATGTACCTTACCAGCAGAAAGTATGGCGTCGTACTGATATCATTCCCGCTCGCAGCAACGTTGTACTCCCAGTTGGAACAAGGCAACTGATTGTACGGCATTCCAAGCCAAGCCGTGTCATTCACATTTAGGACGACTGTGCCTTGTAAATTAATGGACGTCAACCCTAACTCGTCAATTATCTCAAAGGCAGCTGCCGCAGTGTCGTTTGGCAACACGAGATTGCCATTGACCATGTAGATGCTGCTGTTGGCTGTCACCACAGGGCCCCCTAATGGCTGCAGCAGCTCAGCCTGCAGATTGCGGACTAGCTTGCCATAGGTGACAGGCAGATCTTTGCGGCCTGGTAACACAAGCTTAATTTGCGTGGTAGGAACCTTGGAAGAGTCGGCTGTAGAATAACCACCATCAAAACCGTTAACACCGTCTGCTGGTGGTACTCCTGATTCTGCTGAGCCTAGAGGAATACTGTGGTAGGAGTCAGAAGCACAAGAGTTGACCTCCACAATAGCCTCGTGCTCCCAAAATATGGCGCCACCGCGACCATAATTTGCAACATTTCCTGGAAGGAGGTCAATCAGCAAGATGTTTAGCTCACTCCTTTTGTCCAACTACAAACTTCTCTTGGCTTCACCTTCGATGTATTTATACCGCATTTACCTGACATATTTACATTGTTCAACCGAACACTGTAGCATCCAGCTGGGTTCCTGCAGCTCCGTCCCTCAGCCACGTAGAAGCCGCCACCATGCACATCTGCCTCGTTGCCAAAGACATCCGAATTGTTGAACTGCAGGGCATGCATGGGAGGTAAGGAGTCGAGTCCTTGGTTACACCTACAACTTAAAATTGACAAAAGCGGGAGAAGGGCGGAGCCTTGCTCAGGGTTGGAACGTATGATCAATGGTATGAAGGGGCCTCCGCCCAAAATTATCAACATACGAGGGCCGCCCACAAGGCAATTGCTTGTATTATTGTTCTTTCATCATACAGGCTCATGGCAAACAACAAAACAATCTAAGGGCTATTGGGGTCAAGCAGTATGGACAACATGGCTCATCAGCAGAGCCTGAGTCCATCACCATGGAAGCTCAGGACTCGTCAAGAGGTTAAGTGATTGTTCTGCAACCCTTGGGATGCAGAAAATGGCATGCCGGCTTGAGCGACTATCACAGGGATGAGGGAGTGATGCTTCGCGATTTGGGTGAAGGTGCTGCAGCATGGCACCGGCGGCTGCCACACCGGGTTACCAGCAGCAGTGGAGGCGTGGACGGGGTGACAGACTAGTGTGCAGTGTTTTGCGCGTGCGGGAAGTGGTGACAGGGGCAGTTGTCAAAGGCACGGCGCAACAGGGACAAGAGGAGGCAGGGGCCGGGGCGGGAGACGTGGAGACGCCGCCGTGTTGGTTGGTGAAGCAGAGTGTGATGTGGTAGGGTGCAAACGAAAGGGCCAGTGGTGCTTCTGTAAACGCCCCATACAGCCCATCAGTTTGGGTTGTCCAAAGTGGGGTAACTTGGGTGAAAAGCCTAAGCAGGACTTTAATGCAACAACATGACTTGTGTTAACAAACTGGCCGCGATTTAGAACGTACTATGATTGCCGGAAGTCCCCACAGAAACACCACAGGAGCCGAGGAGTATGGTGGCATATTGTAGAAATATATGTAAAGGACTGGTGCTGGTAGTACGAAGGACGTGAGAAGCACGCTTGTAAAACGACTGGACCGAAGGCCCGTAGTAGTAAGTTGATATGCATGTAGTAGCTGACAGCACCGATTGTGTAGGGGGTTTCGGTATCAATGGGGCTTAAGCCGGTATGGCTATATTCCGGCGAAACTTCATTATGTTGTTCAACATGGTGATCACAGCACAACAATTTTACCTCCCCCTTGCTCCCCTCACCTCTATGGAGCTACCATCCCTGCCAACGATGCATGCTGCTGCTCCTTCACCCGAATAACACGCATGGCTGGCTGCTGACCCGTTCATGGCCTCCCGTCCCTGGAGTCCAGTGTACCCCTCAGCAAGCGGAGGTGTGAACGCACGGTTGCCCAGGAAGCGGGTGTTGTTTAGGGATACCTGATGATCGTAAGGAAGGGGCCAGAACATAAGATGTGAAATTATTGGAACGCACAACGGAGTGACACATCATAGGATTACGGGGGCCAATTGTAGCAAGTTGGTAGCAAGTGTTGGCTCCAGATGCATGGGGATTTGCCTGTAACGCAAGAAGTAAAGGACAATCATGTGGGCAAGAGAAGGAGCTCTGGCATGCTGTAAGGGTGTTCAAGTGTAACAGCAGATACCAAACAAATTTCACATGCTCCTCTCTCCGAGGAGCACCCTCCTCTCCGAGAGGAATCTGTTTTCCCACGCCCTTGATGGTTGCATCACCACGGCCCCCACATTCAGATAGACGTGAAACTGTTCAGTTATTTGCAGCGAAATTGAAATCGTGCACTCAGTTTTGGCGCTTTCTTACCTCAAGCCCACCATCTAGCATTATGGCTGCACCGCCATTTGCTGTGTTATTGTAGAAAACGATAGCAGGTTGGTCGATTAATGGTACCGTTTCAGGCGTAATGTAGGTGGTCATAGCGTTCCTGAAATCATGTTAAGCGTAGATCGACAAAAATTAAATGTTGTTGTTCAAAAAAGTCATGGAGAAAGCTTTGGCACCTGAACTATCTAGGTAGAACACCACAATGGTTGGGGCACATGCATGGTGTCAAGCTAGCCTAGAGAGCTTGGCGTAACCAAGTCAACAATTACCATGCACCACTGGCTCATAAAGCTTCACTGGTTTGGGCCACTTACCCATCAAGAAAGTCCAGGAACTCCTGCACTTTGTAGCCCTGGGACAGATACGTGAGGTTGACAGGTGCCATTTCGATAAGTAAGTCTATTACAGACCCGGCAGCAGTGATACTTGTAACATCGTGCAAGTAGACTCCTCCACCAATCAGGGCTGTGTTGTTTGCAAAAAGGACACGGTACGGTATCACCCCTTCGACACCCAAGGGGTTGGGTGCACCCGGAGCCTCCACAATATCCTGAGACACTGTGAGATTAAGGTGGCTAAAGCCTGCGGAAGCCATAACTGTCAACCTCGGGCAAGAAACAGCAGCTATACCGCCACCTGCGCATTGCAGGTCAAGAGGTGCAACTTACTTAGATGTGTAACGAAACACCAGACTTAGTATAACTAACTCCTGGCTTCCACGCTGGTACCCTTGCAAGGAACACATGAATGGAAACACAATCCCAGGCAGCCATGCATTTCTCGAGTGCCCGGATGCCAAGTAAGTGGTTCATACAGTGAAATTTTTAAGCGTGACCACTGGGAAAACAGCACAAATCATACGGATGAACTCACCAAGTAAGGCCATGTTGTTTGTGAACTGCGATAGGGAGCCAATCTGCGTTGGGGTCTGTAAGACATACAGCCCGCCACCATATCCTGGATCCAGAGAATTCAGAGGAAAGTGCACTTCCTCATTTGCTGCTCCTGGTTCTGGAGATGTATCCGGCCAGGCCCATGGGTTCGTCACCGAGTTGTTGTCAAAACTGCACTCATCAAGAAACAGCTGGTCGACCCTGAAAGCATGCACGGGACAAACATTGGCAGCATAGTCAGGGGGGGGGTAGGAAGCGCAAAAATAGACCCCAACCCTCAAATTGATGGCGCTTTGCGTCGGGACTCCGAATCTGCTTTCAGATTTCTGTTTGGAGTTGTACGGAAAAAACTTTGGGCTTGGTTGTACGGCAGGGGTTGGTGGGTGGGTGGGTTCAGGGCCCCAACGACATTTTTACATGAGCCTCCGGAAAATTTTTCCCGGCCTCATGTTAGGGTTTTGAAAGCTGTATTGTCATCCTTTCTTCGTTTCTTATAAGCAGAATTAGTTCTATCAACAAAATGGTCACTTCTCGGCTTCCAATGTGATCTTCACCTCTGAACCACGGTAGCCGAACGGAACTGCCCAATCCCCAAACGTACAAGAAAGAACTTAAGAAGAAAACGTATATTGCGAACGCGGCTAGTCGGCCCTTTGTGGCTGGAACGTGGTTGCGCCGTTGTCTCGGTTGGTGAAAACAGAACTGGCGGTGGTATGGCGCAAATGGAAGGGCCGTGGTGCTTCCTAGGCGCCAAATACATAACATCAGTCAAGCTGGGGCCAAGAACATTGTTACCTTAGCCGTCCATACTGCAACGCTGTGACATTAACTTCCCAGGGGGTTTGGGGTTTTTCGACTGCATTTAATAGAGCTTGCGCAGAGGAACCTAGACGTTTTTTCCCGGGCGTTTTGGCATAGTTTACAGGTTGTACGACACGCTTGGCGGTGGGTGGGTGGCTCCGAGGCCTTCTCTTTGGAAATTTCGGGTTGGGGTTTATAAGAAAATGTCTTTCCCCCCCCCCCGGCATAGTTACAAAATACGTTCCTAACATGTACTTGCAACAAATAGGCCGTTGGATCTGCAGGTCATCCATCAGGTGCATTAGGCATCAAAAAGTCACCTTACCTGGTTGCTGCGACAGCACCACCCATGATAGCAATGTTGCCTGAGAATACATTCTCGGAAAATGTTGCAGCTTGCCCCTCCATCAGGCGCACAGCTCCACCAGCATGTCGTAGTACCTACAGTCCGAAAGCCAATTTGCTGAAGACACAATTTTATGCGCAAGACTCCGAATTAAATAAAGTCACCAAGGGGTGCACGCCATCGGCTTTGCTCTTGCGGGAGTAGTATGTAGATGCAGAAAGCAAGTTTGTAGCACACAGTGAAAACGTTTTACAAACATGCCTGCATGGCATGCCTACACTAAACCTACTTGACACGGCTGAGTTTCAGCCCAGATGTGCAGATGTTTATGCTGGTCAATATGGGCAATGTAGCAGAAACTGGCAGTGTGCATAGACTACCGAGTAAACACTGAGGATCAGCACCGAGCCATACGTGGCAGGAGGAAATCAAGTCGTGCGAGCGGATGGAAAGGAGCCTTTAGTGTCCCTGGATGGACGGCTGGACATGCAGGAGTGTGGATCTACCACAAACAAGCAAGAAGCCCACCACTAGCAATGCTTGCTTTGGTTGTCCTATTTACCTTGTTTCTCACGAAGACATTGCCAGCAAAGATGGCGGATGCAGTGTTTTGTATATACATGGCGCCTGCAACATAAGTTGATTCAACTTCGGTCTCATAGCTGGTATTAAAGCGCAGTCAGAGCAAGGCCGTAGTCAACATGTGATGGCCTAGCCGACGCTGTATGGCCCAGGCTAACTGCTAAGCCACTCCTACCTCCACCAGCCATGTCATCTCTTGGCAGCGGGTCCATCGCCCGTTTCGGTGGGTTTACCATGGCAATGTTTCCTTCCATAACGTTGCTGCTAATCATCCATCCTGAGCTAGCTGCTACATCAACTCCAGCAACTGCACCCCCTCTTCGGCCTGCAGAGGTGTGTGTTGGACCACAGACTTTAAAGACGGGCGATTCTATGTAGCTCCTGTCTTCGTAGCCTAAGCACCGTAAATATGAGCGGGAAGAGTAGAATTGCCCTTTCCATTCCATACCATGTGCACAGAAGGTAATGCCGGAACCACTTTTTTGGTGATGAAGTCCATGCTACAGGAGTTCATCAACCTAAACACAGGCCAGGACAGCGACAGCAAGGCCACAAGCTGGGACAGACACTCGGTATACTTGACTTACCTGCACGGTTACCAGTGAAGTTGCAGCCCAACAGCGAGTCATAGTTCGTGTTGTATGAAGGTGGATCACCACTTTTCTTTTCAGTTGTTAAAATCCACACAGCCCCTCCATCTCCATTTGTTGCGGTATTACTTATGAAGCTGCACAACAGGCCAAAAACAATACCTCAGGATTAAATATTCGGGTGCGTTAATGCAACAGTGGAATACACCATTTAAGGACGGCATGAGCAATAGATGTACTACAGACGTGTGAACATTGCCTACCTGTTGTTTTTGAGGTATGAAATGTACACGTCACGGAGGAAAACTGCGGGACAGGTGTGCAGATGCTTTTATTAGTTGTCATTCAGCTCCTAGAAAGGTATTTGGAAGAACAACAAGCCGTCTCTTCTGAGGACAAAAATAAAATGAAGGAGGCAGGAGAGACCAGAAAACATCAGAGCACCTGAAAGCCAACAAAACCATCCCACCTGCACCACCTCCAGGTGGTGATGTGTTGTTAATGAAAGTGCTGTGGAGAATGTTGGCACCACCGTAGCTGATTGACCAGCCGGTTACGGCCCCACCACCTGTGTAAGCAGAAAGGAACTGTGTTTCAAGGATCAGGCTGGACTGGCCACAACAAGCGCTGGTCTACAGCTTGTGTCAATACGATAAGATTAGGTTCAGGTTTCATGCCCAATCAAGGTCATCCATATGATATAGTTTGCTGCGCACGTAAACTTACTGCAATTGATGTCACACCTTCTGTCCTAAGCAGCAAGGGTGCTTCACTGAAGCGCCGCTGGTGAGCAGCATACAGGGAGGAGTCAGGACTCACCAATTCCTTGATCCGCGCTGTTTGATCTTGCGTTGTACGTCTGGAGATTGTCAGTAAATGAAGAGTAGGTGACGTTCATCACACCGCAATGGTCTATGTAAACACCACCATTGCGGTTGTCATGAAACCTGGAATCAGATTGGAGTTCATTGTCAGTTTACATTCCTGACCCGCTGCAGGGGGGCGCCAGATGGCAGGATAGTATTACAGGTACTGGTAGAGGAATCCATTTAACTTCTCGTGCAGCAGAAACAGTGTTAACGGTCAACACATTCATGGTCTATTGTCAGGTAGCACCTCAGCATTTTCATGCAGCAAGCCTTGAAAGCTGGTTGCTCCTGTCTGCGGTTTGTGCGTGTCCCTTCCCGACGGTAGGCAGAAAGATAGAGAAAACTGTACTGAGTTCAGCGAAATTACTGGTGAAGGGGGATAGTGCGTTTTGGGAACAACTGAAACCCGTCAGCTTCGCAGACACCGGGGCTCGCCCCCTTTTTAAAAATTGCGAAGGAGGGATGTGTATGCGTGCCGGCTTGTGTGGAGCGGAGTGGAGGGAGGTCGTACAGTTGAACAACAGCCAACGAAAGGCATCAAAGAAGCAATCGCCAGAGCGATAGCCAACAGGATTGCGACGAAGGCCATGTCGGGCGAGGGACGCCTCGAATACGCCAAACGAGCACGTCGCGCGATCCACTTTTCAGCAGTGGCCGTTGAATGAACGAATTGAACGAACGAACGTAAATGTGAACGAAGCGGGACGATGCCCACTTTGTGGCTTTGCGGCCGCCGCGGCAGCGGCAGTCTTTGCTAAGCTGCTATTGTACCGGATTATGCACCGAGACTCTAATTGCGCCATTCTTCTTTTCCTGGCGCTATCATTGGGCTCTTCCTGACATTTATTTACCTCATGCTTATGCACTTAAGGAAGCATACACGCCTTGCCAAGCTCCAAATCCATATGTCACCATTCTGCTCATGTAACAGGACCAGCTTCTTGGGCACATTTTCATTGTTACCGTATTGCCCGAAATTCGATTGACGTGCGTTTTGAAGCCTACTTTCCAGCCCCAATAGACAAAACGGAAATAGTATCTGCCCCTTTTGACCTACGGTTGGTGATTTTTGGGAGGAGCCCTCACCGTGAAGCGGCTTCGGGGGGGGGGGCGATGCCCCCCAGGATTGCCCCTTCCCGTGTGTCCGTCCGTCCGTCCGTCCGTCCATAACGGCAAAACATACAAACTAGGCAAGGCTATTATTTGGAACCAACAGTTAACTGCAAGCCAAACAAACGATATGGTTTAGCAACAAACGATATGTTGACCAGCCTATGAAAAGGACCACCACGGCAACACCGATTACTGCTCCTCTGTGGCGTTTACCGGTACCCTGTACCGTAACAAGTATTTGGTGCATTGGTAACAGCGGCGTGCTGCTTAAGGGCTACCTGTGAAGGTCGGCGGGACCATGCTCGCATCTACTGGGAGCCGATCTGTGAACTAATGCCACCGAATTGGGAATCTGTCGCATAAGGTGATTCGAAGTAGCCACACCGACATAAGCCTTCCTTACAACGTTACCCTATGCTGTCAATGCTGTCCAACACACCCACTGCTTCAAGCAAGGGATGTCAGCTTCCCAAGCAAGGGGTATTAGCTTTACAACCAAGGGTTTTTAGCCATCCAAGCAAGGGGTGTCGGTTTCCCAAGTAAGAGGTGTCAGCCTGCCAAGCATACATGGGGTGTCAGCTTCCCAAGCAAGGGGTGTTAGCTTTCCAGACATAGCTTTTCCAAGAAGGGCCGCGTGTCAGCGTCTCCATAAAGGGGTGTCAGCTCAGTTGGTGCCATGGGGTCACAGGTGCGCATGCCGCATCGTTCCAGTGACCATCATACGTTCCTATCCTACTCCACCCTTTTCCAGCTGAGAGAAGCTGAACCCTTGTCTAGAATCAAGTGACATGCGCCAAACGTCCCCAAAGCTACCGTTTAGGCATGGCCTTGTGATGACCCTGGGCCCTCAATCTTTACACCCCTTTTTGACACCTTGCCAGGGAAATTCTAGCCCCAATTGACATGGCCAAAAAACACTCAGCCCCAATAGACAAAACGCAAACATTCTACTCTTATCAATTTAATTATAGGCCCAAGACGGTATCTCTTCGCGAAGGACCTATGTCGGTATGAACGTCAGCGCCCCAGACGCTTTGTGAACATGCCCCAACGCGTAGTTAAGAATTAAACGGTACCGTAACGTACATATAGTACATTGGTAACCGCAACTTGTTGTATATCGACGACCTGTAAGTGTCTAGGAGCCGACCCGTGTCTGTAACCAATGCCATCGAATTGGTAATTTATTGTATACCGTGGAGCATTCAACCGGGAAGCAAGGGTCACCACCGAAGGTTTATCATGGGGTTTTAATTCTTTTCTTTCCGTGTAATAAAATCACATTTTTGAGACGGTTGCCTGTTCAATACACTATGTATGCAATATGCCAACAATTCCTGAATTAGCCTTCTGGATGGCACGTGAACTACTGCAGGTGGGTCCCGTATTCTTGCTAACCTGGATCCCGTAATCGTAGCATTGTAGACTCCGTTGATGTACAGCGGCCTTTCTGACGTGCGGCAGACCGCTTCAGTGGCATATGGTGACAAGCCAAAGGAGGCACGCCTACATAAAGCGAAAGGTTGCCAGTAACCCAAAGAGAGGTGAGCTCATTAAGGATTGCACACAACCTAAGTGGGGTAGTCCCTGGCATCACCATCTAATTCCCCCAGTAGCTTGAGCTATTCACATCCTGACCCACCTGCAATAGTTCCTAGTGAAGGTCATGTTTGAGACAAGTGCTCGCGTGCGGCCAGGAAGGTTGTCCTTATCATCGACTGGCATGTCATAGCCAACGATGTAAAGTGCACCCGTGGTGTAGGCAGCATTTTCTGTAAAGGCAGGAAGACACATAAATCAACACAAGGCATGCAGCCTGGGCACAATTGGGTTCCAAGGCTAGGAAGGCAACACAACATAGAAGATTGCGTTGTGAAGGGATTCTGGCTGCGCATCTTGCCTTCAAATATGCTGTCTCTAACAATGACTGTGTTCTCCACGTTGCCCAGTGGTGTCATCATGATCAAGACAACTTGGGAGGATCCTGTGCCAATACTCATTGGAAACATGGTGCTGCCATCTTCGTTCGGTGCAGAGGCGATAAAGCCCCAATGGTATAGCCAATGCTGCTCCGGGACATAGTTGCCTGTTAACAAGAATTGCAAGCCAGATAGTAAAGGTCATGCATGTAGGATTAGAGTAGACAATGAAAGCGCCATAAGGGAAAAAGTAACAGTAGGAAGCGGAGCTGCACAGGAGTGAGGAATGAGATGGGGCATTACAGTGTCGTATTGTTACCGGCTTAACAAGCCGCTGAAAGATAACTCATACAAAGCTAGCTTGTGAAATATGTGGTAACTCGCCCTGAACCCACCTTTGAATGTGCAGCCCTCCACGGTTGCACTGTCACGGACTTCTTCCATCCAAAAGGCACCTGAGCTATCAGTGACCTGGGAGGTTGTGTGAATTGGGCGTTAATCGTATCATCTTCGCTGCAAAAATGAAATGGCTGGTGAGCAAATAGGGTATGTCCTGCATGGGCGTAGGTAATGTTCGCAAGCCGTACATCCGCATGCAGGTAAGGTTTGCGAGCCGTACATCCCCATTTAGGTATAAGGTTTGCAAGCCGTACATCCCCATGTAGGTATAAGGTATTAAGGTTTGCGAACCGTACATCCCCATGTAGGTATAAGGTTTGCGAGCCGTACATCCCCACTTAGGAATAAGGTTTGCGAGCCGTACATCCTCCTCACGACCCAGACCTCCAAAATCCTTCCAGGGACACCCATGCTACAGATTATGGGTGTAAGGAAACTAAGATGAAAAGTAAAGAATCCCCAAGGAAATTGCCCTATAGTAAGCAGGAACTACCTCCCTGCCAGCCCGGTTACCCCCTCGTCAGGTCGCCAGGTAACCTAAGCACCAGTCCGTTACCCCTCGGTCAGGAACATGGTTCTGCCGGAGTCGGCTAAATGTAAGACTTGCCATGTCAAACGTTAACTTAACGCTTATTGTCGCCATCTATGGAGGTTTGCGGCTGGCCAGCGGCCCAGGAATGGGTTGTACAGTTCAACTGGCAAGCTGCTGCTTTGTGCCACAGCAGTGCCCAACTGTCTTCAATTATATTGATAACTGTTTGATTCTAAGTTATTAGCAACCACACTTTATCTACTCGTGACTTAACTTATGCGGACCACCTCATGTCACTCGATGGTCCCCCTGGTTTCACTTTTTACCCGAACTGTCAAGTATCTATGATATAGGATGCTTTTAACTGCCACAATGCAGTACTGCGTGTGGCAGACTTCCAGACAGTTCCGCGCATCGAAAGGGTGAAGATCCAAAGTTGATAAGCGCCAACGACTTGCAAGCGGTCGTTCCCAAAGCCGCCGAGGGGCACTTCCAGGTCTTGCGCTCGAAGGTCAAGTATGCAGCCTGCAACGTGCACGCCAGCGCACTGTGCAAGCAAGATAATCCTCACTGGTACTAGCATGCAGCGCGGGCCAGCAGCCGTGGCCAGGTTCGTATGCGCGTGTGGTGGAGAGAGGGGGGGGGTGCCAGAAAGTGCACGCGCCTTGGTGCATGTTTACGTTGGGCTTGTAGCTGCATGCCGCCCCCGCCCTGACCGCTTCTGCTTGTACCATGACGCCCCCTCCCCCGCCCCGCGTCTTGGCGCCTCCGTGTGCCTTCCCTACAGCCCCGCGCACGGGCCGGCCATGGCGGCAGCAGCATGTAGCGGCGGTGCAGGATGGATTGGCGGGGGCGGCACAGCATGCAGCGCGAGCCATCAGCTGTGGCCAGGTTCGTACGCGCGTGTGACGGAGAGGGGGGGTGTCGGGAAGCGCACGAGCCTTGCTTACTTGGCGCATGCTTGCGTTGGGCCTGTAGCTGCATGCCGCCCCCGCCCTGAACGCTTCTGCTTGTACCATGACGCCCCCTCCCCCGCCCCGCGCCTTGCGCAACTGCGAACTAGGTTGTTTTAGTTGTAAGACGCCGGTTATGACTGGGTAGAGGATAGCTGAGGTATGGCGCGTGTGACGGGAGTGCGCATGTGTGCGGCATGCGTGTGCATGTGCGACATCTCATGGAAGAAGGTTCATAAGTATGGCATTGCGGAGGACTAGTTTGGTAGAAGACGACAATCGCATGGCTGGAACACGCACAATATTGAGTGTGCACGGAGGATTCATGCGCGCGCTTTTGCGGCCCTGAGCAGACTTGGTTACCCTGGGGTAACAAGGCTGGGTTAGGTATCTCGGTTACCGAGGTTCGTCATACCCCTGTAACGGACCTTGACATAATGGACCCCTGACGAGGACTTGACGAGGGGGTAACGAGGGTAGGTCGGTTACCCCTCGGTAGTCAAATCGGTAATGTAGAGGGGGGCGGTAACCCCGGGGTAAGACCTGGTTCGACTGCTATAGGGTTGACGCAAACAAGGGTCTAAAAAGGCTTTTCAATTTAAGCTACTAGTTAGCTCGGGAGTATGTTTCTTGCGTAATGGTTTCACGGCGCTGTTAGGTGACATCCCCAACCTACCTTGCAGTCAGTAACGGTTACACTGCGCGGCCATCGCAGCCAGACGGCAGGCATCCCGCTGCCGTGGCCATTAATAGCGAGTCCTGATAACGAGATGTCAGCACTGTGCCTTGACGGGCCAGGTGAAGCCCCCGAACTGCTGCAAGAGGCTATGTGAATCCAATCTGCATCACATGACAGGCAGGGTTAGCAAACAGTCAAACTGACTCCCGACAGCAAGCATGCAAAGGGAACCAGGGAGGAGGTCGAACGTTTCTGGACTTACCAATCGCCGTACTCATGATTACTGCACCATCATTGCCACTGTAGTGGCCGCCTTTGACAGATAATTGCGCCATTGGCGTGTCCCTTGACAGAGCATCTGAGCATGGCGCATTACGCTGTTGGATCACTATGGCACCCAAGGTGCGTCCAGTGACACTTGGAAATCCAGATGATGATAACAACGAACAGTTGGGATATGCCTGCAGCAATAATATTCGCGTGGTAAAGTTGCTATCCAACGCCCCGGTGTACGGCGCCCTGTGCCATGACGAGATTGCAGCAGTTACCTGGTCAAAACTGACTACGGTTTCTCTCATCAACTTGGTATAGCGAATGACAGGGTATGTGTATGTGAGCCAGGGTGCCATGGTTGTAAGCAGCTGAAAGCCGGTATCATAGTCTCCAAAAGTTAGCCCAGGACTCGGCAATGTTGCTGGATCAAGAGCCGGTTGCCACAGCAGCTTGTTGTCCTTAATTATGCAATCTCGGATGTCCACATTGCACGTGACATTATCACATAAGACGTACAGGCCACTTGTTGCAACACCTGCAAGCGTGGGGATAGAGGGGGATGAAAAACCGAATCATAAGTAAATACAAGGCTTGGGTACCAAAACGTGTCTACCAGCATTAACCTGACCTCGCTACGCCTGAACTCGGCTAAGCCTCTTTCATTACCGCTATGTTCCCTGGTCCCAATCCCTCAACATCACATATCCAGGTTCTTGGTTTGCCCCAGACCGCTGTCCTAACCCCTCGCACTACCCAACCCCTGTACCCAACCTAGGACATCCCCACTTCTCTCTCGGAGTCCCTCCATGGCACTAAGAAATGCATTGCCGATGACCTCATCACACTGTCCCAACCCTGCTCTGCACCTTCGCCACGTGCCCCGAATGCACCCCAGGCTGCATTGATATACACGACTTGCATGCATCCCCTAACCCCGATTACTAGCTGATGTCCTCTCCTAGTCTTACCAGTATTGCCTAGTATGGAAACTCCCTCAAACGCGACATTGCACGACTGTGGCATCAGGTTGCTGTCAGCAGGGAGGTCCTTGCCTTGGCAGGACACTGCAATAACAGCCTCCATGTCATCAGCCCACGGCCCCTCCTGCAGGGGATAAGTGGTGTGGAGCCGTTACGTACATAGGTCAACGGTAAGGTGTTAGTCACGGAGGCCCTGCAGGAAATGCACGCTGCTGACAACACATGGAAAACACTGCAATCCACACAAAGGATCGTCACATGGGAAGGTGCATCCCAATAAGACAGCACAAATGCCACACTCACATATGTAGACGCCGTGTGCATCCCCCTGCCCACCAGCCCCGCCCAGATGCATTAGCCCCACCCGGGCCCCCCGGGCCCCTCCAAGAGCCAAATCCCCACCGACCACTGTGAACCAGCACTACACAAGCGCAACACCCATGTGGTTTCTCGTGACAGGTCACCCAAGGAAGACAGCCATTGACACCTGCACAACACGGTGTCTAGGCTCCTGAGCTTCCTGACAAAGCCTTCGTGAATGGACTCTTTTGGTACCCCCAACAACTAGGCAGCAGTGCAGTTTGGGCCGGAGTGCACCTACCTGGAGACCAGGGTGAAGCTCAGGTGCCTGTGCTACGGGGTAGCCACTTGAAGTTGTGGTGGCTGATGACGCCAACTTCCGCTGCCGCAGATGCTGCTGCTGCGGGCCCACATTGCTGCCCACTTTTGCCGTCCGGCTACTGATACCAGACGCCTGCTCTTGGGTTGTGGGGAAGCCTCCAGGAACCTCATCCTCCCCAGTCAGCCTCCGGTGGGCCACCCGGTGCCGTTGCTGTCCTGATACCGGTTCAGCTGCTGACGCTGACCCGCTTACTGAAAAGGTGTTGTTGTTGAAGATGGAGTTGCGGATGGTCAAGCTGCCAGCAAAGGCGCTTGCATGGATAGCCAGTGCCATGGTTTCTGACGTGATGGGTGCAACACCAGCTGCATTTGATACGTCTACCCGTCCAGGCTCCTGCTCGGGTTGGGGTTAGAAAGGGGGCTGAATGGATACATAGGCAGGGACAAGGCGTCCAGGATCCAAAGTATCAAGTCACCCAAAAGCGCGCGGTTAACAGTGAAAGGCACGTCAGGGTAAAGCTATTCCAGGTGTCTGTTCAACCAAGCGTGTCCTAATGAGGTGGGGCGTTTCAGGGACACGCAGACATGCAGGCTCATTGCAAAGCGATGCATTCTGGCATACAGTTAGCAAAGAACTCTATGGGGACAGGAAGATCGCAAGGGGGAAGGCTCCAAAGATGACGGACCTGACATGCACATGTGTGTCAAGTATCAGCAAGCTGACAAGTTAATACGAGCAGCAGAATCGACAACGTTACGACCCCTACGTTCAGTGTTGCTATTTAAGCTCGAGGGAGTACGAAGCCGTTCGATCAGCTCTATGGCAAGCAAGCCGCTCGTCTCACCAAAACACGGTGGAAGTTCGAAAACACGGAGTCTTCAATTATAATGTTCGCACTGGATCCGGAGCCGACCAGCAGGCCAGGGCGCATGCAGCCCTCTAGGCGTACACCTGTAACAATAAGGCTTGCGCTGCTGCTGTCCAGGTTAATGAGGCTTATTTCGTTGGAGCCACAGCGCAGTATAGATCGTGGCGAGGTCCCTGGCTCCGCCAAACTGGCGCCTTTGAGCACCAGGCCTATGCTCACGTTAAGGGCCCGTGTCAATGAAATGGGCACAGGGGGCAGCTGAAGTTCTACAAGCTGGAGACCGCTGAAAGTCGCTTCCTCAATGGCGCTGTGGAGACTGTGCTCGTCAGTAATGACAGAAGACGCCTGTACATTCCCAACAACACCAAGCACACAGAGCAGGTAGAGCTTTGCCAAAATGCCTAGGGTCATCTTCAAGGTCTTCTGAGACCGTCTACACACCGCAGGGATTAAGGGAAAAACTGCATTTCTCGGCATGGCTAAGTTCCAACATTAGGGGCCGACGCATTCATGACCTGTAAAGCAGGCTAGGTTGTCCGGGCGTGAAGTTGGACAACCCAGTGGCGCTCGCATGCTTATTTCACCATTTCCGTACATGATACTCGCCGACATGGTGTTGCCCGTTAATGGAGCGGACATGTATTTACACAGCACGCACCATTGTTTCTCTTGAAAATTTTGGCGTTGCTATATACACTGCTTACCGGTAGCGAACAGTTTGTGGGTTACGCAGAGTTCCTGCCATTGCGTGCATTGTCGCTTACTTTGGAACATTTACCAGAAACCCCTTTCTGTAGATAATTGCTGCGTGGCGTTACCTGTTATGGTGCAGCAAGGAACTGCTCAACAGGGGAGCTGAGTAGTCGCCTGGAATGCAGGCTCCAGTCGTATGTCCCAGGTTTTCATGAAGGAGAAAATAAATAACACACTTACTTGATAATAAAAACGCTGCTTCAGCGCATTAACTGAGGTTACTAGACCCTAGTAGCGATGACCACTTCTTTATATCAATGTCCAGACCAGCGTCCAGTAATAGCTCTCGGTGAGCTGCCTGTAAGCTAAGCGGGCTGTGTGCAGGGCAATGGCGCTGCTGCTCAATGGTACTGTGACAGCTGCCGATGAGCTAGGGAGATGACTGGAGTTCCTCAAGACGTTGTGGCCCATTGGTTACGGCATTGAGCATGGTGTCACAGAGGGACACCATGGGGCCATGGTTTTAGAAGCACAGCAGGCTTGTCCCTGCCCGTGTACAGAGTCACACGGGCAGGGCAACGCCCAAGCAGACATGGTAACCTTGGGCATGTCAGCACACAAGTCAACCGGTGTTTCCTCCAACGACACACTCCTGCAGCTACGGATGCAGCCCCTTGCGCATGGGTGCTTACGACATGCCTGGTTAAGAAGCTTCTCATGGCTTACTTACTTGATGCCACCTCCAGCCAAGCCTCAACCGCTTCTGGGGATTATGCCGATTGTCAGTGCTGATGCATCATGCCCCCGTACAATTTTAGTATTGTTGATGTCTATTTTGCAGGATGTCCCGGGGTTTGCTCCAAAATCCTAAAGTTTTACAGGGCCCTTATATGGCTAATGTTCACCGGGATGGGTGGGACCACGCCAGCGCCCGTGTCTGTGAGCCAACACAACCGGTATATCTATCTTTGGCACAGCGTGGGCCCAAAGTAGCCACACCTTACGATGTTGCACTACAAATGCCGGTATCATTGCAACATAGCTGCTGTTAGTCCCAACTGGGCAAGGGGGTGCCAGGTCGTCATGTTAAGTACTTAACACAACAATTGCTTTAAGCAGGGGATTTCACCTTCAAGGCAAGGGGTGTCGGCTCCCCAAAGCAAAGGGTCGTCAGCTTCCCGTGCAAGGGGTGTCGGCTTTCCGGACTTATCCGTTCCAACAAGGGGTGTCAAGTGCCTCCGATGAGGGGTGTCACAGGTACACATGCCCCCGTGCACTCCAGTGGTTCTCAAGCTTTCCTCTTTCTCAGCAAGGAGGCTACCCCTTTTTCCTCGCGGTGGGAGGGCCAAACACTCCTTAAAACAAGTCCACATCAGGTTTACAGTCCCCAATATTCATAGTAGTTCATTTGTAAAACCATCCGCGTTACTATGGCACACCCAAGCCAAGGACTGGGGCCGCCTCTCGACACCAAGCTCACCATGCCCTCCAGAATTGCGTCAATCTGCCGTCGCCGTCGTTGCCGTCACATAGCGCAAGACCTTGCCTGAACACACTGCGGCTGCAGCCTGCTGTGCCCGCCATCCCACCCACCAAGCCCCATCCCGCCCCAACCAGGGACGGGTCAAACTGGCTCACATGTTGCAAACCATGATGACGCCTTTTCACACGATCAGTTAGTTGTTTCCTCTTCTTTACGCCGCCCCAATCCTGCATTCCAATCCTGGCAGCCTCCTACTGCCGGTCCAGCCCCGCAAAGCTGGTGTTCCTGGCCGGCCGTGCCTCCCTCAGCTGCCGCTGCAGCCACTCCAGGGTCCAGTACTCGTACGCGGCCGCCACCTCGCCAGCCGCGTCCGCCAGCCCGCACGCACGCGCCTCCGCGCCGCAGTGCGCCAGCACACCCAGCAGCGCTGGCTCCTTGGCAATCAGGGAGGCGGAGGTCTGGGCGGCGGGTGGTGGTTGGGGGAGGGGGGAGGGGGAGAATGAGGGAGGAAAACCAACGGTTTCGGCACGGGTTTGAATAGGAAAGAACCGACCAAAAGAAGGAGGGAAGGGGTTAGGGGAAGCCTAGGTAGAAGCCGAGGCGTGGAGTGGGAGCGGGGCCCCCTGCAACCGCTCACACCCGCCAACCGCTTATAACCGCCAACCGCCGAATGGTGCATGGGCACATCCTCGGGGCGCACTAGCACCCGACCCGCACCTTTCATTCACCCACCCACCCATCTACCCCACCCACCCATTCATCCATCCACGATTCGGCCTCCCTCCGTGTGCGGCACCACCCCTCCATAGCCGCCCCCGGGCGCCCCCAGCTTCTCTTGCTGGCTTCCAATCTCTCCCCATCCACCCACACGCACCAGCAACTGCATACGCCCACCCATACACGCACAATTCCAAATTCCCGCCAGGCGCGGACTATCCATCTCCTCTAAACCCCCTCCCCCCTCCCCCCTCCCGCCCATGATAAAACCTTGTCATACAGCTCGTCAGTTGCCTCGTCCGTTTCCTCATTTCTTTCCACCCCCCTCCCCGCCGCTTTCTTCGTCTTACCTGCATTGACACCCGCAGCGCTGTCGCCACGTTCTTGGCTCGGGTGATGGTTGCGTTGGGCGGCACCGCCACCAGCGCCGGGTGCTTGAGAACCAGCTGCATGGCCAGCGGCAGCGGCACCCCCAGCAGCGCCGCTAGGGACTCGAGACGGGCCTGGAAGAGGGAGGCAGGCGGTGAGTTGACTCCTCAACAAAATGTGCTAGCGGTTGATATTGGGGTGTGTTAAGATCTTAAGAAAGCTGGCCGCGAGTCGGAACACATGGTGTGTAGTTGAGTAGAACAAGAGCAAGCAGGTGGGATAGGTTCGCATACACATGGAACACATGGTGTGTGTTTATTTAAGGGTATTCGCACCAGGCTGTATAAATATTGTAGACGTACAGGGTTACTGGTTACTGGGTAAGCCTCCGGTTTCCCTCCTAACCCTTCCCCGTTTTGACACCTTTGGCAGTTTATTCCAATTATTCCTCCTTCTTCTCCTTCTTCCCTCCCCACCTTGACGGTTGTGGCGGTTAATTCCAGAAGTGCGGGTTGCGCCTCCAGCAGCTGCCGTACAGCCTCGCTGGGCAGCTCCAGACGGGAGGACCAGGCAGACAACAAGGAGTCCTGGGGAGGGGGTCAAAGACCATCATACCGAACCAAAGGAAACCATTGGTTAGGGCAAAGCAGTGGGGATAGGAGGCGGCCGGGTGCCACAATAGAAGGTTAACAAGGGATGGGATTTCCCCACTGGGCTGGAAGATAGGAATGCGCATGGCCATAGTTGTATCGGTATGCAAGGGGGAACGGAGGTGGAAAGAGGGGAGCAGAGAAGAAGAACAACAACCGCGTGCATTACAGTATGGCATCCCTTTCCCCAGCCCCAGCACTCCAGACTCGCCAGACCGCCTCGCTAAAACTAAACAAGCATCAGACAACCCCATCACATCCGCCCGTCGCATATCTGTATACGGTTGCTGCACGCGATATGACCTTCTCCCTTGGTTAGCCCCACGCTCCTCCTCCGTTAGCGCTGTCAAACCACCAAACACCCCGAATCCGCCCACCCACCTGCAACGCCGACAGCACAAACGCCCCTGGCTCGCTCCTCGCGACCTCTAGCGCATACGCCCTGCCGCCGACGCCGCCCTCCCCCGCCGCCGCCATCGCCACCGCACTCGCCGCCGATCGAACCGTCGCCGGAGCAACCGTCAACAGCGCCGGCGCCGCCAGCGCCAACTCGCGCGCCGCCGCCAGGCTGTCGCCGCCGCCGCCGCCGCCGCCGCGAGCGACGTCATTGAGGCCGAACGTCGACGCGAGCGACTCGATTCGCGAGGCGAGTGTGTCGGCGGTCGTGTCGTACATTAGCGAGGGCTGCGCCGCCAGTACGGCGAGTGCGGCGGGGCGGTCGATGCCCAGACCCGCCTCCAATGTTTCCAACGCGGCTTGGATGGTGCCGTACTGGCGGGTGGGGGGAGTGGGGTATGGTTTTGCGGAATCCTGTCGTACTACGGTACTATGGGGCTACAGGCCCTACAGCACATACCGGTACTGTTAGACGTCACCGGTGCAAGTACGCACGTGTTTGTTCATGTACGCCTTCCGTAAAAGCCGCGGACTAACAGTGTAAGGCGTGAGCGTGTACAACATAGCGGTACATGTGTGTACGGCAGCGCGCAGCCTCAAGGCCCCTCTCACGCGGGCCCTACCTGCGCGCACAGCAGCGTGGGCTGCCTGCTCAGCAGCTGCACCACATCCTCCGGGTGGCAGCGCAGGTCGGCGGACAGACCCTCAAGCGCTGTCACCAGCAGCTGCATGCATGCATGCATGCAGGGGGGGGGGTAAAGATAAGGAAACTGACGAGGCAACTAACAAGCAGCAGCAGCTGCATGCAGGGGGGGCCAAAGCCTCAAAGACCATACCAGGCCATGCAGGGGCGGGAGGGAAAAGGAGACTGACAAGCTGTACGACCCGGCCTCACCAGGGGGAAGGATAGGGGGGGCAGAGGTGTACCGATACATTAATGAGGGCAAGAGCGGGGAACCATGCATCCCCCCCATCCCGGCCCCCCCCCAAAACCCAGCCACGGGGTACCTGCGTGGGCACTGTGATGAGCCCCAGGCTGCGCGACAGCAGCTCCAACAGCGGCCGCACACCCACACCCGTGAGGGAGGACACGCCTGCGGGCGGGGAGGTGGGGGTGTGGGGCGGTGGTGAGTTCAAAATAGGAAACGGACGAGCTGTGTGACGAGGCTTCCCCGGGGGAAAAGTGGGGGCAGGCGGACAGGCAGGTCGGCTGGGGCTTAGGAGCTGCGCATGGGAGGGGAGGAAGGTTACATGGGTACATGCTAACATGCCTGCATCGACTGGCAGGATGATGAGGCACAAAGGCCCCAGTCCGCTGGGTCTCATTTGTTTTCCCCTCCCACCTGCTTCCACCCCCTTCCTTCTCACCCTGCACACTCAGCCGCATGAGCCGCCCCTCCACCGCCAGCACCGGCGGACATCTCGCAACCAGCTCCTCCGCATCCCCCAACAACAACACCGCCGGCTGCTCCTCCCGCCCCTGCTTCTCCCGCTGCCCTTGCTCCAGCCCTGTTCCTGCTGCTGCCGCTTCTCCCCCAGCTTCCCCCTGCGTGCTGCACCCCTGCTGCCCCTGCCCCAGCCCCAGCCGCGTCGCCACGTCCCCCACGCTGCTAGCTATGTGGGTGGGCGGCACCACCCACAGCAGCGGCTGCCGTACGATGAGGGCGACCAGGGAGGCCAGCGGCAGGCCCAGGCGAGTGGCCAGGGAGTCTAGCCTGAGGAGGAATAAACAGGCGAAGGGGTATGGTACAGAGGGAAGGGGAAAAGAAGGAGACCCAATGTGTTGAATGAAAGTAGCAATAACTGGGCAAGAGACGGAAGGAAGGCAGGTGAGGGAGCCGAGGAAGCAAGGCAAAAATGGCACCATGTAGGGGAACGCGGAAGCCGCGGAAAGAAGAGAGGTTTCCAACCCGCGCCTCCTCACCTGTCCTTAATAATGCTGGGCTGTCGTACCGCCCACATGCCCGGCTGCGCGCCGTACAGCTCCATCGTGACCTCCCGCCCCACCCCCAGCTCCCCTGCAAGCGCCGCAACCCGGCCCGCCACCTCCGCCGGCGGCCGCTCCCACACATCCGGCACGCGGGCTGCCAGGTTGGCAGCGAGGATGAGCGACACGTCGAGAGCGGTAGCCAGGGCTTCCAGCGTGGCACGTACCTGCATGGGGGCGGCGGGGATAGCATGTGCGCGGTGGTGCAAGAGCAGCATGGTGGGGGTGGTTTAGAGGTGGGGGTGGGGGAGGTGGCCTGCTGCCCCTGCCTCTACACTACCATGCGCCCTTCAACCGCACCCTCCTTCCCTCCTCTCCCCTCCCTCTCTTTCCTTCCTCCCGCTTTCCCTCCCAGCACACATGCAGCGTATCATCAGAACCACTCCCTGCGGTCTACATGACACCAACCTCAATTACCCCGCCCCTCCCCGCATGGTTGCATGGTTTCCTTCCCCGCCCCCACCCCCCACCCGTTTCGCCCCGCACCTGCTGCGGCTCCTGCGCCACCAGCTGCGGCCTCGCCGCCAGCAGGCGCCCCAGCGCCGCCTCGCCCGCCGCCCCGCCAGCCGCGCCCGCCAGCTCCGGCAGCGCTGACATGAGCGCCAGCAGCCGAGCGGCGCCCGCTGCGGCGGCCTCGGGGTCGTCTGGTGGGTGGGGGGAAAGGGAGGGTAGGGGTAGGAGGAGGAGGGGAGGGGGGTGGGGGGCAGAAAGGGAACGTGTGGAGGCGGAGGAGGGGAGGGGAACGCATGAAGGCGGAGCAGGGAAGGGGAAAGTGTGGAAGGGCCGGGAAGAGGTACGGGATGGGGTTTAGCTGTGAAATGAGGACAGGCGGGTGTGATGTGATGTGTGTGCGTGTGGTGGGTTGGTGTGGGTTGTGCACACGGGAAGAGTAAGGTGCAAGTAAGGAGGGCTTCAACTGGGTTGGGTGATTGAGCCTGCCCATGACGCGTCCTTTTGATGGGTTGTGCCTAGAAGGGCGTGAGGACAAGTAGGCTTACCGGACGGGGTCCAGAGTTGCTGCTGCTCCTCATCCTCCTCTTCCCCTTCCTCTGTCTCCTGGCTTGCACTTGGCGACAGCGAAGCGGGAATGTGGGGGTTCACGGTTACCCTCCGCTGCCGGTATGGTGCCACAAGCGATTGAGGATTTAATTGCGCGAGGCGGGGCTGCTGCTGCTGAGTTGTGGCAGTCATAGTGGATGCCCATGCCGAAGAAATGGCAGCTGGAACCCGACGACAGGAGCCAGAGAAAGCATGATGGAGACGGCGACGGTGTATTCCACCTAATAACGTGGATTCCGACGCCGCGTTTTGCGGCAACTGCGTCGTGCGCTGCATCGCTCGTCAACACGGTCGGGGTCTATGAATTACGGATACCGAGTCCCGAGACTGTATGATCTGTGCGTATGTGTCCAATTGTATTGAATGTAGTAATTGGAGTTCGACGAATTGGCCGTATCTTAGGTTTCTGGCGGCCGGTTGGAGCGCAACACCAACACCAACAATTGGAACCAACTGCCGTTCTTTTACGAAGTCGAATGTTTCATCTGCATATATTTATCATAACTATATGTTTTGGTTGGAGGTAATCCGTTGCGTTTAATTTGGTGTGAAAGGCTAGGGGTGAACACTGCGAAAGACACTATTATCCGTTGTTAAGAAGACACATTCGGCGTAAGATGTCTCGGAGCCGGAAGCATGTAACGTTAGGGCTCGACGGTGATATCCAGCCGCCCGGACCTGGGCAATCCATCGTCCGGGCTCTGGGTTCGCGTGGGAGTAACTTGATAGAGGTAGGGTAAGTTTCCCTATTCACATCTCTCAACAGGCTGCTAGTCATAATCCTCTGTCAGGCTGTCGGTTGAAACTCTGCATCCTTCCGCGTAAGTAGGTGGAGTTCCCTGACGGCCGCCAGACGCTCGTGCTTATGCCGGCCAAGTTCAACAAGAAGCTATGGGTTAAGCGCGGCGGGTACCTCTTAGTTGAGGACAGCACGGCCGCGGAGGTCGACACCAAAGTCACGGGCACTATACTGGCAGTGCTGTACGAGGAGCAAATCAAGCAGCTCACGAAGATGCCTGGGGTCTGGTAAGCAGCGGGAATGAAGGGGAGTAGAACTGCGGCTGGGCGGCAGTGCTGGCATGGGGTCTTAACACGGGTCTAGCAGGTTAGACCGACAGCAACAGACAGCAACATGTCAATACCCATTACGTCGTGGCCGTCACGGCCCTCGCTGCAGGCCGTCGGAGTTTGCCACGAAGGCGGACAAGGGGTCACTAGAAGACAGTAAGTGGCGGGAGGGACTGTGATACATCTGGAATCATGGATAGCCCATGGCTGGTAGCACACGCGGGGGTGAAAATGCGACGTGTTGCACCCTCTTCCGCCACGCCCGTCCCGGCTGTACTAGGTCTGCTGGTATACCCAACGCCCCTTACCAAGGCATTCCTCTCTCATGGTCTATGCTCTGCAATTTGCGGACTCCCTTTCCTAACAGTGATGCCGCCATCGGACAGCGATGAAGAGGGTCACGAGGCAGGGCCGGCAGACGACGAGGAGGAATCCTTACCACCGCTGCAACAAAACACGAACCGCAAAGTACGCAAGTTCTTTTCCTTTTCGCCGGGAAGACCTGCGAATAACTTTTGCCCTTAATGCATGCAGGTGGTGTACCATGAAGTGTCAGAGTCCGAAGATGAGGACGACTAGGAGGCATCCATAGGAGACATCCGCGAGCTAGTATTATAGAGATATTTCAGGGCGATTTTTGTTCTGTTGCATATCCGTTTATGGGATGGTTTGTCGTGCCTCCCATGGCAAAGCTCTGATGCGCGGCAGACGCCGTGCACGGTACATCAACCGCCCGCCTCCGTGGTTCGTATGTTTGTCATGTGCACTCAGTTCGCGCCAATCCGTATAGTTCACTTTAGGTGTAGACCTGCGCTTTACACCGTTGCGTGGGCATATCAAATAACTCTGCCAAAGCTTTGTAACTTGTTGGCTCCATCGCCGCATCTGACCAGATAGCCTACTGTACAATTCTTTCCATATGTGTACGAAGCAAAAGTTCTTTAACTTAGCACATTTAGGATTTGCCAAGGCGGGCAGTTCTTTGTAAGCGCGCAGCTTCCGGGTTGCTGCCCTGAGTGTTAGGGTGAGCAGGTACTTCAGTAAGCAGACAACAGCTGTTTGAGTCTGTCCCTGTCCAAGCTAGGGCCGGAACTTCGCATGCGGGTTAGCATAGCTGGAGTCGAAATTTGATGATATCGGGGTTCTAGTAACGAGGGCCCATAAATCCACCGTCTGCTAAAGCATTCTTCCACTTTGCACAGGTAAATTGCGTTGCATGGGGAAACCTATGCCGGGGCGACTCCTCGTCGCTCTGGGCGTGGTGGTCTATTTGACGCAGACATGTAAGTGCGACGGTGCCCCTATTGAGCAGGGCGTGTTTCGGTTAAGGGGAAGAGTCCGAAGATGTTTCCAGATACGAGGTGAAGAAAGGTGCTCCAGGATACAAGGTGGCCCTTGGGCCTGGCATTAAGATAGGTCCCTTTCTCGGGACAAGGTCTAGATCAAGTTGTTGGTCTAGGCTTACACAATTAGGAATGTGGTCAGAGGTTTATAAGTTATGGCTACATGTGGATCAGCGTTGCTGTGCATGGGGTTTCTGCTCCATGGGCGTTTGGAATGCCTGACCTGTGCATGCAGACCCGTACTCCTCATGAACCTCCCAACACGTGCAAGCCGCCCAATGCCCGCCTTTTGTAAGCCTCTTCTTCCCTTCCCGTTGCCAACTTCTTACTCTACTCCCCAGGCTTAGGCAGCTATCTAACGGGCTCCGGCTTCCCCTGGGAAGGATGCAAGCTGCAAGCTGCCGTAAACCGCTGGACGGTTAGCCTAGCATCATATAGTGAGGATGCGGTGCGAGGAAGCCGCGCGTGCTTCCGTTTCGGGGTGAAACCGGCGTCCCAATGCACGCCCAACGGACTGCGCTGCTGCGGTGAAAACCACCTAAACAAGTTTAAGATGTACATCGGTGAGCACAAATTCGTCTTGGGCGCGACCACGTGACTGTTGGGGCCTACTGGCGGCTTTGCACTGCCACGTTGGTTGTTTCTTCGTGACGATGCATGCTTACATGGCTTGAGGCTGCGTTCGAATCTGGGTGCTGCCGGTGGGGTGACTGGGCGATGCGTGCGGGATGCCGAATGACGGGACGGGAAAGAGACGGGCTGTACCTCTCTTGCATGTTGCTGTCGTGCCTGCAACTCCCCGCCCTCTGCCCCCCCGCCCGCACCCTTTTTTCCACTGTACTCAGATCCTGCTTGCCAACGCGCCGACCTATACAATATCACGGTTAGCGGCGTGCTGACGTCGGCTTGTTTCAAAGAGTACCTGAACGTAAGTCTGAGAGGCGGAAAGGAGGCCGTTCACACCTCTCGGGCTTTTGGGCGCCCATTTCGAGTAGAAAGTTGCGGACACAAGCTTGGTCCTGGGGCAGTCCATGGGTGTGCCTTGTGGCAGTAAGGATGCGGTGGATGGGGATTGCATGGTGGCAGGAAGCCCTGCAGCAGGATAGGGGAAGAGCCCCATTGCTACAGGCGTTGTCATTGCAACCCCCCGTACCGCACTCCATGGTGTGCCTTGTGCTGCCTTCGCAGCTACTGCCACTGCTACTGCTGCCGCTACCGCTGCCATGGTGCTAACACAAATGCTCATGCACATGCGACATGCCTGACTGCTCCACCACTCATCATGCACGAACCAACCCTGATTGCCCAACCGTCGGGTGGGGAGCTGGGGACCTCAGACAAACCCTTGCGTTTCTATCCAACTGACCTTTTCCAACTGCAGGATGATCCAAACAAGCCCACCATGAAGATCACCAACATGTACATTCCTTTTGAGAAGATCAACACGACACTGCTGTGCTTCAACCTTCGAGGCAGCGCGGCGGGCGGTGTGTGCTCCACGCTCTCTGCGCTAGCTAACCCCTACACGCGCGAAGAGGGGATGCTGGAGTTTGGAACGTACGACAAAAAGGTCGACAACTACGAATGCTGGTGCGTGCGTGCCGTTTTCCTAGGCTCCGCTGCCCCTCGCAAAAGTGCGGGTGCATGTGCATGTGCTTGGGTGTGGTGCCACCTCTGTTGATCATGATAGTCTCTCCCGAGCATTGCTGGGCACCGATCTGTGCTTCCCACTGTCCGAAGAGTGATCTGTCTGGCTTGCAGCGTCACTGCAGTCGCCCCACCCTTTGCGCTGTCCTGCCAACCATTTCTCCTACCTACCTGGCCGTTCTTGTATCAACATATCGGTATCGGTATCTGCTAGCTTTCATGACCCACCCTTCCTTCCCGTGTACGGTGCTGTCGCCTTCACCACCTCGCAGTCCGATGTTTGTCGTACCGGTATCCGGTCGCGGCGCGCCGCCGCCTCCAGCAGGTGCCGTACCCCCGCCCCCGGACATGCCCATGTTGCCGCCGGATGCTCCGGCGCCTGCACCCTTGGAAGAGTTAAGCTCCCCTCCACCGCCGCCGCCACCATCACCACCGCCTCCACATCCACTACCACCGCCCCCCGCGCGTTCCCCGCCGCCATCGCAGCTACTGCTCTCTCCGCCGCCGCCCAAGTCTACGCCACCGTCGCCACCTCCTCTTCCCTCGCCGCCACCTCCGTCTCCACCGCCGTCACCTCCTCCTCCTTCACCACGGCCGCCGCCGCCATCGCCACGGCCGCCTCCGCCATCACCTCGTCCGCCGCCGCCACAGTCCCCATCCATGCCGCCCTCATTCCCAGGACAGCCCCCTAACGCTCCGTCTTTCCCAGGCACCCCTCCCTCTACTCCGCCTCCACTGAGCCCCCAGCCCCCACCCCCTCCGTCACCACCCCCACCCCCTCCGTCACCGCCCCCACCCCCTCCGTCACCACCCCCACCACCTCCATCACCCAGGCCCCCACCACCTCGCAAATCACCGCCCCCTTCACCCAGCCCGACGGCGCCCAGCGTACCGATTGCTCCGCCGCCGAAGCGGAAAGCTAAATCGCCGCCATCGCCGGCGCCATCACCGCCGCCGCCACGGCTGCCGCCGTCTCCGGCGCCGTCGCCACCGCCATGCAAACGTAACAAGTGTCCGCCGCCGCCGTTACCGCCGCCGCCTGTACGGGCGTTGCCGCCACCAATTGTACGATCGCCGCCGCCGGTGGTAAAGTCCCCTCCGCTAGTCCTTACATCGCCTCCGCCGCCGTCGCCACCGCCGCCGTCGCCTCCACCTCCTGTCCGGTCGCCGCCGCCATCACCACTGCCGCCAGTTTTCTCCTCTCCACCGCCGCCATCGCCGCCGCCGACGATCCGGTCACCGCCGCCGCCAACACCGCCACCGCCATCACCACTGGCGCCAGTCGTCTCATCGCCGCCGCCGCCGTCGCCCAGGCCGCCATCCGTGCCGCTGCCACCACCGCCATCGCCTCCCCCACTGCTGCCACCTTCACCGCATCCGTCGTCACCGCCGCCGCCGCTGATCCGCTCGCCACCGCCGCCGCCGCCGCGGCCTCCGGCCCTGCCGCCGCCGTCGCCGCCGCCTCCCTCGGAGCCTCCGTCGCCAGCAGCCCGGCCATGCCGCCGCTGTCCCCCGTCGCCGCCGCCGCCGGACAGCCCTGCAGACACCGGTGAGCTTCCTAACACTTAGTAATAAGGCTAGCCCCTGGATACGCCGGGCTAGAAGGGAAAGCAAACGTGACTGGACAGGGGCAAAAGGTGATAATACCGGTACCCAACTGAAGGCGATGGGAGGTTTTAGCATGGCTTGAATTGTCGGATGTCGAATGCAGGGCGGGAGTGAGGAATTAGTTTGCATATCTCCATCTACACAGGTGGTTTCGCTTTGAAAGTTGGGGGTGCCGGGTTACACGCCCTGTGCCGTTCTGGTTTTCCCCAGTAGCTGTAAACGCCTTGGCTTTAACCCCTTGTCACGTTTCGGACCGCCCTTCTAACCTTTCCCGAATGCTCCAAGCCAACCCCACTCTCAACACCTAATCGCAACGCGCCTCCTGCCTCCGCTGCTGATTGCCCTGCAGGTGCCACCGCTACCGTTTCGTACATTTCAAACGGTTACCGGTACGACATTTTTGCAGGACAGCTTACATTCTCGCAGGCGGAAAAGTCATGTGAATCCATGTACGGCACCCTCGCTTCCATCCTAACTTCTGACGAAATGAGCGCATTACAAAAGGTCATTCTGGCGGCCGGCCTCCCCACTGTCCTCGGCCACAACAGCAGCTCCGCTGGCGGCGGCAGCGTCGTTCAGTTGTGGATCGGACTGCATTTGCAGTTGGGCGTTAGTTACTGGACGGATGGGAATGAACTGCTTTACCTACCTGCCAACCTGGAATCGAACGGCTTGTTGGTTGTGGACGGCGCTTGCTACAGCGTGAACTGCGGGAGCACAGGTGGCAGCTGCACATGGGAACCTGCAATGCCCTTGGAGACGAGCTGTAGCAGCACATTCCGGGATGGATATGTCTGCAAATCAGGTGGGTCATCCTACTCTGGTTGGAATTGGTTGGCAGCAAGAGGTCGGATAGGCAGGCGGGACAGGTGGTATGTGCGTAGAAAGTCTCTTCTGCCGATGTTTCCCTCCCCTTTCATGTTTCTGATTATTTACACCCGTCACTTTCACGCTTGCTTGCAGGGTTGGCTACAGTGTAAGGGATGGCCGCCTCTTCGACTGCGGGATTGCTGCAATTTATTATAGTGCTAGCCTTCTGAAAGCAATGAGTGAAGACCTTTATGTTTTATGAAAGGTCCGAAAGAGTCATTTGGCGAGTTAAGGCGGCTAACGACGACCCACTCGTGCTGAAGTCCATGGGGCGATGCTTGCAACACGCTTCTTAACGATGTGGGCCTTTTTATGGCAGCACCTGGGCGACAGATGCGTTGGGTAGCTGACTTGTAAACAAAGGGCCCAATCCTGTGACTTTCCAAAAGTATGCTGATGAGCCGAGAAGGGGGCAGTGATGAACGCGTACGCAGCGGTGTGGTGTGGCGTGCAGGGGTGAGCGCGGAGTAGTGAAATATGTAGAGATGTGTATTTTGGGAATACGCAGGATTGCCCAGGCCTAGTGTCCTGGGCGTACGTATTCCTATCCGGTTAGTGTATAGTTTTTTTAGTTGTGATTGGTTGTGCGATTTATACATGATGTTGATTTTGCGTGGGGATGTCCCCTGCAGTTTGGTATAATGCGCTGACACTACCACTTGCTGGGTTACCAGTTGGATCATTTTCCTCAATTCTTACTGTTGTCTTCCTCGGCTGTTGTGGCGGCCTGGTCTGGATGCTTGCCGTTATCCTGGGATTGAATCGGCAGTTGTTTATGGCGCTTACATCGCCTGTGCGGAGGTTGCTGGCCGGTCTTATCCAATAGAGATAGAAATGGTGGCTAGGATACGAACTCCGATGGACCCCAAGGCTTCACTCTTCAAGCAACGGGGAGGTAAGGGGATCTCGACATTGGTAAGAGTTTCAATGGTGCGGTAGATGTGTTGGTTGGTTGGTTGCTGTCCGGCACGTTTGTTGGGCGTGCTGGACCACCATGTCCAAGATGGCCTTTCCACCATGTCCACCATGTTCACCATGTCCACCATGTTCGGACTCCCCTGTAAAACTCGCATACAAGATGGCAGTACTTGCCCGTGCAACTCCCCTCATGTCCTGTTGTAGCACGCCGAAAGGTATCCGGCACAACTGCATCAACAATGTCGTCGTTGCAATTTGCGTCACGTCCGCAACCCATATATGGGAGAGAAAGAAGGCTGCTTAGTGCGTTAAACGTCAGAAACGAAACTCATGAGGTAACGAGAAGCGCTCACGGCTCATTCACAGGCCCAAGGAAGCAGCTGCCCGCTTGAACCTGAGTAAGTCACAACATACCAGTACGCTGGAACCAATTAACCATAAGGGTAAAGCCAACCCCATGCGTTCGTAGCAAGCCACGGGTGCATAGCGCACGGCAAATGCAAGACGAGCTCACGCTTCCGTCTTGCACTTTGGAAAGTGCAACATAGGAATCGTACGACTCCTACCAAACGGACTACCACAGCTTAAGACTTTTCGATACATATTTCTGTTAAATGTTTAACGAAATTACAGTGCTGTAATGGGCTGCTGGTACCTGAGTATTCGAGTTCCTAGACAACATTGAACCATTCATTGTCCTTTCCTGGCGGGCGTCTAGTTCCTTTGGCACTCTACTGTAACCATAATATAAACCTATACACACGGAGGATACTGGCATGGTTAGGACGGACAGACATCAGCGTGCAAGTCTGGTGCAGGATGTCCGTGAGCTTGCGGCATACGAAACAGGAAAAGCACGCCCTTGTACGTTTTATTTTAGCAATGAGCACAATTATAGGTTTCTTCGCATGTGCTGGCCTTTCACGTTTCCTGTTATTTCCCGTAGGTGCTACTAGCAACCCAGAGCAGGACTTCGTAAGCACATGCTCCAGCAGACCTCTTTGTGTGACACGGTCGTCGCTGCCGGCCTCATCGCTACCGGTGGACCACTGGACAAGGTATGCTTGCATCCCTATGCCTTGAATATCGGAGCGCTTGCATATAACCTTGTTACTCTTCATTCATGCCAGGAGATCGACGTCTAACGAGAGCAAAGCGGAGACAATAGCTCCACAGGCCAAGCTTGATGCCGCCCAAACGTCAAGTCAGGGGAAGGTTATCACCGCTGTGGCCAGGGTTCAGATAGCAGACGCCGCCCACGCCACTCTTGGCGCTCGGCCCCGGCGGCTGAATCGTCTGTACCTTCAGCCCCGAGGTCAATGCCCCCCAGCAGCAGCAGCTTCATGTGCCAGCAGCAACATCCCTAGCAGACCTGACAAAGGGTATACTAACAGTGCTGCAGCCGCTGCTGATGGGCACTCGGCCAGCAGCAATGCATTGGAGAGCGCTAACGTCAACTCTGTCCTGGACCACTGCCACAACAGAAGTGGCCTCCACAGCAGCAGCAGTGCACCGCTCTGCAGGCGGCTGATGCCGGTCAACCTTCACATCTCTAACCTCCACAGGCTCCGCAGCACCACCACTGTTAACAACACGACCACCACTGCCACCAGCAGCAGCTGCTACTGCTACAGTGGCAGCTGCTCCCACAGCAGTGGTGATGGCTGCGCAAATAATGACTGTGCATCTAGCAGTCCGGGAATCACAACTAGTGCCCTCGCGACCGTAACGGATACCAACAATAAAGCACGCTCCTGCAGTGGCTACCCGCTTGCCACAGACACTGCTCCAGGCATGTACAGTGAGGGAGCCACCAGCACCATGGAAGCAATAGCCTTACCTCTTGGCACCCCTGCGATGGATGCTGCTGGTTGTGGGGAGGTCCCCTACAGTGGTGGATGCAAGGACCGATACTGCCTCTGCACCTCCAGTAGCGGTGCAGGTAATGATGGCAGTGAGTGTTCTGTGTCAATAGCAGCGGAGGAGGAACCTCAGGTGCTGCTAGCACCCGAAATGCATTCAGGTCTGTCAGCGGGACTTCGCCCCCTGAACCCCCTGGTCTGTGAACCAGGGGAGAGTCAGTGGCTAGCTGGCGATGCAGCAGATGGTGGCTGTAAAGGCAGCCTGGAGCTTAGCTGTGGACATCAGTGTCCTGAGGCCAGCAGCAGCGGAAGCAGCAAAGAGGGCAATGCAAGTGGTGATAGTGTGACATGTGGTGCGGGTGCTGCGGATACTGCAGGCCCCTCCCCTGTGCTGCCCTTAATGCAGCCTGATGCACAGGCTCAGCTGGACATGGCAGCACCACAAGGTGTGATGCAACGACCACCATCAGCTTCAGCGTCGTCTTGCCGTGTAAGCATGAAGCTGCACTCGAGCCATGTGGAGGACATCAGGCCGGGGACATTACTGTCACTGACACGGCTATTGGTGCCGTACAACTGGGTGCTGACTGGATTTGCCGTACGGTCCGGCTGCATTGAGCTTGTGCTGGACTACACCCACATTGATGGCTTGGAGAAAGATGAAGACATGGGCCCTGCTGGTGCTGCAGCACCAGCGGTAGGGACCATGGCAACATCATCAATCCCGCCAGCAGTGGACAATTCCAACCTCGCCAATGATGCCATAGAAGGCAGCAGCAGTTGCATGGCAGCAGCAGCCAGGCCTCCCAATCAGGCACTTGTGCAGTTGCTGTCGTACCTTGAGCATGAGGGCCTGGTCAACCCCGCACTGGAGCCACGAGTAGCTGCACAGGTGGACCACCAGGTGCAGGTCCTGGAGTGGCAGCAGGACCAGGAACCACAGCTGCAAGAGCAGCACGGTGTGCACCTGCAGCAGACGGGTGCCTGGCAGTGCCGCAATTCGGCTGGACTTCTGCATGAACAGGATGGCTCCTCTGACATAGGGCCTTCGGCAGCAGCAGCAGCAGCTGTGACCGGCCTGGCGCCGGTGGTTGAGCCAGTTTGCATTGTACTGGGGCCACACGGCACTACAGTCAGCACATGTGGGGGCTCCTGCTGGAGCAGCTCCCCAACTTGCAGCACTAGCATTCAGGAGCAAGAAGTGCTTCTATGTGCTGGTGTGACGTGCGCTGGTGCCGCAGGCTGCTCGGTCCGCTGCATGGGACGCTTCCTCCCTGTCACAGAGCGCCAGCGCTTGCCTGCTAAGCAGCTGCTTCAGTGTGGTGACAGCAGTGGCGGCCTGAATGGTGCTGCTGAGGCTGCGGCAGTTGCCGCAGCCACTGCTGTTGGTGTGAACGGAGAGGTGTTTGTCCTGGGCATTCCTAGTGAGCAGCTGCCGCGCCTGAGCGCTGTTCTACAGGTGGAGGTACAGTGGCGTGCACCCGTTGATACAACCCCAGGCATGCCGTACACTACGGGCATCACCACGGATCCTACCACTTCCACAACAAGCGAGGAGCAGCAGAGCTTTGAAGGGCTGCAGCCCGCTGCTGATGTGGGAGGGCAGTACTTGTCAGCAGCTGCTCCTGTGCTGCTGCTCCGTGCCTGCAGCTCCTGTGCAGCAGCCCCGAAAGCAAGCAGCACTGGTGGTGGCAATGATTGCGCTGATAACAGCTGTGGCAATGGAGGAGTGTTTGTAGGACTGGGTGCAGCAGTATCCACTGGATGCCTCCACTGTGGCGGTGTCTGGACGCACCACAACCTTCAGGGAGTTGCACGGGAGCTGGCAGGCCTTCAGGCAAGCATCGCGGCTAACATGGTGACGGCAGCAGGAGTATCCACAGTGGATGGTTCCCCGGCTGTGGGAGAGTTCCACCAGGCAGGCCCCACAACAACTGCTGAGGCCACCGCTGCTGCTTGTGATGCTGCAATGGAGTTCCTCTTCGACTTGGGGTCCCTAGTTGACACCTATCCTTGCATCATGGGCGTGGAATTGGATGCCCATGGCAGCAAGGAGCTGACGGAAGGGCACGTCGGCAGCCCCAGCGGTGTCACATCTCAGCATGGCCCTCCGGCCTGCCAATCCTTCACTGGGGAAGTTCGTGCTGTGCTGTTGGAGCAGCTGGGCCTGGTAAACAGTGATGCAAACAGCAGCAAGGGATGCCAAACCAGTAGCGACTACCTCAGCAATGCTGGGGTCCGTGAAGCCGCCTCCTCAGCAGATAAACTGAACTTTTCAAGCAGCACGGCAATGGCCTTCAGGCGGCATTTAGCTGACACCGCTGTCACGCTGCTTGCCGGTTGTGGTGGGCTGTCCTTGCCATTCACAGCCCGGCTTGTAATGCACATGGTGTCGGCAGCCCCTTCACGGCTGCAGTTAGGCGAGGTATCAGTACTGGTCCAAGCTGCTGCAGAGGGTGATCCACTCCTGGAGGCTCGCTTGACACACATGCTGCAGCAGCAGCACCAGCACCAGCCAGCATTGCACGCTCTCCCTCCTGTGCAAGGACAAGCATCCCAGTCGCCACATGAAGGAGGAGCCATGCCGCCATTCCAATCATCACGGGTGCTGCTACAGGGGCACACGCCCCAGCAGCTGCATCCGGAGGAATATGAAAGCAGTGGCTGCGCGGCAGTTACGTCTGCCAGCGGCAAAGAGTGTGTGGGGGGCTGTGCTGGCAGCTGGCTGACCACAGGCGCTGTCGATCCCTCACCAGTGGCTGGTGGAGTAGCAACCCACAAGGTGCAGCAGGCCTCCTCGGTAGCCACCAGGAGGACTTCCACCCATGCCGTGTGCGGAGGAGGTACTGTCTACAGGCGGGAGTTGCTGCGGGAGCTGTGTGGTCAGGTGGTCATTTGCTTTACGGGCTATGCCTCGCCCGCAATGGAGCGAGCATTTTGGGTGGACACGGCGGCCCGGATGCAGGTGGGGTGTGGGCGATGATGTGGCTGCACGAGGGTATGGTGATGCATGGGAACGGGACAAGGATGTAGGTGAGGGTGAAGATGCCCTCAGCAGGTTTTTTTTGTGTGCTGCTGGCACAGTAGCATAGATGTCACGCTCTGCCCGTTGCTCTCGCTCTTCTAGTTGCTATAATCGCTCCCTTAGCGTGCCATTTCTGCCCCTCCCCTGCATGCAGGCCACGTACCGGCTATATGCACTGATGACATTGGCCTTCGTGTCCCTGTCCGCTCTTCGGTCTTACCTGGAGGATGGAACAGCGGCAGCCTTGTTCATGGTGTTGTACCAGGTAGGCCTCTACCGGCTGGGTCCGACGGACTGGGGCTACGGTGGGCCCATCTTCCTGTTTAAATGTGCTATTGGCTTCAAGTGCATAGATACTACTATACAGGCTTACAAGGACGCACTATACGATGCCCCCATGAAGAGATAGGTCGTGGCGCTTGTGCGCATTTATATGAAAGGCGCACGGGCAGCTTTATCTTCTTATTGCCTGCACTGCTGCGGCTGCTGCAGCTGCGCCGGCTACTGCCTACTGCTACCCCCCGCCCCCACTGCCACATCTCACACTCATGCAGGGCGGCCAAGCAGCACTGCTAGCAATGTTTGGGTTGTGGGGTGACGGCCGCCCCAGTCGCCTGTTTGCAGCGGTGGTGAGCGCCTGGTTGCTGCGGGTGGCCTGTCACCTGGCGCTGGTGCGGGGCCTGGCGCCGCTGCCCTCCTTCGTGCTTCCCGTGTGCCGGGCCTGGGTGGACGTGTTCAACGAGGGAGGTGCCAAGTCGGTGTTTGAGCAGGTGGGTAACATTTGGTTAACTAGGGTTATTGCAAGTGGGGGTTGGGGCAGCAGCAAAGTGGCGTTGAGCGGGGGGCCGGGCTTGGGTCGGGAGGTATATGTGGGAGGGGCCAGTGGGTCGACGGGAGGGGAGTGCGAGGGGTGGTGCTTCCAAGCTGAGTTGGTGGGGGTAGGGTGGGAGGATACAAGGTGCTTTGTCAATCCACCTCGTCCTCTAAAAGGAAGGCGGAAGAAAGATATATTATCCTCATTTCCCGCCACCCCCAGCTGCCCACGTGGTTGTTCGTGCTGCTGATGGGTCTGGAGCTGCCCACCGGCTACATCTTTTATGAGTTCCTCGATGGGCGAGCCCAGGGGCAGAGCGGGCTGCTCACACGCAACGTGCCGGCGCGTCTGGCGGTGTTCGCCAGCCTCAAGGTGGGTGTCACCCTGGGCATGCAGGCGGTGCGGAGGCGGCGCTTCCAGGCTCGGCTTGCCGCGAGCAAGGCGGAGTAGAGGAGCGGCTGCGGCTGCTGCCGCTGCTGCGGCTCCTGGCAGATTTGCGGATGATGAGCTCGTCAATGATGGCTTTTGTCGTGGCGTCAAGGCGGTGAGGCAGGAGGTGTTGTCTCCGGCAGGTGTGGATCGGTCCGGGGTGTGGGTGTGGGGTAGAGGGGCAGCTAATGGGTGAGTGATGATGCCAGGGGATGGATTATGGTAGGCAAGGAGGTGAGGACGTTGTGTGCTGCCAGACACGTGGTTTGGCGCGGTAGGAGCCGAGAGTGTCATTGTACTGCGCATGTTGGGTTAAGGTGAAAAGAGGCACTGAAAGAACGAGCGGTTATGTGATGAATTGTGTTGGTCCCTGGGTTTTATTGATACATTCGCCCTTTTCCGGTGAGGCTTGTCGCATGCACAAAGTAATGGCTGTGAATACGTGAGCCTTGTTGGGGATTAGGTAAACTGGGCCGCGAGGAACCACTGACCTTGTTGGGGGGTGTGCAGCACAACGGTGCAGAGGTTTTCCTCAAGAGTTGCGGCTGTTTGCAAAGGGAGCGCACATTACATGGATTGGTAAGGACAGGACTAAGCCGCAAGGCAGCATGCATTGACCGAATCTTGACGGCTGTGTCCGGCTGGATTTATCAAGTCTGCGTCCAAGTAGCATGATGGCCTTATGATGCCGAGCGAGGTGCATGCGTTTTCGAAGTCGAAGGATTAGACGGGTGTAGTTAATTTTGTCAATGCCACGTGGGCAATGCAAAGAAGGAGGCGTGCACAGCACTAAGGTCGCACGGTACTTGCTGTGGCTTGTGTCAAGGCGGGGTTGTGCAGGGGTGAGCGAGGGCGCAGGGTGGTATGCAAGGATTGACGGGAATTATGAGATTGTGGTTATGTTGTGAAGGGTCAGTACCGGTACCCTAAGCTATCCTGAAGAACCAAAGTGCACTAGCGGCTCGCGTGTTTCTTTAAGCTACCGAGAGCAAAGTAAATATGGTCCTGTCAACGAGCTTCATTTGAGCGGGCGCGTTTTAATGTTGGCTAGAGAAGAGTAGTTCTAATGACGCAGTTCTAATGACACCGTACGCTGTGCCTCGAATGGAGTCCTGCTAAGAGCTCCAAATGGGCTACCATGTTGGTCCATGCTGGTTATACCGGTAGCAAGTGACTTGGTCTGCGCATATGGAGCCAGGGTCATATGGTCGGATATGGATCCAGGGTCATATGGAGCCAGTATTGTGTGTGGTTTGCGGTTCCTGGTTGGGGTAGGGACCACACGAAAGGCGGACCCAAGGTGTTTTCTGGCCGGCAGAAACTGACGACTGCGGCTATGTGGTCTGTCTGCTAGGCCCACCGTTGCCTTCCTACAAGGCCGGATATACTGTATAAGTCATTACATGTAGAGATGCGGAATTTAGTACTAAAATCGTTATGAAAGCAGGACGTGGGAATGCCGCGTGGAGTTGGCACATGGATTTTCATGGTTGTATGAAGTTAACGGCGGGGGTAAGCGGGGAGAGGCTATTTGTCACCTCGTCCACCTGGCTTTCTTTAGCCCGTTAGGAGGAATAGTTAGGTGTCTCGTTGTCTGGTACACCTGTTCGCTGCACCGCAGGTGTCCCCTGCTATGTTGTTCATTAGCCCGTTAGGAGGAATAGCGTCATTGTACGGCAGAGCTCATAAGCATTTGACGCGGCCCGAGCGCCTGGCAATGAAAATGCGGGTGCATTAGGTACGGAACGTGATCACCTGTGGTAAGCACAAAATCGCTGCACCGAAGGACGCTGGAAGACGGAGGGACCACGCTAGCTCGCGTTAGTGTACGTCAGAGCTCGTAAACTTTTAACACGGCCAAGGCGCCTGGCATGGAATGTGCGGGTGCAATAGGCACGGAAGCTGATCATCGATGTTCAGGGCGAAACCGCAGCGCGGAAGGATGCAGGAAGACGGAGAGACCGTACTAACTGCAGATTGGACGGAGGAATACGGAGGGACCGCAATTGTGGGAGACGCCGCTGTGTTGTGAACGGGCCGCAGCGGCAAAAAACACATGAAGAAAACGGCGGTGAAGAACATAATCTAATTGTGCGTAGGAAAATAGGCGACGCCACAAGTGCAAAGCGGTTATACAACCAACTGTAGCCTCAGGCCCCTGACCTCTTTCCCAACATCTGCTTACCAGATCCCTAAACGGTACCTGTTCATTTCTTAGCAATCCATACTGGGCTAAAGCAAGAGAAGGCAGTGCTAGGTGTGCGGCACATAGTAACGGTCGATGAACTGTAGCCAGCTGCAGCTGTCCTATTTTTAACGTTTTGTGTTTGTGACACTCTACCGCCTCCCATCCCCTTTGCTTTGCCCTTAATGAAATTTCCTATGGGTTGGTATGTTGTTTATTCCCCATCCGCTACCCACCTGCCCTCTCGCAAACCCTTTCCCATAACAAGGGGGTTCAGCTTCCTCAACGCTGGAAAAGAGCGGAGCCCCTCCTCATCAGTACAGGAACGTATTGTTACCACTGGAATGAATGCAATGCGGAAACACATAGCCCACCAACGAATATTGAGCTAGAAGAATGATGAATGGCGATCATGTGACCAGACCAGGAGGCGCCTCATCATCTTTAGTCATCCACCTCCCTCCCCCCCGCCCAATCCGCGCTGTGCGTGAGAGGCCGTGCAGGCCAGCCGCTCCCCTAACCGTAAGTGGCAGCACAATTACGTGACGCGTTGTCGGGTGTACTAGAAGCACGGGGAGGGTGAAAAGTAAGGCCCCTTCCCTAACCACAGCCATCATGACGAACCCAATGGTGAAGCCCCCTCATACAGCTATCGTCACCATCGACTGCCATATACTAGGTGCCCTTACATTTGCTTTACACCAAAGCACGATTTGCTGCAAGAGCCCGTGTCGTTGCTGTACAATACAGCTGAACAATACACCATAACTTGCCTAAGAAAAGGATAACGGGCCAAGGGCTAAGTTGAGCGTGTGTTTTGAAGCACCATGGTGCGTGTTTGCATGAGTAAGCAAAAGCTATCACGGGGTAACGTTACGTACTGGACTGTACTTCCTACGGTTTAGCCCAGTGCACGCAATTATGGCATTGTTAGCATCCATCCTGCCGGGGGCACGTGCTACAGTCACCTTATTCGTGGAAACAGAAAACACAATCCAGGTGATGCGGAAAAAGAGGTGTCGCCATAAAAGTATTCTGACAATACCACATGTACACAACTACACATGCTGCCTTGTACTCGTACAGGCGCAGCACGTTAGCTCGTACGAGCGCAACACGTGCGCAAGTAATCGCGTATGGACCACAGCTATATATAGTAATAATTCATTAATATGCTAGTGAAAGCACGCCACAATGCGATGTTGCTTCGGTAGACCTGCAAGCAGGCCATTGACGCCGAGGCGAGCCCCTATTCCGACGCCAGCTACGAGTTGTAACATAGCTAGCGAAAGATATGAGGTAGCGAGCACATGTCCGACGGTTAAGTCATCCGCGACGGTCGAGGTAGCTGATTGCGCTTGTAACGCAACAACCCTTGAGGACTCCGTGCAAACAGCATGCAAGCCATGGCTTACAAGTCTATCGCTCCGACTGTTGGAATATGCTGCTAATCACAAAATTTGGGCTGCTTGGTGAGGAACTTGAACACTCTTTCTCCCAAGTCTCTGGAAGCATGCCGTTCTTTGAAACCTCAAACTCTTATCTATATCAGGCGTTGGACAATTACTGATGATGGCAAAGTAGCGGTCCTCCTCGCTGCTGTGCCAGCTTTGGCAGATGGACTACACCTCTTGGCGCTTGGCGCATCCATTGATCTTACGAGGGGGGATCCTTTGGGTATTGCGCGCGCGGTTTCATGCCGGGTACGTGGTTGTTGTCTCCTGTGCTCGTTCCATCACGAGCCATCACCCAAGCCATCGACCACATTTGGCTAAGTCAAACTCCTCCCCGAGCGCAGGCACCAGTATCTATGGTGATCCCAGCAGATGGGCACGCTCCAGCAGACCTACTGCTCGACGTCAGGGCTCTCCGAGCCCAGGGCTGCGGCCACGACATCCTCAAACGTGTGGAACAAGGCGCTGCCGAAGCCAAGGGCAGCGCATGGCATCTCGCAGCTCTTCCACTTATTGTGGATGACAAAGCAGTGGGCGCGCTGGTTGTCGTCCTGCACGACGATGACGTTGCTGCGGAAGCAGCACCGGAAGCAGCACCAGGGCATGCGGGTCCGGGTCCCGCATGCCGCCCTGGCTCCGCGCCCCTCACAGTCATGGCTGCCGAGGCGTCTAGCTTGGACTGCGAAGTCTTCGGTGGAACAGGTGGTGCTCGCGCATACGCTGATAAGGCAAGTTGGAGTCGCTGGTCTTGCACGCGCGTAGGCAGGACTTGCTTGGGCTTGGGGCTCTGGCGTCCCTGCAAGCAGGAAGGGAATGACCCTCATGCATGCAGGCTAGGGGCGCAAGGGAATCACTTACACGCTTACTATACAAACTAGCAAGGATTTACTTCTCGGGCTTTGCGCTTTTCCCCCCCGCACAGGTGTGCTTGCTGGCTGCGGCCATCAGCAAAGCGCCGGATCATGGCCTCGCCCTGCAGCTCGCAGCATTACATCTTCAGGACGCACTCCGACTCACGACCGCCATGTCACCATCACCCGCCCAGCTTCCAGTCTCACAGGCGCGCCCTGTAACGCTGCACGTGACTATTGGCCTGATCGTCTGCAGCAGCGGAAGCCATGAGGCCGGCGAGGACAGCAGCGGCAGGGGTAGCGGCAGCGACAGGGGCAGTCACACGAGCATCAATGCTGGCTTGCATAGCCCGAGTCCAGGGAACTGCCACCCTACCGCCAGCGCTGCTACGGCCGCTACTACCCATGCACCCACTCCCTCAGCCGCTTCTCCTGCTCCTCCACCGCACCCGCAGCCTCACCTAAAGCTGCGTCTCTATTGCAAGCCCGGGTCCGTCCAAGCTCCCGTAGTCTTGCCTGCGCATGATACCCTCCTACCACTGCTAGCGGCCCAAGGACGCCAAGAGGACCCACACTGCCGAGAGTGCGGCGCCAGCAGCTCCTGTCGGGCGACCTCCGTTGTACCCGCGGCAACGGCAGCAGCACCACCACCTCCCGTACCGTTACCTTGCGTTGCAATTGCAGCCAGCAACCCAGCAAGGCAAACACATCAACTGCAGCAGGAGCAGCAGCAGTCACTATTATGTCCGTTGCAGCGCCAACGGTCGTTGGTGCTGAAGCCGAACCAGCTCTTAGCGGTCTCCAGAAGCCCAGCTGGGGCAGCCGCCGACCTCCGTGCAATTGAGGCCTCCGCCGCCGCCATGACTGCCGATACAAGTGCTGCCGTTGGTTCTGCTGCCGCCTCCTCCTCCGCGGCCACCGGAACTGTCACCACCTCCAGCGGTGTCCACCATGCTCATGGTCCCGGGAGCGGCTACGCACTGGTTCTGGTGTCATGCCCGTTGCCGGGTGTTCACGTGGGGCACCAGCCTGCAAGCGACAAGGGAAGCAATAGCAGTAACAGCAGCAACACTAGCGCCGGTTGCACTAGTGGTGTTGGTATCTGCATGAAGGATGACGATTGCAGCAGCAGCAGCAGCGACGGGGCGTGTGCCATCGTGGCCTATGTGCGCTGCACCGCTGCTGCCGCGGCCGCCGCAACAACTGCTCAAGCAGACCGTGGGATGACGCAGCAACAGCAGCAGCAGCAAGCAGCAGGCTCGGACGCTCAGCTGCGGTTCGTTGCTGCTCATGTAAGCAGCTTGCTTGAGGTGAGAAGGGAGGAGGAGCGGTTGATGGGCGAGGATGGAAGGCGTACCTTCACCTCACGGTTTGTGTAATCAAGGGCGTACAGTGCACAGGTCTGCTCTTATACGTTTACAGTCTATGCTGTGAAACCCCTCCAACTCGTTCCATGCTATCCGCTTGCAACAATTGCCTCTCTCAAACAGCCTCTCAAAACTCTCTCAAACGCACTCCTTAAGCAAGAAAGACACTTACCTGTTATATGAGCTCCCAAACGCGCGCCTATACCACAGGTGGTAGCTGGTGCGCTGGCCCAGCGGATGCGCACCGCAAACCCCATTTCAACCCTGACTGCGACCGCAGCTGCCGCCAAGGGCCGCAGCCACCCCTCGGAGGAAACGCCCACGTCAGCAACACCGCCATCATCATCAGCCTGTGGGCAGCAGCGGCCCGAGCAGCCGCAGGAAGAGGGGCAGCAGCACCAGCGCTGGCATACATCAGAGATGCAGCGCGAGCGGGTGCAATGCGAGGCAGGCTGCCAACAGCAGCAGCACGAGCCGCGTGGATGCAAGGGTGTTATGGGACGTGACGAGGGGACGGCGTCTGAGGCGTTGCTTGTGGATCTGGCGGGTAGGTGGTGGTGGTGGTGGTGGTGGTGCGGCGGTTGCGTGTGGCGTGTTATGGCGGGTAGGTGCGGGTTGTGTGGCGTGTTTCGCCTTGCCGTGCCGTATCACCGTCCGGCACACCGCCCTTGGGGCTGCGGGGGGCTTAGAACACCGGGGGATGATTAAGCAGCAGCAGAACGTAGTTTCAGGGCAGAGTCAGTCCTTTGGTCCTTGCGCTATGTGTGTCTTCATAAGACATTATGAAGGTTGTGTTGACGTGTGTCTTACATGCCCTGTACTGCTGCTTCACATCTGCAGCGCAGTGAGCTGCAAATACCTCAATACCTCCCTTCTTCGTTTAGCATTACCGTACACGGCTAATCTGATCCTCCTCCCTGACCGTCCGGTGACTTCGGGCATCCCTCTTCGCACCCAAAGCATCCGAGTCTGCAGCACCTGCAGCAGTTCACGACCACCCTGACGCCATCAGCGGTGGCGTTGGCATTGGCACTCAGGCTAATGATGATGGCGACCACCCTGACGACATCAGCGGCGACGCCCCTCGCTGCTTCTGGCTTGCCCCCCACTCCAGCGGGCCCCTCACCAGCACCGACTCCATCCCCGCGCCCAACACCCTACCAGCGAATGCCATGCGCTGTCGGCCGGACGCTTTCGCATTCTGCGGAGCCCAGGAGCTCTTGTTTCTGAGCAACGGCGCAGGCGGCAACCGAGTCGCAACTGCAGCAGCAGCAGCTGCGGCGGGTGCGGGTGCGGGTGACTTGCCAGCTCGGTTTCTGGGCCCTGCAGCAGCCCTGAGCTCGGACGATGCCGCCGCCTCCACAGCAAACGCATCAACCCCGGGAGCCCTGTCCCCGGCTGCTTCAGTCCGTCGCATCGGTGTCTCACCTCCGACCCTGGAAACGAGCAGCAGCAGCAGCAGCAGCAGCAGCCCAGGTGGCAGTGGCCGGGGTGGCGATGGTGGCCTTGGTGGTGCTGACGCTGCTGATGCTGGTTCTTGCGGTGGTCATGCCGCAGCAGGAACAGCAGCAGGAACAGCAGCAGCAGCAGCACGCGCCTGTGAAGGCTCTGAAAGCTGCGGCAGGGGCAGCGGCGGAAGCACCAACACTGGAGAGAGCTGCGGCGGAGGCAGCAGCAGCCACCGCTGCTGCAGTGCGAGTGCAGCGGTTGGGTTAACCGCTATCGCCGCTGCTGGAAAGGAAGGGACGGGAGCAGGAGCCAGCGGGAACGTGCAGAAGAGGAATGCAAATGCGGGAGCCGGCGCAGCATCAGGTGCAGGAGGTGCTGCTCTCTGTTCCGATAGCGCCCATGCGCTTATAAGCGGTGACAGCGATGGCGACAGCGACAACCATGATCAGCTGATGTTAACCGCAGGCTCTGAGGACTTGAGGGACGTTTTAGAGGAAGGGCAGGAAAAAGAGGATTCAAGCGAGGACGACCAGCCGGCTGATGACCCACGGGTCATTTGCTCTTTCCAGCCCCCGCCGTTGTCCTACGCCTCTGCTACTCTTTTCACTACTACTACTACGACCACCGCCAGTGCCACCGCAATGAGCCCATGCACTGTATCCGCTGCCGCCACTTCCACCACCGGAACCACCAACTGGACGACCACCGCGCTCAGCCACCTGCTTAGTTCGGTCAACGTGGCTTCCGGCAGCGGCAGCAAAGGGGTCAATGCGGGTTATGCCAGCAGGGCCGGCAGCGGCATCGCAGCCTTGGTGCTCGGCTGTCAAACAAGCGCCGATGGCAGCTATGGCGTTGACGCAGCTGGCCCCGGCAGTGGTAATGGCGCTGGCGGCGGCTGCTGCAGATTGCTCCGTATGCAGGGAGGTGGCAGGGAGGTGGGGGGTGGTCTGGGGAGTCGTTTCCGTGCGATGAGGAGCGACACGGAGGTGGCATGTCGGGAGGGCTCGCAGCAGGAGGAGGCGACGGAGGAGGAGGAGGAGGCTGGCAGAAGCCGGGACGCGGAAAGGTAAGAGGGGGGGTACGGAGAGTGGCTGATTAGTGGGTTGGGTGTGTTATGAGGGCCACCGTTGAATGGCGCGTAGGGGTGTTGCATCATTGCCCCGCTGGGTGTTGCCTGGAGTGCCGCGCACTGGTGGTTTGAGGTTCGGGAGAAGAGACTAGGAGCGCAGCAAGATAACACAAAAGTCCAAACACAGGGCTCTGTGCACGCCCAGTGCTCCGCCTGAATAACACCCTGCGCCTCCTCCTCGTCGCTCTCGTTCGCCCCCAGGACTCGCGCCCTGCTGACCCCTTCTGGCTCCCACCTAGACCTGGCACTGCTCCATGGCCCAGCAGCCACCACCCCTACAACCAGCACCACCACTACCACCGCTGTAGCAGCCTCAGCCTCAGCCGCAGCCCTAGCCGAGTCCACATGCACGCCCCCAGCTGCCGCCCACCGCCCACAATGCAGTCCGACAACACCCAACATGGACGATCCAATCTCCGCGGCAATGCTACTACAGACGGGTGTCACCCCGACCTCCTGCCCTGCTGTTGCTGCTCCGCCACCACCCTCTCCGCCCGGCCCCTCCCCCGCAGCCACCCTCACCCTCCCCGGCGGCCTGCTGCTGCGCCCCATGCGGGTGCTGTCACTGGACCAAGCAGCGCAGCGGCTGCAGCGGACATCCTTGGTGACTCCCACCACGACTACTAGCACGCCATCCACCACCGCCGCCACCACCGCCGCCGCCACTGCCGCAGCCGTCGATAATGCCACCATAGCAGGTGCCAGTATGGCTGTTGGCAGCTGCTCCACATCCCCCGCCCGGTTACCTCCAGCGTCCTCTGCAGTACACTGCAACGGCGGCACTGCTGCTGGTGCTGCTGCTGGAGGAGCAGCAGGAGCAGGATACGGCTGGAGGTGGGGTGCAGATGCGGATGGCAGGGCGGCGATTACTCCGGTAACTGCTGTGGCAGCTGTAGCAGCGACAGCGGCAGCAGAAGCCACGCCTGGCATCAGGCCGCCCGGGCGGTGTGGGGCTGTAGAGCATATGGTTGGGGTTGGGGTTGGTGCCGGTGCAGGTGTGGGGGAAGCTGGTGTGACGGCGGGACGGCCTCTCGCTGGTGGCTTCAGCAACAATGACGGCAGCGGTGCTGGTAGCGGCACCTGCAGCGGGGTGCTTAACGGCGGAAGCAGCCTTGCGGCTGGTAGCGGCAGCGGCAGCAGCAGCAGCAGCAAGGACGGAACAGCAGGACAGGCCATCCGGGGGGTTGCCAGCGCAGCAGTGCCGAGCTACATGCCTCGCCGGCTGAATCGTCTGTACTTGCCAGTGCCGCCGTCCTCGTCACACACGACGACATCAACAGCAGCGGCAGCGGCGGCAGCAGCATCAGCAGCAGCAGCGGCAGCGGCAGCAGCAGCAGCGGCAGGGACAGCTGCCAACGCAACCCCACCTGGAGCTCCAAACAGGGCGCAAGCGGACCCCCACTGCGGTGTCATTGTTAGTGCGCCTGGTGCAGCTAGCCCATTGCCTGGTGGGCCGTTACCACCACCACCACCACCAGCACCACCACCGGCATCGCACCCCATCAACATCACAACCGCCATCGCCATCCCCGTTACCTCATCTCACTCCACCCTTCAACGCTGCATCACAGCCCCCTCTCCTCACCCCACCGCCTCCTCCCCTCACCCCACCGCCTCCTCCACCTCCACCTCCGCTCCCTGGCCGCTTCGCCGCCGACAGCGGCTCAGCGACTATCCCATCCCGGAGGACGCCCCCACCGAATCCACGGTCGCCGAAACCATTGCCATGATGCGCGTGCTGGCGCAGGCGCGCGGGGCACACCTGGCGTCGCGCATGCGGCGAGTGCGGGTGACGGCCAAGATCCGTTCAGCGCACCCGGAGGCCCTGCCGGCGGATCTGCCGCTCCGGTTGGCGCGGGCCGTCACGGTGCGTGAGGTGGCGGCGGGCGAGGATGTGGCGGCGGGGGGTGTGGGGGGAGGAGGAGGAGCGGGAGGAGGAGGGGGAGGAACGTGGGTGTTGACGGGTTTTGCGGCTCGACGTGGGTGTGTTGAGTTGGTGTTTGACATGGTGCGAGTGGGGGCGCATGAGGAGCGGGAGGGTGTGGAGCAGGAGGAGGAGGAGGAAAGGGGGTGTTGCGGACTTGTTGGGGGCCGGCGTGCAGGCCGCAGCGGTGGCAAGCATGAGAGGGAGCCGCAGGCGTACAGTCTGAGCCCTGAGGATGTGGGCAGGGCACTGCAGCTGTGCGGGCTGTTGGATCCGGCCACTGACCCATGGGTCGATATTCAGATTGGCAATTCCGCTGCTGGTCTGACGACTTTACGCTCCCTTCGGAGGGAGGACGAGACCGGAGCCGAGGACGAGGCTGGTAGCGGTGTCGATGACGGGGCGAGGGCAGCCGCTGAGGCCACGTGTGCTGCTACTGCTGATGGTTCCAGCGATAGCGATACACTGGCGGCGGCAGGTGTTGCAGCGGCAGAGGGCATGGCTGCCGCAAGTCAGGTCCAGAGTGACTCGGTAAAGAAGGAGGAGGAGGCGCCCACGCTGTGGCTGCCGTGTCCCGTGGCGCTGCTGACCCGTGGGTCACGAGTCTTACAGGACATCCGCGTAGTCAGTTTCGACGGCGCGTCTGACGGGAGCTTGCACGGGAGTTCTTTGCAGTCCACACAACCGCCAGGGGGCTGCCACGGCAAGGACGAGCTGTTGGTTCGCGGCGCGGGCGGCTTCCTGGCTGCACGTGTCACTGCAACGACACAAGTGGCGCCGCCGCCAGTGCATGCTTCCGCGTCTACGTCGGCCGCGGCGTCAGCGGACGTAACAGCACGCAGTGACGCGTCGCTAGCCATGGCAATGCTGCTGGGTACAGACGTACATGCGGCCTCGACAGCCGCGGCAGTCGAAGCTGCCGCCGGAATCAGCAGCGGCGGCGGAGGCGGCGGCGGCTGTGTCGTACGGCTGCTTGAGGTGACGGGACCGTTGCCTCAGACGCCGGGAGGTTTGCTTTTGCTTGAGTGCCGTCGTACCCCCGGCGGCGGCGCCGCCGCCGACGCATCATCAGTGCAGGCGACGGCGACCGCGACTGCTGTCACTAACGCGCCTGTGCCGCTGTTGGTGCTGTCGGATACGAACGAGGGTGCCTTTCATGAGCTGCTTCGTCTGCGTCGTCACATGGCGGCGGCGCTACTGGGCGCTCGGGCCGGAGACGGAACGGCGGACCTTGGCAGGGGCCAAGAAGGCGCTGACGGGGCGGCCGCGGCGGTGTCAGCAGGTTCAGCCTCAGCTGTGACAGTGGCAGTGACAGCGGCAGCGGAGGAGAGGGAGGCGGAGACACAGGCGAAGGCGGCAGCTCACGTGGAGATGGCTTGTCAGCAATTCCTGGTGGACCTGGGAGCGCTTCTGGACGCGACTGCGGCAGCCACTGCGACGCCTGCTGCGGAGGCGGAGGTGGCGGCGGCGGAGGAGGAGGAGGAGGAGGAGTCACCCTCAGCATACAGACCGCGCGCTGTCGCGGGTTGCGACGCGGGAGGCGGTGCACGAGCTGTGGTGGAGGAGGATGACAGTGGTGGTGGTGGTTCTGGGCTGTGCCGGTTTGAGGCCAGCATGCAATCGCTATTGCGGCATAATGTCCAGTCGCAGTCGCAGTTTCAGTCGCTGCAGGGGCCAGCTGACCTCGACGACAGCAGCAGCTACGCGGAGTATTTGCTTGACGTGGCATGCACCCTGGTAGCGGGGTGTTGCGTGGCGGCGGGCGGCAGCATGCTGATGCAAACCGCACGTCTGGTGCTGCGCTGCGCCTGCCGCGATCTAGCGCTGGCAACGCCGGAGGTGCTGTTGACGGAGGCAGGGGCAGACCCGCGGGTCACCGCGGAGCTATTAGCGGATTTTGAACCCCCAACCAGCACTGGGGGGTTAAACGGAAGAAGCCTGGGGGGAGGTGTTGGCGGTCCTCCGCAAGATGATGCGAGTGGTGATGTCCGTTTAGGACTTGACGTCGAGCTGAAGGGCACGCAGAGCAGAAGCATGCCGGCACCAAGCCCACCTCCCGCGCCTTTGCTGCCGTCGTCATCAGCAGGGAACCAGCTGTGGCGCCAATGCTGGTGGGGACTGTCGCACCAGCAGCAGCACCAGCAGCAGCAGTGCCTGCATCGAGCCGCATCCTACGCTCGCGCGCCCTACGTCTTCTTCTCCTCCTTGTTTGCGGCGCTGCGTTTCGCTGACCCCGAGGAGGAGGCGGAGTACTGGAGGTTCATGGCGGGCAGGGCGCGAGGCATCCTGTGGTGGGTGCGGGGTGGGGTGGGGGTAAAGAGGAGGCAACTAACTGACCTGTGCGGTGTGTGTGTGGGGGGGGCGGTGTGGGTGGGAGGGGTGATGGCGAGGGCGCTCTGCTGGGTGCGTGTTTGTTCATGCGGCAGCGTCCTGGCTCTCCTGCATGGCTCCGCTGCTGTGGGACGTGTAGCGATGTGTCTTGTGTGTATCATGTGTGTATCAAAACACGAGGCGTGCGAGCAAGATGGCGGGAAGGCGGCGTACGGTATATGGCCACTTGCCCACTGCTTTTCCTCTTGTCCGGCGCTGCTGCTGTTCCCTCCTGCCAACAAATCCCGGCAGTGGTTCCGACGATGAGATTACATACCAGCATACCCCAGTCTCAAGCCCATCCCTTGCTGCACCCCTCTTCGCTCTTCCCCTTCCTATCCCCCGCACCTGCTCTCACCTACTCTCCTCCCCCTCCTCCTTCCCCTCCTCCTCCCACCACCAGGTCCTACTTCCTGTGTGTCACCCTCATCACAGCTGTCAGCTGCTCCCGCGCCGCGCTGGAGGACGGCCCCGCAGCCGCCCTCAGCCTGCTGCTCTTCTCGGGCGGCCAGGCGGTTGTGATGGGCGGCTACTGCCTCCTCCTCGCAGCATGCGACCGCCGCCGGGCCGGCGCCGTCAGCAGCTCAGTTGCCTCGCAACGACGACAAGCAGCACCAGGGGGGCAGCAACAGGAGCGCCAGCAGCAGCCGCAGCGGTGCCCTGATAGCGGCAGCAACCGCTATCAGCACTTGGAGGGGCATATGCAAGCCAACCCGCCCTTGATTCCCGCCTCCCCTGACGGCCCCGGTTCCGCCACCTGCTCCTGCTCCTCCACAACCCCACGCCGCCAGAGCGACGACGGCGGCGGCGGCACTGCACCATCCTCCTCATCCTCCTCCCCATCATCATCCCCCTCTCGCCCTCATCCTCGTCCTTTCCGCTCCGTCTGTTCCGAGGTCACCGCGCTGGTCGCCGCCTGCGCCGCCGCCAAGGGCGTGCGGGTGGCTGCGGTGGCGCTGATGGGCTGCGGGGTGCTGCGGGTGCCGGCGCTGATGGGGCCCATGGCGCTGCGAGGGGTGGAGGTGGTGGCGGAGGCGCTGCTGAGACCCGTGGTGGAGCGGGTGAGGAAGCAGGGGGGGAGGGTGGAGGGAGAGAGGGGGGGACGGTGTGCAGATGCCGAAGACTGGAAGGAAAACGGTTGTTCTTTGAGGTGTTGAGTGAGTGGGGGGTAGCACAGCAGGGTTTTGTTTTTCACGCTTTCCTCATCGCCCTTCCCCGTCCACCTGCCCCCACCCCCTATAAACCCTCACCCACCACCTACCACCCACCATCACATGGTGGGGCCCTTTCACACGGCAGATTAGTTAACTCTTCCTCTCTTTCCCATCACCACCTCCCACCAGGTGCCCTTCCCGGTCTTCGTGCTGCTGCTGCTGCTGGAGCTGCCCGCCGTGCTGCTGCTATACCGCCACTACTGCTCCATCTTCCCGGCCTTTTGGCTCCGAAACCACCCAGCCCTGCGGACCCTGGTGTACGGCGCCCTGGCCACTGCCGTACACCTCTCCACCGAGCTCTTCTGGCGGCGGGAGTTCCGGCGACTTGCGAGGAGCAGGAGCGGGGGCGGGAGGGATGGGGGGAGGGGGCTGCTGTGCGGATGTGATGCAGACGGGTGTGGCGGGTGCTGTGGTTGTGGCAGTGTGGGAGGTCTTGGCTGTTCGCTCCCGCCAGCCTGCATGGCAGGGAACAGCGCTGGAGATGCGGCTGGTAAGGAAGCAGAAGGAGGGGGTGGTGGCTTCGGAGGTAGTGAGGGCCCCGAGGGCCACGATCAGTGTTGTTGTGGAGGCTTTACGGAGGGGGGATCTGGTGAAAAGGGAGGAGGGAGGGGGACTCGCGACGACAGCGTGGCAGGGGCTCCTGGCCCAAGTTCGAAGAAGGAAGACTGATGTGCATTCTGACTTGTGAATGTGTGTGTTTGGAGTGTGGCGGGCGCAGGTCAGCATTCCTGCGGATCGCCAGCTTCGGAACGTCCCTGTCTTTGTTATTATTAAAGGGCCCTGACACAAGGGCGGGTGTCACGGGTTGTTGCTCGAGAGGAGCTCGCCATTCCTGCATCCTTCGTTTCGTACACTGTCAATCCCACTGCGTTTAGGCGTCCTTGGAAAAGAAGGCTTCAGCCTGATACATATTGTAGGTATTGTGTCATAGGGCCCCCATCGCCGCCAGATGGGCTGCGTATTGATTGCAATGGGCTCGTCGCCGTATTGTTGACTATTCACGGCTGCATTGCTCGTTTGCCCATATTCGCCTACTCGACCTCCAAGCCCGCTGACGTGCTGTGTCCGTCGCATGCAGTGTTTGTGCTCCAATGGGTGAACTCACGTGAGGGGTCTTTTCGGACCGCGGGAGAAGCGAATGTCCCCTGGGAAGGCAGTTGGCAAGGGAGCTGGTTAGCCGGTTATGGTGAATGATCTAGTTGGACGGCAGAAAGCATAGACGTTTGGGCTTTTGGCGCAGCCTGCGTATGAAAATTTAATACCATGAGGTAGGTTTTCAAATTCCCTATCCAATGGTGTTAAGATTGACGACAATGCGCAGATGGGGCCGACAGTGCATCAGTGCGACATTGATGTTGATGTTGCGGGCGTCAAGACATCCACTGCTACACATGCAAGCGCCATGTGCACCACCAGAGCGTCGTAGCCTTGTTTCTTTTGGTGTTCCTTTTTGGTGCATGAATATCGCCTGAGCGGGAGGGACTCCCCCTCTCCCAAGCATTTGCGGCACGCATCACCCTGAGGGGGGAGAGGACTCCCTGTCCCCCCTTTTACCCCCCTCCCCCTGCGTTTCTTCCTCCTGTTCCCCCGCGTGCACATTAAGTGCATATGTTGGGCTACCAGCGGGGCAGCAAGAAACCTCCAACTGTCTGGAGGGTGACAACGGGTCAAATCTTACATCTACCAGCGTATACACACTGTATCAACTGCAGTGATGAAACAGTCTCTGTCCAGTTTCTGCTGTTCTAGGCACACTGCGCAGCTAAGATTGCTATGTAGCGTTTGAGCTGTTTGGATAACTGAGCGCCTATTAAGATGCAGCTGCTTCGCCTTAATTGCACATGCGAAGTTACACCAAATACTGTCATACTGCGAGGAATGGGACTTTTTCTACGTTTGTCCATTGTATCAAAGGCGGTAATGCGGCAGGCAGCAGTGCCTGAGCTGAAGTGACAGGCTAATGAACATCAATGGGGCAGATATACGATTACTGCTGTCCTAGACACACAAGTGTTTTTAACCATGTATACACGAGCTGCTCGTATAGCTGGCCTTCTAATCAGTTGCAGCTGAACCGCAGTCCTTGCACATGCGCAGTAAATATGTATGTAACACTGCCGAAGTGCAAGCTCAGGTAGGCTGCCACGCTACTCTGCCGTAAGACCGACGGATCACATCCGCTGGCGAATTAAGTATGTGGCACGGTAACTTGGAAACTAAATCAGAGGGCGTCGACGTGGAAAGCTGGCTGGCATTTGCAAGATGCAAGCACACATTCAATGCAACGCCGACAATACCACGCGAAGCGGTGAATACGCCTGCAAACGTAAAAAGGAGTAAAGGTCAGTGCATTGCGAATAAGTCCATTAAAGAAGCACAGCAACACTAATCTACGAAAGGCGCGACTCGCTTGCAGCTTTGGACGACGCAAATGCGCTTCGCGCGTCCCAGGGCGGACGCGACGCGGCAGCTAGCAAGTGGTGGTGCGGTTGGTGTCCATGACCCATAGCACCGTGTTAGACGCCTCTGCTGCAAGGAAGGCCGCAACTTGCACGACAAGGATCACAGAACAGTCATTAGGATGAATAGACAACATACGCCTTCAACAGGATATACCTGGTATGAAGCCAGTGCATATCCACCATATCGGCCCAGCTGCCGCTCAAGCTTTTAAGCCCGTCGGCGAAGCGCTAAGCGACTCCATCCTCCATCGTCGCTGCGCGCGGGATTGCCCTATGGTGCATAGATACGCTACATAGAAGGAATACAAGTGATAAGAAAATAAAGTTAACTAGCCTGTTGGATAGCCGCTGGAATGATCAGGTGTCGGGCGATCAAGCGTCGTACAACCTCATCCCAGCCGCCCACGCGCTTTGGCGCTGCCAGCGATGCAATATCTAGTCCGTGGCTACTTCTTTATACGTTTGCAACATGTTGTGACCATGAGCTAGGCTGGCGATGGAAGTGCGACATAGATTGGCGATGTTGCTCATGTTCCCGATCAAAATCCACACCTTCCCCTGGAATGCGTGCAATATATGTCTGGACATCAGCTACATCGCCGTCAATGTCGCACACGCCTTGTAAGCGTACTCGCAGCACACGACAGCATGACGTGCTCAGCATGATGTGTTGGCCAGCTTAACCAGGCGGCTACACCACAACCGGCTCAAGGGCTAAGTTGGCGATTCGTCGCTCTCGAAGGTACCGGTACTATACTCTTGGGTTTTTTCCCTAGCGAGGGCTGCTGCTGTTGTCGCGCCTGACAGCAGCAGAAGGTTTCCAAGGGTGGTTGCAGTACACCCTTTCTTCCTGTGCACTTCCGTCGTTCCGTACATAGCGCCCCGGAAGAGCCATGCTGTGGTTGCCGGCTGCGAAAGAGATGAAGAATGCTGAGGAGGTGGACGTGCTCCTGCCATTGCAAGCGAGACTACCGGTCTCTCCCGCTGTGGTCAGCGCCACCAGTTGGCTTGCAGATGCTGATGCTTTCAAGCTGTCACGGTACAACAACAGCTCGCTGAATGCCGTGTGTGGGCAGCAGCAGCGCAGCGCAGCGCCTTATGACGGGATGGCGGATGCGTGCTGCCATCCTAGAAGACAGTTTTGGGCTTATTGACATGGCAGCGTTGTCCAGCTCAGCACGGGCATTTGCATCTGATTTTTGTCACCTGCAGCAACTCGCGTTGCAGCAACACCTTCCCCCGGTTGCCGCCCACTTTGGACGGGCGGCCCGGCCCCGACACATGGTTCGCTGCGGCTTGCAAGTGCACATTCCGGCTGTGAACCAAACGAAACACCTGCTGCACCTATGAGCATCCCACCACAGCACACGGCACCGCATCATGGTCTTCATGCGTCTCACATTTGAGCGCAGGCAGTACGCCCGAGCGCTAGTAACCTCCCCTCAGCACGGACAAGGTGGAGCCTTGCGGGCGGCATCAGCTGAACAGCCGACTCCATCCGCACCCTCCTTGACTATCCTCCCTTCCACCCGTTCCTCTCAGCTGCACCACCGCCTCCTCCTATGCCTAGTTCAATTCAACCAGGCGTATTCTTCCTCCTCCTCCTAGGCTCATCTTACATTCTTTTTTCAGAAACACCTCCTCCTCATCCACCTCTTCCCCGACGGCCTCCACATCCCGCTCTCCCTCGTCTCCCCCACCCCCCTAGTTGCTCAGCTGCTTTAGCATGTTGTACAGCAGCGTGGCCTCCCGCGGCGGCGACACGCGGCCCGTCAGGATGTCGCCCGGGCTGACCTGCTGGCCGTAGCAGTTGGCCATGTCCTCCGTGTCGGGCTCCACACTGGTGCCCTGCATGGACACATCCAGCATCACACCCCTGCGCAGGGGAGCGGAGGATTGGGGGCAGGAGGGAGGGGGAGGGGAAGCAGGAGGGAGGGGGAGCAGGAAGGGGAGGGGGAGAAGTGAAGATCAAGTTGGATAGGGGTGGGAAGAGGAGCCGGTGAGGTGGGAGCATGTGGGTGCAGCTGATATGCAGGCACGTGCCTCTTAGCCACAGTGCCGCCATTCCACAGCTAGTCTCCTTCCCGCCTTACTCAACCCTTTCCCAGGTTAACCCTGGTCAAAACACCTCCGCTGCCCTCCCCCTTACCCTCCGGCCCCTCGCTCCCCCCCGACCCACTTTGAAATGGTGAAGATGCGTGTCTTCAGTCCGCTGGACGCATCCGTCTGCCCCGTCTGCGTGTTCAGCGCCGCGCTCTTGTCCACCTTATCACCCAGGTTGAGGCCGAAGTCCAGACCGATCTTCATGGCGCGCTTGTCCTGTGTCCGGAAGAGGTCGGGGGTACAGAGGAGGGAGAGGGGCGCGCGGGTTTGGGGGTATCCTTCACATTAACGGCTCCATAGAGGGATGCTCTGGGTTTCCAATGCATGCGCCGCTCCCTCCATGAATACAACCTTACCGGTACTTCCTTGCGCCCGCTGTGCTGGTGCCTGTTGCACATGACCCTGCAAACGGCCTGCTACGTGTCCCCTTCCCATCCCATGTCCCCCCCGCTTCCCCTCCCTGTCCCCCCTTCCCACCGTCCCCTTCCCACCACCCGCACCCCACCTTGAGGAAGGCCTGGATGTCCGCGTCAGTGGCGAGGCTGATGATGGTGTGCTGCTCGCTGTAGCCCATCACCGCTCCCACACTGAAGCCGTCGACCTTGATGGGAAGGGGAGCAGACCTGCGAGAGGGAAGGTGGGGATGAGAGGAGGTGCAGGGAAGGGGCGGGGCGGGGAGTTTGGGCCGAGGTGGAGATGGAGGTGGAGGGGGGTTAACGCAGTGGTGGTAGCCGGAGAGCAGCATTAACATGGGCCTACTGCCTTTGGTAAGCGGGCGTGACCCTTCTCAGCTCGCTTAAATTCTTACGCCCACCCTTGCTGGTTTGTATTTGCTCCCATGCTTACCAGCCGTTGGGGCTGTTGGGCAGTCGTGCTACCACCAGGCCATAGCCTTGAGTTACGGAGACACCGAAGCCGACCTGCGATGTTGCGGATGCACGGCACGGGGTGAGGTGACTTCGCAAAGGAGAACAGCATGGGACCATCGCACATGGCATGGGGCACCGTGTGCAAGGTGCTGTGGCCATAATCTGAGAAGCGGCTGCCTAACCTTGTTGGTCATCATCGTTAGCAGGCCCTTTGCGTTTGTGATTGCGTCGTGTGGGAGCTTGCCCTGCGCCTCCATGTTCTTCAGTGTGTCCACGGCGTCAAGGATTGAGATAAGCAGGGGGTTCTTCTTCGCATCCAGGTGGTTAACCCGCTGCTTGCTCCCATACTGTAGATGAAATTGGGCACAGAACAAAGCCGGAAGTTGGTCAAGCGACATCACAACCTGAAACTTGACCATACTTGGCCGAACATCCCGCAAGCTGCCGCGCTGGATACCTGCTGGTTGATTTCATCCTCCAGATGAAGCGACATGATTCAAAGCGCTTGTACGTGCAAGCCTAGAGGTAAGGTGTGGCAACAAGCTCAGGTATGCGGCAAGGGTAAAAGACCAACGAAGGTACGTTTTCTGGAAGTCAACATACAAAAAGAAGTCCTAACTTTGAGCTCTTCGCGTGAACACCCGGCGTGTTCGTGCGTAATGCATTTGTAGTACAGGTACCAAACTAGCGAAAAGGCGAAAGCTGTCACTTCCGCGCTCCCATTCCACTGGAAGCCCGAACGCACCGTACTTAACCTTCTGAAACTGGCCATGTAACTGTTAAAGCATTGCGTCACCACACCCTTCACACATGTGACGACGCATGCATGCGTCGCAGCGGAGTGCCCTCATCGCCTTTGGGACCTAGATACAATCCCAATCTAACTCCATACAACCTCCTCCGTCGCATCTGCGCCTCCGGCCGCAATCAAGGTCAGCCGCACGGAGGAGCAGCTCAGGCGACAGTGGCGCAGCAACCACACTACAAGGGCCAGCATGGCCCATCGTACAATGCGGGCCCCCGTGCCCCACGATCAAGTATGCAAGTGTGCACGCACGCTGTTCCTGGTCGCATCTTACATTTACGTGTCGGCATCTCTGCAAGGTCCCATCTCTTACAGGGAGAGCGGCTCACCTAGCTGGTCCTCTCGGACGGCTCCTTGGGTGTGCACTTGCCGTACAAGGCTAACCCCTCACACATTAAGACACACATCACCGGTGTCACCGAACGCATTGCATCCGACATACGCCGTATGCCGTACGGAAACACCTAATACATTACACTGCTATCCATGTTACCTTCGCACCCTTTGTCAAACGTACACCCCCTTCATTGCTGCGTTGTCAGAGATTCCAGCGCGTCGCATGTGATTGTCCTCAAAGCGAAAACTGCGCTGTACGGCAGTTCAATTCCTAAACATGCACACACAATACACGTATATGAAAACGTATTTATGAGATTAACTACAGTTGACCGCAACGATAACCTACATGCACCGTACTACCCACCATGACGAATCATTGTAACTACGTAATGCCTTCGCTCGCGTAGATTGTACAGTGGCGACTAATCCAAGCTACAAAACCAAATGCCCACCGTGCCCCTCGCCTACCTATCCACGCTACTTATCAAGCACAGCAGCGTCCCGGCTGCTCGGTAGCAAACACATCCCCAAAGACACGTCGTTGTCATAATGCAAACCCGCGACACGAATGGGGTTGCGACAAAGTGCATTGCTTGAGGCATTGCCCCTCGTTGCCTTTCTCGTCAGCCCCGCAACATGTAAGCATGCAAGCCTGTCTCTCCCTAACAGACCTAGGCACACACACAGCTCACCGGAATGATAGTGCTGCACGCAACATTATCCATATGGCCGACGTGTGTCACGCCCTGTGGGTTGGTGTGTCAAACCCACATGGCTGACATTGAAAGCCAGTCAGGTCCACGGAGCTCCCCCCCGCAAGATAACTCCAACCCGCAAGGTATCAGGAACACGCGTTCTGATATGACATATCTTACAGGCCGCTTGGGTGTCATGGCCTGACCCATGAGCCGTGACAAGGCACAACATGCATCTCTGCCTTCCTGCCTGCTTCTTCCGCCTCCTGGAGCCATGGGTCCAGGTGTTCCAAGCGTGCCAGCAGCAACCGACTACCTAGGTAACGGGCGCGGGATGGCACCGTATGGCGACGACATACCGGGTACGGGTCCCTCCGCCTCCCCTTACCTTTCGAGCACTGCCGCTTTCTGCAACACTTCGTGACTCCCATTGTCTCTCAACTACGCGGGCTTCCTGCCCTCCTACTCCCTGTCACAGGAAGCTGTAGCAATAGTGGCAGCTACAGCAAGCCGCTCTACAGCAGCCGGTCTGTACGGCAGCTACACGTGTACGGCAAGCGCCGCCTTAGCTCCTGTTGTACGTGCCGTTGGCCAGGCGCTCGTGCATGCGGTCTAGGGTCTCTCGCAGCATCTGGGCAAACTCCACTTGCATCTCCTCCATCTTGTGCTGGTACTGCAGAATCTGTACGGCAGCAGGTGAGGCAGGTGTGCAAGAAGAAAGGAACTAACTAATCGGCAGGGAGGCAGGTGGGCAGGCGTGGCCAGGGGCGCGGCTGAAGCGACAGAGCAGCATGGGCTGCACGGGCGGAAGGTGTTGGCAAGGGCAACAACTTGGAACCAACACGCGCAAACCAGCTGTTTTCGATGCCTCTTTAGCTGTCATGTGTACATTACGTGCAGAGGAGGCCGCTTTGCCCTCCCCGACATCCCTAACTCCTCGATCATCGCCCCTGCTCGTGCTGCGCCCTTCCTACCTCCAAGTCGCTGGTCTTCTTCTGCTGCTCCTTCTCCTGCTGAAGCTTGGCAATCTCCGCGTCACGCTCCTCAATTACCTTCTTCAGCTGGCGAGTTTCGGTCTCCAAATCGGATACCTTCTTCATGAGCTGCTCCTGCATGCCCTTATACTGCCGCATCATGTCCGACGTGATGTCAAGAGTATCCTCCTTCTGCTGTTCGATGGCTTGACTAAACGCCTCCATGCGCTCGCGCCACATGCGCTCGCTGCGCCTGGCCTCCAGCGCCTTCACAGTAAGCAACACAAGACATGCGCAAACTTACAACTGCTCTATCCTATGCTAGCAACAACTGTTCATAGTTATATGGAAAACCGGTCCTAAGCCGCACCTCATGGCTACGTAACTCGAGCAGGTGTTGCAAAGAAAGGATTTCCGTTTCTGCTCGAGCCAAGTTCTCCTTATCGGCGAGTTTTGCCGCCTTAGCAACATCGTTCTTTTTCTTTGGTGGCATTCTGACGTCTAAGTAAGCGGATGCTCCTTACAAGGCCTGCTACGCTGTAACAGCCTTAGCCAGGACCGTGGACAGAGATTACATAACAACACCTCACAAGTGGGATAGTGGTATCTTAGTAGTGAATAAAACATGCCGCGCATGCGATGGCAAGAGTACCGGTACGCCTGAATTGGGCATCCGTACTATGCAGTAATCCAGAGAAGCCGAGGAAAAGATTCAGCGCTATGCCTATATGCTCACAGTGTTGCGGGACACACTGCCATTTGAGTATTACTTCCGCGTGGTGGGGCCGTCCTTGCACCTCGTAGCGTGGCATCAATCAGAAGCAAGTAGTCTCTGCACGAACACCTGGCCCCCAAAGCAATCTTTCTTTAGTTCTACCTACGACTTTCTCGTTATTCTTTAATCGCTAAGCTACATTGCCGCACTACCTATTACTTCAAGATGACGGGACGGCGAGCAGTCGGGTCAATACTTCACCGCGCAGCCCGCGGCGCTGGCTTAGACAGGGCTGGAGCTTCACTTGAGGCGTGTCGAGGCGCTTACGCCGCCGTGGGGCCAAGCAGCGACGACTCTTGCGGCGCCACGACCGCATGGTGGGTTGCGGTCGCTTCCAAACTCAATACTGCGCGTAGCTAACAGTCCTGCACGTCCTGCAAGCGGGCCTCTGCAAGGCTTGGTGCAGCTAGCCTAGAGGATTACCCCCAGGCACATCAGAGCGGTGTTGCTGCCGCAGGGGAGCCAGGGGAAGCCTGCACCGGCTCCCCTCACCCCATCCAGCCGCCGCCACTAGGGCACATGGCCCTCCCTTGCATGGGGACTCCAACCCGGCCCAGACTGCACCCCACCCCATCCCCTCACGTGTTGCCACCAGACATTGCAGACTGCTGCCGAGCCCCTGAATCCCGTCTTGTATCCTCAAAGCCCGCCCCCTTCCCTGTCCTTTGTTACCCTCTTTTGAATTGCAGCAGCAGCCGCGCTGCCCCTACTGCAGCAGCTGTGCAGCAACCGCTGCGTTTGCCGTACAACTCGTCAACCGCCGTACGGCCGATTCAGGTGAGAAAGCTCTCCTCTCCATACGGCCGGGCCGGGCCCCGCCCCCCTCATCCGCCCAGTTTGATTACCCCACGCATCCACTTGCCCTTACCTCATCACCCCTTTTCCTTCTCCCTTTCTTGCCTTCACTCCAGCCCCTCCCTCTGACCCTCTCTCTCTCCCGCCCCTCCCTCTCTCTCCCGCCCCTTCCCCTCTCTCTCCCCCTCCCCCCCAGGCCGCCCTCTCCTCCTGCTCCTCCTTCCACCTCGCCTCCTCCGTCCGCCTCTCCTCCACCTTTGCCAGCGCCGCCGCCACCACCCATGATGCCAGCGCAAGCAACACCATCCCCGCTCCCTCCTCCTCCGCCGCCCCCTCGCCCGACCCCTTCTCCTCCTCCCTCCCATCTGAGCAGCAGCAGCAGCAGCAGGACCAAGCGGACCCCTTCCTTCAGCAGCTGGACCAAGCGGACCCGCAGCAGCAGCAGCGGCAGCAGGAGCTGCTGTCCCGCCGCGGCCCGCTGGTGGATGCGCTGTCGAGCTGCCTGGGGCTGCAGCAGCTGGATGCGCTGCTGTCGCAGGAGGAGAACCGGGAGGCCATGGATGAGATGTGGGTGCTGGGGGGAAAGAAGAAGGGGGGAAAAAGGAATTCCAAAGTGTGGTGTGATAGTGATACAAGTTGCTGACAATCCCAGAAGAAGGGGGGGGAGGGTGGGAAGAAGGGCCAGTGGGGGGGAGGGAGGGAGAGAAACGGAAGGGATCGGAGGGAGGGGAAGGGAAGGGCTGCTACGAACGGCGCAGTGGCGTCCCCCCCAGCTCCCTCCCACTTCAGCAGCCTCCTCGCTTCTACCCCGCCTTGACTCGCACGTTGCAACACAGCACCCCCGTGGCGATGATGCCCATACCTCCTCTCCCTTCACCGTTTCCTCCCTCACTCCCCATCCCCAACCCCATCTCGAATCATTTTGCCCCATCCTGTCCCACCCCAACCACCTTCCTTTTCCTGCTATCCGCACTACATCCGCACCCTATCCCATCCCACCCATACCTACCTGCTTTGTCCCATCCCATCCCTTCCCACCCCTTCAGGCTCCTCCTAACCGCCCTAGACACCGCCCACCGCCTCTGCACCTCCGCCGCCGCCGCCTCCTCCTCCGCCTCCGCCCGAGTCTACGGCAGCGGCCCCGCCGGCGTCCCCCTCTCCTCCCTCGCCCTCTCCTCCTCCTTCTCTGCCGTACACAAACCCACTGCGGAGGCTGCTTCCGACGTGCTGACGCGGCTTTCGGAGCTGCTGATTCAGCTGCTGAGTGAGCCGGGGGCGCTTTCGGCGGAGGGGGCGGTGCGGGCGCTGAGGACGCTGGCGGTGCTGCGGTTTAACCCCGCGGGGGACTATGCGGGTCTGCAGGTGGGTGGAGGGGGGGTGGTAGTCGTGAAGCGGGCCGTGCAGTTGAGGAAACAACTGGTACACCACGAGTAGGAACGTGCTGTGTGGTTGGTGTGTGTCTGTATCTCAGTGGGGGGGAGGGGCTGCATACGGTATGCGGGAATGGCAGTGCATGTGGGGGAAAGAGGAGGAGGTGTTGCGTCCAAGGACGATGCCCATTCAGGGGTTCGCCTGCCCATTTTGGTTTGGGCACTACTTGCAAAGGGGCTGTCCACGGGGTTTGTCAGCCGCCGGGGTTACAGCTAACGTACATGAGCACGGGGCTTCTTGAACGCATATGTCTCTCCTCCTCCAACGTCCCTCCTCCCTCCCCCCCCGGCCTCTCAGACCATGGCCTCCTTCTACCGCGAGGCGGTGCTGCCCTCCCTGGACCCCGCCTCCGCTCCCCCGGAGGTTGCCGTACGCGCCCCCCAGCTGCTGATCGACCTGTACTACGCGTTCTCACGACTGTTTGAGGTGGCGGCCAGGTGGGGGGGAAGCGGGGGTAAAGAGGAAACAACTAACTGACTGAGGGATAAGGCGTCAACATGGAATGGGGGGTGGGGCTGGCTGGGAGTTTGTAGGGATTTAGGGGTTAGGAAGGGTCCAGGAGGGTTTTATGGTCAAAACCACCTGCGGGGGGGGGCGTGGGCGTGGGGCGGGTAGGCAACGTGTTGGCCGTGCGAGCAGCACACCCCCGCCCCCAGCGGGGCTGCTGCTGGTCGCCTCTACGGTGGTATGTGGGCACCCCTCGGCATGGGACAACGCACCGCACTGCCAACACGTGCGTGCTGCAGCTGTAACTGTCGCCGTGTTTCTCTCTGACCCTCCCCTCCTCTCCGTATGCGCACACTGCATGAGTCGGGATACGGGATTCGAACTCAAGCTGATGCACTTCTCATTTATTGTCCCCTCCCCTCCGGCCTCCCCTCCCGCCTTCCCTCCTCCTCCCCTCCCCAAGGCGCGAGCGGGAGCTGCAGGCGCAGCTGGCCGCGGAGGCCGCCGCGGAGGAGGACGCGGCGTGCCGGCGGGCGGACGACGACGAAGCCTCCGGAGCAGCAGCAGCAGCCGCAGCTGCCGGCACCGCCTCTACCACCTCGCCTCCCTGGATGCGAGGCAGCGCCGCAGGGGCGGGGGCAGGGGTGGCAGCAGTGGGGGAGGCGGGGGCTGGTGCGGGTTACCCGCTGTCCACCGCGCTGACGGTGGTGGGCGACCGGCAGCTGTACTACGAGGTGTCGCGCATGCTGGCGGCGCCGGGGGTGCTGGCCAACATGCCCACCAAGTAAGTGACTGGGGGCAGCAGCTGGGAGCCGCATGGGGGGGGGGTTGTGGGGACTTGCCAGGGGGGTAGTGGGTTAAGAGTTCTGGCCATGTAGTGTGGTGGGTGTGGGCCTGAGGGGATGTGTACCGGTGGGTGGGTAGGTTGCCTGGCTTGCTGGTGGGGAGAGAGGTTGGTAGGGTTGAGGGGGCTGTGGTGTGGTGCTATCCGACATACTCCCACCTCCATCTCCCACCTCCTCCACCCCTCCCACCTCCCCCCCCCTCCCTCAGGTCCCTGGGCAGTCTCTCCACTGCCATGGCCACCGCCCGCTTCGCGCACTACCCGCTGGCCCAGAGCGTCGCCACGCAGACCGTGCTGCGGCTGCAGCAGGCGGCGGCAGCGGCGGCAGGACTGGGAGGGGCGGCGGCGGCTGCGGCTGCGGGGCTGCTGCTGCCGGATGGAGTGCCCGCTGGGAACGATGCCATGGTGGGGCTGGGGGGGTGGGTGGGTTGTCCTGGGTGGGTGGGTTGTCGTACGTGTCGGCTCTGAAGTCCAAAAACACACGCAACCCGGGGCTTCCCCGGGGTTCCCTGAATGGAAATAGCCTCTCACACTCACGTACGTCGTGATAATGCTGTTCCCCTCCCTTGCGGTTTGGTAAGCATATGACCCTCCCTCTCCCTCTCCTTCTGCCTCCCCGCCCCCCGGCCCCCCCCACCCCAGGCCACCTCCACCCTCTCCAACATCGTCTCCTGCCTTGCCAAGCTGGGTTTCGAGCACGAGGCGCTGTGCGACGCAACCGCTAATTGGATGTTGCAACGACTGTACGTCAGCGGCATGGGCAACAACCACCACCACAACCACCACCACCAAGGGCAGTCGCACATGGCGTTGGTGACCCCCATGCAACGTGGTTTCGGAGTGGCGGGTGGGGTGGGCGGCGTGCAGCCGCATCACATTGTGGATGTAGCGGTGGCGTTCGCCCGAGTCAAGTACGACAACATGGTAAGTTGGTTTACCGCTACATATAGCTATTACATGATTTACATCACGGTTACGTAGGGTTTTAAACTAAACGTGATGATGCTTGGTCCATGCCAGGTTGACCAAACCGTATAAAGGATGATGGAAAGGGAGGTTTCGCCGTCCTCCCCCTACCTCCCCGGGCCTTCCCCTTGCCTCCCCCCTCTCCCCATGGACAGCTGATGCTGATGCAGCATAAACCCCCCGCCCCTTCTCCCCCCCCTCCGTCTCGTTGCTTTGCCCTAACCTGTGGTCTCCTATGGTTTGGTATGGTCTTTCACCCCCCTTCGTCTCGTCTGTCTTGTCGATCCCTGCCGCCTCATTCCCCAACTTTTGCCCTATTTGTGGTTTCACATGGTTAAGTCTAATTTGACTCTCCCCCCTTCCGAGATTTCGGTATCCTACGGGCCACTAACCCTCCCTCTGCCTTGTGAATCCCTGTTCTTTTTCTTTTTTGTTTTTCTATGGTTTTAATTGGTCCAAAAATTGACCCCCTTCCGCCTGCACAGGACTTCCTGTTGCGTGCTGCCGAGGTGCTGCAGCTCAAGCTCAACCACTCCGCACCCAACTCGGTGGCCATGATGACATGGGCCATCGCCAACACCAAGGTAGGGGGGCAAGGGGGGGAAAATTATATAAGTGAAACAACGAGTCCCAATCCCATATCCCGACTCATGCAGTGAGCGCATGGGTGTAAAGAAGAGCATCCAATGTGGGGTGTGACAGTATTGGTGAACTAGCTGACAAGCCTTGGTAGTGTGGCTGACAAGCCCAACTAACCCCCTGCCCCTACCAAGGTAAAGACCCTACCAGGGTACAGAGGAAACGACTAATTGACCGTGTGATAAGGTGTCCTCGTGGTTTGCAACATGTGAGCCAGCCCGACCCGCCCAGCCCGAATAAGCCATGCCAAGTCAGTAAGCAGGGCGTGTTTTGGCTCTACTCAGCGCCCAGCTTCCACTTGCATTTACACACGCCCAAACTCCCACGCTCCAAGAAGCCTGGGAGACGCTTTGGTTTTGTCTATGAACCACACCCCCTTCTCCACCTCCTCCTTCCCCCCTCGGTATCGGTAGGGAATACTAACCAACACATTGTCTTGTGGCACCCTGCCGCCTACTACCCCCATTGCTTTGCCCTAACCTGTGGTCTCCTATGGTTTGGTATGGTCTTTGACCTCCCTGCCGCCCTCCCTCCCTCCCTCCCCCCCAGTCCGGCCACTCCCCCGAGTTCGAACCGCTCCTCAATGCCCTCTCCCAACGCATGGTGGCGCTCTACAAGGCCGGCAGACATTCCACCAAGACCTCCTCCGCCTCCTCCGCCGCCTCCTCCTCCTCCGAAAGCCACAACGCCGAGGACGCCTCCTCCTCCTCCTCCTCTCCAGACGGTACCGCCTCCAACGCCAACCCCAACGGCAGCAACCCCCGCCCCAGCAGCAGCAGTGGGGAGGGGGGCTTGGGTGGCATGGCGGTTGTGCCCCGTCACCTCGCCTGCATGGCCTTTGCGATGGCGCGCATGGGGCGCCAGCAGCCGCTGCTGATGGATACGGTGGCGGCGGATGTGGCGGCCAGGGCAGACAAGTGGGTGGTGCGGGCGGGGGCGGGGGCGGGGGCGGGGGCGGGGGGGCGGGGGCGGGGGGGGCGGGGGGGGCGGGGGCGGGGGGGCGGGGGCGAGGGGCGAGGGGCGGGGGCGAGGGGCGAGGGGCGAGGGGCGAGGGGCGAGGGGCGAGGGGCGAGGGGCGGGGGCGAGGGGCGAGGGGCGGGGGGTTGCTTGTTGCTGTCCCGTGTGTGCCTGCCTTCCGTTATCCTTGCGGGGAGGCGGGGGTGGCTTGCTGCGGTATCTGTGTGTGTGTGTGTGTCACACCTTCCTCTCCGTACTCTTCCCTCCCTCTTGCTTCCCTCCTCTTCCCTTAACCCCTCACCCCTCCATCCATTCCTTCCTTCCTCCCCTCCTCCTCCTCCCCTCCCCAGGTACTCTGCCCGCCAGCTCTGCAACATCCTGCGCGCCTTCACCATGCTCGACTCCTACCGCCCCCACACCTTCGCAGCCGCCGCCGCCGTGCTCACCGAGCGCCTGGCAGCCACCGCTGCCACCCCCGCGGCGCTGCTGGCCGCTGCGCCCCCCGCCGCGCCCTACGTGTTCGGCCCCCAGAACTACTCGGATGCTGCCTGGGCGGTGGCGCTGAGCGGGCATGCGAGCCAGGTTCCGGAGCTAATGGAGCTGCTGAGGAGCAGGTGGGGGTGGGGGGTGGGGCGTGTGGTTTAAAAAAATACTGGCTGCGAGTGAGGCTTGTGTTAAGATTCTTGCTTACTAGGCCTTAACACGGTATGTATGGCATATATTGTCGGTTACGGACACGTTTTGGGTGTATTTAAACGCCTTTGTTGGGGGCATGGGGTAGTTCCTTACACTTTAAGCGTAAAAAAGGGCATGGGACCACCGTAATTACATTTACGCCGTCACAGCGCAAAAAACGTGGCCATTCTTGGGGTCTGACGTAATTACGGTGGCGTATTTACGTCAGAACGTAATACCGTAAACCGTAAGGTCCCAACCCTAGTTAAGAAAACTGGCCGCGGGTCGGAACGTACTGTGATCGTCGGAAATTCCAGGGTGTGTTAAGAAGACTGGCCGCGAGTCGGAACGTACTGTGATTGCCGGAGGGTGAAGTCCCCACAGAACCGCCACAGGAGCCACAGGCTTGTGTGTGTGGGGGGGTGTGGGGGGGTGAAGAAAGGAAATTGAATCGAGCTGTATGCTGAGGCTTCATCATGGGGTTGTGTGGGGTTGGGGGGTAGCATGGTGTGTATGGGGTGTACGGTATTGGCCGTATTGCACACTGTTGTAATGGCCCGTTCCATTCACCCAAGCCAATTCCATCCCATCCCCCCCCCTCTTCAGGGTTGCTGAGACCGCTCCCCAGATGGGCAAGGCCTGCCTGGTGCGGGTGGCCCAGGCGTTTGCGGTGGCGGGAGGCGACAACACGCGCGTGTTTGATGCGATTGAGCAGGTGCGTGCGTGTGTCTGCGTGCGTGCGTGTGTTTGGTGTGTTAAGAAACCTGCCCGCGAGTCGGAACGCACTGTGATTGCCGGAAGATGAAGTCCCCACAAGTGAAGCGGAGTCCGTTGGCTACGTCATATAAGTGTGTGCGACACGCAGGGGCACTGGGTGCGGAAGAGGCGTGAGGGGCTGTGGAAACGTGCTGCGGGGGCACTGGGTGGGGACAAACAAGTTTGAAGGAAGAGACAAAGTTTGGCACATCACCAAGCTGGCCTCAATCTTTACCCTTCACCTCCCCTCTCCCCTCTCCCCTCTCCCCTCTTACCTCTTTTATTCCTCTCCCCTCTTCCCCCGGCCCCGCCCCCAGGCCTCCCGCCCGCTGCTAGTGGACCTGGGTCCCGCCTACCTGGCTGCGCTGGTGGACGCGTTTGCGGAGGTGCAGCACCCAGTGAGCGGCGAGTTCTGGACGGTGAGTGGAAAACGGGGGGCGGGGGGCTGAGGGGCTGAAGGGGGCGGGGGGCTGAGGGGCTGAAGGGGGCGGGGGGAGGGATGACTTGGAAGCGAAGCACATGAAGGGGGAGGACGGAGGGAACTCCCTATTGCCTGATCGTCCCAACCCGCGGCTGCCTTCGCAGCGATTACGTCGGTCGCTCATGGCTCCAACCGGCCTTGCTCCCCCGGCCCCCCGAGTCCCGGATCCCTGAGTCGGGTTTCGGGATTGGGACTCCGTTGCTGCACTTATCTATATTTTTCCCCCGCCACCCCCCCTTCCCCACCAGGCCTGCATGGACGCCGTGGGTCTCAAGTTCCCGCACCTGGAGCGCCCCCGGCCCGACATGCAGGCCGCAGCCGCCCGACTGGCCGCCGCCTTCCGCCGCCACCCCGCCTCCGCCGCCCACCCCGCCTGCGCGGGCCACTACGTGCTGCCGCTGCTGGAGTCCCTGGCACCGCAGCAGCAGTAGGAGAGCGGGAGTGAGGGGAGGGGGAGGGAGGGAGGAGGGAGCAGGGCTGTGGAGGGGGGAGGGCAGATGTAGACACAGGTGCGGGGATGTAGGGAGGGGTGCAGCGGGGTGGTGCAAGGACGGAGCGGCTCCCCTGGTCCGCGCCCCAGTGTTCTTAGATGAGGCCAAGCCAAGGACGGGGCACGACAAGGCCGGAACGGTAAGGCGGAGCGGGGCTGCATGGGGGCTGTAGCAGGGTATGCTTGTCGGTAGCAGCCGGGTATGCGTGGCAGTAGTGGGTTGCGATAGCTGGCAGCAGGCTATGGGGTGAGAACGAGGGTGTGCGCGTGCGTGGGGGGAGGGGGGCGTGGGAGGGGCGTGATCCGGCTGGTAAAAACACACAGAGGCGCGTGTCTAGGTGGGGTACAAGCAGAGAGCTGATCCCAAAATGGACCGCGGAATGATTGTATTGGTGTGGTGATGGGGTATTCGCGCGTGGGGAGGTTGGGATGCATGGGTGACAGTGGCGGGGCAAGCAAGGGTGGGAGTGACGTCGGCGGTCAATGCTGCCTGGGAAGGGAAGGGAAGGAACAGGGGTTGTTGAGGAGCGTTTACGGTAGTAGGGGTCTAAAGAGCAGGGGCGCTTCTCTCTCTCTCTCTTTCTCTCTGCAACTCCCTGGTACGCCCTCATCCTCCGGTATACTACGGTCAGGGTCAGTGTTTCCATGCGGCTCAGTGCGTCTGATGCCATGTGTGCCATGTACGCCGGCAGGAGCTACAAAATGAGCCCCATGGAAGGGGCTTTAGGTTACCGTGCGTACGGCCGCTTTTGGGTGTTGACGTGGAGGGACGAGGGGTGGTGCTGCTGACACGGGCGCACTGGGGTGCCGGAGGAGGAGGGGGTGTGGTACCGTTTGTCCGTATCACCGTGTGTAAGAGGCGGCGAGGATGGTACGGCGGTACGGGGCGCGGGCTAGCCGGCGAGGGCAGTGGTGAGGGCGGGGGCAGAGGGGCTTTTGATGGGTTTTGGGGGGCCGCAGGTGTGTGTTACGTTGTGTGACCCAGGGTTGGAGTCTGGATTGGATGGAGGGCGGCAGAGGGTTGGATAGGCCATGACTCAGGGCCGCTTGATGCGATGCGGTGTGCCCGTTCGTAAAAAAAGTGTGTAACAGCCTGGGCCTTTGAAGCCTGGGTAGGTATTATAAGACCCGCCAGCGACCCACACCGGGGGTGGCCAGCTGATCTGTTACCGTACGCGTACCAGCAGGGGTGTCCTGCGGCGGCCTGCTGGCTCCATCCTACATGTCACGTGCATATTTATTGGGGGTGCCGGTAGTGTCAATGACTGGCCTTTCACTTCCGCAAAATAAGCGGCTTCGAAGGCTGTGGCGTTACTGCGCTATGTGACGGGCGGAAAGCGTGGACAACGCGTTGCAGTTACAGGTTACAGGTGGTTCGCGGTGCGCCAAAGCGGCCATGCCCCTTTCTCTTTGTGTACAGCAGAGCGCTTGCGGAAGTGCCGGGAGTGATTCGAATCATACCGGTATGTTCTTTCCTGCTAGCCTAGTTGCATACATGCCATCGATCGAAAGTCTTTGTGGTTAGTTCCAGTGCTTTATTCGAGCTGCGTGGCAATGGCAGTTTGGGACAGCAAATTCAATGTACCTGTATGGTAGAGTTGCTTCAAATGCAACAAGCGCCGCATGTGCATGTGCATAAACAACGCAGGAAGACCGAGGATAATGAGCACTGGCACAATCATTCTTTTCACTTGCGGCAATATTATTGGTTAAATTGTACATAGTTGTAGCTAGGGCCCTTCCTTTCCTAGGAAAGCGGTAAAATAAATAAGCAGTCAAGCATTTTGCCAGACCCGCGGTCGCCATTCACAGCTCGTAAAAATAGAAATGATCATGTGGAAAGCGCGAATCCACTCCCGTCTACACGCACCGACGGGCGTCGGTGAAACCGAGCCATCTGGGAGACCGGTTTAGGGCATCATGCAGATGTTGGTAATAATATTCAAAGAATTTTTACTGCCGTGGCTGCTGCAGTTTAAGGAGTAGTGACAAAAGCTGGCTTTTGGAGGGCCAGGGTGAATGTCTGGCAAAAGGGTACTGTCTGACAGAGTTGCTTAGGATCTAAAAAATCTCTTGTAAGCGACTACTATATGTTCTGCATTGTCTTGTATGGCTGGATGGCGTCCGTGGCGTTATTGTTTTCAACGGAGTAACCGCTGCTTGCGGAAGACAAGTCGTACACAGGTGCATCAAAAGCATAGCGTCGCACAGTTCCGGACCTAAGGCTGGCGTAAACGCATATAATAGCACACAAGTGCGCCTCAGATAAGGCGGAATCGACGCAGCTGTCATAGCTGGCATCCATCAGGGGCAACCCCATTCCACTACGGGCGCTTGGTATACTCCTAATTAGCCATATATGATATAAGCCTTTTACCAGTTACTTCGAATCACTTCACCATGGGAACGCGTCGAGCGCTTGTGCTAGCGCTTGCAATCACCGCGCTGGTGCTTACGCTAAATGCTGGGCCGGCAGCTGCTGCTGCCAAGAAGAAGCCTCCGCCACCAGTAAAGTCTCCTCCACCCCCGCCACCTCGAGGCCGCCCTCCTACGACGCCTCCTCCTCCGTCGATGCCATCGACACCGCCGGACGCGCCGTCCGAACCTCCGTCTCCGCCGAAGAAATGCACGAAGGCAAAATGCAAGCCTCCGTCGCCGCCACCATCACCGCCTCCCACCACATGCCGCCGGGGCAACTGCCCGCCGCCCCCTGCCCTTGCTTCCCCTCCGCCTCCAGGACTCCCGCCTCCCAGCCCACCTCCTCCCAGCCCTCCACCACCCCCGCCTCCCAGCCCTCCACCACCGCCGCCACCCAGCCCTCCACCTCCCGGCCCTCCTCCTCCCAGTCCCCCTCCGCCCGCCCCGCCCCCGCCTAGCCCACCTCCTCCCAGCCCACCACCTCCCAACCCGCCTCCGCCGTCCCCTCCGCCTCCGCCTCCTCCGCCGTCCCCTCCGCCTCCTGTGTCGCCGCCGCCATCCCCGCCGCCCGCCCCGCTGCCGCCACCTGTGCCTCCGTCGCCACCGCCGTCTCCGCCGCCGTCCCCCTCACCGCCGCCACCGCCAAGCCCGCCTAGCCCGCAGGTCCCCTCGCCTCCCTCGCCGCCCCCTCCTCAGCCCATAGTCCGTAAGTATGATAAGTACACTATTTCGCATGTGGCGGGGGCAAAAAATGCGCCTTATGCTCTTTGGGCCTTAGCAACCTGTTGTGTCCTTGACCGCCCTTGGCTGGTCCTTCTTTTTGTAGTCCGGTCTACTGCTCTGGCTTTCCTAACTTTCCTTGCGTGCTTAAAGCGGGAAGCGAAACACGGCTTACTTAAGAAGGCTGTAATGACCCCGCTACTGTCCAGCTAAAGCGTTTTCCTTGCCTGTCCCCTTGCCTCTTCCTTCCCTTTTGCCCCTCTTTTTGGGCTACACTTGCGTCCCAACGACGACTCTTTTCCACCTCTTCTGCACATCCAGCCATCTCGCCCGTCGCAACCTTCACCATGGGTACCTTCAACTACAACGTGTACGGTGTTCGCCGTAGCTTCTTAGAAGCCGAGGCCATTTGTAACTCTCGCGGCGGCAACCTCGCATCTATCCGTTCTGCCGCGGAGGCTGCAGCTCTGGCCGACCAACTCATCGCAACGAACGTGTACGGCAGAATTAACGGTAGCTTTGGAAACGGCAACCAAGTTAACCTCTGGATCGGGCTCCGGATCCGGCAAGTGTACAACAGTTACTGGACGGACGGCAGCTCTTTATCGTACCTGCCTTCCTTTCTACTCGGCGGAATCGATGCTTACGTGGAGGAAGCCTGCTACAGTCTCAACTGCCGGTCGGATGGCGGTTGCTATTGGAACATGGCGTTCGCGAATCCAGTTATGACCGGCTGTAGCAACGTGATTCGAGACGGCTTCATTTGCAAGACGGGTGCGTTGGCTATCCGCGCGTTTCCTGCGTCGTTGGTTCCTGCGTTCTTTTCATTTAACATACTTTGTTGGGTAGAACATGCCATTGACAGGGGACTATCAACTACCGGTACCGTCCCCATGATTCATGACACCTCCTTCCCTCAATGTTTGTTCGCAGACACGACCCGCGTGAAGTCCGTCTTCACGATGCCCTCCCGCAACGCCACCTACCTGCTCATGCGCGCTCCCACCGCGATCAACTGGTATGCCGCTGACCTGGCTTGCACCTACTTCAACGGTCGCCTGGTAACGGTCAACGACGCCGAGGAAAACCAGGTGGTTGCGCTTAAGATTAACGACATTTCCAACAGCATCGCTGCCAACAGCAGTACAACGGTGAGTGACAGTGCGTGCCTTTGCCCTGCTGGAAGCCGCTTTGTTTGTAATAATTTGCAAGGATGCATGGCTATGGGTAAGTGTTTCAAGGTGGGAGGAAATGCTTTCTTGAGGTATCGGCAATACGCAGTACGTGGTCAGTGGTGTTACTCAGGTATGCGCCTCGATGCGTCTTCATGGACGGTCCATGCATGCATGTTCGGTGAGAGGCGCGTTACGGTCCTCAACACTGGCGCAACTATTGTACAGCCAGCCATCAACCTCCAACCTCCAACCTCCGCCTTCCCATCACCTCAGTTTGCCATCCCACCCCATCCCCATCCCCCCCATCTCATTCCCTACCCTTCCCCCATTTATCAACACCACGACCAACACAATGACAACAACAACCAATGCTATGTGTCAAGTCCAGTAATCGCGCCGGCCATTAAATAACCGCCCCTTTTTCCTCTACATCCCTTAACCCCGCCCCGCTACAGTTCTCCTCCTCGGATCTGGACCAGTACGGCAACTTCCGTGTTTGGCTGGGACTGTACTTTGAAACCTCCTCAACCAACTCCTACTGGACCGACGGCACCGTCGCGGACGCAGCCTTCACAGCCTTCCCCCTCATGTCCTTCTATCCGCAATCCTGCTACGGCCTGTGGTGCCGGTCTGGCTTCTGCTTCTGGCAGCCGATGCTGTGTACGACACCCATTACGGCTTATATTTGCGAGCTGCGGGGTATTGTGTACTGATGTGGACATGTGGTGTTGTGTGATGTACGACATTGATGCGATTACGAAGTAACGCTCTGCTCTGATGATGATGTGGTGGTATGGGTAACCAAGCACGATTTAATTTCCGAGGTATGGATGCCGAACGTGGTAACGGTACTGCTATGGAGCACTGTGCCTGCAGTGATTGTTATGCGCTGGAGTGACGAAGCGCCGTGAATATGTTGTGCTCCGTTTCATCTGCTACTGCAGGGGTAAATGAAGAAACGATACCCGAAGTTCCTGCAGGGGTGGTGGTGATGGTGTATCCTATATCCATGATACAGACATGCGGTATCTGTCTATCTGTGCATGTGCGTTGAATCAATGCTGGGCGTACGGTATGTCCTTGGTTCAAGTGCATCTGTCCATCTGTTGCAGGTTTTGCGGCCTGTATTGCATGCAAGCTTGTGTGTTGTGATATGTACCAGCGTACATGAGGAGGCCACCGCCTTCCAGTGGTTTACGGACGCGCCAAACGTGTTTATGTTACCTGTCAGTGCATGGACCGCCCCAAAAGGGGTTGTATGTGCCCGAAACTGCGTGGAGCCATTTGTTGTGAGTCGCTTCGTGTTCGTGTCTGGTATTGGTTGGCTGCTGTCCAATGACAGGCCAATGACAGACCATGTGTGCCTTCACCGCACAACTGACCCCATACATGAGGTGACTAGGAGCTCAAGGTGGGTGGCAGGAATTCGATGACAGGCGGGTTTTGATGCCGTACCATGGCCTACCATCCGCACTCTGCGGATGTGTACGGTAATCAAGCGCTGTTTGTGGCTCTGCCGTACACCGTATGCTGCAGTGGTAATTTGCAGCTGCAGGGGTGGCTGTGCACGACTGTGTTGTGACACCGTTGACTTGGTGATGGCTGCGGGGTTACGGCGGTGTTGTAGATGGTGGCAGTAACCTGCACGCATCACCGTTGTGTGGTTGTTTTGGCCGTTGCAATGTAGCCATTCGGCATTACTGCTGTTTGTCAAAAGCACATGTCCAGTGCCCTGAGGCAGTGGGCCACGGTCTGTGCAGACACGCAAGTGTCGGGTGTGGATTTAAGCTTGCTTTTGTATATTGGATCCACCAAACGTACCTTGGGGCTTGCCAAGCTACTGCCCCGGATAGGTGGGTCCGACTTCTGCGGTTTCAGTGTGTGTTTGTCTCAGGAAAGTGTACGCGAACCATGTGCGGCCTGCCAACGTGAGGGCGGCAAGGTTGGGTATGTCCTGTTGGGCCTGTCCTGTTAACTGTATCAACTGTATGTAACCAAGTGCCGGTGCTCCCGTAATACGTGCCTCAACGAGCCCTGGCTTAGGAGGGGACATCGGAGGGAGCAAGGCGTCCAACAACTGGCTCGCAGGAGCAGTGTGCTGCCGAAAAGCCCAACCCTTGTTTACACGTGTTTAAGTGCACAGCCTGACGAACCCGTACTGCAAACCAAATAAGTTGCCTAGCGTAAAAAGACGGAAGTGTTTTTGTCTACCTGAAGGGAAGAGAAAAGAACCCACGTGTGCGGCGCGTTGTTGCAATACATTCCACAATAGCGAGATCGCTGCCACTCGGCTCTAGCCAGTTCAGCTAGCGACACCAATGGCCAGTTTTTAAAGTAGAACTCAATAACTTTTACACTGTAGGCAAACGAAGAATTTAGACCGTTAACAAGCTAGACGCGTCGCATCTTTGGGACGTCCAGGTATGGTGGTGTTAATAAACACCGTTTTTATATAACAAGGGATATAGACTATCTCTTAGATTAAGCGCGCTCGCCACGAATGCGGCGGGCAAGCTGGATGTCCTTGGGCATGATTGTCACACGCTTAGCGTGGATGGCGCACAGGTTTGTGTCCTCGAACAAGCCCACAAGGTAAGCCTCTGCAGCCTCCTGAAGAGCCAGCACGGCCTGGCTCTGGAAGCGCAGGTCGGTCTTGAAATCCTGAGCAATCTCCCTGACCAGGCGCTGGAAGGGTAGCTTTCTTATGAGCAGCTCAGTGCTCTTCTGATATTTTCTAATTTCTCGAAGCGCGACGGTGCCGGGGCGGTACCTGAAATAACAAGGAAAGTTTGAATGTAACGTGCATGCAAAGGGCTTGGGGGCAGGGGGGACGAGCGGAGAAGCTATGAGACGTCCCAGACTCTTGCATATATGCACCTGTGGGGCTTCTTGACTCCTCCGGTGGCCGGGGTCTTGCGGGCAGCCTTCGTGGCAAGCTGCTTCCTGGGAGCCTTGCCACCAGTCGACTTGCGAGCGGTCTGCTTAGTGCGAGCCATTGTAATTGAGAATTGCTTGATAGTTGACGTTGTTTCTTGGTGTTGAGAGAGTTCCATGACGACAATATACCTCAACCGAACCAGCCAACTGTACGGTGGACAGTACGGCTGCCCCGCTGACCGCTGACCGCAGGACCGCTGAGCTTGAAAACCTCGTGGGGACGGCATTCTATATATCTGGGTTTGAATTCTAGACCCTACATACCATCTTCACAACTTCTTTTTCTACCTTACAACTATAAAACATGTCTGGACGCGGCAAGGGTGGCAAGGGTTTGGGCAAGGGCGGTGCCAAGCGTCACCGCAAGGTGCTCCGCGATAACATTCAGGGCATCACAAAGCCCGCAATTCGCCGTCTGGCTCGTCGTGGTGGCGTCAAGCGTATCAGCGGCCTCATCTATGAGGAGACGCGCACCGTGCTGAAGACCTTCCTGGAGAACGTCATCAGGGACTCGGTGACGTACACGGAGCACGCTCGTCGCAAGACGGTCACTGCTATGGATGTGGTCTACGCGCTGAAGCGCCAGGGCCGCACCCTCTACGGCTTCGGTGGTTAAGCTGCTACAGCCGCTGGCCAACTCACGAAGTCAGCCTTCTACACTAAAAAATACTCGGTGTCTTTTAACACCACCATTTCTTGGAAACCTTGGTTTTTGGGTTTTCCTATGTGAACGTTGTTCGTCAATGGATGGATGAATGAATGTCATGGCTGAAGCATCTTAGTCCGGCACTAAGGGGATTCGGGTAAACGTTCCTGTTCATATGATTTCGGTAGCCCATTACGGTGGTTAACTAGGCTGTCACGCATGCTTATGTCTTCAGTTATGAACAGGTGACTACGTGCTCTTCACATACCGGTATTTTACAAGCTGATTCCATTGTAGGAGCCTTAAGGACAGCCAACGAACCAACCTTTCCACCGAAGTTCCATCATGCCTCCCCGCCTGACTCCTACTGCTATACCGGAGAAATCAAACGATCAACCTAGTGAAGCCGGCACATATCCACGGTCCCTCCACAAAAAACAACTACATCTCCCTCAACGCTCCCGTCCCCATAGCCCTACCTATTCCCACTTGCCCCCATTCGGCACGCCACCCCAACTGCCCCGTCCGCTCGTTAACTCCTCTTTAGCTCCTGTCAACCCCGCCAGCCTCAATGTAGGGCTCGAGCCAGCTCCTCCACGAGTCGAGTGAGCTCGTCAACACTCACCACCCCCGCACCACCACCACCACCACCCCCGCTGCTGCTGCTGGCCCCCGCCGCCCCTCCCTCGCCACCGCCGCCGCCCGACATGAGGGCCGCCACCCGCGCCGCGTCCTGTAGTGCAAGTGGACGGGCATATGGGGGCACGGGCGCTGGTTGCAATACATGGTTGTGATTCCATGCTAGTACCGGTACAGGAAGGATAAGAGGAAGGATGATGTTCGTACAGAGGAAAGACGTTACTAAAGGAACACACAAACGGGATATGGGGGCGACTGAGCTTAATGAGTGCACGTACGGCACATCGCAGAGGTGGTGCTGCTGTTACAAATGCAGAGAGAAAGAGTAGCAGCACCATGCCTCCCACTGCCGAACTGCACACCTGCTCCCTTCTACCTCCCCATACCGGTTCTATCCTACCCTTCCATCCCATGTTCCTATCCCAGCCCCGCCCCTACCCCACCCCCCCATATGGGGTTGGGATTCGTTGTTTCACTTGTTCCTACTTGTTCCCCACCCACCCCCAAGCCATCAGGCCTTGTCAGTTAGTTTACCACTACCACACCACACATTGGAATTTCTTTTCCCCCGCACCCCCACTCCCACCTCGGGCCCCAGGTCCAGAAACGTCTCAATCAGGTCTCCATCCACGAAGCCCCGGCTGTCGGTTGTACGGCGGTCGTTGGCGAAGGCCCGCCAGGGCTCGTGACTCAGCCCGCCCACCCCCCGCACCACCTGCCGCATGGCGGACTGGAAGGGGGAGGGTAAAGAGGAAACATCTAACTGACCGTGTGATAAGGGTGACCGTGTGATAAGGGAGGGATATGATGGATGCAGAAAGGGATGACCGTGCCCCCACTTTGTTCCCTTCACCTAATATACTCGCCAACCCTCAAACCACACAACCCCAAACCCAACCCATATACCCACAAACCCATTATTATCACCATATACATACCTGCATCCGGTTCAGTTTGTCGTACAGTGCAGGCGGCAGCCGAGCAACAACCGCCAACCGCCCGTCCGTACCCGCCGCCAACAGCGGCAGTTGTGGCAGTTGGCTCGCCAGCTCGCTGTCCGGCAACCGCATGACGAGTGAGCCGGAACGG